CCCCCCGGCCTTCAAGAGAGCGTGATCTTCCCCCAGTTAAACCCTCTGACGCCATTACTGATCCAACATTCCTCTCCATCAACCAAGGAATCAGCCTTGATGATGCCTTCGACGCAAAGTCCTTTTTCAAGGGCCCATCTCCTTGTCGTCCCCATCTGACCACCACTAGACACCAGTGGAGTGGTCCACCGACCATTTCTCCAGAAGTACACGGTCGTCAAACTCCCCTCCATAATCTCCCCATCCTTTTCACTCAAGATCAACACTTCCTTCTTTTCATCGAAGCTCTTGATGCCCACTCGAGCCCTGGCTTCTGTATACATATATCTGCTCGTAGTCTTATACGTTGTTTCAGATGAAGGTGTAATCCTAGCCATATCTGGTGTCACAACCCACGGCTCCCTCTTCTCTGGATCCCCCTGGATGGTTTCATTATCATCCACCGTCAACGCGCCGCCAGTCAACGGACTCACCTTCAACGTACTCGCTGATTTCGGCGGTGGCAGACGTTCCGGGAACAATGTATATTGAGACACCAAGATGTGAATCGGCGTAGTCTCAACAGTGATCTGGCCATCATGATACAACACAACTCTAGTCCGAAGGGGTTTAGGGGAGTTGGTGTCAATGGCTTCGCACAGCTTTTCCAGGAGATGAGCAAGTCCCTTCGGGCCTCGAATCAGAGAGGCAGCCTCGGTCCAGCCAAAGTGCTCAGCGGCTTGGAGCATGCGATCGCGATGGTACGGGAGCATGTAGAACGGGCATCCAGATTTGCATTCCCCGTCCCAGGCTTCGGTGTTGACCGTAAGGGGCACGAGGAGGGGATCATATCGCAGGGCGGTGAACAGCTGGAAATCAGGCGTCATGGTTGCAATTGTGGGGTAGGGTCCTGGAATATAGTCAGAATGTGCCGATTCTTATATCTCTTTGGATTTCAAGACCATGATAGACATATACCTTATGCACCTACTTGACAGTTCAGCACCTGCCGGGCTTTGGGAGCAGCCTTGAGAGCAGTCTAACGGGGTAGTTGACTGACACGTGACGAGCAGTCCCGCCTCTTTGAACCAACAGGAATTTCACGAGGTACCCTCTATACCTGCTAGTCGATGGGAGTTTTTTCTGTTCAGCTGCTGTGGTGATACCAGAAGAGAAGGGAAGAAACGAATTGCGAATGCTTGTGGGACGTTTGAATCACGTGCGTTGTTTTGAAGGACCTGATAAGGTATTGCTCAGGTAAAGGTAAGGTAAGGCAGGTATTTATTGTAGGTACTCGGCTTGGCTAGCAACGTATTTATACACCTAGGTAGGTGAATCCTAAGGTAAGTAATAGCCTTCCCAATTGCCTTGTAATATATGCAATCTATCCAGCCTTACAATGCGCAGCATAAGTGGCATCTATACCTTAAGCTACCTTACCTTAAGACTGTATATCTCTCACTGTGGAGACCCAGAATGGGCACCTAAGGTACTTTTTATCCTTTCTTTCTCATACACCAAAAAGGTGTCAATAAGTCAGTTCAAATCCGTAAATCCGTAATTCAGAAATTCAAGATTATAGCCTCTTCATCGTTGACAGGAACACGACTTCGAAGCTTGAAAAGGGGAACCCAACTCCGTCATAGGTGAAAGTAACCTACCGGGCTTAGCGTGTGTTGTTTTGGCAAATCAGCGCCGATGGATATTTCCGAGCTCTCTAAGCATTGGTGTATCGCGAATCTTTTCAAGCTGTCTGCTGAATTATCATCATCGACCGACACTGGTGTAGCTCCGTCCATCGAGCCACTCCTCTTCCATTTTCCTTCTTCACCCTACATTCCTTCTTCTTTTAATTTCATCTTCCATTCCCTATGTCTGCCCCTCCCGCGGCGATGGCTCCCGGGAAGAGTCTCCCGGATTTCGCGTCGTCAACACCTCAATCTTCACTCTGGGACCGGATATCAACCTGGGCTTCCGAGAACAAAGCAGTTGTTTATACAATTGCCGGCGTTGCAGTAGTCGTAACTGGAGCTGGCGTTGCATATTACCTGACCGATTCGGTAGGTGGCATGAGCATATCCAATATACCACATAATTGGCGTGGCTAACAACCATCGCAACAGAAGGTCACCAGAATCGATAAAGGCTCACAGAACAAGTCAAGTAAGAAAGAAAAGCGAAGGAAAAAGGAGGAGAAAAAGAAGGCAGACCTGGAGAAAGGACCAACAGACACCAAGCCAAAGACACCTACGGTAGAGACCGCAGATGAGCTCCCCGAGGTGGACGAGACCACTGTTGGAAACCTCTCAGAACAGGAGAGAAAGGATTATGCCGCAAAATTGAAGGCTGCCGGAAACACTGCGTATGGAAGCAAAGACTACAATAGAGCCATCGAGTTATACGGTAAAGCCATTCTCTGCAAGCCCGATCCCATTTTCTATTCAAACCGCGCCGCATGCTACAACGCCCTTGGCCAATGGGAAAAAGTCATCGAAGACACAACTGCTGCTATCAACCTAGACAACGAGTACGTTAAGGCTTTGAACAGGAGGGCAAATGCCTACGAACACCTCGAGAAATTTAGCGAGGCTCTTTTGGACTTCACAGCTAGCTGTATAATTGATGGGTTCCGAAACGAATCCAGCGCACAAGCTGTCGAGAGGCTGCTCAAGAAGGTTGCAGAGGCAAAAGGGCGCGCTATACTCCAAAGCAAGGAGAAGCGACTGCCCAGCCCGACCTTTGTCACCAACTATCTGCAAAGTTTCCGCGCTCGACCTCCACCAGCAGGATTAGAAGAGCCGGTGGAATTGGCAGAAGATACTGGAAAGGGACAATTACAACTAGGCTTACGCGCAATGGCCAAAAAGACTTCCGATGGTTACGAGGAGGCCGCGGCAGCTTTCGATCAGGCATTGGTTTTGGGCGATCTTGGAGAGTACGAAGCCTTTGCATACAACATGCGGGGTACGTTCAGATATCTCCGCGGCCAAAACCTCGAGGCATTGAACGACCTCACCAAGAGTGTTGACTTGCAGCCATCTTTGACACAGAGCTTCATTAAGCGTGCAAGCATGCACCTCGAACTTGGTAAGTATCTCTCCTTTTGAGTGATAAAACTCTAGCTAATAAATAATAGGCAACAAGGATGCTGCTGCTGATGACTTCGAGAAGGCGATGAGCCACAACAGTGAGGACCCAGATATTTTCTACCACCGTGCCCAACTACACTTCATCCTGGGCGAATTCGCCGAAGCGGCCAAGGACTACCAGAAGTCCATTGACCTCGACCGAGACTTTATCTTCTCTCACATCCAGCTCGGTGTCACGCAGTACAAGATGGGATCTATTGCATCGTCGATGGCTACATTCCGACGATGCATCAAGAACTTCGACAAAGTACCCGATGTCTACAACTACTACGGAGAATTGCTGTTAGATCAGCAGAAGTACCAAGAAGCAATTGAGAAGTTTGATACTGCTGTTGAGATGGAGAAGCAAACTAAGCCGTTGGGCATGAACGTCCTACCCCTTATCAACAAAGCCCTGGCTCTCTTCCAATGGAAGCAGGACTTCGCAGAGGCCGAAAAGCTTTGCCAGAAGGCTCTGATCAGTATGACTCCCTTCTACCTCATGAGATTATCAGTACTAATATTTCGCAGTTGATCCGGAATGCGATATTGCCGTTGCAACCATGGCACAACTCTTGCTGCAGCAAGGAAAGGTCACTGAGGCACTCAAGTACTTTGAGCGTGCGGCAGAGCTCTCCAGGACGGAGGGTGAGATTGTCAATGCGCTGTCATACGCCGAAGCCACCCGAACACAATTAGAAGTTCAAGAGAAATATCCCCAACTCGCAAGCCGCCTTCAAGGAATGAGCGGAGGGTTCGGCGGCGGCATGCGCTAAGTAGGACTCTTGGTGTTTGGAAGTTGATAGGGAATGCGTGTTGCTGATCTGCTATTCGATGGGGTGGAGGGTTTTCATCTATGAAGAGGATGGCACTACCTAAGCTACCATAGACTGCAGTTGGAGGATTGCACGAGCAGTTGTAACTAATATTCAACTTCCATCTAGAAGTATGTACAGTAAGAATGGAGGCTGCAGCTAATGCGGCATCATGATGAATTGCGCGAGCGTCCTTCTCCATCGTCCTTGATGTTAATATAGTACGCGCCGACCCACATGCAGCATCGGGGACCAAAATAGAGAGGCCTGCCCTGCCGCAACCTCCTGCCCCAATCCGAACCTCAGAACAAAGAGAAGCAGCGTTTGAAACCCTTTCCCATACGCAAGGTTCGGTTCACAGGCCATGGTAGACCGTCTTATGGTCAACCGGCCTCTTAAGCGTTTCATGGAAATCCTATAAGGTGTTATCTATTCTTGCAATCCTATATTCCAACTAGAAGAGCCAATCACTGAGGCGTTGAAGCAGGCCTGGGTCTGGTGGGGAATGGTCAATATTGTTCTCTGGCCACTATCCCTCCGTGTTGGTACGTATGCTCACAGTAGATGTGCAAGCACAGGAGCTAAACTTGACACATTATCTTGTTGAAGCTGTAAGTTATTATTACGTAGCGAGTCTGAGCAGGAGAGAGTCTGGAGTTGCAATGACACATCTAGCTTGTTGCTGTGTTGAACTTTGATAGGATAAGATAGTAAGGTGCGCCGCTATTCGGCGATTCATCTGGCGAATAGCGTCAAGGATCTCTCTTCCCTTTCTTGCAGTACTGGCGTGTTTCCGGATTCCGACGTCGTTTCCGCTGCTACAGTATACTGTACTGGGATGTTGGGTCTGTTCTTTGTTTTGTTTTATTTTGTTTTGATTGATGAACTGTCAGGTCTCAGACCGCGGATCTGGAGCAAGTGACGCAATGGAGGGGTGAAGGAGAGGCTCTCAGTCTCTCGGGTCTGGAACGCATAATCATCGGACACATCAAACGGCAGCCAGATATGTATCAGGAGGAAAGAAAGCATTGAACTTTCACGCGCGCGTCCTCCTTATCTGCTATGGCCAGGGGTCGGCGCGGATGATCCCTCGCCCATGATGCCATCAACCATCAGGATGCTTGATGATTGACCAGATCCCCCCCTGTTTGCTTTTCTATTCCGAGTGCCGCTCTCCAGTCAGGACCATCTGCCATCTTGCCGCTCAAACGACATGCCTCGCGCGGTGCACTGTGTATGAAGTACAAACGGGGCCTGCAACGCCAGCAGGGGTAGATCGAAGCCGGTTTGCCTTTGTCTCGAAGTCTTGCTGCAACTCCGTCTCGCTTTCCCTGTCTCTCTGTCCTGCTCAGCTCGCGCCCGCACTGCTCATACTGGTTTCTGTGCAGCTGAGCAGCAGTAGTATCAGCCAGCCAGCTCTTGCGGGCCTTCCACTCCTCCACGTCTATACCAGAGTATATTGGCTATATATAAGACGTAGGTTGCCCTTCGTCCTCCTTCTCTTTCCTCTCTCTCTTTCATACTGTTCCCCTTTTATCTTATTCATCCTCGGGTCACAGTATCATCGTTACTGTGCCCATACACATATACTATACACATACCTGTCCTACGCTTTTATTCATAGCAAATCCCTCTCATACCTACCCACCATGTCTTCCCTCCAGGGTTTGCAGAGGATCAAGCGTGTGCAAAACCCGAATTATAAGAGATCCGGTCTCAAGTCCTATGTCTTCCTTCTCCAGAAGTGGGGCTTTGAGCCCACCATGCCGGGTCCATACTTTCAGATGCAGAAAGAAACACCCACAGGTCACCACTCCTTTTTCAAGAGGCATGGAAGCAAGACCAAAACCCATCGGGTGACTGGCAAGAAGACTGGTCCCAGTGACTCTGACGTCGGTGAGGTGACGGCGGAAGACCAGCAGAATGATTCCGAGTACCTCTGTCCAGTCCAGATTGGCACACCAGCACAGACACTCATGCTGGACTTCGATACTGGGTCCTCTGATCTCTGGGTAAGCAAAGGCCCCATGGACCTTCAGAGCCGGCTTTACAGTGCTGATTCCGACCACAGGTCTGGTCCACAGAACTGCCCAGTTCCACACAGAGCCAGGGCACTGGACACACGATCTTCAACCCAAAGAAGTCCTCCACTTTCAAGGCTACGAGCGGTTCAACTTGGAAGATCGCATACGGCGACTCCTCTACCGCATCGGGCAACGTCGGCACTGATAATGTAACCATCGGTGGACTCACAATTAAGAATCAAGCGGTTGAGCTTGCAAAACAGATGTCGGCCCAGTTCGTGCAGGGAGCTGGGGACGGACTTTTGGGTCTTGCCTGGGGTAGCATCAACACTGTTACCCCAAAGCCAGTTCAGACACCAGTCGAGAACATGATTTCTCAGGATGACATTCCCAAGACTGCTGAACTTTTTACAGCTTAGTAAGGACACACGACTAGTCCCTCATCCTTAGATTTTTGAACAATTGCTAATATCTCGATCATCTAGCCTGGGGAGCTGGAGGGATGCCAATGATCCTGACAAGGGCGAGAGCTTCTATACCTTCGGCTACATCGATCAGGATGTTGTCAAGGCCTCTGGAAAGGAGATCGCGTGGACACCTGTTGATAACTCTCAGGGTTTCTGGATGTTTGACTCCACTTCAGCGACTGTCAATGGCAAGACCATCAATCAGTCAGGAAACACTGCCATTGCTGAGTAAGTCTTGACTGCTTGAAATACAATGCGGATCTAACTTTCCACTCCAGCACGGGTACCACGCTTGCTCTTGTAGCTGATGCTACCTGCCAAGCAATATACGACGCCATACCGAATGCGACGTACGACCAGAATCAACAGGGTTGGGTATTCCCCAGCAGCACGACCGCCGACCAACTTCCAGTGGTCACATTCGCCGTCGGCAACACCCAATTTACCGTTCAGAAGGAGGACCTGGCGTTCGCCGACGCAGGTAACGGTATGGTGTACGGCGGGATCCAGTCTCGAGGTTCCATGACCTTTGATATTCTGGGCGATACTTTCTTGAAGAGTATCTACGCCGTAAGTTCTTTCCATAACATGTCTAGAGCCTCAGAAGAACTTTTCACTAATATGATTATAAACAGATCTTCGACCAAGGCAACACGAGATTCGGCGCCGTTCAGCGAACTGACCCTACCCAGAACCTGGCTCCCCCACCCTCCTCGTAATCGTAGACCGGGAGAATTTAAAGACTTCGGCTTGACTTGGTTGGGTGTTTAGAATAATAATAAAAGATACTTCAACAATTGAGTGCCGTTGACATGTATGAGTGAGTGACTGCAAGGCTTAAATGGCCTGGAGGAGATTGGGTTTCGTGATGTGTGTGACCTTTATGAAAAGGGGCCCTGTTTTAGTAACCCCTCGTCTCCTTTCCTGGCAATGGCCCCCTCTACCGGCCACGCTAAAGGTAGCGGATAGAAGCAGAGGGGATATTTCTAACGGTCCAGGGATGCGATAATTGATATTATTTCTATTCCAATTTCTATAGTACTAGTACAGAATACAAGGTATTATGCACGCTCTAGGGCAAAAAAATAACAAACCCATCTAGAAAACGCCAACGAGCCTCACGGCCACCCTTCACGCCAAGATCTAATAATGATATCTAGTTAGTACACGCACCTGAAAAAACAACGAGCAGAGCAATCCGCCATCCGCCATCCGGCAGCGGAGGGGGAGGGGGAGATCATCTCCTATTCGCGGTGAACTCGCAAATGATAAAGGCGAGATAGAGGGCGAAGGAGGCCCAGCCCATCCAGCTCCGGCCGCCGACCATGACGATGACGAAGAGCAGCAGGCTCGCGGCCCACATGGAGAGCAGCTCGAATGGGGTCAAGCTCCCGGCCAGGGCATCCAGGTCGGCGGCCAGGAACAGCACGCCGGCGCACAGCGTGACGAGGAAGATGTTGGAGCCGGCCGTGTTGGCGACCATGATGCCGGGCTGCTGGCGCGCGCCCGAGAAGACGGCGACCAGCTTCTCGGGCAGCGTGGTGGCCAGCGATAGCAGCGTGATGCCGAGCACGGAGCCGGCGAGCGAGAACGTCTCGGCGAGCGTGCTGATGCTGTGCGAGAGCACGTAGCCCGATAGCGAGAGCGCGAGGAAGCCGAGGATCAGATGCACGACGTGGTAGGTGGTGGAGCGCGGGCGGCGGCGGTGCTGCGTCTCCGTCTGCAGGGCGCTGTCGGGCGTGGGCTTGAGGTCGGCGGCGTCGAACATCTCGCGCGCCAGGGGGATGCTCTCGGATGGGCGGTGGTCGGCGGGCGCGGACAGGTCGCGCAGGGTGGTGCTGCTGCTCGAGCGCGGGGTGGAGCGCTCGACGTCCTTCACCTCCTCCTCCTCTTCTTCTTCTCCCTCTGCCCCATCATGGTCGGAGGAGTTGGAGTCGCTATCGCTGTCGGAGTCGGAGTCCTCGGGCGGCTTGACCACGCCTTTGTAGATGGCCCATGCGATGGAAGAGATGTAGGCCGTGAACGTAGCAACGAGGATCCCCCCGCCTGCCCGCCCCAGCGGCTTGACAAACGTGGCGATCACGACGAACAGGGTGGTGAGGGCGAGAAGGGCCGCGGTGTAGATCTGAGAGCTGCGGTCAAAGATCACGGTCGAGGGGGCGGAGATCAGGCCGAGGGAGAAGGCGCCGAGGATGTTGGAGATGGACGACCCCAGGATATTGCCAGCCGCAAGGGGGGAGCGGCGCTGGGAGATGGCGGCGACGACGACGACGAGCTGGTGGATGTGTTAATAACAATGCGATATCATGAAAAGGGTGAACGCACCTCTTCCCATTCAGCCCCGGCGGTCAGGAGCGCAATCAGAGTCGGCGGGATGCGTAGACGAGCGGCAACCTTGGCGGTGTGGTCAACGAACTTGTCGGCGCCGAATTCGAGGACGAAAAGGCCGGCGACAAAAGCTGCTATGTTGAAGCAGACATTGTCATAATCTATCATGGTGGATGATCGCTCGAGCCGGGCAGGAAAAGGGGGGCGGATACAGCGGGGAGAAGAGAAGAGGGAGGGAGAGAGAGGAGGGAGAGGAAGATCAAAAGGAGACGGATATTTCACGATACTCACGGCACATTGGGAGTGGGCAGAAAAAAAAGCGGGGATGGCAGGATGGATAGTCATCAATCAATTAATTTATCGCAGTGGCAAGAGAAAGAGAGGAGAGAAGAAAGAAAGAAAAGACTTGCCATTAGTCCTCACGGTGGTTGAAACGAGAAGCATGAGGCTGTATGTAGATAGAGACTGTAGATGGATAGAGACGACATTTTGCCCATGTTGTTCGACGGCGACTCGACCCTTTTCTCTCCTGATGGCATCAGTCAAACAAGGGGTTTCCAGCCTGTCAGGGACGAGGACCTATGATTCTCGCCTCTCGGTGCTCCACTTGCCGCGACAAGCTTTCTTTTCTATCTTGATTCTTCCGTTCCTGGCTTTCTATTATTGTCCAATGTATCTGGATTCTGGATAGAGGAGACAACCATACCTCTCTTATTACTATGAGCCTGTCTACTTTGTATATGCACCTCTTACTGCAAAAGTATTTCTTTCTCTTCTTCCTCTCAATATGATATGATATCCACTTATATGTACCTACCGTATATCCCCTCCCCGGCCCAGGTAACATTCCACATTCCACTCTTGATCCTCGTTCACGCTTCCCCTTGCACTGCTGCACGGCACACTACCTAGGGACACACGGCCAGACCAGCCCGCAATAGCAACCACAGTTCTTCCTTTCCCATACGAGCCCATGAGCCGTCCATCATCCGTGGCTCCCCGCACGTGTGTGCCTACATTAGTTGCCCCGGCCGTGGCTGGTCCAGCTGGAAAATGGATGGATGGATGGATGGATGGATGGACAGGCGGGCTGGCCTGGAGTCTGGAAGACGGGTTGCAATATGGAAGAAGCCCCCCCGTCCTCGACCTCCTCGACTTCTTTGAGATTGTCATGATACGTCGTTTATATGAGTGATTGCTTGAATAGGGCTCCTGCCTGCCCGCCCAGTCTCTCACCCCGTCTCGGTGTCTACGTGGTACAATCGCACTGTGCTTTCTGGACAGCTCTGTTCTTGCTCCCGTGCTCTCCCAATGGCAACATCAGCCACCCCGGAAACCGTCGAGCAGATCATACCAGAAGTCTCACCTAATGCCGAGCCCAGGGAGAAAGCCAGCGTAGAAGAAGTGACCGTTGAAGTACATGATGGCCCGTTTCGCCCAAGCCCACGGGACTACGTGCGCTGGTTGCGCGATCTCTTCACCAGGCAACGCCTCCTGGAAAGTGCAGCTGTCGTGGTGAAGTTGGGGAAGTTTATGGGCCCGGGGGCTATCATCAGCGTGGCCTATATCGACCCGGACAACTACCAGACGGCCGTCTCTTCTGGAACACAGTTTCAATACAAGCTCCTGTTCATGATCCTCGTGTCAAACCTGATTGCTATCTATCTGCAGGTGAGCTCTCGTGACTTTGTGGAAGTCCAATTGGCTAATCTTGGCTTCAAGGCGCTGTCAGTCAAACTGGGATCTGTCACAGGTATGGATCTTGCGCAATGCAATCGAGCCTATCTTCCCCGCTGGCTTAACATTGGCCTCTGGCTCATGGCTGAAGCCGCCATAGTTTGCACCGATATTGGGCAGGTAAGCTTCAGACCTCAACCCGGCACAAACCCCCTTGACGCTTCTCAAGGTGATTGGGACAGCAATTGCAATCAATATCCTCATTCCAAAGATCCCCCTGGTCGCGGGCTGCGCCTTGGCCATAGCGGATACGTTGGTCATACTGATATTCTACCGCCCCGACGGATCGCTCAGAGGTCTTCGAGCATTCGAGCTCTTCGTCACCGTCTTCGTGCTAAGTGTCTTTATCTGCTTCTGCATAGAACTCTCCCTGATCAGAGGCACAACCGCCAGGCATGTCTTCGACGGCTTCCTGCCCTCACGGGTGATCTTCGTCTCTGATGGGTAGTATCTCACGTATCCCGAATGCCAGATCTCCAAGCTGATGAGAACAAGGCTCTACGAATCATGTGCCATTCTGGGTGGGACGCTCATGCCACACACCATCTACCTTGGATCGGGGCTCGTCCAAGCACGCCTGCGCGACTTCGACATCCGGCACGAGCAATACCGCGAGGTGTTGACCACCGACCGCCCATCAGCTATCAAGCTATACCGGCCATCACTGTCCGCCATCCGATCCTGCATGAACTACTCCATCGCCGAGCTCTGCATCACGCTCTTCGTCATCGCCGTCTTCGTCAACTCGGCCATCCTGATCGTCGCCGCCTCCTCGCTATCCCAGGCCGCCGACGACGCCGATCTCTTCGGCATGTACCGCCTGTTCGTGTCGTCCATCTCGCAGGCCGCCGGCACCATGTTCGCGCTCGCCCTGCTGTTTTCCGGCATCAGCGCTGGGATCGTGGCGACGATGGCGGGGCAGCTGGTCGCTGAGGGCGCCATGCACTGGCGCATCCGTCCCTTCTACCGCCGGCTGCTGACCCGCTCCATCGCCATCGTCCCCGGCATCATCGTAGCGGCAGCGGACGGACGGTCCGGGCTGGCCGCGGCGCTGAACGGCTGCAATGTCGTGCTGTCCGTATCGTTGATCTTCCTGACCTTCCCGCTGGTCTGGTACACCAGCTTCCAGAAGTACATGACGGTGGAGACCGAGACGGCCGTCGTTAGTACCGCCACGCTTGGGTCTCTGGAGCCTGGGCCGGACGTGGAGAGGGGAGAGCGGCGTCGTGGGCTGATGGTCAGTCTGGCGAATAATATCCCGACGATGCTGGCCGCTTGGATCATCTGGTTTATCATTGCGGCTATGAATGTCGCGACTCTGGCGTTCCTGGGGTTGGGAATAGGTGGGGATTAGAGATGCTCAGTACCGAATGATCGTGAGAAGAGTAGGTACGTGGCGTTCCCGACCGGGTTTTTTGAGCGCGAGAAATATAGCAAACTATTTGAAGTAATAATAGATTAGTTATCAAGTGTTCATCACTTCGGCATATCAGCAAAAGTCAGTGGGTGATTAAAACAGCTTGGATTTCATATTTCCAACCAACGAGACCCGGTCCCCCCCCCCCCCCCGCCCTTCCATCATGCATGCATCAATATAAACATATATGGAGGGCCAAAAAGCGAGTAAAGCACAAAAGAGGTATCCCCATCGCCACGCCTCAACGCCTTTCCCATGACCTCTCCCGAGACCACGTGCCGGCACAAGAACGACCGCGAGAGAAAGCGAATGATGTGAAAGAAGAGTCCGTCTCGCTCCCTAATGCTCTCTGATATGTCCAGCAATCAAGACCCCGCCACCACCGTTGTCTGCCCCATGCTGATTTTATACAGCAGCTGAAATTAAGAACTGGAATGACTAATATAGAAATCATCTTCTTGGCCCCCGTTGGCCCATTCGTCGGCTTTAGAGCGTAATCGGTCTCCCCCTCTCTTCTTCTATGGATGTTCTGCACTTGCAGATCCGTGCTGGGTATGTGGGAGCCTGCGCTTATTTCTTGATGACGGCCTCGTACAACGTAACCAACGTCCCAATTCCGGTTCCAACGAGGACTCCTTGATAGCCCCCGTAGAGCGCCGAGTTGATCCGAGCTACGTGCTCGAGGTTGACCAGTCCACCAAACGTGACATCTTGGCCAAAGACAACGTATGTCAACAAGGCTTTCACGATGTTGAAAGTCAATGGGTCGAACTCGTAATTGAAATGCACTTGGTGGCTGGATCGGGTTTTAGGCTTGCTTGTGAGATTGAAGAAATAAGACGCAAACAACGGGATGAAGAAGGTCGTAAAACTCCAAAGTAATGCCGGGCCCCAGAACGATGCGGTGAGCAATAAGAAGAGGTCGGGGACCCTGACGAGGTACTCGGATGTCTTCAAGAACTGGATCGGCGGGATAGTAAATGCATCGCGATCGGCGAGCAGCTCGGGTCGCAAGAAATAAAGCTCGAATAAGATGATGAGGCCTTCAACAGATACAACCGTGGAAAGAGTTTCACGCGTTGCTTGGGCTGTCTCAACGATACCCGAGTCATCGAAGGCACTAGACACCCTAGAGCGGATGACTTGAGTTCTGCGATCAATCGCTTCTGCAACCACTGCTGGAGACGGAGGCAGGGGCACACTTGACGCGAACGGAAGGTTTGACAACGCAGAGCCGCGTGGAGTTCTAGTCAAGGCTGACCTTGAGCGTGTTGTTGCTGGCTCAACCTCCGAGTCGTCGCTAAGTGCAAGTTAGTAATGGTGCTGTGGCTTCGAGACGCGGGGAGGGCTTACGTCGCAAGCAACTCATCTGCAGCCTTTGTAACTCGGCGCCTGACCTGCTTCGCTTTGGTTTCTACATCTCCCAAGACAGAGGAAGACTCTCTCTTTACTGGAGAGCTCTCCGAACGTCGTTTGTTATAAAAGGGGGTAAAGCGCGAGTCGGTCGAGTACCGAGAAGCGTTCTTCGCGAGGTGCTCCTCGAGGGCAAGCTCAAGCTCGGTCTTCTTCAATCCTTCATGCCTGCGAGGAATGACGTTAGCAATGCGCCAGAAATAAAAAAAGAACCAGGTATGCGGCAGTCTTACTCTACGCCTAGAGAGTCTGCAAGCTCAACCAGCTCTGCCTTCTTCTGTTTCGCCAGAAAGTTGGATGCCCCAGACATGATCGTGCCGTAAGTCTTATCGAGCGCGTGGACGCGATGACGACGTAGGGCTTAGTGTGAGGAATGCGGTTTTGTAAAGCGCGTTTATGCGACCACAATGGCTATTGTGTGGGATGTATCGGGACAATAGCGATGCAGGAACGTGAAGGTTGTGGCGAGAGGTCGCGATGTTGCTCCTCGGAATAATGTGGGGAGGCTGGGGTGACGATAAATCGATGCGATGGTGATGCGATGCGTGTTGATGTTTACAGCCGTCGTTAGCGCCCGTCGGGGGGATTTTACCACGTGATTGGCCTGCAGGAGAGAGAATACTTTTACCCTGCAAGACTGAGGCGGCAGTTCCAACATAGGATCTCATATATATATAAATACCTACCTACCTACCTTAGGTGCCTAGGTATGAACAGATGGTTTGCTTCGAGAGGCCTTTTGATGCTTGGGATCTTGCCAATATGCCTTTGACAGTCCCTCGATTCAAGATCAACCCTTAAGGATTTGCTGGGCACGAGCAAGCATCGCGGTTTTCATTCAAGTACCGATGATTTCTTAATTCTCCAGCTGCTTTTGACTGGTAAAGAAGGCTGGAATGATACAGGCAGGGTTTGAAAGAAGTTGACAAGACTTTCAAACGCAGAAGCTGATAGTCCTCTGAATGTGTGCTCAAACGATAATATACCACGACCATTTTGAATTACAGAGATAAACCGCAACTCAAATGGCACCATGATCAAATCAGCCTCGACGCCTAGTAGCCCAAACCTCCAAGTACTCCTTGGTCATCAGCCATTCTGAATTGAAGCAAATGATCATAGGTAGGTAGGGGTACAGTGTCTCGAGGCTCGAGTCGTCTGTGTATGCTATCACGTGATGGCTTACCTAGATACGCCCGCCCTAGCGCAACTAAGCGAGCGCACAACCCGATTTTCAACCTCGAAGTCAGAAATCGAGACAACGACGACATTTAATCACTCGACTTCCTCGACAACCGCCACAACCGTCAAGATGGTACGTACAAGTATCTTCCTATTCATTTCTTTGTCCCGTTTCCCGGGAGTATAAGGGTGGGAAGGGATGGATGGCAAGCAACTGGACAATGAGAGTTTCGAACCCAAAAATACCGAACGATCAGAGAACCCGGCGAAGGCGCTTGAGAAAGCACTCCTTTTACACGAACACCACGACGTCGAAATCTCGCCGATCAGAGGGTTCTATTCATGGATCCAGTTGGAGTGGGCGAAGGGGACTGCTTGACGGAGATTGAAGACGAAATACTAGCGGATACATCAAACTGGATTAAAGCTGACGAAACTCTTCGCAGGTCAACATTCCTAAGACCAGACGCACCTACTGCAAGGGCAAGGACTGCAAGAAGCACACCCAGCACAAGGTCACACAATACAAGGCCGGAAAGGTACGATGAATTTTGAACCTGGCGCTTCCCGTCTAACAATTTCCAGGCCTCCCTGTTCGCGCAAGGAAAGCGTCGTTACGATCGCAAGCAATCCGGTTATGGTGGTCAAACAAAGCCTGTGTTCCACAAGAAGGCTAAGACAACGAAGAAGGTTGTGTTGAGATTGGAGTGCACAGCGTGCAAGACAAAGGCACAATTGGCGTTGAAGCGATGCAAGCACTTCGAACTTGGGTATGTCCTCATGTTGGGAATAGCGGCGGGCGATGCTAATCATGTTATAGTGGTGACAAGAAGACCAAGGGTGCTGCTTTGGTGTTCTAGATGTGCTACGACGATTGTTCTTTCGCATGGGCATGGGACACGGGGTTTTGCGTGGTCACAATGGCTAACATGTATGGAGCAAGGCACAGCTAAGGGTTGGGTCCTTGTATCTTGTTCAGCATCATCATAAGAGAATACCAAAATACTCGTGACACCATGGCGTCGATGCTTTGTGAAGTGATGAGGTTGAACCTTCCTGAGGCTCTGTGGGTCGCAATATTGATGCTAGAAAAATGATCGATTATGTGGTTTACGGACTTTTCTACTGAACTGGTCGCAGCAAAGTTGCTGCCATCCTTTTGAAACGACCTAGCAGCAACTCAAACCTTTTTTCTTTTTTTTTAGATATCTCAAGAGAGTCAATCTTCGTGATCAGCTCTCTTATTGGGTTCTTATCGTCAACCATGAGAGTAATGAGAGTGCCATATTCCAGTGGTCCGATTAGGTCCCTTGAAGCATTGGACGGAACCGAATATTGTTACTGAGAGCCTAGATCAGAAGAACACAGGTATCATATTCTAGCCAGTGATAAACTCTCCGCATCAACAGCTCTACGCCAGCACATCTTTCAAAACCCCTTCCCAATTCTCACCGTGTTCCCGCCACCATACCACAATGTCCCCTCTCTAAAATCCAAACCCTTTCCTTGTCCTACAATCCACTCACCATCTTCCCTCCTCTCTCCCCCATCCTTTGGCCAGTATTCCTCTTCCAGCCACGCATTAATCTCCTCGATCTTCTTGATGAACCTCTCCATTTTCTCAGGAGAATCATGATCATCCTGAGTCAAGAACCGTCCAAGTGTGATATGGGAGCTAGGGACTACATAGCGAGAATCGATGCTCACCCCTGTGGCCTTAGCAATATTGAATAAATCTCTCCTCAAATGATGATATGTAAACCTATCATCTTCTTGGCTTCTTTCTGAAGAGCTGGAGGCCGAAAGGGGAAGGCCCTCGCCTGCTGCGGGGAGGAACGAGAGAGCAAGCGCGCTGCCATCGTATGATAGCATGGGCTTGATGAGGCGTGCCCGGTGGGAGAATGTGTAGTCTGTCATAGTGGCTATGCTGGCTGGTCCCATTCTAGAAATGATGGCATGGATTTCTGGGTCCGTGAGAGAATGGGTGATTTCTAGGGCTGTGAGATGCATGCATTCAGTGGGCATGAGCCAGAGATCTGGAATTCGTTAGTCATGTGCTCTTGATTTCACAATTATAAAACGACACAATCTTCTCAAGAAATAGAATACGTATAGTATATGCGATCTCATGCCAAGTGAAATATAACGTACTTGGAGCCGAGGCCAACAGCATCTGCTGGACATCCCTAGCCAGGGAGCGAATATGACTTGGGGGTCGAGCCCAGAATACAAGACAATGTCTCGGGTCTGTGAAACCAGGTTCAATGGAGGGATCTGTTAGCTTCTTGAGAACAGGGTCGATAAGTAGGCCAGAGAAATCAGGGGATAGCAATTTAGCTTTTTGCTGGCTGTTGCGGGTAGTACGATGAGTCGAATAGCGGGATTGGATGAGGGCCTTGGAAAGGAGGGGGGGGTCAGCATCCAGCTTTCAGGACGTAGTGGAGAGAGTTTTGAGACACAGGGGGGTTTGCAAGAATATAGATACTTGAGATAGCAATAACAGGTCTGGCTAGCATATTGGGAGGAAGAAAGGGATCGTACAGGATCATTATTACAGGCCTCGATCAAGGCATCGTAGGGGTTTTCATAAGCTGCAGCATCGATTCCAGAGAGATCTTCAAATTTGTTGCTGGTAGCAGTTGGGTTTGGCAATATGGAAGGCATTTTCAAGACCACCTGTTTGGGAGTTGCACAGAGAGGTGTTATGAAGGATATCACTTGCTTAAGTTGACTTCTTTGTCTCTTGTAAACGGTGTACAGGTGTACAGCGACGACATTGGTGGATGTCGCTTAGCAACCTTGTCACATACTGCAGCTAGGTGCCCATGAAGATATTCACAGAACTACCTGGGGAAGAGGTGCACATGTTGCTTCAAAAGCCTTGAGCTCTAAAGGAGATGTCTGACATGAACTTCTGATGGTTTGTAGAGGACACAACATACTATCGTACCAGTCACGCAGAGGAACCCCATAGTCAAATGATCAGGACTTTCTCAACACGACGACTGACACACGACTGTGGGTGTCCCCTGTCCAGGTTCCAACTTCCAACTTTCAATTCCCAACTATCCTCCTACGCATGGCTCTATGAGCTCACTACATAGTATTTCTCGACTGCTTTCCTGATCACAACCTCCCTGGACCATGTGAGGAGCTGTCCTGACGCCGCCTTTCTTGTGCAGAGCAAAACACCGGGCCGGCGGTTTATCCGCTAGCGTCAAGTAGCGCATCCGTGTCTCGATAAAGAACCAATCACCGTAGTTCTAGATATACAGTAAAAAGATAGTGGTCCGTGCGCTCACCACCTCTTCACAGCGCGTCCTTGGTGTTGATCAAATACAACTCTGAAGTTGCAACAACATGCGCTCTTGACGTTCCTACTCAACAACAATGGTAATGCGAGCATAAAGCTTGCTTTGTATCTACTTGATACTCCAACTACTTTTGGACGCAAGTAAGAACTATCTTACACGCGTAGGTAAGCTGCTGACCTCCTCTGGCTTCGCGATCTTATGTTCCTAGGATCTTCTGCAGTCTGTAACTGCAATTGCCTTTAGCAGAAGCTTCATTGATTCTGTACGGAGTAATGATATCTAGATCTTCCTCCACACAAGAGTGGCGCACCTCCGGCATTGCGCATATCCTCACCATCCCCTGTGTGTGACATGGAAACAACCTCACACCAAGCGACCAGGAGACTGAATGGGCTTATCTCGTACCTGAAATCCAGCTCTGTCGACTCTATTCTGCCTCTTGATGAATCTTAATAGAAGCATATGCTTTTTCAAGAGCCATTCAAGCCAACCCAAAGGCGCCAATCGTTGAGTTCCTGCACTGGTCTTTCGGACTGTGCCCCCCGAGGCCACCTCACTGCAAGCTATGCACTAGGCTGCGTATCCTTTGCGAACCTTATATCTCGTTACTGTTGTTTAGCTCTTGTTTCACCTGGTTCTTCATGCGCGTCACCGACTATGGCCTCTTGTTCTGTAGCTGCTCCAAGCACACCTTGCGCATTATTTAGTGCCGGACAAACAAGTGTTAAATCGCGGTTGCTCTCGGGAGTAAATTCCCTGACATTTCATCCGCTTAGGATATGTTTGATCCAAGCTTTGGCCAAGTTATCATTGAAGTCTGCCTTTAAGTCCGTCGACGATCATTCTCTGTGACCAGAAGTGCTATCCCAATTAGGTCGTTGGAAATCTTGGCTGACAAGGTCAACCATCTTATCGGCCACTGGTGACTGATTCTGTGAAGTCTCTTTTCTCAGAAGATGTTTCCAGAGACACAGCTTGTCGAAGTTGATTCCAGGCCACAGGATCGTGCTAAGGCCCCTGCTTCTATGAGAAGACAGGCATGGGGATAGTGTTTCTTGGAGCTTGAGATCCGACCTTCGCTGGATACTGTGCTGGCCAATCTGAAGTAGCATTTGTCTTCTTCATGGTTGCTTATCCTTGACTTCTAGTCACCTCATTGGCTACAGGTCGATTGTAACCACGTTGTCCATAGAGAATTATGCTGCAGACTTTATTTCTAGTCACAGAGAACTGCCGTGAAGGGGCTACCACGCCACTAGGATCTTATGTCAGTCTATGTTGAATCAGTGTTCTGAATACGAGTCTGCCTCAAAAGAGAAAAGAGAAAAATCCGGAATCCAGTGATAGGGGTAGGGGAAACAAACTCGGAAATTCCCTCATGAGCCACTAGGTCCCCCAAAGACGTTCAGTATCAGGAGCCTCTGTCATTGTCATCGTTCAGGAGAACCACTCTGAGGCTAGTGATGGAAGCAATGAAGATAATGAGGGTACGGCAGTTCCCGTACCCTCGGCGACCAGTGGATCAGTGCCATATTATCTCCGCAAGTAGCAGCAGATGACAACACCAGAAGGGCACCCTCCGGCACATGCTCTCAGTATGAAATAGCCCATAATACCCTGCTGCACGCTGGTTATGGTCGTGAGTGGGCAGATGATCATGCCTCGGAAATAATGCTGCTTCGAGCCTCGAGGCAGAATATCGTTGAAAGAGCCCCTTTGAGACTATCAACTCTCCTCATGATACTAAGGGACTGTGCGTGTAAAGTAGGTGTTACGATATCTCTTTGGTTCTGTTGAGCTTTATTGATCCTTTTGTCCTTCACTATGATTCAGTAACAGACCTTGCTTGGACTTTGGTTTCCATACCTTGCTCTTAGCAGTAGTGCTGTACTCGTCGCCGACAACCTTTCCGCCCTGACACTTCAAGTCTACCAAGGGGTTCACATGGACTATGCAAAGCAGTAGCAGCGGGGCTGAGGACAAAAGAGTGTTGTGTTTACCAAGGTCAACTTGGATCAAGCGATGTAGATATTGTGTGGTTTGTCGCTTGATGTATCAAAGTGCGGCTTGGTTTGCGGCTTGACCTACGATTTGGTGCAGTCCATAGGAAATTCTTTGGGATTCCGGAACCCAATCTTAGCTTATACAATTCTGAACTCTCACCTCTCCCACTTTTTTCCCACCACACACACAACGACAATAACAACAAGCCAACCTGCCCTCTCGTTGATGGTTTGCCCTTTCCATTCCCTTGTTGGATACCACCATTAGCTCTACGAGCTTTCCTCTCCCCACCCCCCTTGAAATACCTGTAAGTACATCTCACCAACTCCTTGTACGCGTACAAAGACGCCATACACGTCTCTGTTTCGGTCAACAGTGGAGATCGGAGCTGCCTCCCATTCCTACATTTATATTTATCAAAGAGCTTCACATACCATGTTCATATGTTTCTCCTTCATCGCGTCATTATACCACTCCCTTTGACCTCTGGGCGCCTTGGGCATTATCTTATTGCTCCGGGCAACTTATTCAACGTTCGCACTTCCCCCATACCCATACCAGCCCCCTTACATGCCCATGTCTTTCACACTATCGCATATACAATGCTGACATTGACTTGATGAAGAATAGCTCCTCGCATTGCGAGAAGACCTTGCGCAATCATGGCGGGAGCCAAAAGCCTGCCATACACTGCTTCGGACACAGACACGAACAACTGTGCTGATGCCGATGCTCGTGTTGATGCTGGCTCTGACACTGACACCCACATGATGGATGCTTTAGATGATGATACGATAGATACTTTAGCTACGGAGCTAATTGGTCTTGGAAGAGTGTCTGCCAACATGCGCCAAGCCAATCAGCCCGATCTTGAGCCTGATAATGGCCCCGACCCTAATATTATGACTGGGCTTGATGATGAGTCTGATGAGGATTCTGACAATGAGTCTGACGACGAGTCTGGCGACGAGACTGCTGACGAGGACTCCAAAGAGTCATCTGGTGATGGTGGACCACCTGCCAAGAAGCAGAAGATATCGAGTAAGATACATGGCCTACCTCTACTTGAACCACCTTAGCTAACTTGTCTTTAGCTTCGACCAAGAAAGCCAAGAAGTCTAAGTCTAAGAATGGTTCTGTTAAGCTGACTGACACCTATGAATATCGTATCGGATATCGAGACGACCTCGCACCACTCTCAACCGTTGAGGAATGGTTTGCAGATCTCAGTTCCAATATCAAGAAATTGGGATTCAAGAGATTTATCGACCACCTCAATGGCCGAGCCTTAAGGGTAGCTACCATGTGCTCAGGCACTGAAAGCCCTATCTTGGCTCTCAAAATGATTTCCGAGAGTAAGTTTTTAATGAGACTTCGTTCAACTCTTCTCTTTTTAACATTCTTATACAGACTTATTGAGTCAGTTCTCTATCAATTTCGACGTGGAACATCTGTTCAGTGCAGAGATCGTCCCATTTAAACAAGCTTTCATCGAGCGGAACTTTCAGCCCCCGATCATATTCTGTGATATTACAGAGTTATCAGACCCTCTGCTCGACGCATCTCAACCTCGGACTGCGTAAGTTATTCTGCCGTGTTTATGGATGACTTTTTTTGACTTTTGGAAGCACTACGGCATATGGCGGCAAGGCTGAAGTTCCTGGAGATGTCGACGTTCTGATTGCTGGGTTTTGTTGTACCGACTACTCTAAGCTGAACAATAAACCAATGACACTCGCAGAACGCGGCGAGAGTGGGCAGACCTTCTACGCTATCTTGGCTTATGCCTTAGAGTACAAACCAAAAATAATCATCCTGGAAAATGTTGTCAGGGTTCCTTGGAACGACAAGATAGCCAAGAAGCGTCTTGGAGAACGTGGTCTGGATCAACACTTTGGATTGATCGGCTATACTAGCCGTCACTTGATCCTGGACGCAAAGGAGTTTTACGTTCCACAGACTCGACAGCGTGGCTACCTAATTGCCATTCACAGAGAGAGTTTTAAAGGATCGGACGAGGAGATCGAGGGATTGCTTGATCAATGGGAGAAGGATGTGACAAAGCTTCAGCGCCCTGCAAGCGTTCCTGCTGAAGCCCTTCTGCTCAAATCCGATGATCCAAACCTCAAATTCGTTCAACGCGAAAATGTCGAGAAAGGAGAAGGCAAGAAAGAACTCTTCTGGAACAGGTGCAAGATGGGTCACCAGTTGTACCGGAGCGCCCTAAAGTTGGGAGTGGAACATCCTATTACGAAATGGGGTCCTTCTGGAAGCAAGCAGTTGTTTGATTATTACAGGACATTCAAAGGTTTCACGGAGCGAGTCTTGGATACCCTTGATATCTCTCATTTGCGTTGTATTAAGCGCGGCTTTGATGACAGATACTGGAAGTATGTTAGAGGAATCCCTCCCACCCGGCCACGCATGCTAACCTGTCATCTAGCCGACTACTCGATATGTCGCAAAATGTGTACCGCACCACGGATAATACCAAAACCGGCATTATGCCATGTCTCACCCCTCATGGGCTACCCTTTAGCACGGTTCGTGGTAGCAGCATTGCAGGATTTGAGGCTCTGCAATTTCAAGCGTTAGACGTAGGCTCGATCGACATCAGCACCTTATCACAGAGCGACCTTCAAGATCTTGCTGGAAATGCCATGACTTCAACTGTTGTTGGTGCCGTCACTGCTGCGACTCTGAATATCTTCTACAAGCTCCTGAAGCCCGGTACGGGAGTCAAGCCCAAGGACGAGCGGAGACTTAAACTTGTGGCAAGAGACCTGCAGCTGGAAAAGAAGTCCGCCGACCCTGGAGATTACTCGGAACTGTCGGTTGAAGATGCAAAGGCATGGGCAGCCGTCACTCGGCGCCTTTGCTACTGTGAAGGCAGACACGATGTTACTATGATACCAATTCAACAATGCACCGTCTGCAAGCATACGACTTGTGTCACTTGTGGCCAAAGTCCTAGACACCATTACAAGTTAATGGATACAGATTTCATTGCCACACGCAAGTGTCCTTCCAATTTTTTCAAGCTCATCAAGAAATCCATTCCGATGTTATTCAGTTTCGACAATACTCACCCTTCAGTCGAGGAACGCATTCGTCAGATGGAAGAGCATCGCCCTCAACATTTCACTGAGGAGGCTTGGACTCAGACACTTGAGGCTATCCGTAGTGCATTGTGTTCCGAAGTTCAATTTCGAGACATCATCCGTGCCGAGTGCTGGCATGTTCATTTCCACTCGCCACTGGTAAATGGTACATCGGGCGCAAGAGTCGAATTGCTCATATCTGAGTACAGCGTTGAATGGCTCTTATATGCAACGGTTCCGCCAGACGAGCCTCTCAATACTGAGCGTCGAAAGCATCTCGAGAAATTTCCTTTTGCTCGTATGCGACCTAATGGGGATGACATTGTAAAAGGCAACTGGGAATTCTACATCCCAGAACATCAAGAGGCGAAGGCGATGATCACAAGTAAAGGTAAGCTAGTCAAGTCGTATCCCGCTACCATTGGACTTGAGGGCATTACGAATTGCCCGGTTTGGGACAAATGCTCCGTGAAACTTTCAGGCAATGACTCAAACAAATTCGAGCGTGACATTAGCGGAGATTATGAGTCCTCACCAGTTTGTGGTCAAGCCTACGACTCTTTCCACGTGCAGGTTTCGAGCAAGGGTTCAAACCGACCTGTCTGCATGTATTTCGATCATGAGAAGCTATTGCGCAGTCCAGAACTCGACCACTTCATCTTCACAGATGATATCAGAAGACTTGAGTATGGAGAATATCGACAAGCCTTTGCGCGACTTGAACCGACTTGGCAACAGCCTACACTGGTTGGTTCAAAGTCAATCACAACCGACGAGTCCTCAATGGAGCAGGAGGTCACAATTCATGTCGATGGCCACTGGATCGGTTGCCAGGGTCTTTCGATAGACCTGTCGAGGCAACTTAGCGTGATATATTGGCAACTTCCTAATCAAATACCTGATCCCAAAAGCGATTGCGACTCGCGGCACCTCATTTTTGCTTGTACGACCAACCTGCCCAACTTGATCAGCGCTCAGTGGGTTCGAAAGTCTTTGACTGTGCTCACTCTTTCCTCAGAAGTAAAATTCTTCAAAGAATTCCGCTGGATCTTGGAACGGGGATTGGTTGTTGCTGATCACCTCCAGCATAATGCAAAATGGAATCCAACAACTGCACCGAAAATTCAGTGTCCTACCTGCGCCCCTAAGGCTCCCAAGTTGATGTGGGCGTATTCCCAGCGCAACAAGCAGACTCCGTTCGAGGACCCTGCTGATGGTCGTGATTATGAACGTGTACTGAAAGCCCGACCTCGGCCAGTCACTATCAGATATTACATTAATGATAAGGACATGATTCTGATCAATGTGGAAGTGAATCCAAAAACCCTATGCCACAGAGCATGGGCACAATTGGCACTTTACGGTAACGCCGAAGATGTCAAAGTCGCATGGCGTGTTGTTACAGACGACAAGACATCTAACAAATGTCTGCTTGAGCCCTTGACAATTTTGAGCAGCGACAATGAGATTCCAGCTCCACCACCACCTAATGTCAACATGAAGCAATATAGCCCACGTCCTGCCCAGCTCAAAAACTTGGCTTGGATTATCCGTCAGGAACGAGAACCGCAACCCTTCCTCGAAGAAGAGGTCGTTGAAGATCGAGTTACCCATATCAATTATCGTATTGAAGGGAAGGCGACTCGTGAGATCTTTAATGGAGGCGGTGTCCTTGCTCACGATGTCGGATTTGGCAAGACGTTGAACATACTTGCACTGATTGATTGTCAATCAACATGGGATGAGCGTGGAGCCCAAGCTTCAGTACCGGGGCGTATACCAGTCAAGGCAACTGTCGTTTTCGCTCCACCACACTTAGTTGGGCAATGGGAAAAGGAGGCCAAGTGTTTCTTTCCAAAGTTAAGCAACGTGCTGATCATCGGCAATATTTTCCATCTCAAAGCCCGTACCATTGCCGACTACAAGAATGCTGATATTATCATTGTGAATTGGCGACTGGTCGGAATGCCATCGTATTTGATGCTTGTCGCCCAGTTCGCTGGTATGGTCGAGCCTGATACACGTGCTTCGGCCCGAGCCTTGCGGAGCTGGTATGCAACAGCGCTGGGGAAAATTGCCAGCCATGTGGAATTACTCAAGTCTGATCCCACTGGCTTTGAAGGGCATCTCAAGGACGAGTTCGACCAAGATAAGGTAGCCTCTCAGTCGCTGCATGCACCCGTACCGTCAAAGCGTGTTACGGGCGCAGCTTATCGGAAGAAGGTCGCCTTGAAGCCTCCAAGTAGAAGCAAGGCAAAGGAAGCAGGGGAGGCACTTCCTCAACAACAAGAAGCTCCGAAATTCATGAGTCGCTCCAATGCATTCAAGTTGAAGAAGGTCGCAGAGACCGAGGATTACGATCTCATGAAGTCTCCTATCTTTGAAATGTTCTCCTTTGGTCGGATGGTCATCGACGAGTATGCATATCTGGATAACCGGGACTGTGTTAAGCAGACAGTCATGGTATTGGAGTTCATCAAGGCCCGACACAAGTGGGTACTATCCGGAACTCCCTTAATTGGTGGATTCAACGACATCAAGAGGATGGCCAAATTCATTGGTGTCAATCTGGGTATCAATGACTATTCATCAATGAAGAGCGACATTCTCAATCATGAACTCAAGGATATGACTAGTAAGCTCCTCTCCCTCTCTGCGTCTGGAATGTACTGACGATTGTGAAGATTCGGAGAAGTTTCTGCTTTATAAGACAGCCCCTTCTCCCGCATGGCAAGAACACCGTCACAATCATGCTCAATGCTTCCTAAATCAATTCGCTCGGAAGGTAAGCTCAGAACTTTGAATATGAACTCACTTGCTAATGGCTGAAGGATATTGTGAATAACGACGGAATCAAACTGAGTGAGCAATTCTGTCTGGTCCATCAGCCTGCTGCTCCGCGAGCCACCTATCTCGAATTGATGCAATTCATGTCAGCTTCAAAATTTGAAATTCGCGAACGCCCCGGAACTACTAATCTGCAACACCGTAAATCTTTGATTCACGATGCTCTTTTCCAATGTCAAGACGCCGAGGAGGCTTTACTTTGTCGCGCTGCATATTTCGATCTTCCAAAGGGTGATGCACTAAACAACGCCAAGCTCTGTGAGGAAATTGTTGAAATTCGAAAGGGGCAATACTTCGAGAAGAAACGACAGCTGCAAGACAGACTGGAAGAATCTCTGCAACTCCTGAAGAAGACACCTGACGGCACTGATGATTTTTTTGATGACTTTAAGAGCTGCGTCAAGAAAAACAAGCTTGGCGATATTGAAACTTTGAACGAAATCCAGGAAATCATTGACAACGGTACTGATATTGACATTGATATTAAGAGCACCTCAGGCACCCTACGAAGCTACTCCTCCAACATGAATAAGTTTCTTAACCAGCTAGTGGGTCTCAAGCGTTCCTGGCGTTTCTTTCAGGCTGTCCACACTATCCAATGTCTCCCGGCTGCCCATAAACTTGCATGCCAGAAATGTGGCCATCAGGAGTTTACCATTCAAGAATTAACCCTACTTGGACAATGTGGGCATTTGGTTTGCAATTCCTGTCTTCCGAGGGAGGACGAGCCCTGTATGGAAGACCAGGGCTGCATGATGTCCAAATGTTCAGCAAGGAATTCGTTCTATGACAAGATCCCAGCTCACGACTTACGCCAAGAAAGTGACCCCGAAGCTATTTGCAGCAGTGGCAAGATTTGCGATATCGTCAATCTTCTCAAGCACCAAATTCCCCAAGACGAGAAAGTATTGGTATTTGTACAGTTCCCGAAATTGCTCCAGCAAGTCCAGGAGGCCCTATCATCCAACAATATCGCTTTCTGTGATCTGGGCGGTGGCTTTGAATCGTCGAAGATCCTCTCTGATTTCCAGGACGTGAATTCATCTCAGCGTTCGAGAGTAATGACACTGAATATTGGTGATTCTTCTGCGGCCGGCAGGTAAGGTTTCCATTGATTTAGTCCTCTGTTTGCATGATGCTGATTGGGAACAGCAACCTCACTGTGGCGAACCATATTATATTTGTGGCCCCGTATCATACCACTGGCTCTAATGCGCAGTACTTATATGATGCTGCCATGACCCAAGCTATTGGACGTGCTCGCCGTTGGGGGCAAGAGAAGACTGTCAATGTTTACCATTATCTCGTCACTGGCACCATTGACGTCGACATCATCGAGTTCCGTCGCTCCCAGATTCTAAAGATGGTTGCACCAGGGGAGGGTGAGCTTGTCTCTGGCGATCGAAAGGACAGCAAGCTCGGCAGCTTGTGTTACGAATACGTCAGTCGGGAGTTTTATTGAGGGTTTCAAGCCTCATTCCTGGTTTCGGATGGGGTTTTGATCGGTTTTGCAGAATCTTGTGTCTTCCTTTCTTTATTTGCTTTCGTGTCTTCCTCTCTCCTCTTTTCAATTCTTGAGACGTTTCTAGTCCGTGACTATGTCAATACAGACCATCCTGGACTTGTTCCTACAATGGTTTTGTCAGACATGTCCTTCGAACAGAAAGTCTACCTATTCATGCCCGTTAATGCACAACCTGGGCACTCATACACTTCATAGTCATTTTGTCAAGCGCGTCTTTTAAACACAAAGTCTATGTGTTTTACGCTCGTTAATATGTACCCCGAGCAGCCATGGATTTTGTTAAAAGTAGAAAAACCAAAAACACCCGAAAAATTTTATATAATTATAAAAAAAGAGGCAGTGGTTGCTTGTGCATCGTGAACATTTACAGAATAAAGGTAGGTACCCTATGTGAGAGACCCTCAGGGGTAGCGTTCTGCGTTGGAGAGGTGACCGTAATTGAACTAATAAGGAAGGTATTTGATGGTAACCGTAGAAAACCTTGGTGCCTGATTCTGCTTTTGTAAGCATAGATACGCAAGTCATTTCCATGGCAGTCCCTCCTCCTATCCTCATTCTCCATTCTTCTCATCACTGATATCCATTATCCTTCTTCTAACAAAATCATGGGACCTTGATCTATTCAATTGGCAGCTTGAACAAACCATCTTTCGTGTCGGACGGGATTCCACTCTCGGAGTCCACGGGTAGCAGGTCACGCGACCAGAATCAACGAGGAACATGGCAGCAGCAAATGGAGCAGCGGCAGCAGCGCCAAGAGCTGGGGAAGAGACCCCGTTATTGGCAGAGCATACTACTGCGGGAAGCGATGCAGATGCTTCAAGTTCTGAGACATTATTGTCGGACCCGAGGGGAGGGCGTGACGAGGAGCAACAGGTGGATCGGAATCAAGCCAATCAGCAGGTTGGGAGGACGAGAGGATTGCTGATCATTTTGAGTTTGTGGGGGTTGATCTTCTTGCAGGGTAAGTCATTAAGATCCTTGGTTCTGTTCTGTTTTGCTTCATTCTTCTATTTTTGGATGTATATTTTGGTATGATTTGAAGAGCGGGGATGGCGGAACTACTTCTAAAAGTGTAGTGCTTTTAGGAGAGTATCTTAGTTACTTTGTGCTGATAGAGGAGTAATGCAGCATCGAACATGTCTGGGATCACTACGACGCAATCGAAAATTGCAGAAGACTTGGACGCTTTTGTATACGCAAGCTGGTTCTCTTCTGCATATCTTGTGAGTTGAATTGATGCCCGCATGCATCACGTGCTATTTGTTGATGTGGACATAGATTGCAATGTCTAGTTTCTCTCCCATATGTGCTCGATTAGCTCAGATCTTCTCCCCACGAAATTGCATATTATTTGCTTCCACCCTTTTCTCCATTGGCGGAATTGTCACTTCTCGAGCCAGAACTCTGAGTGTCTTCCTCCTGGGCCGAGCCATAAGTGGAACCGGTGGTGCTGGCATAATGACCATCTCCTTTATTCTGGTTCTAGAGCTGTCTGGTAAGAAGAGGAGAGGCTTGTTCATTGGATTGCTTAATACAGGATTTACAACTGGAGTTGCCTTGGGAGCAGTCGTTGCTGGTGCTTTGTTGCCTATAAGGGGCTGGGTACGTCTTGGTCTCTCAAGATATGGATCGTGCACTATGCTAACAGCTTCGAAGAGATTTTTGTTCTGGATCCAATGCCCACTAGCATTGGTGGCGGGCGTTGGGATATTTTTCAGCATTCCAAAGTCATTTACTTCAGGGAAACATAGCAACGCCGAAGGTTCAATAAGGGCTAAACTTGCTAAAATAGATTATCTCGGGGCGTTTACTCTGGTGCGTTTCCTTCTCAAGCTTTTGGGTTATCTGGAAGCTGATTGATCTGCAGATGGCAACTCTTGTGTCTTTCCTCTACGGTCTCTCCTCGCCGAAGATCCTCTGGCAGCCACTCGTCGTCTCGCTTGTCTTCCTCTTGGTCTTCATTTTCACGGAAGTCTATGTAGCATCCGAACCCATCATCCCAGTCACAGTTCTTAAATCCCGCGGCGCGCTCCTTTCTTGCGTGGCGCAGCTGGGAATCATGGTTGCTAGGTGGATGGTGCTCTTCTATACACCTGTGTACGCAATAGCAATTCGTGGCTGGTCACCTGCTTCAGCCGGTTCAATCTTGATCCCCACGAACCTTGGGTTCGCCACTGGTGGCCTACTAGTTGGCTGGTTGCATATAAAGCGAGCTGGGAGCTTTTGGCTGTATGAACCCTCCCCTACCTCTAATTGCTCCCTAATGGCCGACGAATATATATACTAACATTGCCGCAATAGAGCTTCCGTGATCGCGTACTCCCTCTTTGTTTGTACGCTACTCCTCATCTCCCAGATCTCCAACCCTTCAACTCTGCCTGCGTTTTACTTCCTCGCTGTCTTCATCAATGGGTGCTGCACGGGAGCAGCTTTGAATTATACGCTCGCTCATCTACTACACCAAACACCTCCCTCAACGCATTTCATCTCCATCTCTCTTCTGGCCACGTTTCGTGGCTTTGCCGGTTCGTTCGGCTCTGCTATTGGCGGAGGCTTGTTCGTGAGATTGTTGAAGAGTGGGTTAGAGGAGGGCTTTGAACAGCACGGCGGCTTGGAAGGTAGAGAAGAGTTAGTGAGGAGATTGCTTGGGAGCCCGGCGTTGGTGAAGACCTTGACCGGGATTGAGAAAGTGGTAGCCGTGAAAAGCTATGTGGGAAGTTTGAAGGGCGTGCTATTAGCCGGGGCCATATTGGCACTGGCGATGGTTTTCATCCAGGCGGGCACGGGGTGGAAAGGCGGGGTTGAAAAGGAGGAGACCGAGGAGCGCGTCGTGGGTAATGGACTTGGGGCAGAGAACGAGGAGTGGGAGGAAGGGATGGAGCAAGGTGTTTGAATATTTGTGGATGTATGAACCAGGCTGGCTAGATGGATTTGTAGATTGGATGCTGGCAACTAGATTAATAGACTTGTAGTTCTTCGCACCGAAGATGGTGGAGTCTGATTAGGGCGCAGAGACTTTTGCATATCTCACTCGAGGGGAAACGGAGCTTTGACGGAAGCATGGTCATAGACCCAAGCATCATCATGTGCACTTCTTGCACCGAATCAACCGCTACAATATGCATCTCTCCATGTTGCCTTGTCTTGTGAATCGTATTGTGCCCCTCGAGACCCTCAGATGACCTTGCCGCAGCTCGTGTCTCCTGCTTCTTTCACGCAGACTGCCGAGCTCTGTCCCTCTTTGGGTTCCACAAGGTGATTCGCATGATTCTCATGACCTGGACAGATGAGAAGGAATACAGCACGGTCGGCCGGGAGACAGGGGGATCTGAAGAATGTGGGGGATGTGCAGTAGGGGTAAAGGGGACTTGTAGTTATATGGTTGTTGGGCCCCTGACTCAGCCCTGACTGATCCCTCCTCGGATTGGCTGCCGCTAAGCCATTCTGAATTTTCTCGCGCGTTTCACGACACTCCCTTGGCAGCTTGGCCGGGCATTTTCAGCCGCTCGGGTTTTTTAGATCTGAATCCACCGTCGTTGGTTCTCCTTTTTGATGGGTCTTGCCTCGGGGATCCCCTCACTTTCGGCCTGATCGGGTAAGCCTTATGAGGTCAGAGTCAGGAGGGGGGTGGCGGGCAAACGTACCCCCAGGAACCGTCTTCGGGGCAACGATGACGCCGTTTCACTGTTTTCCTTTTTCACGTACAACTACCTAGGTATCCCCTCCCCTCACCTCCAGCATCTGTTTGTTCACGATGCTTTGTTCTTTCTGAATCCTTCTCTCAGTATCTGCCTCCAAGGTTCTCTCTCTCCCTTTACAGAGGGGGCTCCTTTTATCCTCTCCTTCCCCTTGAACCCCTTCTTCATCTTCGCCTGCCTACTCTCAAAAGAAGTCATTCCTTCTTAAAGTCCAATTCCTTCAAGAGCAACCTCTCTTTCAGAAGTTCCAACTCTGAGCACTCTATCAACTTGACCTCCACGATGCTCCTCTCTCTCTCCCTCCTTACCTTTGGCCTCTGCGCCTCTGCAGCAGTCGTCCCCCGCCAGACAACACCATGCTCCTTCTCCATGACCGCTGTCGGTCCTCCCAACGGCACCATCGTGGAAGACACGATCGGCGAGAATCGCATCGGCGGCACCTATCCCCAAGGCGTCTACACCATCTCTGCTCACAATTTGACCGATTCACTGGGTCACAAGTGTCTCATCTACCCCTCAACTTCTCAATTCCAATGCACTCAGGGCACAAATGGAGCGTCGAACTTCTCCCTCGCCGATGATGGATCGCTGTTGTTTGACGGGAAAGCACAGTGGTGGGCTTGCCCTGCTACAGGCCCGGGCAACGATGGAAGTTTTAACATCTTCGCTGATACGAAGGCTGATACTACGGGTTGTCAAGCCGTTACTTTGAAGACGTATGTACACAAGCTCCGAATCCGACAAGATACAGCTCCTAACCTCAATTCCACAGTGGCGGATTCTCCTGCGCAGCTCTTGGGTCAAGTACAAGCACAAGCGCAACTGCAACCAGCAGCTCAAGTCCCGCTCCCTCGAGCACCACCACCTCTTCAGTCTCATGCCCAACGGACATCTCCTCAGGGACCTTCCAATTCCCGCATTTGATTATCCCCACCTCCCCCAAAGCGCCCAACCACACCTTCGGCAACACCTACCAAGCCAGCATCTCCCCTATTAACACGACGCTCTTCAACTTCGACATTCCCTCCACCGCGCCCTACGCAGTCGGCTCCAGCTGCGCGCTGCTCTTTCTCTTCCCCTACGCATCCTCGCTCGCACCGTCCGCTGGGAAGTACTATTTCTCGGGCGTGGAAGAAGAGGAGGGCGAGCACGGCGGACTGGATTTCGCGCTCCTGCAAGGCATCGCAACGTCAGCGACGACGTACGCAACGACACCCGGCGTGGCGCAGGATTATGGCAAGACGGAGATTTTGCCGGGCAATAATTATACGGTGGCGGTGTTTCCCTGTCAGAGCGGGAAGACGGTCACGTATTCGGCGAGCAGCGTAGGGAATGTGGAGTTGGATTATTTCCAAAATAGTGCGCCGAGCCCAATTGGGTTGTATGTGGTACCATGTGCGTGATGAGGGAAGGTCTGGGTTGGGATATGATGGGATGGGATTTGGACGGGGAAAGGAGGCTTTCCATTTGGCCAAAATGGACATTTGGGCGTTGGGGCTTCTTGCATGCGAAAAACATCATTTTGCTGCCTACGATACATAGAAGATAAACGTAGTAGTGATGCAAGGTGTAAATAAACTAATTGCGATGGCAATTTCATAACGCCTATTACAACGCCTGTTGTAGCGTCTCTTATATACGTGGGTTTTGGCCAAATGGAACACCGTAGCCGACGATTACCTTACTTTAGAGATATCAGACATACAGAATCCGCCTCGTTTTGGGTTAAGGATTGATTCACTCCAACTCAGACACAGGACCCTAGAGAGTGCTAGAGACTGCAACAACCCGAGAGCTGGGAGACGACTGCGAGAAGGCAAAAGGGAGTCCGCAACTAGTCCGCAAGCCAGCGGGGCTACTTCATCTCAACAACCTCAACCGACTGTTACCCAAGGAAGTTAAATTATGGGTGGCATCTGTCATAACCACAAGGCATTTCAGAAACTGGCAAGCTGGGAAGATGTGAGCGAGAGTGACGTTTTAAAATCAGACGGAAGAGCTGCCACGCAGCACCTCTTCCAGGGTTCTGAGGCTCTTGTATTTCTGGAGGAGAGTATAACGGAGGTTCAAGTAGAGATGAACCCGAAGGAAGTGGTCTGACTACGCGCCCAGCGCCGACTATGAACGAAGAACACCCTTTATCAGCATCGTACTTACTACATGGCGGCTCATCTTTCTTGAAGCAGAGCGACCGCTGACATGATCCTGGCACTGCAAAAGACGTTTTGCGCGGAATAGCAATTTGTACAGCAGCGTAAGCAAGCTTAATATAGTCATCAACTAATTCACGATTCTCTAGACGCAAAAATGAAGCTATTCCCAAATCATTAGTCATCAAGCTCAAAGTCCACTACGGCAACCTTTAGCGATACCCCACGTTCGCCCACCTCCACACCCAAACGGCGCACGTCACCTTGGACCATAACAACCTCTCGGACAAAATCCCCCCCCCCCCTCCTCTAAGATGTCCTCCAGCGAAAGCGACGATGACCACGACAGCGATGGGAGCATCTCCGCCGGGGGCGCACCAGAAGCCTCCACCACACCGCGCAAACGCGGGCGTCCTCAGCTCACGCCGCTCGACGCGTACAAGGACCTCATCATCAAGCTGTTCTCGGAGGAGGACGTGCCGGTGATCGACATCGCGCGGCGGCTGAACGTCGAGCACGGGCTGGACATCAGCGTGCGGACGATCTCGCGGCGGCTCACGGCGTGGGAGGTGCCGCGCAAGAAGCAGCGGGCGCCGCCGTCGCAGGAGCTGCGCGACCGCATCGTCTTCTACTACAACAAGAACCTGAACGATGAGCAGATGGCGCGGGCGCTGCACGACGACGGCTTCGAGATCAAGGTGCGCAAGCTGGCGCGGCTGAGGCAGAAACTGGGCCTGCGCAGACGCTCGAGATTCCCCGAGTACAGGGAGTTTTCTGACGAGGGGGACGAGGCGCCGGCGGGGTCAGAAGGAGGAGCTCCCAAAGCGCCCACGCCCAAGAAGAAGAGGAAGAAGGCAGCTGCGAATGCGGCGTTGATACCCAAGGTTACGGCGTTCGTGGAGAAGTACATGAGCAAGTATGATGGGTCTCATGATTTCAATCACATCAAGAGAGTGGTAGGGCTCGCACACCTCATCTACAAGGAAATCAACTCGCAGAGGGAAGCAGACCCGACGCATGGAGGAGGAGAGGAGTTAGACCTACACGTAATTACGCTCGCAGCCCTTCTGCACGACGTCGGGGACAAGAAATATCTCGAGCCGGGCCAGGACGGCAACACGCTCGTCCTCGCGACGCTGCTGGGGTTCGGCGCCCCGGAAGACCTGGCTGTGAAGGTGCAGCGGATTGTGCTGGGCGTCTCGTACTCCTCGGAGGTCAAGGACCCAGCGCAGGTGACGGCCATGATCCTCAAATACCCGGAGCTGGCGGTCGTGCAAGATGCGGATCGGCTGGATGCCATCGGGGCCGTTGGGATCGGCCGGACGTTCACGTTTGGCGGGGCCAAGGGCGCGAGGAACATGGGCGAGACGATCGAGCATTTCGAGGAGAAGCTGGAGAAGCTCGAGGCGATGATGAAGACGGCGCCGGGAAGGAGGTTGGCGCGGGAGCGGACCGAGAGGCTGAAGACGTTCAAGGGCTGGTGGGAGGAGGAGCAGAGAGAGGCCGAGGGATTGCTGCGCAGGAATTGAGAACTGCTGGGCTGCTGGAGGAGTTACTCAATTCATCTAACCTACCTTACCTACCTACCTTTTCTTACTTCCTGTCAATGGTTAAGGTACATGCACCTGTACATGATGAGTACATATACGCATCAAACCTTCATAAAGGAAACAAACCGTCCCTCCTCCCTCCAAGCTCTCCTCGAATCTTCTTCCCTTATCCTCATTCCACATCCCACCACGCCAATACGGTCACGCATCACGATCTCGCGCGCTTTCCCCAGGAAAACGGATTTTACACGCACGTGAACCCTTTCCTTGCTAAAGGAGCGGAGGGAAGGATAGGTATGGATTTATAGGTATAGGTATAGGATTCATTTGGACAGGAAGGAGATGAAAGAAGCAAGCAAGGAACACGTCTGTTGATTCTCAGCGCCCTCTCCCACTATTCCGCTCACGCTCTCTGCGATCCAGTTTCTCATTTCAAAGCGCCAGCCATCTATTATCTATCGTCTTTCCAAAATCTAAGATATCAGTATACGGACAGCGGAACTTCTATTAAAAGAAAGGTCGTACAACACACAAGAAACCCCTCCTCCGGTCCCCTTCTGGTCTCGCGACCATTCTAAAGCATAATCTAAAATATGAAATCTCGATACCTGCCCAGCGCAGGCGCCTTGCTCCCCGAAAATTCATGATGCAGGCCGTCCAGCGCCGCTAGGTGCTCTGCGAACTTCAGCCCCCTCTCGTTCTGCGCCACAATGCGCTTCCAATCCCACTCGTCGCCGGACGACGCTGGGGCGGCATCGGCATCAGCATCTGCGCCAGCTTCGACGATCTCGGGGGTTGAGTCGCCGCTGTTACCGTTCATGGTAGCCCAGCCGCCGGGCCGCTCGGGCAGCATGCCGGACGCAGCGAGGAGGACTTCCGGGTGGACTGTGAGGCGACCCAGCTTGACAACGTACTTGGAGACGGCGCTCGCGAAGATGTTCTTCTCGTCGACGTCCTCCTCCTCCGGGGCGGCCTTACCGTCGCCCTTGACATCGTAAGGCTTGGAGCCGAACCAGCTGCCGTCGGTGAGGATGTAGGAGCGCGGGCGCACGGTGCCCTTCTTCACGAAATGGGTGACGACGTACAGCCACTTGCGGTCCCAGCACAGCATGCGCGTCCACATCTCGAAGGGCTCGTAGATGCCAATCTCGCGCTTGAAGCTGCACTGCACGCCGCCGAGCATGATGCCCCAGCGGCCGAGGACGGGATTGCCCTGGGCGTCGAGGACGAGCTTCTCCTGGGCGTTGTGGTGGAGGCGCGCGATGCCCGGCTGCAGGAGGCAGCACACGAGGTGCGACCGCGTCACGTCCAGGTCCGAGAAGTACGTCGAGTTGGACTTGTGGAAGTTGTAGTCGCATTCGGAGAGCGGCGAGCGCGAGCTGGTGATGACGGGGAGGAAGAGCGTCGAGGGCGCGAGCTCCGGCGGGATGATGCGTTTGCAGAAGACGCAGTGCCGGAGGATGGCATTGAAGACTCGGTACTGTTTGATTTCACACTTAGTATAGATGTATGCGTATGGCTTTGGAGGAGGGGTATCGGAGCAGGGGGAGCTACTACTCACATGCCATGCAAAAGGCACATTCTTGAGATTCGCGACCACGACCAAGAGCGCCGCGATGCGTGAGTAACTCCCAGGGCCAGTGAAGGTGCTGGTAAGAAGAGCACGGAGGTTGATCCGTGAGGAGCCCGCGGCCACGACGAGGGCTGTGGTGAAGGCGATAGATTTCAAGGGGAGGCGGGTAGCGGAAGCCATCTTGAAGACATCAAACGAACGAGATGAGAGAGAGCGCGCAGAAGGAACAGAGGTTCAAGAGAGACCAAAAAGATACTTAACAAAATAGACGTTGAGAATACGAAGAAACCGCGGAAGGAGAAAAAGAGAGAATCGCAGGACTTCAATCGTTGAGGCGGGTCAGCCCTTCACAGGCTTTCAGCTTACGCCGTGGTGAGGACTGTAGTCTTGCACGGAGTAAAGATCTTCTTCTTTCGAGCCGAGGCATCGGAGTTTTCAAGCACCGACCTGCTTATTCATCCGTACATGTGAAGGAGGTCGTTTTTGAGGGCATTCGCAGTTCTCGAAGGGAGAACACACCACCATCGTCGACTGCTTTTCGACTTGAGGTCGGTGTGGATTCTGTTCGGTGTGCAAGTGAGGTTGCTGTCGTGCTTCGCATCAATCACGATTGGATGCGGAATTGCCGAGATCGAGCAAGTTTTTTTTTTGTCACTCGACGGGTTGACGGCTTGACAACTTGACAAGTCGACAACTCTTGTGAGCCAACAGCGTTGTGCTAGATGGATACAACGTTGTATAAGGAATGGGATGATACCAAGGGCCTCGGGATAGGAATTCTAACTTGGGGTATGACCACGTCCACGGGATGAGCGACAGCATTGGCGTATATGTACAAGACATGTACAGTAAGGGAGTAGTATATGTACAGATCACCCAGGTTGTATTTCAATTTATTTTTATTTATTTATTTTATTTTTTCATTCATTTATTTGCTTTTTCCCCAAAAGAAGACTTCTTCTTCATCTGTTATTATTTGATTACTATTCTTCAAGATGATGATGATGATGAACGGGGGAACGCGAAATCTCTTCCTGCATTGCATATCATCCCACCCCCCAGCCCATCTCGTGGCTCATCAACACCACATACATAGGTACATAACATCCAATAGCCGAAAAGCCGGGACAACAACAATCTCTCATTCAAACCCTTCCTCCAGCAGCAGCAGTAGGGTAACATGCAATGCAGTGAGTGGTAGTCGGACGATCCTCCAGATCAGATGCATACATACATACATCGTGCCGCCCTGCGCCTCTCGGACATTTTTCCTCTCAGCTATCGAGATCTACGTCCCGTGGCACGGGGAGGCGGGAATGCGTTTTTGTTTTGTTTTATTCACCGGTTTTCTTCTTTTCCCTACGGACGGTGTGTACAGAGAGGAGCACAGCTGCTTGCATCGATGGAGCCAATTATATTTAATTACCTCCTGTTCTACAGTTCCTTTATCTCTGTATGTATGTACATGATAGCATAGCATTACCAGCCGCTTCTACAGAGCAGAGCATTACCGGGGACGGTTCAAGGGAAATCTAATCACATACATAGAGAACCGGAAACCAGGAAAAAGCAGGAGAACACACATACATACATACATGCCATGACCTGCAGGTCTCTCCCTACGAGGTCTCAAACCCTTTCCAACATGTTGAAGAAACATGCAATGCAGCCACAGTAAGTAAGTAGGTAACATAGGTACATATCTTACATACCTTACCTTACCTACCTTGTCCTACATATATCCAACAAATGCAAATACGAAGCAGGCAAGTGACGCAATAATAACATGCTCTATTAGATAGATTATAACTTGTTACATGAAGTTGCCGGTTTTGAGATGGGTTTTATATGATAGAATACATACAGTCCAGCACACAATCTCTCCCAAGTCCAAGGTCCAGGTCCCTCCCAAGCCTCCCTCCCTCATCCCCAATCCAATCCCTCAAGACACCCTCCTCCTTCTTCATAAACCTCCCCTCCCAACCACTCACTCACTCCGCCATGCACACCTCCGTAATCCATCCCCTGTCCCCTCATAATCATCAACCACCCATCCACCCATCTCATTATATCACATCTCACACAACACACAATCTCTCGCTACCATATACTCTACACAGTAACCTGCATGACCCCCCCTCCCCTTCTCAGTCCGTGCGCGCGGAACGGGACATGTCAGATCCCCGAGTGTTGATCTGCGATCGAGTCTATTATCTATCATATCTTCTTTCTACACAGTAGTTCCCTTCCCCCCCTCCTCCAATCCCCTGTCTATATATCTTACCTTAGAACCATAACAATAATAACACCTTATCTAATCCACATTTCTCTTATAATTTATTTATCAGGTATGGTATTTCTAAGCGATAGGATAAGGCAAGGCAAGGTAAGGATTAAACCAAACCAAACCAAGCTAAAGTACCTACCTACCATACTTCAAATCCCGAACTTTCATAAGGTAATGGATCCCCGCTGTCCGCTGAGCCGCGACGGACGGGGGCGGGACGAGTAGTAAGAAGCCGCCGCTCGCTATCTTTAGCTTTGGTTTTTTTGGTGGTGGTTGGCCTATACTACCTATACTATATGTAGGCTTTATGCTTGCTTGCTTACTATATGTATGAAATGGCATGGAATATGCTTGTTAGGAAGGACTGGGGAGCTACTGTGTTTAGTATCTACACCGGAGCTTTTTTTCTTCTTTTTGATGAGGGCGGGGCGGGGAAGGATGAGAAGAGTAAGAGGGGCCCTGGCTCGGCTGAAATATTCTTGCTCTTAGGTGCTTGAGTTAGACACTTTTTCGCGAAAGTTACAATCTGCTTTGTTGTTAAGCTTTGTATTATTGTATTGTTACAGAGATAGGGCGGATGGATTTGGATGGATGGATGCGACTGGACTTGCAGATTCGCAAGTACCGAGGGAACATGGCACCAGATATCCATCCATCCTTCCATCCAGCCTTCTATCTATCTATCTATCATTTATCTACTTTATCTATACTAGCTAAACAAGCTAGGCACCAGACCAGACCAAGACCAGACCATGCCAAAACATGACAAGACGCGGCGAGAAATGTCAATGGCTCGAGGAACATGCCAGACCCCTGAACACCTGAATACTAGACACAAGCCACCAACAAACTAGGAACTAAGAGTGTAAATGCCACACCGTTGGATATATGTAGGTCAAATATGAGAGCGGGAAAATAAAAAAAGAGATAAAAAAAATAAGAGTAACAATTCATGTGCTGTGTTTGTCTGCCAGCGCGCCCAATGAGGAGAAGGCGGGGTGATGGACCCCGCGTGTAGTGTGTGGTCTTGTGATGTGTTGGTGCTTGCTGGCTTCGTTTGCTTTGCGACTCGGATGCTAAGATATGCTGCTGACGATGCTGACGATGATAAACGATATGGTGATATGATGATGATGACGATAACGACGATGATGATAATGCAGCGCTCCAAATCTCATCCATTGTAAAGACACGTAACGTAGATGACGGGGGAATCAATCCTGCAAAAGATCTAAAGATCCGCGCCACCGCTAAAAGATGCTGATAACATGAGCCGCCCATCCTGCCAGCTCCCCGGCCTCCCATGCAGTATATACGTTTTGCTGGTTCAATAAACACACAAAAGAAGTCGCTGCCGCCCGATACCACCCGCAAATATACTCGGTGCCTCAGTACTCATCATACACGCGCCACGGGGCTTCTGTCTCTCGCATGAGCTGATCAAGTCATCCTGACGTCCCCGCTGGAGCTGCTTCGGATACTCGAGCTGAAACTCGAATTCACGCTGTAGTGGTGCGCCACGTCTTTGTCGTCTAGCATTCCCATGATTCGTCCTGTGTGGTGTAGGATCTTGTAGTCGATGAAGAGAGCTGACGAACGGTGCGCGTGTAGCCAGAGGAAAGACAGCGTTTTCTTGAGGAGGGTCTGAAGCAGCTGTGGGTCCACAAATTGTTTTAGGATAGGGTCTAGATAAGCTGCTTGGAGAGTCAAGACGTTGCCCCATTGCCTGTATCATGTCAATAACACGCAACCAATAAACGAATCTTAATAACATACGCATGTGCTGTTCCCCAGATATTCGTGACGATCAATCTCTTGTGTCCCGGATCACCTAGGCCATAGAAAGCCGTCGTGCTCTTGATAAGAGACTTGATACCCATCTCTGCATATTGGAGAATCTTCGGGTCGATCTCTCTCATGTCTGCCTTGAGCGTGGGAACCGAGACCCCGCTCTTGAAATCCTTGGAGATCTGTTGGCCTCGGAATTTCGAGTTTGCGGCTGAATGCTCGAGTATCTTCAACACGAAATCTCTGTAGGTGATGACCCGAGCACCGTAGAACTTGGCCCGTAGCCGTGCTCCGAGGATATCCGTTGCTGGCGGATCGTCCTCCTCCCACCTCATATTAGGTGCCACGATGTCGATCTGGCTAAGGCTTCCTTCACACGCTTCGATAGTGGCAAAGTAATTTGGCTTGTCGCCTTGGGAGTCTATCCTAAGGTTAGCAACAAGTCGGTTTCCTTTCAAGAGGCGCCAACCTTCGGGATTATAAAACATATTATGCAAAGTGTTGAGGTGTTTCCGCAGATACAGCTGAGCCGTGTAGCTCTCTAAGATTAACGAATCAAGGCCGTCAATATCCCTTGCTGCTTGCAAATTTGGGTGTGGCATCCCGTCTTCGAGCGTTAGGATACCAGAGTGTGGGCAAGGTAACTCGGCAACAATATCACTGTAAGACGTCAGCTTATGATCTACAAACTCCTCTATGCGACACAGACCTCTCAAGCTGCAGACACGTCCAAAATGCAAAGACTATAGGATTGTCCCTGTGTGGGATCACTTCGTTGTTCTTCTTTAATTTCTGTAGCCGCTCGAGTTTCCTGTATCATTTAGCTTCGTCAAATATTAGGAGTTAGGAGTACTTACGGTCTCAAGATGACCTGGAGCCCCCGGCATGCGTTGTAGATATAAGTGTGACTTTCCAAGACTCGCCCGAGCTGACCGTGGTATAGACCAGCAAGGATGTTTGCGTGAACATGCTGGAGGCTGTTTCCTCCTAGCTGATTTCCAATGATGTCCGTTGCTAGTGCAAAATATGAGAGGCCTGGCAGGAGATCCAGATTTCTGGCCTTGGGGTTGGCCCTCTTCGGGAAGAAAGGCGGGCCTTCTAATGACGTCCTCCGGCTGCGAGAATGCGCTCCTCCCTCTTGTGGTGATGGCAATCCCGTGGGGGTAGACATCGTAGGGGAACTCTGAACGGGATGCCCGTTGCGCATATGGGGTGAAGCCCACGTTTGGTCATCATTTTGGTCAGGGTAAATGTCCGGAATCTTCTTGGTATGCTCACAGATCTCTCCTAGAGCCATGACCAACAACACAAGAGCCGTACTGATTGATCGGAATGGATGTCCAGGCTTATGATCCCATATGCTTTGGCTTGGAACCTCCGAACCCTCCGCCGTGCTAGCGGGAGATCTCTTCCGCTTCCGTCCAGGACTCTCTGGAGCTCGACTCCCTCCGCCTACGAAGCTGGCAGATGGACCACGCGTATTTGAACCATGACCAGTTAAATTCTCGACCTGCCTTGGCCTCGCATGACTTGTCGGAATCGATTTCAGGAAGGCTTCGACCAGCGCGTTGAGGCGCCGCGGTATCAGGATAGGATGCATGTTGTTGATGTTCCGGTTATAGCTATCCACGTATCTCAACACCGTTTCCCGCCTCAGATCCGGCATTCCTTCCGTATCGATCACGTTTCCTCTTTGGATAGGAGGGCTATTGTCATCTCCAGGAGGAGTCAAACCCCCTATCTGGCCCCATTCTTCCCCCGCGGGTGATGAAATATCCGAATTGGTATCACTTGGGGTGCTTTCAGCACCGTAATCAGCTTGAGGATCCTTCTCATAACCTGGGGGTCGGTCCAGTCCCTCCCCCCTTCCAAAAAGCCTCAGGACCCCACGTTTCTCTTCTTGAATCATGGGATATTTCTCGTTCTTGATCTTTTCCGACGCAATCACGCCGCTAGCTAATTGAGCGATTGGTCCTACAAGAAGTAACCTTGCAGCCCCCGTCGTGTGGTTCACGGGGATCGAAGGTTTTCCTGGGGGCACTGGATCCCCCGCTTCATCATCTTCTTCTTCTTCTCCTTCCTCTCCTTCGATTCTCTCGAGACTCCTTTGCTGGCTAGGGGTAGATGGATATATCGGCTCAGTCTTGAAACCCTGGGATACGGACCCCACTGACGTCCGGGGATACTGTAACGCTTGGGCATTGTCACGAAGCCCCTCCTGGAGATTCGCCTCCGCACCTGGGACGCTGGATACCAATACCCTCTCGAAAAGATCTACTTTCCCAGAGAGGCTGTTCATTGTGCCCACGAGCTTCTCCGCCAAACCGTTGAACGCGCTCTCCATCCTCAGCACGGTATCTAAGATATCGGCTTGAGCTTTGTCAATCCTACTCTGGGTTAGTATCGCGTAGCTAAGGCCTCCGAAAAGAGAGGAGAGAGTTTATAGAAGAGATATAGCCACATATAACATACTGTTTGGGGGGCGGATCTCGGTAGACACAAGCCACGCCCTTCTCTTTACAGCTGCCACAGGCAGGCCTCCCTTCATCACATTTTGCCTTCAGCGTCCGGCAACTGTCACACGCCTGGGCTGCCCTCTGCGCCTTCCTCTTCACCGAATTGGCAGCGGCGGCCGCAGACGACGGGTACGCGAGGGAGGGATATGGATCTCGGGGGGGCGCAAGCCCGTGGGCATACTGGTTGTAGGGGGTCTCGCTGCCGGGCATCGGACTCTGCTGAAGGGGATATGGCTGTCGAAAGGCAGTCGGGCCCTGCGCGGGGGGATCGAAGTGAGGAGGATGATGGAACCGGTCTGGGTGCGGCGCGCTCACGCCGTGGTCGGGACCGGTCCCTGTCGAGGGAGGACGGTACTGTGGGGTGGGTGGCTCATCTGACGGATCTCTCTTGACCATTGTATCTCGGGGCCCGGTGGCGTATTGGGGAGGAGGAGGAGGAGGTTGCGAGGCAGGATGGTATCCATGCGAAGGGCCAGAGCCGGGTCTGCGTGGATCGGGATCGTACTGCGCATGCTCTGAGTGTCGTCGACGGTCATCTAAGGGGTGCGGCTGCGGCTCAGGTCTGGAGAAGGGCGGGCCATGCTGATATGGGACGGTAGGAGGAGGGAGTTGAGGGAGTTCACGCGACTGCTGGGGCGTCCATGATCCTATGCGCGGACGTTTCTGGTCAGGCAGGCCATTGTCCATCATTGTATACACAAGACAAGACAAGACAAAGACACTCAAGCGGGCACAGCAGTAGTAGAGGCCATGGACGGCAGTCGAGCGCGGCGGCTTCTTACAGGCTCAGAGCTAACACAGCTTGGTGGGAGATCATCTGTGCTGGAACTCTGGTAGGTGGGACAGACTGACGTGTAACAGCGAGCGGGTTGGTGGGCGTCCGGACCGGGCGAGGGACGAGCCAGCGAGGGTTAGAGGATTAGGATGCTTGGGACGCTTTCCAGAGCAAAGGTAAGGTAGGAGAGGCCGGAAGCCCTATCGAGGGAGCGTGAGGCGCGAGGCGGGAGGCGGAGGCGGGAATCGTGAGTGAGGCGCTCGGAGATGTTGGGCCAAGGGTTCGAGGGCCAAAAAGACGAGGGCAACACGACGACCTGACACCGATCGTTCGTGACGGAGTGAGCGTAGTGAGCGTAGCGGGCCGTAGTCAGTAGTAGTCAGTATTGCTCCGGGTGGAGACTTTTTCCTGAGGCTTTTTTGGCTTTATTATTTTTTTTTAATTTTTTCTTTATTTTCTATTATTTTCCTCAGACCTCTCTGGGTCGTGGGAAAGAAAGCTAGGCGGGTCCCCACTCTGGGCTTGCTTGGGCGTGGTCTCGGGTCACTCGTGAGTCCTGGGTCTTGGGGGGGAGGGGGGGGGCCGGTGATCTGCGAGCGAGGGTATTCTTTGGGAGCCGGGCAGCACTGGCTGGCATTGGCCGATGTGGCTGCAAATGCGCTGCAGCCCGTCTGTGCCTGTTCTGTCGCTATTCTGACGGTCAGAGGAGCATGGCTATCTGGGCGGAGGAGCGGAGGAGCGGATTATTAGAGGCGTACCTGGCACAGTGCCGTCCCGTACCGTAGGAGATGCTCGGTGCTCCTGGCGACTGGGTCCTTCGGAGCGGTAGGCGGTCGACGGGTGCAGTGGCGGTCCTGTCCTGTCGAGTGGTCGTCGTAGTGGGGAGTACTTAGTACTGTAAGTCGGGTCAAGGTTGGTGGTTAGTACATAGTAGTCGTCCTGTAGCGGCCATGCGACGGACGATTCGCTAGACGGCCGAGGCGGTATGCGGCAGACCTGATCGCTTTGTGGCGGCCGCGCAGCGAAGCAGGGAATAATGGACTGGGGGGGGAGGGGGGTTGGTTTTGGAGAGAGGGAGAGATGGATGAGCGAAGAACAATCAATCAATGATCAAGGGAGGGGAGGGGTACAGCAGAGGCAGAGAAGGAGGAGGGGAAGGGAGGGGGAACACGGGACGGCACGTCTTTGGGCTCTCGAGTAGGCGAGGAGCAGTCAGTAGTAGGGGACGAGAGGCCGCAGGCCGTGGCAGAGAGGATTACTGCAGTACTGGGTTGGTGGTCACTCGTTGAATTGCGTGGATTGTGATATGGCGGTGATGTGGTGATGGTGGTGGTGGTTGGTGGTGATAGTGATGAGATGGGCCGTGGCCGATGTGATACTGTACGGAGCACCGTAGCTGGATCCAGGCACTCTCCTGCCGCTTGGTCGTCACGGGGTCTGCGACTCGGCGGCCGCGTGAGAGAGACGAGGAACGAGAGACGAGAGACGAGAGACGAGAGACGGGGTCTGGCACGGTCCGCCAAGGGTCAGGGCCTCATCATGATGATGATACAGCTGTATCAGATCGTGGATGGCTGATTCGATGATGCCAGATGGTCCAGAAACCCAGGAAGCCCGGGAGGGAGGTTCTCGGTACGCCACAGCCACGCGCCGGCCCTGAACTCTCCTGCTAATTCTTGCCCTCGTTGGTCTATCACGACCAGGCCATTGCACCGTGCCGGAGCCCGTCGTGGGGGCGGCCAAGTCGTAGTCGCAGCTCTCTAGACAGGAAACAGCAGCACGCCCGCGAGCGTATTTCGAGTCGCAGGGCCGGGCGGTTCTTGCGCGGTTCATATTACCTCTTCGGCTCTTAGGCCCTTAGGCTCTTAGGCTCTCAGGCCCGTCCTGCGACGCCATGATGGACCTCAATCTGATACTACTCACCGTGGACAAGACGCGCGCAACAACACAAATACATGCCTCCCACAGTCCCAATCGGGTACTAATTCCCCCCCCCAACAGCGAACATGCCGAGGTATTTCCTTGCACATCCCGCTCCACCCCGCCCCATGCCGCCCCTCCCGACGTCTAGGACTCTAGGGCCCGTACCCGTACCCGGCCTGACGGAGCAATCACAGCACTGCCGAGTCCCGGCACGGCTCTTGCGACTCGAACGCCCTTGGATGCTCTTGGTAAACGCACGATGCCAGTCCTTGCTTGCCTTGCTGCATCGTTGTACAGAACTTTGGAGGAGTCCTCAACTTCCACGTCTTCCACGTCTTCCACGTCCTTCTCTGGTCGTTCTGGCGTCCGTCCCGACTCCCGCTGGGTGCTGGAACCTCCCGCGCGGCGCAGGCCTACAGACGACGTGATGCTAAAGCTCTCTAGTACGGTGCGTCCGGCTATAGCATCCATGATCTATCACTGCCCCGTGAGGACCTGTCCTCCGTGTGTACAGTGGTAGTGAGAAGACTACTTTCCCTCCCCGAGGCGTTAGGGCTGTACAGTTAGAACTACAGTTAGAACCTAGGAGTCGAGAAGGACCCGGCATCCCGGACTAAATCCAGGGAGTTGTATCATCCATAGTAGTATTGTAGTCCGGCAGGACGGTCGCGCTACGCGTAGCAGCGGCACATCATCATCACGTCTCAGTAGTTCGCGCTGATGGCTTGGGACCGCTGGGAATTGGCAACCACCAGGACCTCCCGTACCTGATAAGTTACTACTCCTCTTGGGTAGTCTTGCCATTAGGGAGCAAGTAGTCTGGATCCCGTTGTGGTGGTGATCCCAAGCCCAGCGCCATGTTTACAACTGGAAACCGGGAAACTTACAGCATGTGTGGAGGTCAATGCCGCCTCTGCTGGGACGAACCCATGAAAACCATGCTTGGCGGCTGAGAGAGAGCACGCACTGCCCTCAAGCCTCCAGCACCAAGGAAGACCTGGGAAATAGACGATTCTCGGCCGGGCCGCAGCGGCGAAACACTCGAAGCACGAATCACGAATCACGAAAGGAGCCTCCGTTCACCCCTCCCCCTCGCCCCCTCGCCCCCCGCCAGTCTGGGAGAGCAGCAGCAACGCCAGCAGCAACAGCACGACGTCGTTTCTGCCGCACGATGATTGTGGCAAGAAAGCTTCGTGAGTCATGCCCCGCGCTCCTCTGTCGTCTGTATTGTCTGCGTTGCCTGCAACATGTTTCGATGATGCTGATGATGATGCTGATGCTCGTCAGCGAAATGAAAACCGTCAATCGCGCTGCCCATCACTGTCCCTGCGCTGCGTTTTGCCTCCCTTCCCGTACCTTACTACCGGTAATAGTTCTCTGCTCTGCGTCGTCTCTGTCACAATAATACGCACAGAGGACATCCCAGGAAAGCTCCTGCGTCGCCCGCATCCAATATGGAGGATGTCCAAAGTACCCAAGTACTCCCGTACCTCTCTGCTCCTCCGCCGTGGCTTGCCCCTCTCTCTCCGCCCCTGTTCCGCCCCCCTTTTCCCCCTGCCCCTTTTTCCCCTGACCCTTGCTCAGGCGGAAGAATACTGTAACCACCATATTCTCGAATCTCCCTCCTGATTTGCAGGTCCCGGAATCAGGGAAAAGCAGGGGCGAGGAAAAAAGAAAAGCCCCCAACGCTACCGAATCCAAGGGGATGGGAACTCGCCTCTCTTGTGAGAAACGCACTAAGATGGCTTCGTTGCTCTTCCGAACCTTCCAAACAACCCCTCCCCTCCCCTCCTCCCCCCTGACCCGATGCCTCAAAAGGGTAATACTGTTCTGGGTGTAGTATGGTATTAGTAGTACGGTAACTGTACTCCGTAGGGTGGGGTTTCCTCAGATTAATCTCCACGTGATTTCCTAGTACCTGGCTAAACAGATCAGCGTGGGGATCTGTAAATTGATTTTAATTTATTTCGTTTATTTACGGCGTAGGGCGGTCCTGTTATACCGTATTCTGGAATATGATAGGAGAAAAAACGAAGGGTGCTAGGGCTCTCCTGTATGTCATTCTGCCGCTGTAGAATCTAGATTGCGATTTACCTTCGATACAGTCTTGTGCATGCAGACGCCTTCGAGCCCGTGGCGGGGGGCGCGAGGAATGAGTTGCAGTGAAACCTGCATTGTAACGGGACATGTCAGATTCGTGCATAACAGAAGCACCTGGCACGGGCTGAAAGGGAGGGACGATCACGTGGCGACTAGCGCGTGGGAATCTGGGATTGTTCTTTGGGCAAAGGGGGGGGGGGACTGACGGGCCAAGGGATGTGACTCTGGACGTTGGGATTCTCGGAAGACCACATACATACGGATGATGACGAGCGCGCTACTCCTGAATCCTGCGCATGGGTATAGATCTTCTCGCATTGTTTACTCTGTAGTAGTACGGTATGTACTACGACAGACCGCGTAGCTCCGTAGAAGACTAGAAGTAGTCCTGGTAGTCGGGTGGTGGTGCTACTGTACTGTAGAGTGTATACGGTATAACCATAGATGATAGGGCGTCTTCTGTCATAATACACGGAGTATCCCGCAGCATCATCGCGGCGGTCTGGGATCAAGGGCCTTTGTAGCCTTTGGCTCGAGGCTCCATCGCTCGTAGAGCGAGGGGCGAGGCGAGATCACCGCCCAGTGATAGGATCACAGGCCGTGAGCGCTCCAAGGGACTTCCTTCTTACTTACATACATAGTCCTCTGTCTTGTACAGTAGCAGAACACCTGGCCACGAACGAAACGAAACGTGTCTATCGTCGCATGACCACACACTTGGATTCCTGGCACTGAAAGAACGGTGGGTTTGCAGCAAGCAGCAGCATATCGACCGCTCCTCTCCCACTCGAGGTCTTTCTCCGTCCAGCAACGTCAAAATCCCGGGATTCGCTGATCTATCCCTCAGCCTCGTCATTCCCCGTCGGCGTCGCTATCTTGGGCCATCCGAGCTCGCGCCAGAAGGGGTTTGAAAGATTGGAATCCCCAGACCGTCGGGTGCTGTTCTTGCGGTGAGACTCTCACGGTGAGAGAAGCGCTTCCTTCCATGATGACATGATGGCTCCCGAATCCTCAACGTCTCGGCTCCGAGAGGAAAAGGGCCACTGGATGACACGACTGCTGTCCCCCATGCCGTCTGGCCTAGTGACCCAAGTTATCGGTCCCCAGTCCCAGCTCAGTACGTTGGGCATCACCGTCCAGAGAATGTCGCGAGACTCGAATCTTGATTATTATTCTCGATGCTGAGGGCCAACATTCAAAACGTCCGCCCCCATGACCTCAGTGGATGCCTTACCTTACAACGCAAGGCTTACGGTACGGAATATGTACGTATATACTCCATATTCTGTACTCCGTAGGCTGTACTCCGTAGCCCATAGCAGAGGAGATTATAGGGATCTTCATTCAAAGGCGCCTTCCTCCGCAACAGAGGTACCGTACATGCGGAAAACCGCGTTGCGGAACTGGGAGGTCACTCTGTACGCGAGGTACGACTATACGAGACGATACGCCAGTACGCGCACGTACATGCGGGAAGCTCGCAATGTCGGAGACGAGGTCGGCATTTCGTGGGTAAGGTAAGGGCGTATTACTCCGTGCCGTATCGAGGGTTGGATTGTATCTACTCCGTACTGTAGACTTGGAGTTACGGACGTAAATAATGGAGGACCCTGCTACTGTCTCTATCAGACAGCATCAAGGTCCTAACCGACGAGTCCCTTGTTAAAGTCACGTGAGACCCCAACATCCAGCAGCACCACCAGGTCCACCACGCTCCATCTACCGACCCAAACAATCTTCCGGGATCAACTCTATCCCCAGCTAGCTGGGTTCGGAGTACGGAACTCAATGAAAGCCGGCGCTTTACCCTGTGGGGGACAGATCGAAAGCCATCCATGATCCTGTGCTGCAGCGAATGGGGAGCCAAGGCATGGGTGGCTGACCGCCACATTTCGAGATAATAGAAAGTGATAATTTATGCAGCGCAGCCTTGACGCGTGACCCTGCCGCTGTGGAGATAACTCGGCGGTTGGGGGCCTTTGGGGAGAATACAGTACTACTGTATACTATAGATTGCTATTCCTACTATTAAAATTCAAAACTCAAAGTATAAATGCTATATTCCTCCGTATAGTGCACTGTGCTGCGCAGGTATTTGTAATAGCCATCGCGCCGTTCCTATACAAGAGCAGCTGGCCCGCGCCGGCTGATATGATCTGTCGTATATCTGTCACTGTGGCTGCATCTGCTATGAGAGATCGTGGAGGACTCGAGCTCGTCAGATCTCTGTTCTGTTCTGCAGCTGATTCATGTTTTGGATCTCGCGCGTATAGAACGGTGTAATATTGACAGTATTGGTATTATTGTACGGTGCCATAGGACAGCGGCTGTCGATCAGCAGTCGCGGGCGAAACCCGGGCTCTGCTCTGATTCTGCGATAAGCCTTGACCCCTCCACACGTGCCGCCCGACGTTGATACCTGCGAGCCTTGCAAGGCCGTTGGATTGATTCGCGCTGTGCGCACCGTGCTTTGCTGGTTGAGGCTCGTTCTATTGGAGCATATATATACAGGTCGAGACGTAATGTCTCACGATATTCCGTGGGGGACTTTTGACGTCCATGGGTAATGCTTCCTACCGTGAGCCAGTCATCAATCATGGCACAGGGAAGGGAACAGCATCTCCAACTGCCCCCCCTTCCCCCGTATCCGTACTGTAGAACAGACACGACAGATGCGGTGCAACCCGAGACCGTTGACGATATTAAAGGCGTACATAAGCCTGTCGCACACTCCGAGCATCGTCATGGGACTCGCCTTGATTTGCCCGAGTCTCTGGAGTCCTTGTGAAACGGGCGTTGCGAAGAATGCCAATCAGCGCGTGTTTGTAGCGAGTGCGAGGCTGATGAGATGATAAAATGCCCGAAAAGAGTCAGAAAGGCAAGGTCCCAAGCCCAGTGGCAAAAGAAACAAAAGCCTCACAGGCGCAACGCCATCGAATATCGCCTTAAAGCACGAGAAGATTATGATCCAGCCCAGACCAGTATCTCATCCAATTGGCACTGTTGCTTCGTTGCCGTCGAGAATCCGTCTCTTCTTTGAGGGTCTTTCCTTGCCACGCTCACTGGCTACGCTCGGTGCTCGCGACTGTGACCTCCCAGGAGGTATCTTACTGGGGCCATCAACAATTTCGCCCTCGGTGAAGACAAGATCTCCCGTCTCTCCCAAAACATCACGAGTAGCTTCTTCCATCAATATACCAAGAGCTATCAAGGCTGTCTCGTCCAAGCTGCGCCAGTCTCCAGAACCGCCATCTGTGGTAGCGCGTGAGTAAAAATCAGATGCGTAGCAATGAAGTGCCTTGAGAAGGTCTGAATCAGGGAGATCGGCATTCAATTCTCGTTCGTTCGCAAAGTAGATATCGGTTTCTTCGTATCGCGTAGGCGCATTCCTTTGTCTGAATAGCACAGCTTCCGGAGAAACAGCAGTTGTGGATGTAGAAGTTGTGTCTCGAGTGGATGGGATCACCAAGTCTTTGGGGATGAAGCCTGCTGCTGATATGCGTCCTTGGAGGGTATTAGTGGGAATAAGAAGCAGAAGATTGAAGCTACAGCGCTTACCTGCGACCGCATCGTATACAGTAGCTCTTCTAGAATTCTTCTCTTCATGAACTGATTCATCTTGTAGGGCTTCTGGGTTAAGAAAACTCTTTTGTGAGAAAGCTTTGGACGTCATGGTGAATTGTTATGTAATTCGAAGGCATGACATGCAGTGGATGGTTTTGCGACGCTGGTGGAGCCTCTTTTGGCAAGGCAAACTTCCCGTGTCGCTTCGTTCAGCCTCGACAACCGCGATCTTAACGCACGCGTCGTCAACGACCATCAAACCCTACGAAGCCCCCATACCGTATACAGCAGCAGTTGCTGATACAAATGTATGAATCAGTTGCTCTTTGATCGGTCAACGGGCAACCTCAGCCCTCAGGCTTTTGCGCGGATCCAGACTTCACAGCTCCTTCATGCCATTCAGCCTGCTCCGAGGCTACGCTTCAATGGCGGCGAGAAGGAGGTTGCGCCCGCTACAAGCTCTAGCGGAAGTCTAGATCCTCCAATCAATGATCCGGAGGAGGGGAGGATATGGGCACATCAAGCAGGAGTAAATGCATTATCTATAGATATCGATGGGAGATTGTAGGTGCCCATCATCCATACTTCTGCTGTCTCGCTGACTCCAATAGCCTCGTTTCTGGAGGCGCCGACTCCTCGATAAAGCTCTGGGATCTCGAAGAGAATCAAGGAGTAAGACATACTTTTAGACCTACGGGAACAGTTGCTAGGTAACTCGTCGTTGACTATCCCTTCGTAACATTCTGTTAACGTTGTTAGAACTGCGTCAGCACATAAATTTGGCATCACCCATCTCAGCTTCTATCCCTTCGATTCTGCGGCCTTCTTGTCTTCCTCATACGATCATCACTTGAAGATCTATGCTACCGAAACACTTGCGCTCTCTGCCAATTTCGACCTGAACTCAATTGTCTATACTCATGCCCTTTCCCCAATTGCCAGTCACCTCCTGGTAGCTTGCGCTACCCAACACCCTGCGGTACGCCTCGTAGATTTACGCACCGGCTCCAGTACACACTCGCTGGCAGGTCACCACGGTGCCTTGCTGTCAGTGGCATGGAGTCCCGTACTTGAACACATTTTGGCCAGTGGAGGGATAGATGGCACAGTACGTCTTTGGGATATCCGGAAGAGCTCTGGATCACTAGGCGTCCTTGACATGGAAGACTCAACTGGGATTGCCGGCTTTGACGGTATGGGGAGAGGAGCACGAGGACGAGACAGGGGCAAGGCACATCAAGGGACCGTCAACGGGATTACCTGGACAGACGATGGTTCATACATCATCTCTGCCGGACATGATGAACGTATACGCGTATGGGATGCTGCCTCAGGGGCTAACACACTTGCGAGCTTTGGCCCAACACTCAAGAATGGCCATCTCTCGAATCTACCCCTGGTTGTATCCCCCACCTCACTAACTCCACCCCGCGGCGAAGTGCTTTTCTATCCCAACGAAAAAGAACTCCTCATGTTTGAGCTTCACGAAGGTAAATTGCTGAAGCGTCTGAAAGTTCCGGGCCCTGTCATGCCAACTGTGAGATCGAGAACGGGGGAACGGACCATCAAGAATCGGATTACGGCACTTGCGTGGAGGAGCGCGGTGGATGGCATCTACTCGGCGCACACAGATGGTCAGATAAGAGTATGGGCTCCGAGAACAGCGGATGATGCTATTGCGGATAAAGAAGAGGAAGATGATTTGAAGGGCCGCATTGCTGATGAAGATGAAAGCGGGAAGAGAAAACGCAAGGTATTGGATGATGTATTCAGGGATCTGACCAGGCAGAAAATAAGCTTTGGCTAGTCCTAAGTATTATGGCATTGACTTTATCTGTAAGTATATTAATGAATCTCACGCCCAAAAGGGTGACATGTCTGAGCAAGACCACAAGAATTCCCTTTTCGCCGTTGTGAAGATGCATCAAACCATCTCCTTCTCCTTTCCACTATCAGTCACAGCATGTCTCATAGCTTTTCCATTTTGTCTCTCAATAGTACTCTTCCTTTTCGCCCTCTTCTTCCTATCCACCGCCTCCCTCCACTCCCTCCCCTTCAGGGCCGCAGCGCCCGTCGCCAAACCCGAAGCTACCAAGAAAGCCGCACTGATTGTCGAGAACCAACCGACCCCAATCTTGTCCACAGCCGGCAAGACCGTTGCCGTGCCCAGCGCCGCGAAGAGATATCTGATCATATAATTCCCCGCAATGACCTCCGCGCTATTCCTCTGCATCACATCCAGACAATACGTGTTCAGGCTTGGGAAGCAGAACAGCTGCGCCACGCCCTGCAGAAACATCATGATGACGGGTAGCGGGATGCCGCCGAAGCGCTTCTCGACGGACCAGCCGTAGATCAACATGCAGCCGGGGATGGCGATGCCGAGGAAGGGCACCGCAGAGCGCAGGCGGTCCTCGGGCACGCGCGTCCCGTTGCGTTTCGCTTGCCACTTGATCGTGATGTGGTCGGCGTAGCGCCCGCCGAAGAAGGTCCCCAGTAGATATCCGCAGCCCGGTGCGAGGTAGAAGAGGCCAGACTGGATGGGCGTGGTGAGGTGGAAGCGAGGGTTGAGAACGTAGCGGATAGGGGTCAAGAGCGAGTACATGTTCCAGACGAGAGAGGAAGACGCGAGGGACACCACGATGAGGTTGGGGTATTGGTACAATCGTACCACACGCCAGGGGTTCGTCATGCTCCAGAGCACGGAGACTTTCTTCTTGAAGGGGAGGCCGACCAGGTCGTCGGATTTCTTGCGGTGCGCGGTCTCTGGGAGCAGGAAGAAGGCCCCCACCAGTGCAGCTCCTGCGAGCGCGGTTTGGAGGTAGAAAATGACGCGCCAGGATCGGAAGGTCACGATGATACCACCTAGAAATGGGCCCAGTGCCGGGCCGATCAGAGTTCCGGAGAGAAACCAGCCCATGGCTGTTGCTCGTTCCGTGGGTCTGTATATGTCCCCGATACAGGATGCCCCGATGGTCAGAAAGGAAGTCCCCTCGAAGGCCGTAAGGATACGAAATATGAAGTAGGCGGCCAGATTTGGAGATAAAGCTGTGCCAAGGGAACAGCCCAGGAACAGAAGGGCTGTTAGGAGGCATATCTGGTAAGCTGTCAGTACTAGAGCAAGGGTAAACTGGTGGTGGTACTGCTCGTTGTGGGCCGCCCAACAAGTGTATGGCTCTTGAATTACCTAAGTCAAGCTCGTAGTTCGGGACCTCAAAGCTTAAAACGCCATATCAAGGAAACTCAGTTGACGACGTCTAGAGAATTACAGACGTTCAAGAAGCCACAACTTCTATATGCCATGCCCCAAAGGTCTATGGGAAAGAAAATACTGGGTACTCTTACAATTCGTCTCCCATATACCTGACTCAATGGACCCCAAAAGCAAGGCGAAATTCCCATAAATAACATATAAAGAGCATTGGTCAAATTCATTATCGTTCCAGTGCAATTGAATGTAGCAGCCACTTCGGGGATTGCGGACAGAATTGTGGTGCTTGATATTGGAGCCAAGAAGCTGCAAAAGGAGAGGAGAGCAACGATGATCATCTTCCGTGAAGGCGATAGTCGATCATATACCTCGTCTGGTATCTCAACATACGAGGACGAATGCTGCATTGGAGCATCGTGTGTGTGGGATACGTGAGATGGAATGTGACTCAGGATGGTGGGAGGTTCGTTGATGGTGTGGATTGACTCCGAATCATCTTGTTGATTTGTTCGAGGAGTCTTCTCCGAGAGATCCACTGGGTCTTTTCCATGGTGGTTCTGAGACATGATGGATATGAATTTTCAATTCACCTCTTGGGGGAGTCGATCATCCCTCGTCCAGGTGCATGAAAGGCAACAAACAGCGGATGATATCCCATCAATTCAGTCAATTGCAGGTACAGAGCGTGAGAGGCAAATAATGAAGATATAAGCAAAGAGAGAAAAGAGAGAAAAGAGAGAAAAGAGAAGAGGCACAAAAGACAGAAAGGAAGATAGATGGTTACGCAGGGTATGCGGACCAGTGAGTCGAATCAGAATACCTTGACAGGATCCCGCCCATGAAGCACTCCGTCAAGGGCTTCAGCGGCCGAGCATCGGCCACGCAATGGTTGAAGTGGTTTGTTAGATCCACTGTCAAGGAAGGAGCCATCCGTGCCTTATGTATGATGAAGTCGCTCCATCTTCACAGCACACCGTCTGTTGCCGTCTATTACCGCCTGGACGATGTCAATCAAGATCTCTTGAACCCTCAATGAATGTATATCACATTTCCCCCCTTCCTTATCATTTGCTTTGCAAGACTACCCATCGACAGGATCTACAAAACCCAGCACAGAATTTTGCGGTGTCGGTGCCGTCATTATTCCGTGCTATCGCCGCTGAGAGGAAAGCTCCACGCCACGCTCGGGACAAAGAACATCGAGCGTATTCCGTATTGGTGCCCGACCTTGTGGATCTTGAAGAATCCTTGGTACAATCTGTACCGACCCTGGTTGTACATGAGTGCCAGAGAGTGGGACGCCATCGATGTAAGTGGGATGTCGGGGTAAAATCGCTTCGTATTGGCAAATGGTTATCGCTTCTGGTTGCTACGTTCCAGCTCGGTGCGGTTTTCAAATGGGCGAAGCGAAATATCAAAATATCGAATCGCTCGAATTGAAATCGATCTTTCCTCTGTCGGCTCTTCAATCCAGCTTTCTGTTCAATTCCAGGCTCTAAAACCCTGCCTTAGTCAAGTATTTTTGTTGCCAGCGATACTGAAACGCCGTTCAACGCGCCAATGGCCGTCGAAGGTTTCCTTCTACCTTAGCACGTTACTTTCCAAGACTCCTTGTTCAATGGGTTAGAATAATGATGTATAAGTGTGTTGAAGTAGGTTAGTTAAATGCGGTGAAGCTTGAGATCAAGAGGTATCCTCCTCCTCACTGCCCGTGGGCATTGCTCTGTCGTTGACATATTAGTCTGGCTGGTGGAACCTGGGGTTTAGGCCTTCCGCTATGCATGGAGCTTGTAAATATGGGACAGTGGCAATACTCCATAACTCCTTGTGAAGTTTTATACTCGTTGTTCCGGCTTTGAACCTGCTGTTATCCGAAGTACCCGAAGAGTCCGCCACGAGAATTGGAGAACATTCCGACAATTTACCCATGGCTTCATTCACCGTTGTCTTGGTAATAAACAGTTCTGCTCCCTCTTGAGCTCCTTCCTCGAACACAACTTCCAATGACTGCCTGCTTGGAAGTTGGCCCGCTAGGAAATCGTTCAAAACCATAATTCTGTTTGCTCTCAATCAATCTCATTTTCGGGTCATGCTGCTGGCAAACATACACACTCCGTACATCATAGATGATATTTCTGGATGGCCCTGAGTTGTATGGGCGTATAAATGAAGGGGGGTAAGGGCTTGCATAGTCACGGAAATCAGGAATGCACTGGCATGACCCGATCTTAACTTGAAATAAAGCAGGACAGCCGAGGACGATTCGTCTGCCCAGATAGTTTGAGGACGACTAGTGACACTTGTCATACACTTCATTTGGTGTCAGTCGGGACAGCTCCGAGAAAAGACATCCCGAGATAATTTGAGCCGGTTCCAGGAGAAAAGAAATGGAAAAGAGGCAGTTGGGTGGTAGTGACATAACGAACGTGATACCAAAGGCTGATCAAAGCAATATAATCCGAATATCCACAATCCTACAAGTAACTGAAGGGCCAACCTGATAATACCAGATTTATTGACCCAAAATGGACCTAAAACCTATAGCAAGCAATCAGCATACTCCTCGCTGCATGACCTGCCCGAACCACCCAAATCGAGTGGACTATTCAATGGTCTTCGTTAACAAGGATTCCGAGAATCATTTCAAGTCAAGATTGGTGTAACTTAAAAGCTGGCGTTTGAAAAAATCGCAGGAGAAGGTCTGGAGAAGGTCACCAATGGGACGCGAAACCCATGTATTCCCATCTCTGGTGTCAGCCTTGCGAAAATCAGTCTAACCATATGAAGCGAATAACCCCCAGCCTTTCACTCCACCTTCACTTCATCTCGGGAACCCACGCAATGCAGTCCCAGATCTGGGCATCCACAATCCCTCTCCATATCACCCATCCTTCTTCCGACATCCCGTACCTTATCCAGGTTCCACGGCTCTCGTATCTGCCCCTCCTCCTCCCCCGTCTGACCTCGTTCTTCGGGCCCTGCTCCAGCTTCTCCTACCAAGATATCCTCCTCAAGAACCTCCCCGTCGGGCTGCTCTTCGATCTGTACCAACCAGAATTACCATGGCATATCACACTCGGCGATGGTCCTCTCTTCGACATACATGATACCTATATCAACAGCGTGAAAGAGGTAAGCTCACAGCCTCGTCGCAACGGGGGGAGTATCTGACAGGTATGCGCCAGGCTGATTTCATCCGGAATGGAACCGCGAAGGGGATAATGTCGATGTCGAAGGAGAACTCCACGCAGTTATGGAACTCCGTACAGGATAGTACGTGCCCCATCCCGCTCTTCCGTCCTGTTCTTGGTTTGCCCACTGACGATATGAACGTAGATGACTTCAACACCTTCAACCGAATCAATAAGATCCTCCTCAACCCCGCAACCCCGCTACGACACATCCCGCTCCGAGTCTACATCCCATCCTCACCTACTGCCTCCGCTGAAGTCGGCTCCTTCAAGATCGTCCAGACGTTGGTCCCGCCGATGACTGCGAATCGAGAGGTGCAGACTCTGGGCTCGGCCCTGAATAGCATACTGCCGTCTCTGTTTCCTAGCCGTAGGGATGCGATACTGGCGGAGCCTATATTGCATGGGGCGCCGGTGCCGTTCAGGGCCCCGCTGGAGGAAATCATGCGAGAGGCGGCGTATGCGGATGGGTGGATACATTTGAGCATATCGATGATTGACGCATAATTACGATTAAAACGACGGGTTTCTTTGGGCTATAGAAAGAGGGTTCTAATCCTAAGGTTTTGGAAAGGATACCGTCAATTCTGAAATAAGGCTATTCGTGGGTATGGACTGGGCATCACTTCTGATATGTCCACTATTACAAAATGCTATTCTTCAAACTTGACGTTCCATCTCGAAACAAGAAAGCATTGAGCTTCAATCGTTAACTCCTCCTATACTAAAGACCATAGTTAGCCTGCCCAACCCCACCCTTCCATCTATCCCCCTCATTCATCCACCTTACGTTTCAACAACCTCTTAACCCCTTAACGTACGCATATAGGCGCCTCTCACTCCCATATTTGCTCCTTTCAGACCTTTCATTTCCTAGACATAAAGCACACGAAGAATATTCACATACGAGAAGCAGCATCCGAACTAAACGAAGATCTAGCTTTACAGATTCGCCTTTCCGGGCTCGGATACCAGCCGCGGTTTTTTCTGTTGGGGGGGGGTGGGTTAAAGAGGGGTGATCTGTTGAACGAGAGGAAGATGCCATTATTGGCCTCTGTGTATTTCGGTACTCTAGCCATTGCCTTCACTGGGACAAATAAGAGTCTTCAATGGCGAAAGGAGAGGTTTCTTTCTTCATATCAGTCATTACTGGTGCCATTTTGCTTGACAATTCGTCTGACTTTAATTTCTTCGGAGCCAGGTCTTACCATGTCATTAAGCGCTGATGTTAAGAGGGTCGCATGTGTAGGGACTGGAAAAGTATATTATATTGCTAGAAGAACAAAACAACCAAAGCCGTATCAACTTAAGTGATTTAAGTTATTCTGTGCTGTGAAAGCATCCCCTATAGACAAAATCGTGAGCAAAAGCTTTCATAATAGCCAAAATCTCACTGGATGGGACTTACCAATGTTGAAATTGTCCAATAAAATGAAATTTGGCGATCTTTTCCAAGTGTTGATGCACAGATCCGCCTGTTCTCCAATACTTCCCGATCCCGTTGCGGCATTGGTGCTCATATCATGCATGACGTCCGGGATATCAATACCCAAGATGTCGATATCTTTGAAGTGGTTGACAATCATCATGAGTCCATCTCCCTTTGATCCTGGTGGACGGTCGAGAGCGCAGGATGTAAAATTGGTGACGTCGTAAGCCGTTTCGAAAAAGTAGCTGAACTCGTCGAGGATGTAATCGACTTTAGAGGTATCTGCGAGGTAATCTGCTGCGTGTTAGGAAACTGATTGGACAGTAAATAGAAGGGAGGGAGAAACCGACCAAGGAACATGACAAGCCTCTTCCCATCATCAATCAGTTCTTGTAGGGTTGGCCATTCGTCCATCGAGAGTTTTTTAGGCGGTACATAGGCATACTTGTCGAGTCCGGTACTTGACATTGCGCTTCCGAACGTCGACACGTTGACCCGGTCACCATTGGTGAGCAGCAGAGTAACAACTTCGTTTTTATTCTTATCCATCCATGTCTTGATAGTAGATAAGTAGTCCGTAAGAGGCCCTGCGTTCAGTTCGAGACAGCTTGTGTGGCAGAGATGCAGCTCCCCGGAATTCTCATGTGTCTGGGCTTGAAGAAAACGGACTCCTGCATCCAGCTGGTCGGCAACCGATTTCACCTGGTTGTCGGTCGGCAGAATACCCACGAAAGCAGAGTCGTGCGCTCCTATCTGGGTGACGTTGGAGTACTGCCGCGAGCATAAGGCCGTGTTTCCATTGCAGCCCCCAGCGGACACCGTTTGACCCATGATGAAGAATAAGAGAGGAACAGTGCTCAAGAGAAGCATTTCCACTTGCGAAGCTCTTGGTTGAGGAGGTTATAATTCGCAGGTAGCCAAGAAAGAAGCTTGACAGAAAAGAAGCTCAACGAGTAAAAGGAAAATGTCTTACTTTTATACGGTCTCAATTGCTGTGGCTCCGGCACTGCACTACAGGCCATGATGTTCCATCCTTTCATTTCAAGCTTTGCTGTAGGAGCGCCAGCTTGGGAGCTTCCCCATTTGAACATCGGACCGAGCCACTTTACGGAGCAGCCGCATCGTAGGATTCACGACGAATCCTGCCAAGAGCTCAAGACGTGTAGCTCAGGAACGTGTTGATCAACCCCAACGTTACTCCTGCACGGAGGGTCTGGCGCAGAGGGTCTGATGATTGATGAAGGGTAGCTTTGTGGCTGCGTCCTCGGTTCCATTGTCCCTGTGGCGGGGTGGAGGTCCACGATCTGATTGGGCGGATATATCATGAACACTTCGACTTTCAAGGCATGAGAACAGCTGGGCCAGGGGATGGGGCGGTCGAAGGTCGAACAGCCGTCCATCATTCATCGAAGCACGACTCGGCTCATCTCCCGCCCCCTGCGAAAGCTGGGTAAATATGTATGATGTAGCCCAGGGGGAATCAATCGCATGTGAGAAGGTTGATGAGAGGGAGAACGCACGGAGGGTCCACGATTGCCATTCGTTATGAACAGGTCGCCTGGTTTACGCCAATTTGATAATGGAAAACTCGATATTAATCTCTTGACAATTGAGATAACGAAGTCAAATGGCAGGGAAGAATTCCCCAGGTCCGGCAGTTGCATGATCTCCCGAGCTATTTATAAAGCATCAAGCCTTTCCGCCAATGTGGAGACTCTTGGCTTACTGTACTGTATGTACATCGAATAATAATCAGACGTCTGGTTCTGGAAAAGGAAAGAAAAGTAAATCGATTAGAGTAAATCACAATTGCCTAAATAACTATCAACCCCGCATCCCCGCATTCTAATAGGTGTCTATACTGTAGCAATTTATCATAGGCCATCCCTTTGACACTAAGGTACTGTACGTATCTCATCATCTCGCGAACGTCAAGATATCCAAGCGGCAAACCGTCATCAAAGTTGTCGAAGGAAATATTACCCTCGAGGCTCAATCTCTCTTATGAGAATAACCCACACTATAGTAATGACTTGCCTGAATTTCAACATTCAGCTCCCCCATTTCCGGGCAAGGTTAGCCATTTCTTTCAATCCGCCTTTTCCATCTTCTTATTCTCCGATATCTTACACCGTAGCGGATGAGAATCATAAGATAGGGACGAATCTTCTTGCTCTTGAGGTTAGGAAGCACTCTGTAGCCCAAAGTGAAGGCCAATGCCTGGCCTGCATGGGTAAGTCACAGCTTCTATAGCGTGTGAATTTTCTCTTCTGATATACCGAAATTAGCAATTGCTCACAATGCTCGAACAAGGACTGGCAAGAAAAATTCTGTTGTTTATGGAATGTGCAGTGACAGCTGGGATTTCTCCCTCATTTGAATTGACAGTGACTCTGCGGCGAAGTTCTTCCAGGCTCATTTGGCTTGTCCGTGCCACATTTGAATCTTGATTCAACTCATACAAACAGTCCAACAAGGTCCTTTTCTATCCTCTATTAGCCCGGAATTTTTTTTATATAGCAGCTAGGTACTTGAAATTCTAGAAAAGAGAATAATTGATAGAAAAAGAAGAAGGATTACAGTTCCCCAATGAATTCATAAGGTAGATGTCTAGAGCAATTCATTATAGGCTATTTTCTAGTTAGAACTGTCGTGCTATCACGATCTTTACCTATTTACCCGGTAGCTGTTAATGCAATATAAACGACACGTTGAATAACAGCCAACCCCTTACTCACTTCTTCCTCCTCGATTAACTTTAACTTATCAAGATGTCTCTCGGCGTTGCTATTATCGGGAGCGGCATCTTCGTGAAGGAGCAGCACCTGGTTCGTCCCAACATCCTGATCAAATCCTTCCAGACCCCTCCATGATACCTTACGATAAGAGTTTCCACTCACTAACCCCGCCTCCAGCCCGCAGTCAACGCAACCGCCCACCTCACACTCAAAGCCGTCTACTCGCGCTCCCTCAAATCCGCCAGCGCCTTAGAACTAGGCCCGACCGTCGATCTCTACTCGGACGATGCAGGCGCCGGCAAGACCTACCACGACCTGCTCCTGCGCCCGGACATCCACGCCGTGATCCTCGCCCTGCCCATCACCAAACAGCCCGAATACATCGAAGCCGCACTCGCCGCGGGCAAGCATGTGCTCTCGGAGAAGCCGATCGCGGGCGATGTCAAGCGCGCCGAGCACTTGATCAGGTACTACCGCAGCGACAAGGTGAAGGGCGGCGCGACGTGGGCCGTGGCCGAGAACTTCCGCTTCCTCGAGAGTTTCGAGTATGGCAGACAGGAGGTCGAGAAGCTGGGTAGGATCCTAGGCTTCAGCGTCAAAATGTTTGGCAATGTGAAGGTCGGCGATAAGTATTTCGGTACGTGTCCCCAATTCCCCCTCTGCTACCTTGGGTCTCGTAACTGACCAGAGGTAAGAAACGGCATGGCGCAAGAAGCCAGACTACCAAGGTGGCTTCCTGCTTGACGGAGGTGTACACTTCATCGCTGCTACCCGTCTGCTCTTGGGAGAATCTGCAAAACCCACCGCCGTATCTGCCTTCACGACTCTGCTCCAAGAACATCTTCCCCCCGTCGATACTATCAACGCGATTTGGCACACAAAGTCCGGAATTTCGGGCACGTATGCGAATTCCTTCGGCACTACGTTCACGGGGAGCGAATACGCCGTGGCGTGTGAGAAGGGCATTGTCACTGTCACCCGCGGCAAAGTTACTGTCGTTCAAGGAGAGGGCAAATCTGCCACCCCTTCAGTGAAGGAGTTTCCGGATGAGGGCAGTGGTGTGAAGCAGGAAGTTGCAGCGTGGGCACAGGCCATCATAGATGGGGTTCCGAATCCGAAGCAGTCCCCTGAAGAAGCATTGGCTGATTTGGAGATCCTAGAGAAGATGCTGAGGAGTGGTGAGGGGCATGGGAAGACGGAAAGTTTGCAATTCCAACTTTAGGTTGCTAGGCTGTTGGCATGTGGGAAAAGTGGCTTTCACAATACCTGTCTTAGATAATAATAGCTGATATGAAGCAAAGAACCAAGAATACAATCTTTGATCAATCGATATCAGTCAAAGGAGAGGGAGTGGGCTATATGCTTCAAAGAGTAAATACTCACTCAAGCTCGTATAACAATACTTTGTGGTTTGTATTGCATGCATTCCTAATTGTACAGGATCAAAAATAGGTAGGTCGAGGTTCCCTGAAACCATGCATTCCGTACGCCGACGCCCACACAAATAGCTCCATTGCAATATCTGCCATTCCTCGGATCCCAGCTGGTGATAACTCTTTACTCAACATAATTATCTATTCTACTTCGGCATATCATAAGGCCGTGGATCATTCATCTGAGTCAAATGGATATCGCGCTGTGATGAGGCCGTGCTCCAAGGCTGTGGTTGATAAACTCTTTCAGGTTCACCTCCCCCTACCTGAACCCGGGCATTCTGGTTGTTTTGCTTCCATCTGTAGAATATGAATAGCGCGAGGACGAATATGACGAGGAGGAGCAGTGCAGTGAGCGCCCAGTTGTATTTGGAGTTCAAGGATAGGGGGAAACCTCTGTATTGGTATTAGCTGACTGTGGTTGATTTTCGGGTATGGGATTGACTTACAGGAACCCATTTGCAATCCCACATGGGATGACGAGACGCCCGAGCCACACGTGGACCGGGGCGAGCCTTGTGGGGGCCAACGTCTTCTTGTAGATCCGGTGATGCATGAATCCGAGCACAAATTGGGCAATCATTGCCACGGTAATGACAAGACCGAAGATCTGGTGAGCAGAAGTGTAATTCTTCGTCTATGAATAGGTCAGCACGGACATACTTTGTATTTCAGAGGCTGGCTTACTCGATTATACATCGTGGCACAGTAAACACCCAGAAATACTCCAACAAGTGCAACAACGGTAGACAATGCCTGATTGAAGCCATGCCACTTGACACTGTTCATGACCCGTAGGATCAATATCCCAATGGGCATGAGCCCTACAAAAGCTAAAATCATTAGACAAGCATGAAATGCCCCAGAAAAATCGTGGTCGGAACTTTCGCTCTCTTGTGATGTACCCGAGGTATCTGCTGTCATAGCAGCCGGAACAGCTGCAGCGCCAATAGCCTTGGTCAAATCCATTGTGAACGTTCCATACGAAGCATGTCGTTGGATGCCGGCCGTGAACGAGTTGGATTTAAGGCTCCCATGTGGCCCACTTGCATATATGAACTGGGCCTTGGTGTTTGTTGGATCAATTGACCCTCCTTTCCAACTGCGGCAGTTCTGGCACATCGCATTGGCTGTCATTTTATTGTTCGAGATGCCACTTCCAGAAAGGACATGGATAGTTAGATTCGAGGTATAGGATGGTTCCACATGGCCGTATGAAAGCCTAGGGCTCAAGGTAATGTTCTTTCCAGTAGGGTCTGAATATACCAAGAACATCAAGGTATCATCCATCTTATTGTTGCCCATTCCCACAGCCTGCCACTTAGTCAGCACATACAGTAGTAATTGCGTCGAAAGTTGGAGCGAACTGACAATCCATGAGCTGCTGCTCGGCCCTGACACGCTGAAGTATAGATCATTGCTTTCATCGTCCTGGGGGATATTGAGCGCAAAAGCCACGCTCCCATCTTTGGCAACAAAGCCCGATGCAGTCGTCGTCGAAATCGCGAATGCTGTCGAGGACACGAGAGCTGTCACGGGTGTTAGTTTCACGCGTTCCTGACTAATTCAACGCTCTGCGCTATTTTTTCGCCCACTAACAAGGATCTACGTACCCACTGTCCCCAGAATCACTGAGCTTAATCGAACCATCGCGCTTCTCTTTTGTCGCTCTTGAGGTCGTGGGAATTATGTCGAAAAGAAAGTCCTGAGAAGGGAAGATATCTCAAGACGGCCTCCTCACGTGGGAAGCTTGCGTCGGTAGGTTGGTAATGCGTTTCTCATGATTGGCTAATGTACACATGCGGCTGAATAGGTAGGAAGGTTTGAGTACGTAGGCATGAATGTCACTGCCTGTCGACGAGTGAAGGGAGCTTCTTCGCTTATGCGGGGAGTGGGACAACTAAAATCCATGATTCGTGTCTGGACTCTATATTCTAAGGTATCAAATCTACATCTACACGTAGAACATTCACAGCTCCTACAATCCAAAAGCCTTGGATCTAGCTAGGATGGAGAGTGAGGACCTCACTGTCCTATATTCGGTACTCGTCCCAAGGCCTTTGAAGCTCGCCCTTCAAGTTGCAGCTGAGTAGCTGATCCTCTCCTAATTCACACCTCTTAGCTCCCTATTTATCCTCTCCGCCTCCTCTTCTGCTTCATCGTCACCCTCAAGTCGAATCTCATGTCCATCGCCCTCTTTCACGAAGTTGCTTGAAATGCAGCAGACACTTGCCATTCCAGCCAATACCCAGAATACAGCCCCTACGCAGCCTTTCTCGAGTCCTTGGCCATATAGCCATCCTCCCACAGCAGGCCCAATCGTCCTCGCTCCTGAGCTCGCACTCTGCCCTATCCCATGAATCGTACCGAGCACAGAAGGGTGTGGGGAGCAATTGTTGATTAGAATAGTTGAAGCAGGAGTAGCGAAGGTCCGGGCGATTGTTACGATAAATAATAAGGCAGTAAGCGCGGCCCAAATCGTGAACCCCGTCTTTTGACTTGGAGGAGGTGTCGTGGAGGGAATAAGAGAAAGGAACGGAATCAGTATAAAGGCGACTGGAAAGAGGTAAAGAAAGATGCGCCAACTCCGTACGGTACCGATCCGGGCATTGATTACTGGGTAGATGAAGAGCTGGAGAGTAATGCCAATGGTGCCTAGGATTGCCATGGCCATACCCACAGAGCGAGGCGGGAGACCAATGCCGCCATTAAAACGGAGTGGCGGATGGGGTTTGTAATTCGGTGGATAGGGATGACCGGGGTCATAGACGGGTGTAGAGAGAAAAGAGTACCAGATCGATTGAAAGGTTCCGTTTATGCCAGCAAGCAGACCATGGGCTATCAAAGTGTTGATAACGTTGCGGGTAAAGATGCGTCTGAATGGGAGCCTGCTTGGATAGCGAGGCGCTACCTGCTTCTGCGGTTTGGCTGTTAGTGGAGGCGCTCCATCCAGGAGCTCTTGTTCTCCGCCAACAATAGCTATGTAGCCTCCGCGGTCGACTTTGCTACCCTTCCCAACGAGTCGTCGAAAGAAGGCTGCTATTTGGCGCCCGACTTTTAGCCCAACATCCTTTCTATCTCTAAATAACTCGTGGGTCTAAGAAAGTTAGCAAAGGTTGGGCTTACTACATTGGTATATAGGTACCTCTTCCAAGCCGAAAAACACGGCAAGGGCTGCAGAGCTCAGGAATATAGCACTTAGAAGATTTGGTGGAGAATATGGAAACTTCTCCAGCCATTTGATCCCTCCAAATAGGTGGGGATAGTTGGCAGCTGGGTCAGAAGTCATGCCTCCCAATACTGGACCAATGATCACCCCAATGTTTGCGCACATGGGCAGTAGCAAAAAAGCCCTTGACTGGTACCTGGCCATCATCAGTGCACTTCCAGCTACATGAAGTTAGCAACCTACTTCTTCTCCCGAATTATTTCACTAATCATAGTTCTCATGACACCGACATTCCCATTCAGGGCGCCACCCATCATCCGAAAGATCAAAGCCTGCCAGAAGGTCGTTGAGAAGCCGAATCCAACCGATGAAATCATGGTTCCCATAAGTCCTATCAAGAGGATTCTTTTGCGTCCTCTCCTGTCAGACCAGCGCCCCCATAACATCGCCGTGCATAGTTGGGCAGCTGCAAACGCTCCCTGCATAACACCCGCTTGGGAGGCAATGACAGAATCAGGGAGGGTCCTGTCGAAAGACTTGAGTTGGTAGAAGAGATAGGACTGTTGTGCGTCAGAACGTGCCAATCCAATTGCTGGATTCGGACTCACTCTCAGAGAACTCTGAACTAACGGCTCTGAAAGCCTGGCAAGGGTCAAGATTGTCAATTGACGTTTATGGGGCAGACTCCTCCATGTAACGACTTCCTTCGCCTTCTTCGTGGGAAGGACATCCTGAAGTGACTGTTCATCTTCTCTACTGAAGGCTCGTGGGCGAGCTCGATCATGAGAAGGCTCATTATGAGGAGTGTTTACATTGTAACCAGTCCCATGAACAACAGTGCCGACTGCATCGCTGTGATCGATTGGCGTGTAGCTCGACATTGTGCTTGGCATTGCTTACCTTGCTTACCTATATTGTCGAGCGAGCCATGTGACCTCGGCGGACGCGGATGGAGAGAAATATAGGGACTCTCAGGGGTCGGAAGTCTTCGTCCAGTTTGCTGCTCCAACCTCGTCCTCACCAAAGCCGCTGTCCAGACACAAGTATACCTCTGGAAAAAAGAGCGTCCGGATACCGTCACCGTCCCTCCATCAATGGTGGAAACGAGAGAATGATTTTTTTGCACTCGTATCCAGGTGAGGCCTCACAAGGCACCAGGGGGAAGCCCTGTTCCGGCGCACTTTATGTAAGCAATTGCATCAGAACCTGAGATTGTTGCTCATTTGCAAGGGAATCAGAGCGGACTGATATTTCTCTGGCTAACATCCTCGATACGGATTTGCGACTTATCAATCGCGGTCTTTGAAAAGCGAGTGCTTAAATGGATATACCTCCCGTCATCCAAAGCATCTGCAAACGGGTGATCACGTGGATATCAGTCACGTGACTTAAACACCGCCCCCAACAACGAACCCAAGAGAAATCAAGAATCGATCGAGGCAAAGTTGTCTCGATCTTTTATCATATGCATGTCACAGAATGGAGCAGGAGAAGAGGCCTGTGTCCTTGCCATCCCCGTCGTCGATAGCAGATGGATCGGAGCTACAGTAGTCGCGCGCATACGCATACGACGCAGAGCTCACCGCTTCTTGCCAACCCCCATCTATTCGTCTATCTCACACTGAACACATCAAGCCCCGCCAGACCTCGAACGAACGCATGAGAGTCTTGCACGCGTTCTGTTGCGGGGCGAGCCGCCGTTTGATCGCTTTGTTGTCATACGTGAGGACCACACCGCTGTGCTTGTCTCGTGCCTAGTGTAAGATACTCATGCGAGTGCAAGGCCGTTGCAAGAACGACCCCGCCACTGCGAATAAGACGAGGCATTAGTTGATGCACATTATGCACGCAAGGAGATGGATAAACTCGCTGATAACATTCGGTTGGCTGGAGGTAGCTGTAGCCTACCTTTGTTGGCGACGAGCGTCTCCGATGGAGGAGCAAGACGTGGCTTCACCGTCTTGTTGGCGACTACTGGTTCCTAATATACATTCGTCCTATATATCTCTGTCTCATACCCTCCAACTTGTCTTTCCTACATCTCTCAGAACTTTCCCCAAGATAACCAGACTCCACCGTTTCCAGATCACCAATTTCCAAACTTCAAAGTTCGATTCTTGTATACTACTATCAAGATGGCCGCAGCAGTTCTCCCAGCTATGCAAGGGCTCACCCTTGACCGCGAGATAATGCCCCCATCTCCTGTCTCCCAAAACTCTTCCAGACACGGCCGATCTAGGCACGGTGGCAGCGCCGCCAAAGGCAACAAGACCAGAGGCCGAGGATACAGCATCGTTGATGAGCGAGAGGTTATGATTTCTAAAGCTTTGAGCTGGGTCTTGAAGCGAACTGTGGAAGAGGGCGAGGAGCAAGAGGAGGGGGCCGATAAGCTGGTAGCTGATTCGGAGGGCTGGGTCGATTGCGAGGAAGTCGTAAGTTCTACCCTGACTCCTCTTCTTGCACCTCTTAACAGTCCATAGCTACAACGACCCAATCTCGAGGCCCTCCAAGTCACATTCTCCGAGCTCCAAGACTTAGTCGTTTCCCCATCTTCCAAGTCCCGCTTTGCCCTGAAGCTTAGCCCAGAGGCCGAAGATGACTCCTCCGACCCCTCCGACTACCTTATTCGTGCCAACCCCACACATACTCCCCAGGCTGCTGCCGCCCCCGCAGCTCCTAAATTCACACCCATCACCTCCGAAACCGAGGATCTCCCAGACTTGATCGTCTACGAGACCTCGTACGCCAACTACCCTTTGATTCTTGCATCTGGCGGAATCAAGCGAGCCGGCGGACAGGCACATTTACAATTCGCTTCCATCAAAGTCGAAGAAGACGGCACAGAAGTTCGCCCCTTCAGCGACGCTGATGTGTCGATTTTCATCGACCTGCGAGCTGTGATGGAGGCGGATGACAGTATCACGTGGGCGAGAGCTGAGAACGGGAATGTGGTCACGGAGGGTGATGCCAACGGAGTCATCGAGAAGAAGTACTGGAAGAAGGCGGTGGGAAGACGAGCAGATATCGGGGTTCTGTTCGAGGATGGTGAGGTTAGGAAGGAGGTCCCGATAGGTCTGCGGGGTAAGGGTGTCAAGGGGAAGAGAGGTGGTGGGAAAGGGAAGGGCCGAGGTCTGAAGGAGATGAAGGCTCAGAGCGAAGATGAGGGCTCTGCGAGTGATTAGATTTCTTGTATCAGGGTACCATCGGAATGGGTTTGGAACATTACATATACTATTTATAGTGGCGGAAGATACAAACAAGTATCATTGGGTTACAGCTTGCATAAATAAATAAATGCTGAAGACAGCAACGTATAATATCTATCCTTCTTCCAACGCCAGTTCCCAGGGTATCATATATCACAATTCATCGCCATCATCCGTTTCAACGCCATCATCCAAAACAGGAGTAGAAACATCTTTGATCCGTTCTTTCTCCCTTTCCAATTCAGCCAAACGTTCCTTTCTCTTCAAATAAAATCTCTCCAAACAATCGGTTCTCTGCTTCTGGGTCCAACCTTCAACTACAAATGCGAATTCTGTAGCACTGGAAAACCCAAACGTCTTCGCCATCGTACAAAACTGCCGCAACATAACGTCTTCCGGGGGACGGAATTGATACTGGATTGCCCCTGGCCCAGCAGCGGTCGACTGGCTCTCAGCGAATAGCCTCTCCTCACCGACTTGCACATCGTTTCCTGTTTCTTCTGCCCGACGACTCAGTTGTGCCTCGACCTTTGATGAGCCTATGACCTCTGAGTTCTCATGAGTATATTCCACACCGGCAGATGCAAGAATGGCTTGTATGGGGTCCATTTTAGGCCGAGCTTTTAATTTCTTCTGCTTCGACTCATCTCCTTCGGTGAGCAGGGCAACAAGTTGACTCATAGCCCCATCCCCATCATCATCGTCAACTTTTAAGGGATTATCTTCATCGTTTAATGCATCCTCCATATTTAATTCAACCATAGTAACGCCCTTTCTGGCTTCCGCAACATTAGTCTTGTTGACAATGTCTCTGAGAAAAATATCGTCTCCGTGGAATGTAAGAAGGTTGCTTAAGCCAAAGATCTCCCCTTTCTGATCCTTGTTATTCTGAATTCCTTTGAAGTAACGGCGTTCGGTAGAAGCGTTATAGCCGATGTTAGCCTGCTGTTGTTTGTAGATCTGGCGAGCATAGACGACCTCTTCTACCGTCCCGGCGGAAACAAGTCTGAAGACCTCCACATCTCGAAGTTGGCCAATGCGATATGCTCTATCTTGAGCTTGTAGATCGTAGCTCGGGTTCCAGTTTGGATCGAAGATCACGACTTTGTTGGCGCTTGTGATATTCAACCCGACACCTAACGCAATGTGAGCCTTGAACAATATAACGCCATATTTCACTTACCACCAGCCTTGGTAGAGATCAAGAATACAAACTGGCCTGGATCGGAATTGAACTCATCCACCACTCTCTGGCGGTCTTCGTTTGGCATTGAACCGCTTAGAAAGCTGACATTGTAACTAGTGTTGCTGAAGAGGAGCTGCAGCATCTTTAAAAGTCGAACGCTATGAGAGAAAATTAAGACTTTGTCGCCATTCTCGTGCCAGAATTTCAGAAGTTTCTTCAGAATGTTCCACTAGAAAAGGGGAATTAGCACAGTATGGCCGCGAAAATAAAGCTGGCCCACTATACCTTTCCACAGAAATCAGGTTTTGCCAGATTAAAAAGGGAGTCTCTGTTGGCATATAGATCTTGCCAGCCATCCGGGACCATCTTCTGGAGAAATTCTAGGTCTCGCTCTTGCTTCTCTTGTGGGTCCTGAGAATTAGGTATGAGGAGTGCTAAGTGATTAGACAGCTTCTGGAGAGTTGTAATCGCGGGGAAAACCAAAGACTTGTGGAAAAGTTAGCCTTTAGATTTCCAATACCTCTTCTGACTTACCTGCCACTTCGTATTGGAATGGGGTAAAGTTGCGTAGCAACACCATCCTGACTTCTTGCCAGAATTACACGGACATGGTTCAGAAGAGCGTCTAACAACATCAACGATATCACTATCCAGAAACAGTTCGTACGCAGCTTTCTGAGTATCAGTAAGCGGACAGAACACGACCCGATCGGTCTTTTTTGGAAGTTGATGCGCAATAAGGCTTTTCATCCGTCGCAGAAAGAATTGGGGCAGAAGATTTTGTACCAACTTCTTGGCCGTTATACGGGCTTGCTTGAGTTGATAAAAAGTAGCATCATGACTTGAAATGTCAGCCGCAGAGCAAGACAATTTGCTAGTATAACTTACGATTGCCCTATCCTCAAAGGGGTGCTGATACTAGATGACCACGTAGAGAGTGGTCCAAACCTTCCCGGATTTGTCCAATTCAGCAATGTCCACAGTTCCTCGTATTTGTTCTGTATCGCTGTTCCAGTGAGTCCGATCCTGCATAGAGCATTAACCTCATTCATAGCTTGTGTTATTTGAGAGGATCGTTCTTTGATTTGATGGCACTCGTCGGCAACGATGCAGTCCCATTTAATCAGATTTAGCTGTTCCTTGTGGTTCTTGTAGGTTGTGTATGTTGTAATAACCACTTCTAATCGGCCGGATGTTGCGCTTTGAAGTACAGCTTCTTTCTCTTGCTTCGTGCCGTGAAATTTATCAACATGCCACCACCCCCAGCGGGCTAATTCGGTTTTCCAATTCTCTATGAGAGAACCTGGACAGATTATCAACACTCGAGGATACCAAGGCTTCTCCGGAGCTCTTCTCTTCTTCCGCATGCGTTTCGCATCTCTTTCGTCCCCCGTCTTGCCAAATGCGGCTGTCAGAAACGCAGCTACTTGAACAGTTTTCCCCAAACCCATATCATCACCTAGAATTCCGCCCTTTTGATAGACAAACAGTTCGTGGAGAAATGCTACACCATCAACTTGGTAATCCCGCAGATACTGAGCGATGGAAGCAGGTATGACTCCGGCCGAATGTGGTAGCGCGATGTCTTTGTATGGTCGAGATGGCTCAACACTTTTGGGGAAAGCTGGTCGTTCTTCGAGATCTGCGAGTCTCTCGTCGTCTGAGAACTCAATATCGTCATAACGTGGTGGGAGCTGAAGGCCCGCTATATTAAGCATCTGATATTTCTTGTCGAATTCCTTGCGCCTTTCTTGCAGATATTCCGGGACTTCCCCATCAACCATCTCGTAGTCTGATTCATCCCCGTACTCCTTCGCCTTCTTTGACGTTCCTCCATGCTCCTTCGTTTTTCTTCTGCCGGCAATAGTAGCTTTGGTCTGCTCGTTAAGTTTCTTCTTCGTTGCGGCTATCTTCTGTCGTTTTGCCTTCTTCCGATTTTTGAACTTCTCGTATGCGTCTTCGTCATCCTCATCGTCAGAGAACTGGACTTTCTGCCCTGATTTCCTTTTTCCTCTGTCACTGTTTAAAGATCTAATATCTGTAATCTCAACATCTGAATTGGTTTCGTCGCTCGATAAAGGACCGACAATTCCTACAAGTTCGTCAGCCGGGGAGCGAAAATAGAAAGTGGCGCAACAGACTTTCGATATATTGATCAGTTTCGACTGGAGCTTTGTCGGTTCCATATCTGGCGACGATGTCTTCGTCTTCAGTAGTCTGTTCGTCCTCTGCCTGCGCCATATGCGCCATGGTGGCGTGTTGTCGAATGTGGTGGGGTTGTCGTCGCGACCAAGTGAAAGAAAGACGCGACGTGATGCGATGAGATGCGATTGCCGAGGTCCATTGTACCGTACCTACGTACCTAGGTACTTCATTCAGTAGAAATAGAGTGAAGCTACCACGTTCGCCATTACGAACTTGCAATTACCAGAATTTCTCTTTTAGAGTAGGCCTGTGTACCAATATTTGGAGGGGTTAAAGATTCATTCGCGGATTTTTCTATTTGCGAAAGAATAAAGTGCATGATATCAAGGTCTGCTCTTTCTATCTACAGCTCTCAAAATCTAGATTGCTGCCGCCCAAATCATTCAACCCCCGAGGAGGAGATATTCAAATGTGCGAAATCCCCGAATTCCAGCTATCTGGATGCAAAATTCGGTAGATATCAAGAACTCAACGGTGACTTCCTAAGATCTCAACTGACTTAGCCTTATGCTTGTCAGGAAACTTCGCTGCTCATAGGTGGCGTGTGGGTCACTCTATGCGCTGGAGTATTGTTCAAATGCGGGTAGTGTACCCTTAGACACCATGCACATATGCCGTTCGAGTCAACATTGCAAGAGTTATGCGATCTCAGGGTTCTCGTCTTTGACTGCTTCGACCAGTGTATCCATTCCTCCAACTTCCGTTGCTCCTTCCATACCTTCGGGAGGAAGGGCCCACGCAGGTAAAGGACTAACGTAACTCCAAGCTCCAGAGGCATCTTCGTAGCGGAGACTGTGGAGCCACAGGGAGAGTTCCTGCTCCCCTGGGTCTGTGTAAAGTGGCGTAGAGCACACATCACACAGCTCGCCTGACATCTTCTCAGCCTTCTTTCTATTGTATTCATCGACCATCTCGTCATGATATGCCACAGCATCAGCCACTTCGGACTTTCCCATCCTCGAGAGGCGTGTGATGATATCTTCGTCTGAATCTTGAGAGGCATCAGCATCATGGGCTCCTAACGTTGCCCCCCAAACACGTTGATTGCAATATATTGGATCATTGGCTATCGGATGCCCAAGAAATTGTAGGTGGACTCTTAACTGATGCGTGCGGCCTGTTACCGGGAGACATCTAACAATAGAATACCCTTCTTTCTTTAGCCACGGCCTTGCCTCCTCAAGCTTGGCTTGTTCTGGAGTAGTGGGTTCTTTTGAGGGACTGTCTGAGGTAGGTGGGTAGTACGCAAGACGGTGGAATACAGTCTTTGCAGATTTTCCGTTTGCTCGGACCCGGTTGAGGCCAAGTTTTGGAGATATTTGTAGTATCGGCATGTTGCAGACGACCGGTTCTGCGGGAAACTCTCCTTTGACTCGTGCCACATACTCTTTTCTGACTGTCCGCTGTGATATCTGCATACTCAGCTTCTCTGCTGCCTTCGGGTGTTTGGCAATAAACATGACTCCACTTGTCAGTCGGTCCAGCCGGTTGCACGGTAACGGGTTCCAAGCATGGCCACGCTCTGCCCGCATTATCTCGACCACCGAGTTGTAATTGTAACGACCAGCAGGATGGACAGGAACACCAGATGGTTTATTGATAACGATCATGTCATCATCTTCATGCAAAACTGATATAGGCTGTGCGGTGACCGGGGGCTCGTGTCGGTGTAATGTATGGGAAATAACGTCTCCATTTTTGACGATATGTTTTGTTGTCTGGACTGGCTTACCATTGACAACTACCGCTCCTGATTCTATAGCCTCTTTCTAGTTCCGTCAGAATAAGTCATTTGGTTGTACTGGGTTCTACGTACATAGTATTCTACTGGTCTATCACGAAATTCGCTTGCAAAGATGTCCAAGAGCTCTCGTCCTCTCCACCTCTCTTTGCAGTATGTATTGTATGTGAAGTGATATGGCGCCACTCGTCGCAACCCGTTCTCGAGGTAGTATGGTCGAGGCCATGGGTCGCAAGGCGTAGTTATGACGGGAGGAGGGCCCTGTAAAGGTTTCTTCTCCTCCAGTGGAGGATAGCCTTTGGGCACCTCCACGAGCGCCATTGTCGGATTGGCCCGTAGAGCTCGCCGAGCGAGGAGTTCGAGGAGGCGCTGTGATCGAGCCAGCGAGAAGGTAGTCTTGCAAGAAAACTTGCTAATATTTGAACGAAAGATGGAGGATACCTACTTGGTTGAATTGGTACATGGTCGCGAAATATTCAAAAGGCGGTGGCAGAAAAATACAAAGTGGGCAAGGTGGGTTTGATCTGCAGGGCCAGTACCTCGGCCTAAACTTCTCCTCCTCTCAACCACGCATTCCCTATACAAATGTATGATTGAACTATGACTTGACTTGCCAGCAACCTGGTAGAAACCTCGTGCTGTGAGACGGGTCAAATAGAGCCGAATACACAAGCCATGGCATACGGCGAACTGAAGAACCGAAGGAGAAAGGATTATGGCTATCTTCTCGAGTACAGAACACGATGGTATCTAGGTCCCACAACTGATATCTAATTACGTTTTACTAACTGTCCAATTTGAGGTCTGACAATGATATGTATGACCATATGAATAATAGCATCTACAATTTCTTGTAAGTATTACTCAAACATAGTCCACGTCATCTGACATCTCCAGATACGACTCCATCGTCAACACATATCTCATTGAGGAATGTGGATTACACCCACCCACGTCTCCTCAGTATGGACTGGTCGTTCACTCTCATAGCGATTTCTTCGGCTCGATCGCGTTTCCTGCCGTTGCCGAGCTGGCTTTAAGAGTCAACAAGTTGGGCAAGAGTAGTGTTACATATGAGATAGCTCTATTCGAACGAGGAGTTGATGAAGTTAAAGCTGTGGGCGAGATAGTACATGTCTTCGTCGATAGAGAGACCGGCCGGCCAGCTGCAAAAGGCATGAACGGAGATCTCAAGGAAGGCCTCCGAAAGATCTTAGTGCAGCAATCCAAACTTTGATGCCTAGGATTATCCATCATGCATACAACTGTTCGAGCCTTTTCTTTCTATATGACCAGTCAGGAAGCCCAAAGTCACACTTAACCCGCCAAACTTTTGATCTATTTATTTTGCTGTTGTCCTTCGGATTGGACTTCTTTTACTGCAGGTGAGCCCTTCAGTCCGAGGTGACCGGGCATCATGAAATCTTGAATTTCTGGTCGCTATCCTCTCTTTGATAAAGATTCTCAATCTCCGCAACTTAGTCGTGACGGCTGTCTTATGATCCGCCTCTTAGTGGCGAATATGTCGATTCTACTTTCAAGGCAAGGAGGAATATGTCTTGATTGTTTGCTGTAGTTCTTTTCCAGTCATCCACAGCAAGTATTCGAGAGCAGGAATCTCCAATAGCTGGGGATAAGCCAGATTTCATTTTGGTAATATTTGATTGGCCGAATGCTTAGCTTTTGAAACTTTGCCGCGATACGTTGTCTGTAAGGTTCCCGATTCAAAGTCCCGAGACTATCAGCATATCTCTTTGCTGGTGCAGTGCATCTGCTGGAAGGCCCTTATAGACCCATCATCCAGGGGCTCTCGCTCATACAGCCTGTGAAGTTCCGAGATCCAACGCTATACTCTGCCAGCACTCATAACCGTTGCTTTCCGTCGCCTCACCACTCTTTACCCAGATGTACCCTGTATATTAAAACCTCTTGGCCGAGTTCCCCGCAGCTTAGGATAGGCTAGGTTTCGGTCAGATGATCAAGGACAGTGTTAGGATGTCCAGTGTCACCCTTAGGAATTTAGGAATTTCCTGCAAATCATGACTAGCGTTCCCAAACCCCAGCGAACTTGTCCTTTTTGACTGTGTACTCCGCGCTGTGTTTACTGTACCCCGCCTGAAGCGGGGGACCCTTGTCTAACCCCCGCGACGGTCGCTTGTCAGTGGCTGGGTAAAAGCGGGCATATTCCGCTTGACCTTGAATCATGCTCACGATGGAGTTACTGGCTAGGGGTAGCCGCATTGGTAAGGTATTGTTGGATGATTTATAGTTAACTTTGACCTTTTATCGCAAACACGTTCCAATGCCGGCTGAAATCCTATATCTTCCAGCTCTCCGTCTTTCTCAAAGTCGTTCGGCGCAATTTCTTCAAGTCGTGAACAGGTACATCGAGTAAATCCTCAATATCATACAGTATCAACATATGGCTTATGCCCATGATGATTTCGAGAAAGCCCCCTCGGGCGAAGAGGTTGAGTTAGCCGACTTAGCCTCAGGACCCAAAGGACAGCATGTCGATAGTTATGGAAAAGATAAAACGGTGTCTTCTGTGACACCAGCACGAGCTTTGGAAGCTCCCGAATTTATTCGGAATATGACTCCGGAGGAGAGATCAAAAATGGAGATAAGATTAAAGAGGAAGATTGATTTGAGACTGATGCCAATGGTTATCTTGAGTACGTATTTTGTCTTCACGTTCCCCTGACATATAACTTGGAGGCGCGCTTTCGATTGTCGTGCCCGTCTGGAGTCTAAAACACTTCTAGTGTATATCATGAACTATCTGGATCGAGTAAGTGTTGCCGATTAGGGCGGTCATAGCCATGGTACTAACTGCTATAGAACAACATTGCAGCGGCGAAGTTGGCAGGAATATTAACGGATCTGAACTTGAAAGGCGTGGAGTTCCAGGTGTGCCCTTCCAACTCAATTTACTTTCGATGCTAATTCATTGTGACAGACATCCGTCAGTATCCTTTTCGTGGGATATCTCTTGATGCAGGTCCCCTCAAATCTCTTTCTCAACAAAATCGGAAAACCTGGCATCTACTTACCCAGCTGCATGGTACTCTGGGGGTTGATTTCTGGGCTTACGGCTGCATGCCAAAACTACGGCGGACTCGTTGCTTGCCGTTTCATGCTTGGTTTTGTCGAGGCAGCTTACTTTGTAAGTTTACGTACCCCTTGGACCTGTCTCTACTGAACATGTATAGCCTGGATGCCTGTATTATCTATCATGTTGGTATACAAGGAAAGAATTAGGGCTTCGAACTGCAATGTTCTATTCCGGTTCTTTGATTAGCGGAGCCTTTTCAGGTCTCATCGCTGCTGGTATAAGAGCCCATCTGGACGGCGCCCGGGGGTTACGGGCATGGCGGTGGCTGTTCATCATTGAGGGATCCATTACAGTTGTCATTGCATTTGCATCATACTTCATGTTACCCAACTTCCCTCGAACGACAAAATGGCTATCAGAGGAGGAGAGATCCCTCGCCGTCTGGCGACTTGAAGAGGATATTGGGCAAGACGATTGGGTTGATAGTCGAGACCAGTCGTTCAAGCATGGGTTAAAGCTTGCTTTTTTGGACATAAAAACATACGTCCTTACTGTACTGATATTTGGAATCGTGGCGTCTGGATCAGTCACGAACTTCTTTCCGTAGGTGTTTCTGGCTTCTTGAAACTTTGACGCTGACAAATTTCCAGGACTGTCGTATCTACCCTCCATAAAAGTGACGTCGAAACACTTCTTTTGACAGCCCCGCCATATGTTCTAGCAGTTATCACAACGTTTCTGAACTCTTGGCACGCCGGTATAAAATTTCATCCACCCTTACAAATAACGCGTTACTGATATCTCCTAGACCGAACCGGAGAACGCTTCTTACATATCACTATCCCACTCTGTTTCGCTGTCTTTGCATTTATTCTCGCAGCGTGCACAACAAAAATTGGGCCGAGGTACTTCGCAATGATGGTCATGGTACCAGGAGTCTATACAGGATTCGTTGTCGCATTGGCTTGGATCAGTAACTCTCTTCCACGACCGCCTGCAAAACGAGCCGCGGCTTTGGCATTCATTAATGCAGTTTCAAACTCCAGTTCTATCTATGCCAGTTACATGTACAGTGCAAGCGCAGGTAAGATTACTTGCTATTCCTCCTAGGAATCTTTCTAACAACCACGCAGCGCCGAGGTATGTGGTCGCAATGAGTGTGAATTGCGCCATGTGCGCTATGTCCATCATAGCTGCTATAATTCTGCGCATCATACTGGTGAGGTTGAACCATAAATTAGACCAGGGCATTTACGTCAAGGATGCAGTAAATACGCCGACAACGAAAGCTGGGGAGAAAGGATTCCGGTTCAACGTTTAGGGTCATAGAGTTTCCAACGCTCACCCTGGGACCATTGGACAATTTGGAGCAATGTGGCAATCAATGGTGCTGTGGTAAGATTAGTCGAATCATAGCGCATTTATTACCTTTAAAGAGTGTCGTATCTGTTCTCCATTTCTTTCTGGATAGAGATATTGATTCATTTTATAAACTGCCGCCGACAAGTCGAACCAGTTCGCGGGGTTCTACGGCATGGAAGGACTTGTAGGTATTTATTATACCGTACTGCGCATATTTGAGGAAGCGCCCTTCCCTACAATTTCGTCCATTTTCCCCTTCTCTTCCTCCGCAATGAAACATCCGACATACTTCACGAGAACACTATAGCCGCTGCGCGTGGCTATATGCCGAAGTACGGCTTCATTATCGTTTTGATTTTGTCATTTCTGCTATTTCTTCCGGATGTCTTGTGCAGCTAGTAGAGCGTTACTTCACGTTTAGTGGTTTTCACGCGGGCAAAAGTACTGTGTACTTGACAATGAGACGGACACAAGTGACAGACCGCTCAAGCCGCTGCTCTCAACCTATCCAACATGTAGACATGCATTGGGGCGTCTTTGGCCCCTTTTAAGAGGTACAGAAGAGATCATAACATGAAGTTAATCAGCATGTTTGATTCACGATATGTCGAGGAGAGTTTGGCACTGATGCTCGCCTTCCTCATGTACAAGCGGGGTTGTGCCTCCTTAATTCTTTCCATCACTGGCCCCCTCTTCAACAACTTCAATGATGCTTTGAATTATGGAAGGGTTCAAAAGCTGAAGACCATTATTAGCACTTCGAGTTCAAGTTCAAGGAATTTAGAACAGCATTTTAATTCCCAGCAGACTCACGGTAGATGTATCTCCGAAGCTCTCTCTCTCTCCATCTAGGATCTTCCTCAAAACACGGCGCATAATTTTTCCAGAGCGAGTTTTTGGAAGATCGCTAACAAAATAGATAGCTTTCGGAGCTGCAAATGATCCAATTGATTTCCGGACCTGCTCAATGAGTGTTTTTTTCATGATTCCTGTATCAGTACAGCTTTCTTTTAAAGAAACGTACGCAACAAGTGCTTGTCCTGTAAGCTCGTCATTCATTTCCACAACTGCTGCCTCGGCAACGTGGGCTTAATATACCGTATGAGTTAATTGCTTGAACTGTATCACAGAGCTATGGGAAAAAGCATACCATTTTCAAGAAGGGCGGCTTCCAACTCAGCGGTTGATAGCCTGTGTCCTGAAACATTAACGACATCGTCAACGCGACCACGAATCCAGTAGTAGCCATCTTCGTCACGATATGCTCCATCACCTGTGAACTGGGACAGAGTTAGCTATGACGCGAACAATGAAGAAGTCTTTAAACGCGTACATAGTATCCGCCATAGATGTTGAAGTATGTGCCCATATATCTGTCATGATCACGCCAGACAGTGCGTGCCATACTAGGCCAAGGGTGCTTAATGGCCAGAATTCCTTCTACATTGCTTCCCTGGAGCTCAGCCCCTGAGATTGAGTCAATAATAACTGGTTCAATACCAAGGAATGGGACTGTGCAACTCCCAGGCTTGGTTGGGATAGAACCCGCGAGAGGCGTAACAACATGGCATCCAGTCTCAGTCTGGAAATAAGTCTATACTGCCATTAGCTATACTCAAGTTTCATGATTGCTTTATGAACTGACGTCTACAATATATGCTCTCCCTCGGCCTACAGTCTCGTAATACCACTTCCAAACTTCCGGTGCAATTGGTTCTCCTATTGATCCCAGGACCCTCAACTTTTTCATAGGTGCGGTTATATGTGAGGGACCTGCCCGCTTGAGGATTCTGAGGGCAGTAGGTGCAGCATAGAAATGAGTAATACCATGCTTGTCGATAATATCCCAGAATCGAGAGAAGGTTGGGTATGAAGGCGTACCCTCAAATATGACCGTTGTACTTCCAAGTAGAAGTGGTCCATAGACTAGGTATGTATGGCCCGTAATCCATCCAATGTCCCCGGCACAAAAATACCGATCTGACTCTTGTAGATCAAAGACATATTTGGTAGTAATCGCAGCCCCCAAAAGAAAACCCGCTGTGGTATGCATCAAACCCTTGGGCTTGCCGGTAGAGCCAGAAGTATACAACAAAAACAAGGGGTCTTCGGCAGACATTGATTCGGGAGGAAAGTATGCGGGCCATTTTCCTGCTTCTTCATGCCACCAAAGATCCCGCGAAGGACTCCAAGGAACGTCAGAGCCAGTGTATCTGAGCACAAGGCAGCCCGAAACGAGAGGGCATTGCAAGAGAGCTTCGTTAACGATCACCTTGGTTGCAATTGTCTTACCACCGCGCCGGGCTTCATCGGTAGTTATTATGAACTTGGAGCGTGCGTCAAGGATTCTGTCACGCAAAGATGCAGCAGAAAATCCCATAAAAACGACCGAGTGAACAGCTCCAATTCTTGAGCATGCCAAGATTGCTACAAGTGCCTCCGGTATGTTTGGAAGATAAATAACCACAACATCTCCTTTTTTGACCCCCATATCTTTGAGGATATAGGACAAACGAGAAACATCACGAAGTAGTTCTCCGTACGTTATGCTTCGTTCATTTCCTGGCTCATCAGCTTCAGAAATTATAGCAATCTTGTGACGATCTCGAAGTGCATGCCTGTCAATGCAATTGTAGGAGGCATTCAAACGGCCCTCCAAGAACCAAGCGTTGTCCCCGTCGCTGAAATTGCCTGTGTGAATAGTCTGGAAGTCCTGATACCAGTGCAGCAGTTCTCGTGCCTTCCCTGCCCAGAAGTGCTCCGGATCTTGTATGGACTTTGCGTAAATTATCCTATACTCTTCCAGAGTTGTAGGGACATCGTACATACTTGGCTCGTCGGCGACATTATAGGCGCTCATTTTGAGGGAGCTTACTTGCGGCTGTATTTCTTCAGACTCAATATGCCAAAGGCTTTGCAGACTCTGTGCAAGGCAGTAGAAGGTGTAGAACTGTCGTAAAGATCCTCGCGTCTTGAAATGCAGCCAAGAGTCTGTTGTCATAAGTCCCAAGGGTGTTACAGTAACTTCAACAGCTAAAACAGCTTCTTCCTTGGTTCTAAGTCATCTCATATGTCGTTATCTGTTTCAGCCAGCCTCATTTCTGTCGATGTTTTCTATTGGGTGCTGCAAGGATCCTCAATCACACTTGCCATGGCCCATACCCACCGTTCGATCTCGCCACTATAACTTGTGACGAATCAGAAGTCAGTTGGCCCTACGGACCTACCAGATAACTTGTCCAAAGTCTACTGGTCTTGCTGTGATGGACTTGCTGGCCGCTAGTAATAGTTGCCCAAGCATGTGCGTAGGAGCGAGTGAACGGCATGCTGTATGCTGGTTCATCACGATGCCGAGATACCATTGTCCAAGGCTGGTGGACATGAACGATGCAGCGTGACATGGCCGCGTGGCTGCGCTCCCTCGAAACACGCGGTGGACAGTCTAAACTTGCACCCACTTGGCAATTGGCTATATGCAAGTTTACCCAAGATGGGGAAATGCATGCAATGCATGAACCTGGACTATCAAGCCCCAGCCATCTTGCCGGTTGCATGTCATTACCCCTCCAAATACCAATTATTGATCAAAATCATATTATCACATGAAGCCCTTGATACTGAAGTGTTGCAAGTAACTTGCAACAATGCATTCTCCTTTACTCTAGACTAGAATCCTGAACTTTGTATCTTGCATGTTTATCTAATATCACCTCACATAGCACAGAATTGCCTATCCAGTTAATCGCTAATCATGCTGATAGAACGAATGAAGAAAAGAGAAGCTTCACAGAGAATCTGAGCATGTAAAGGCGATACGTCTTCTTGTCTTCTGCAATGGTTTGTCGCGTAAGAACCCGAATTACCAGGAAAAGGTCCGTCATCACAATCAAAAATGCAGATGCCTTCGATGCATATGGATGGTTGCTCTTCAGATACTGAATCTTCAACGTCAAGGCCCTTGTTGAAAGCATGCACACAGCAATATATATTCGGTCTGTTTCTTGCACGTCGGCGTTTTTCCTCTAAAGGTTGGGCAGGGGCTTACCATATGGCTTTCCTAACATTAGGGGAGTCGTATGCCGGCCTGTAGCGGCGTCGCCGATGACATCTCGCAAGTCTTGGATCGAGATGCTGAAAAGGAGATTGAATGCAAGATATATGATCCATTCTAATCCCCTCCGCGTAGTGCCCCCTCTAAGTTCCCACGCGCTGTATAACCCACTTGTGAGAACGGCAGTCGTGAGGAGATCTTTGGTTGGGCCAAATGATGCTAATTCCGTAAAATTATGCATAGCACCAAATGCCATGAACATCACAGCACCTTCTTCTACCCCCATGAAACGAGAATAGATTAAGGATGCAATGGACAGAAGAACGTAGCGGGTATAGGCAGCTTGAAGACTGATGCGGCCTGAGACAATCGGGCGATCAGGTTTATTCAGGCGGTCTTCTTCAATTCCATTGATCTGATTGCTGATTGTGAACGTATAAAGCAACATGTAGGCGAGAGTAGCAGATTTGGCGACATTGCTGAGTATCGATGCCGGAGACGACTGGGACTCGAGGGAAGATGCAATAGTAAACAGAGAGAAAGGAACAACCGTGGCTAATAGGTCAGTAGTAATCAGCCCAAACTCTCCATGTATTGAAAGATCTTTAACCACCTTACCTGTTAGATCTCTGTGATTAAAAGCCCAGGAAATTTTGAACTCCTCTACCAGAGCTTTGAGTGGCCATAGAATCTGGACTCAAACCGATTAGAATTTGAACTAGTAACAATGAATGGATCTTACAAAAGACATGTTTTGGTGTGCAATTTATAAGTGCTTGTTCAAAGGAGACAAGGTTTGAGTGCGAGCTATCCGGTCTGGCAAGATGTTTTGGAGAAGATAGAGCATTTATACTGTACTTGAAGCCCTATCTCCAGACTCCATTTAGTCTTAGATGATAATCATGGTATTGCTGTGAAGACTCCTGAGCCTACTACCTACCCCTTCTCCTCCTCCTCTTCCCTACCTCTTGCAAACGTGCATTCTCCATTTCCTTTGGGATCTTGCCATAATCAGAAAAGTCGAAAAGCGAAACTCTAAGCAATGCCGATTTCTAAGCAATGAGGATATATGCATTTTTAATATTGCATGCATATCAGAGTTTCAACTGAAAGCCTGTATAGATTGTTCGTCTAGAAAGAAGGAACATGTGGGGAGCATGGGTAGAGACCGGGGCTGACTCGATACTTGATTTGCCAATCAGGATAAACATAAGCATATCCGTAGGTATAGAAGTAGATCATCTAAACCAAAAAGAGCGCCACACTGGCCACATGCATTATCTGAAAACAGTTAAAACAGAGGTGCGGGCCGGGCCTAGTATCCCGATCATTGGCCTTATGACAGACTGTGATGGACCAGGATTTTTGATCGTTATGTGGGAAAATCTCCTACCGATTACTTGGCAAATCGCAGTGGCTCAGCGTGAGAAAAGTGCCTGTCTACTCTCTGATTGGCGGTTTTGCTTCCACCACCTAGCTAGTTGTTCCGCCCTGCAGAATGTGGCTGGCTGGCTCTGAATGATTTCCTGAGTGAACTACTCAAGAGTCAAGAATCATAACGATACATGTGAACATACCTACATTTTTAGTGGGAAAATCCAGATAAGTCAATTGATATCATTGTATCAGAGGCAAAAGACAAGGAAGACACTTTCTCCTTTCTGAGTCCTCTGCTTATCTTGCTTTTATGATTGGTTACTGTTCCTTCATTTTGGCTCGAGGTCTTCCCTTGACTAAGAGAAAGTAAAAATGAGGATAGCCAAGGAGGGGTTTCTCCTTGGAGGGACGCAGGGAGGCAGGGAAAGATTGCCATATTTGCCTGTTTTGCCTGCATATTTTGACATACTGATAGGAGCATGCAAATTCCAGGTAGAGAGCACGTAAGCAAAGATGACGGATGCTACCTTGAGATGTCCGGATAGGAGGGCAAGAAGAGAAGGCGGGAAGAAAACGGGTATGCCTCCTGTAAGTCTGTCGATCTTTCCCACCTCTCCAACAATTCACCAGTCCTCCAGTACAAAGGTTTTGACTTGCTAGACACGGCCGACTGAGTACACCTTATCTTTACTATAGCCCTTGCTCCTTCAATTTTGTATTCAGTTTCCGAAACTTGCGCAGAAAATATTGGACAATGGATAATACAGAGCTCCATAACCTTGACCTCGGTGCACCTAGGTTCCTTGAACTTCAGGTCACCTTAGTTCTTCGACAGCTCTTTGACACCGAACTGCTGAAATCCACGGCCCTGGCTCTGGTTGCAACGTGGCCAGTCTTGAGCAAACGCATTAACCTTGCAGTAAACACCCACCAAGCAACTTCTATCAGAGACTCTTTGAGCTAACAAAACCAATCTAAGCGCACTGAATTTCTCCCAAGTCAAGAACCAGAGCTCGAAGGACTTTGGAAGGAAAGAAAACTTGACAAGACCTTCGATGAAGCATTTCCGGGCCACAAAGATGCTGTTGCACAACATGTAGTTGACTCAACCATCCTCAATCAACTTGTATATTTCAGTGAGGGACTGAAAGATCAGTTGTTTCCGCGGGCTTTGACCATCCGTGTCACCTCGCTCAACGACGCTTGTTTGATACATTTCACAGTTCAGCATCCACTATGCGATGCGAATGGTACTGTCAACTGTCTACCCTTGACAAATCAAATACAATACTTACTTGAACGTTAAACAGGTACTTACCATATAATCAATGCATATTGTGCTCTGCTTCAAGGGAAAACCATCGAACCCCTGAGACCTCGGCAACCCCTGAAATTACGCGAGGAAAACATTCCAAATTCCCCACCACCACAGACGAAGACTGAAGAGCCAACTGCTGTCAGGCACAAGATTTTCTTTTCCAACGGATGGATTCCCCTACTCATGGGGGGTGTGAGACAGCGCATAAATCAATGGCGGGGTCCGAAAAGAGTGGAAAGGACCGCCCTTATACCAAACTTCGTCATTGACAAATTAGCAAAAGACGCAGAAGCAGCGGGAATCCGAGTTACTAAACATGACTTGCTCATGGCATGGATATATAAAGTAAGCATTACCCATTTATGAATTATTATATCAGGCCAATAACTTTATTCGTAGTGCACCATGCCAGAGATGTCACAACTCGCTGCGAAAAAAGCGGCCGGACCACCACAATTCTCTTTCGTGATGAATGTTGGCAGATTATTGCAACAGAACGCTGAATTTCACAATCTGTGGCTTGTAATCCCAACCCCAGATCCGGAGGTAGAGGCGTTGCCGAAATGCCCTCCAGTGATCCAAGCCGCAAGTCACATTCGTGCAGCTATCGTAGATGCACGACGACCGGCTCCAGTGCAGCAAATCATTGATCAGCATTCTAATGTGCGGAACAGCCCTCTGGGTCCCGTTGACTGGGGTTGCCAGGAGCCAAATGTTGTGGTTAGCTCGTGGACTAACATACCGCTCTATGACCTCGATTTTGTTTCCGGTGACGGAATTCACAGTAAGCCAGTGTATGTCCAGGTTGGAATAAAAGTGTGTCCGATGCTTAAGGCAGCAGGGCTAGCATTTGCTGATGGGATTTTAACTTGGACAGGCGAGGAAGGATTTTGGATTCAGGGCTGTTTGGAACAAGGAGCATGGGATAGAATCAGTGACTTCCGATCCTTTGAGGAGCCTAATTGATAGGCTGAATTTTGGTCAGATTCTACAAAGACCCATCGCGTGGATGGCCATAGATCGAAAATTGAAGTACTAGGTAGCTTTGAAATCGTAGGTAGGTAGATTTGAAGTGTCGAAATTCCATGAATTTTCCCATTCGGATATATATTTTTGAAGCATGTCTGTAGCAGAAATCAAAGGTTTGAGTTTAAGAAGTTTCTAGGAGTTGATATCGTATGGAAACTTACCCTATCGGTCTGATAATCAATAACGTATACCATTATTAGGTTGAGTCTGCCGCTAGAATCAAGATAAATTACCACAAATAAAATGACAGGATATCGAAGAAATGCCCTCTAGATCCTTCAAACAGAACCTGTAACACCGTTCTGAGATTGGTGATAATATCCGTTTCTCTTGAGCCAATCTAAAACATCTTCACGGTCTCGTTCGACCCAACGGAATCTCGCAAGGATCAAATCCAAAGATTGATTCAGGGCCGCATCGAACTCCTTATACCTCGTTAGCGCATCCTTCAAAGATTGGGAATAACTGCTTACACTGGTATCCTTATCTCCAAAAAAATCCTTTGCATCTTCATATTGCTCAATAGTGGTGAAGGAGTCCAGAACAATCTGAAAAAGAGGAAACAGTTTTTGTAAACTTAGGCCTGGGATTTCTTTCCATGCCTCGGATTTCAATATTGCCCAGAGTACCCCTCGGCCATTCTCATGCGTTACAACTGGCCTCATCAATACACCGATTTCGGGCTCTGATAGTAAGCCAGGGCTCATGGCTAATTGCATGTTCTTCTTTATGCAAGAAATATTCTCGGAATAGCCCAATGATGCCAGTATATCGTTTCTTTCGGCAGTGTTTGCTTTCTTCAGTCGGTTCGTAAGCTGGTTGTACTGTAGAAGATTAGCCATGGAGCAGTGTCAAGATAGAAGACTAACAGCGTCAGAATCGCCTTTTTTCATGGTTAATTTGAATATTTCTCGACGAATTGTTGGGGAGATATTGTTCGTATCACCTTGGATAAAACGATCGAACAAGGAACATGCGGATTCAATGAGGTTATCATCGTTGCCAGGGTTTCCAAACATCAGGGCCTTGAATCTTTGTTCATTGATATTGTCATTCTCCGCGAGATTCAAAACTGTATCAAGACATTTCTTGACAAGCTGTTTTTGGAATCGTGCTATTGCGACCGTTGCATCACAATCTTCTGATGCAAGATATTGAGATAGCTCTCGCAGGGTAGACAGAATCATTTTCCAAACAATGTAACTCGTTTCATTCTCAAAATTTTGCAGCAGTCTCAAGAGATCCGAGGCTTTGAGGAATGGACAACAGGAAAAAACTAGAGCTGCTGTGTCAGAAATGATACCGGCACGGTCTTCTGCAGAGAGAAGTTCTTTGCCGGTGCTGATGGACTCTCCTAATTTCAGAAGACGGTCTGGAGGGTATGCGACCCGATAGAATCCAGTTTGATCTGCGTTGATTTTGTAGAATTCAGAAGGCACCTTGATTGTCTTATTTATCCCCACCAACTCTTCTTCAAGGGTCACGCCTCCATGCCGTATTTTCAGAAGTATTGGGAACAGTATCTCATTCTCACCCATTGTCGAGTATCCGGTCAAAAGAAATCGGTTTTGTGTGACGCTGATGGTACCAGAAGACTCATCTTCTGTCAGACTGATAAAGGGATACCCGGCTTCCTTTGTCCATATGCCCATTATTGCGCCAACATCAGAACCGCAGACTTCGGTAAGGACCTTCCACAGATCTTCAGTATCTGTATTTTGATATGCATATTGCTTCAGATATTGTCGAAGTCCTCTAAGGAATACTTCCTCGCCCAGATGCGCCGAGAGCATTCTCAGGACCGCACAACCTTTCTTATAGGTGATATCGTCGAATAGCTCATCAATACTTTTAGATCCAGATATGGACCCTTCTAGGGGGTGTGATAATCTTTTCGAATCCATGATCAGCGCTGTTTGATACCCGTCCACCACGAAGTTTTGCCATGACTCCGAACCCTCCGACATCTGATTGCATGCATATATTACTGCCCAGTCGGATAGACCCTCCTTGATCCAAAAGTTATCCCATGATTTCATGGTGACCAGGTTCCCAATCCACTGATGCGCAATTTCGTGAAAGATCAAGTTGATAGCGAAAGCCCTCTCTGATGCCGAATCGTCGTGACTTATACATTGGATTGCTGGTGGCAACGTAACCAAGCCCCAATTTTCCATCCCCGCCGTAGCCCCCGGAATGGCCAACAGATCCAGCTTCGGTAGCGGATACTGGATATTTAATGTTGCCTCAAAAATCTCCAATGCTTTGCAGGCAAGCCCAAGAGCAAAACGACAGTTCTCTATTTCATATTCGATAGGAGCATACGCTCTGACCGGTACTCGGAAGCTGTTTGTTTCAATCATGTTGAACTCTCCTACTGCGAATGCTACCAAGTAAGTAGACATTACTGGCGTCTTTTCGAATTCAATAACTCTCCTGGCACCAGCTTTTGTCCAGATCTCTGTGTCTGATTTTACCGGCATATTTCCCAGAAATGTCAAGCGTTCCTCGCCGACTAGAGTGACAGAAAACGTAGCTTTCAGACCTGGATTATCAAAGCAAGGAAAGACCATTCTTGCATTCCTTGCCTCCATAATCGTTGACGCTATTACTTTTGAGTCTGAGGAGTCAGATGGCATTGATGTTATGTAAAAGCCGCCTTCCGATCTCTTGAGGGATGCTGCAAAGAGCAGGCATAGTCGAAGTTTCGAGTTTGCAGGAACAGGTTCTTCGAGTAATATTTTCAAAGTCTCCCGCGCATTGTCTATTTCAAAATTTGATACAGGGCATAGCTTTCCAGTTTCATCGTAAACTGTTATGGATGGAATCTCAAGCTCGCGGGCGTCCAGACTGATGGAAGTTATACTCTCCTTGACTTCGACATCGATAGCTACTGTGCCTTCAAAGACGCCGTCCTCGAGATTGGTTTCGATGCGAAGGCCATAGTGAGTCGGTCTGATGCCTGCGAAGATAGATTCACCTCCCATATTTTCCGGTCAAAACACTTGTCACGATGCGGGCAGAGCGAGCAATTGTCATGAATGGCTCTTGATGATATGAGATAAAGGGCGCGAACTAAAAAAGCAAAAAGAGTTCTGTGGCTGTTATAAAGAATTTCTCCTGGGCCAATTAAGATAATATTTTGAGGAATGTAATCCATACGTTAGATATAGAGCCATGGAAGGAGGCGTCAGTTCTAGCGGGAACTTTCATATTGTTCTCAACGGGCTTATCTGATGGCTTAAACCAAAAGCTTGACACTGTCTTACGTTACCTTCGGATTCTCGGACGAGAACAATGGGCGGAAAAATGTGATTCATCCAAGTCTCATGGGGATGGGGTAAAGCAAGGGGCTTCTCTTGCACACACCTTCCAAGGCAGCTAATTGCCTGAAAGTGTATGCGGGAAACTATTGTCATGCCCTGGTTCCAAGGCGTCTAGATAGGTAGAAACCGGAGTTCAATTGGCCAATTAGAAAGAGTGCCCAGTGAGATTCATGGGAGTTGCATCAACAGCGGTATTCTTGATGAATACATGGCGGGGAAACCTAATGAACAAACATACGGCAGTGTTGGTAGCTGGAAGAGCGATGAAGTATCTCCAAGAGATAGCAGAAAGGGGAGCATTCGACGGTTTCTGGGGCTTCCTAATATCAAGATAACGAATAACGAAAGCATCTTCTGTCATAATACTACACTGAAGTTAGCAGATGTGCACTACCGCAGGAATTAGGAATCAGGTACAGGATATTAATCGTTGAGTCCACTTCCGTGATTAGTCAGGAACGCCTTGTGATTTGCACCTGATATTGCCTGAATGCCTTTACTATCCTCCCATTAGTGATTGAGTAGTCTCGAGCAGTAGTGAAGGGCTCGACTTCGTGGAAAGCAAAGAACAACCTTATGGGTACAGTACAGGAGGGGGCGTCATCGGTTGGTCCCTGAGCGTACGTTATGGCGCTAATAATTCTAGCGATTACCCCGGTATTTGACGACTGGATACATTTGTATGCTCTGCGTGTATGAATACTAACCTGGCAGCCGGCCATGTTCGGAGACATCATGTATTGTGGTCAGGTTTCATACCAACAGCTTTCAGGGATCCGTGGCTGAAGGCGTATGATGATTCCAGGAAACTTACAGGTAGGTATACTGAGCGTTTTGTCTCATACTGCACTTACGCGGCGCAGAGCGATCTACGCCGTCTTCCCCGCGGGGATTACTACATATCTTGTATAGCAATCAGATTCCAGCGTGTCCACCTCTCTGTTCATGGACATTCTATATCATATATTCGCTAGTCGGACTTCGCGAACCTGTGCTTTACGACAGCATCCTTCACTACCTTCTGCCTCCAAGAGCTGGCACGACACGCCGCTCCAGTCTACCTTTCGAGTCCACTCTGGCATGAACTCCACGATGACGACCCTTGAACTGCCCTTCGACGACGAGCAGTCGGATGAAGATGCTCCCCTCCTCCTAGGCCCACAGCCAACAGTCTCGCGATTCCGTGCCTCAATTTTCCACCAAATCAACTCCCCGCGCATTATAACCTTTATCCTCTTCATTATCATATTCATGCTCGCATCTGGTGGATCTCTTATGGCCATACCTGCATTGCGATTCTACGAAGATGTCATCTGCCATCATTACTATGCCGATCTACAAGGAGAGGGGCATATTTGGTTGGGGGGTGATATAGACGAGGACATGTGCAAAGGGGAGGAGGTTCAGAATCAGCTAAACATTCTAGTAGCAGGAATCCAGTTCTTGAATGCTGGAATAGGTAAGCTATATAAGTTTTTTGGAAAAGGGTAAAGGGTTGTCGACAACTAATGAGGTATCATAAGGCTTGTTCGTAACAGTGCCGTACGGGCTCCTAGCTGATAGGTAAGAAGAAATGCCGCATTCGCCCTATGTTCAGATGAATAGGAAACTTCCTTCTCTGCTAAACCCTGCTGGTCCTATCAGCATTGACTGATTCCACCCATCAATGCTCTCCTATGGTGTTCACGCTAATGATCATGCTATAGAATCGGCCGGAAACTTGTTCTTATTCTTTCTATATGCGGTATGTTTATCGGGGGATGTTGGAATCTCTCGATACTGTATTTCTGGAGAGTCCTTCCAATACGTCTGCTTTGGCTTTCTCCTCTTTCCAGTTTACTAGGTGGTGGTGATGCTGTTTGCAGTATGGTGTTCTACGCCATTGGATGTGATATCACAACTGAGGCTAACAGGTAGGCGGTTCTTGCATCAGGACCCTAGTTCTCGACTAACAATTCCAGAGCCAATTTATTTCTGTTAGGCCGGTGTGCAGGACTCCTGGCAGAGCTTATTGCTCCTCCAGTTGCATCTGCTCTCATGCCACGCTCACTGTGGATTCCACTATTGCTTGGAATGACCTTAATGGGATTGGCAGTATTACCTGCAACCCTTATTCCTGAAACTCTGCACCTACGTGTCTCAAGAATGGCCGAAACGTCTCTTGGCCTGTCATCTGAGCCAAGACTACCTCTGGACAAAGCGACAGCATTTTTCACTGCCATTAAAACACGAGCAGTCGAAGGGCTAAAGACTGTCCACGCTTCTGCCTCTGTCCTTCATTCTCTCCCTGTTCTATTACTTCTAATCACGTTTATTGTCAACCCTTTTGCACGTCAATCGATCGAACTGGCTCTCCTCTATATATCCAAGCGCTTTTCTTGGGAACTTTCCCAGGTCGGATTTCTTTTGTCCCTCCGCGCCTTTGTCAATTTTATCCTTCTTTTAATAATTGTTCCCGCTGTTTCCCATTATATGACAGAAGGTCTCTACCTGTCTCCAACAGCAAAGGATTTATTCCTCGCCCGGGCCTCCGCCATATTACTGGTCGTTGGCGCTCTGCTGATTGCTGCAAGTTCCACTGTCGTATTTACAATTGTTGGTCTGGTTGTCTGGAGTCTAGGTACTGGATTCGACGCATTATCGCGATCTCTCATCACAACTCTGGTAGACCGGGAGCATATAGCACAACTTTATGCCGCCATTTCCATAGTTGAAACCGCAGGAGCACTTGCTGCAGGTCCCACTCTCGCCGGGTTGTACTCGTTAGGCCTGAAATGGAAAGGTACATGGACTGGACTGCCATTCTTTGGTCTCGCGACCATATCCTTTGCGGGGGGGCTAGGAGTTTGGTGTTTCGGGTTCCTCATGAAGAAGCAAGCAAGGCAAGACATGCCTTATGGGGATGAAGACGGGGAGGCCACCTTAGGGGAAACTCTGTTCTCAGAGGGGATACAAGGGAACCGGGCATTATAAACTGAAAGCTGTTTTAATATTTTCTCTTTCCAGAGATTGGTCTCGGGGTATTGGAACGAAAGGTATGAAGCCGCGAAGCGAGAAAAAAAGGACTGAAATGAACTGTCTAGCAAACGACTAATAGAATCCTATGAGGGAAGACTAGGGACTCATTTCTCCTTTGTATCGGATCTCCGAACGCTCTCAAATCTTCTACCCTCAAATCCCTGTCCACTGGCGAACGCATGATTCGAAAAACTGAACGCTTTATCCATATTAATCATCTATTCCGGATGAAGCGCCCTCAAGACCATTTTCTCCCACGCTCCAACACCGGTTCAACAGCGACGCTTCAGCCGTCTCTCAAAATCGCTTGGCAACACAGCATTACTTCTTCTCCGCTTCCCATCCTTGGTGATAAAAACAACTCTCGTCCCATTAGCTTCGGGTCTGGCCACCGCTGGAGGTCTTTTGGATGCCTGTACTGGAGGCCGGGCTTGTCGAGGGCCTAAGGAGGCTGGGGATTGTGAGGGTCGGGATTTTTGGGGGTTTGAAGATGCTGCAGCTGCTGGAAGTCGCGCCCCCTGTGCACCTGCTGGTACTGGAGCTCCTAAGGATCTGGCCTGTTGAGGATATCTGGATGTTGGAGTTTGTGAGGGTCGGGTCTTTGGGAGATTTGCGGTTGCTGGACCTGCTAAAGATCGTACCTTCTGAGGCCCTACGGGTGCTCCAGTCGCTAAAGATCGGACCTGTTGGAGGCCTGCGGGTACTGAACTAGCTGAAGAATGGATCTGCGGAGGCCTTGCAGATGCCGATGGTCTGGCCTGTTGAGATCCTGTAGGTGCTGAACTTGCTGGAAACTTGACCTGCGGAGACCCTGCGGATGCTGAAGATCTGGCTTGTTGGGGGCCTATGGGTGTTGAAGATTTGGCATGTTGAAGCCCCGTAGGTGTTGCGGATTTGGCTTGTTGAGAGCCTTTGGATGCTGGAGTTTGTGGGGTTTGGGTTTTTAGGTCATTTGCGGTTGCTGGACCTGCTAAGGATCGCATCTGTGGGACCCTTGCAGAAACTGAGGATCCGACCTGGTGAAGTCCTACTGGTGAAGACTGGGCCTGTTGAGGGCGGCCTGCAGGTACTGGAGCGGGAGAAGCTTTTTTCCCAGTCGCGTCTCCACGCCCTGTCTGTCTGCTGTTTGACACCCGCTCCTGCCTCTGGAGTCGCTGGTTCTGACTCGGGGTTGGACCTGTGGACTCGGGATGTATTTCCATCAGATACATACTGATCGGTTCTGCATCACCCAGTATTCCCAACACTTTCCTATAAACCTGTGCGATATACCACTCAGGCACCCCAGAATTGCGAAGTCCCAGTAGGCCTCTCTGCCAGAGGAATCGTTCTACCTTGTTGCCAATCCAGAGATTGCGGTAGCCATCTGTAGTGTTCCTAACATCGAAGTGCATGAGACACGACACCATTTGTGCCTTTGGTGGGTCGACTGGGCTCATCATTACCAGATTGACAGGTTGGCGCATTTTGATCAGGGACGCTCCGCATTCTCTGTCGAGTTGGTCTTCGATGTCTGCCGAGACCAGGAACACAAATCCAAATGTGCCAGTGCTCTTCCACTTTAAAGCACCCGTTCCACATGATGGGAAAATGGAGGGACCTCTTATTGTGACATTTGTCTGTTGTATCAGGCTAGGACGTATGTTTGCTTTTCCTAATTGAGCAGGTCAGGCGCGTAGGCCTCGATGGAGGGGAGAAAGAAAGGGTTCACCTAAAGCATTGATATGCCATGTCCAACCTTGAAGGTATCCAACTCCAAGAGCCTGCGCATCTGGATACTTCTCCTTGAACTCCAAGAAACAGAGGTGGCCTCCAAAGGTGAAGTAGAGCGCGCTTTGTCGTGGGTTTGCCTCCGCTACTCGACTTGGCTGAGCGTCATCGAGGATCTTTTCTACCTGAGCAAGGCTCATTGTTGCTATCTGCAAATATTATTGATGTACCACTTAGATCGAAAGGTGGTGTGCTTGTAAAGTACAAGAGTTGTTGCGAGGTTTGGAAGTGAGATGCGGCTATAGATCTGAGGACGTACCGTTGGCTCGATGTTTACCTACCACCCCTTTGAAAGGTGAATAATTACCACGTGAGCCGCTCCCATAGGTAAACAGATATAACTTCACTTTCAAACTTCACCTGGCGTGAAGTGGAAGTCATATCTCTATTAGGTACGTACTATTTTACCATCAACAACAGTTCAATGATCTTGGTCTCCTCCTTGCTTACCTCCCATTTTCCAATCAGCCATTTCCGCAAAGAGCCTTCTAACTGATAGCAGTCCGCCTAGCTATCAAAATAACTCAATGTAGTAGAACTTTACTTTATATCTACAAGTCCTATTTGAAAACCTCTAGGCCGTCTCACTCAATCGATTGAGCTGTTCATAACTGGATCAGACTGAGTTTCTCCAGCAAAGTGAGCGCCATGATTCAGCCCAAGTTCTGAGGACGTATAATGAGACTGCTGGTTAAAGCCAGCTTCGAATATAAGGAGAAGAACTAAGCTTGGACTCACGGTTGAAGTACTCCAGCATAGGTTGGTTGAGCAGTCTCAATTGGCAAGCGTAAGGACTAAGGGCTTATTTACTTGTTGTGATACGTTTGCCCACAATTGCAGAGAGAGCTAGATACGTACGTGCAGGGGTTACGATTGATGGGAGTAAGTTGATCAACACTTATTGCAGCCTTACATATTGATCCTGCCTTTGTCTATGATCTTCAGGTTGACTAGGTAGAGGAATATTGTAGGTTCTGTTCGTTGTCGTCTTTTCTATCTTGGCAAAATTGTCTCAATCTTGTTGGCGCCTATATGGACAACGGAGACGTTGCTTGATATAGTCGGGATTGCCGCAAGGGTCTCATGAAAAGGAGGGGAAAGCTACGTGATCTTAGAGCGGAAACTGGGCTATTGTTTTCGACAACAGCTATGGTTGAAGTTCATAAGTTTGAGTCTAGTCATCTTCTCAGATAAGGATAGTTATAAGATATCACAGTCTCATGTGGAATGGAAATAATGATGGAGTATTCGGGAGTTAGGATATCCTTTTGTTAAGCTGGCCTTCACAAATGCCATTAGAAGCCCCAAGTCTGGAAGCTTGTCACATCCCAACCATTCTCAGGAGAGAGATTCTTCGAGCTCGTTGTGCAGCCACGTATCACATCATAAGATGCCTCGTCTTTACAAGCAGTATTATTACCCTTGATACATTCCGCAAGCTTCGTCCCAACATATTGTCCTTCATAATAGGCACCTAATCAAGTAAGTACTCTGAATCTTCAATTGGGAGTAAGGAAGAGGACTCACCCTGCAGGAAGCCATAATATTCTGCACTCGTGGCTTCGCCCGCAAAATACAAATGTCCCAGATTTGCTCGGAGATTCTGGTGCGTCTCGATACTCAGTCCAGTGGGCCAGTTCGAGTAGCTTCCATAGGCCCAGGGCTCAGTGCTCCACCGCGGGTACATGAAGTCGATTGGATCCGGGATATCGTCTCCAAACATCTTTCTCAATACTTCCATAACCTCGGCCTTCGTCACCTCATCGGACTGAGCTTCCGCCCGATAGCTCTGTGAATACACCACGGTCACAAAGAGGATTCCCGATCCCGGCAAAAATCCTGGCCCAGACAACGATTGCCATACGGGATACCATCCGCGTTCAATGGGGTCTGCGTAGAGGAAGAATTGGGTATCAGCATCCCAGAACTGCTGATCGGGTGGAAACTGCAGGAAGATTTTGGTGTAGGTTCCCATTTGCATCCCTTCGATTCCTTCCTGTTTCCAGTAGGGGAAGGCGGGAGTGAACTCGACGACGTCGTTCTGGAGGACCCCGAGACTGAACGTGCAGATTGCATAGGTCGCGGTTATGCAGCTTCCGTCACTCATCGTGACCGTCACCGAGTCCTTAGCCGAATAGTCAATTGCTGTCACGTTGGTGTTCAACATGAGGCGGGTATCGTTTGGCTTGAGGAAGGTAGAGGCTTCCCCTTGGATGATGGTATTGAAACCGCGTGAATCAAAGACGTAGTTGTTGGCGTCACTGAATTGGTAGAATGTAGTGTTGTAATTCTGAGGGTATGATAATCAGTATAATTCCGTACTTTATATATCGGACGCGGTTTGAGAAACCTACAACTATTGCCCACGTCTCAGAACTTAGGTCGGGACTGTAGCTGTACTCCCAATCAAATTCCCACCATTCGGCCGCTTGTTGAAGCATGTTCTTCTTCGGCTTCCAGTCTGCAAGTGAGAGCCCAGTTCTGAATGAATGGTCCTGGTAATCCTGAGACAATATCATCCCAGCGTCTTCCTCCACTAGGGAGTAAGCGTTTTCAAAATCATCCAAGAGATAGCTATAGTTTAGAGCTCCGTTTTCGTTGTACGTAAGGATAGAAGAATAATCCGAGTACGTGTTCGTCAGATTGTACTTCTTTGCCAGGGTCCAAATTGGATTTTCCGGACCTCCAGGAGTCCCCAGACCTTGCACCCAGTTGGCACCAAGCTCAACGGTATACGGGTTACCGTAGGGGTCCTTGCCGAATGTCGTATGTGCGACTCGACCCCCAACATAAGAATTGACGTCCACAATGAGGAAATCAGTCATTGAGGCATTTGATAGAGCTTGGGCAGCTGTGATCCCGGCCATGCCAGCGCCGAGGACGACCACGGAAGTCTTTTGGCATGTTCCATTGCGGGGTAGGAGGGGCGATGCTGCTGCTAATTGAAGGCCCAAGAAGGCGGAGAGCAGGGCGCGCTTGGAGACTGAGCGCATCGCGAGATGTTGATTTTGGCTGAGACAAGAGTGCTTTCACGAGTGGTATCAACTGGGGACTCCTCGTGCACATAGGTATACTTATACCGAGTAGATAGATGTGTGACAAGGTAGCTTTACCTACCCATGGGCCATGACAGCATAGTCCCGGCCATGCAGGAACCAAAGACGGCTCTTATCACTCTGGGTATCACCTCTGAAAGTAGATATTGCTTTGCCCATGATATTACCCTTGTGTAACGCAACGCCACAGATCGATTTCTCTGCACTGACTGGCCACGAGTCACGACTCCGCATGTTTGTTTTGATGAAGGGGTAGTGCTCCTGGGTTCGATACCTTATCAATTACCGTTGCGTATGTATCATTGTATCTAGACAGTAGATCTTCGCTGCCTATCTCCGAGCTGTCCCAATCCAGCAGCTCCATGCGAGCAAACATGGGGATGGATGGGGAGGACCGGGGTCGTGACATTCTCTTCCCGTTCTCCTCTTGAAGACTTCTTCAAGCTCTGCGAGAATTTCTACTTCGTATTCCGTCAGAGACGTAAGAAACCAGACCAGTTTATGACACTTCATATCCTGTGCTGTGCTTTCATGAAATGGTGAGATACTTACCTAGTATACTGCGTACCGAGTAAAGATAAAGATATCGTTCTCTGTGCCTCTTTCGGGCATCACCGACGACACGTGAGGAATCCTCGACATCCCAAGGGAACTTTTGTATAGAAATTACATTGTCAAAGTTACTAAAGCATTATTTTTATAAGGTTTTACACTAGCAATACATGAAATACGGCACAAAAATTACTATGATAATTGGTGAAAGCTGGCGTTTCTGGATCAAGGAACTCGAGGCAAGCGAATCAAGCGACGGATATAAGAGTACCAAATATATGGCCTTACACCACGAAGAGCTACAGATTTATTTACTTTTAATAGAAAAACTTCCAGAATATTTACCAAGGACAGAAAAGGGCCCTTTCAGCCAAGAGACAAGAAAAGGAGGGAAACCATCCATATCACGTGATACGACTCGAACAGGAAAAACTCGACCCACGATAAGATAGCGAGGCTCGAGAAATTTATTGATATCCAAAAATTCAACCCCACCAACATCCAGCTCTCAACACCACTGCAATGGGAAAAGCAAAGCAAGGGAAGCGCAATAGTGCGGCAGCTTCCTCGTCTCCCTACGCCAAAGCGCAAGCTACCACAAACAACGTCTTCAAATTTGTAGGATCCTCCTAGACAAATGAAGCTACTACTATTAATGCCTATATCTATCCTAACGTGTATCTTAGAACACCAACGTCGGCCAGCACATCCTCAAGAACCCGGGAGTCGCAGAAGCCATTGTCACAAAAGCGAACCTCAAACCCGAAGATGTGGTTCTCGAGGTCGGTCCCGGTACGGGGAACTTGACCGTGAGGATATTGGAGAAGGCGAAGAAGGTCATCGCCGTCGAGTTGGATCCCCGAATGGCGGCGGAGGTGACGAAGAGAGTGCAGGGGAAGCCGGAGCAGAAGCGATTGGAGGTTCTGCTTGGGGATGTGATCAAGACCGAGTTGCCGCATTTTGATGTTTGCATTAGCAATACACCTTACCAGGTATGTGATCCATTATTGTTCTGGGGACAGGAGGGGAAAGGCTGACGAGGCGCAGATTTCAAGTCCTCTAGTTTTTAAATTGCTTGCCCTCAAGGATCCTCCTCGAGTCTCAATCCTCATGTTCCAGCGCGAATTTGCTCTCCGGCTGACGGCGCGACCGGGAGATGCTCTCTATTGTCGGTTGTCGGTGAACGCGCAGTTCTGGGCGAAGATCACACATGTCATGAAAGTCGGGAAGAACAACTTCAAGCCGCCTCCCCAAGTCGAATCTTCTGTTGTTCGGATAGAGCCGAAGATGGGCGCCGAAAGACCTGGAGTTAGTTGGGATGAATGGGACGGAATGTTGCGAATTTGTTTCGTGAGGAAGAACCGAACTATGAGAGCAAGTTGGTTGGGCACAAAGGAAGTGCTGGCCATGGTGGAGAGGAATTACAGAGTTTACTGCGCGATGAACAACATTGCATTGGACGAGACTGTAATTGGGGAAGAGGAAGAAGATATGGACGTTGATGAGGGAATTGGGGCTGGTGATGGGGGAGAGGAGTGGGATGGGATTATGGAGGTGGACGACGAGGCCGACGAGACACCCTCATTCTTCAAGGAGGAGGCTGAAAGGGCAGCGAGAGAGAATCCAGCCAAAACAAAGAGCAAGAGGAAGAAGACCAGAGTCGCCGAATTGGTCCGAGAGAAGATCCGAAAAGTTTTGGAGGATGTTACGGAGTTGGCTGACAAGCGGGCTGGGAAGTGCGATGAGAATGATTTCTTGAAGCTTTTGTTTGCTTTCAATCAGGAGGACATACATTTTGCTTGATTTTGGGCTGCGCTCAAAAGGAAAAGTTCTGATTTAGCATGGCGTTGGTGCGAATTCATAACCAGGGAAAGTATCCCCAGTTGATAGCTTCTTTCCTCGTTGGCTAAATATCTGGTCTAGTAGATGAGTATATAGCATCGTTGGCTTATTTGAATGTTTGTCCCAGGTCTCGTCCCATGTTGCAATTAAGTGATTCTTGCTATAACCCCTACAAAGGAAGCACAAGAAGAGTCTTGGGGAAAGATAGGGGCTGGCTCGGTTCGGTACCCCTTTTGAGTCGTCGGGTGCCAGATCCGGGGCGGAATCACTTCAGAGCACATTCACAGCAGTTAATACTGCAGCAGAGTCGCAACAACTAGCTTGCTTATAGGATAAATAAAGATTATGATTTATTTTATTCCAAGATGTACATATGTACAGAGGGAGATCTCGTCTCTCATTATTTCATCATTTTACCAGCCACCTTCTGGAGAGCGGGGCATATAGCGCGTCTTGGATCACCTTCACCCACTGCCAAGGTTCCGTCCCCACCCCCTCTTGCAACCCAGCATTGAAGTACTCCCAGCCTGAGACTCCCCCAAAATCGGGGTACTGCGCCCTCAACTCCTGGATCGTCGTCACGATACTATTCGTGTTAACCCATCCACTGCCATCACTCGCACTATCAAGAACACCCATCACCACCCTTTCGGGAGCCCATCCTTGGGCTATGATCTGGCGGTATGTGCCCGGTGTGCCCGCGCTCCCGAAGCCACTGTAGAATTGGGTGTTGTACCAATCGACGAGCGGGGCGCCGGAATCATCGACGGCGCTGGCGTCCAGCTCGAAGTAGTTGAAGCCGGAGATATTGTTGGTATTATTGTTGATGAGAGCGGTGGCTACAGGAGCCATGGTTATGGAGAATGGGGGTGCGAAGTCCTGCCGGATATTCTGGATTAGGCGCAGGGCAACGGCTGATGAGATTCGGTCCTCGATGTCCAGGTCGATGCCGTCGAAGTTGTACTGCTTCAGCAGGCGTACTAATGGCTCATAGTAGCGGCGGAACTGGGAGTGTCAGGAGTCTGGAGCGATCCAGGAGAAGGAGACTTACTGTAGCAGGATCTCCTGAGCTCAAATTGTCATAGGTCCCTCTTGCAGCTCCGCCCAGCATTGCCAGGACTTTAACTCCCTCTGCTTGGAGCTTTTTAACCTCATGCCACTAAACAGAATCAGTATGTTTATTCCACAGACAAGGAATAGCAGGGCCGATCCATAAAGAAGGAGTCTTGCCCCTGAAACGTATTTCTTGGCAATTGAAAGTAGGATAGAGCAACGGCATAGAAATATACATACGAGGTAATCAAATTGAGTTGAATTGGGCGGGTTATCATTCAAATGAATCTCTCCCGCTTGAGTCGAGAGATGAAAAGAGGATATGATAACATGGGTCACGCCGGTGTTTTCTTTAACCAGTGGAAGAAGTCGTACTGATTCGTTCTGGGCAGTGGTAAATGTCTGAACATACATCGCCAGCCGCGGAATCTGATCGTCACCACTCGTCGACAGCCGTGATGAAGGAGCGCTCGGGAATGCGCTGACGAGGGGCGAGAACCAAAGCCATAGCAGAGAGAGCTTCATGATACAGCCCCCTCAAGCTCAGCCGTTCTGCAGAGTTGAAGATTACCACGAGCCGCCAACGCGCTGTGCAGATATTGTTGGACGCCATGGTTCCTATATACTAAGTACTAGGCACGAATGGCGGGGCAGTGAAGGTTGGAGGTCTCAGCCAACCTCGTACAAAAACGGCACCATGATCGCGTGGTCCTAAAGCGAAGGATGGGTATCTATCTCAAATGCCAAGCAAGAAGAGAGGAAGCTGACTCGTATGGCACGAGAGCAAAGGATGGAAGTGCCGCGCTTAGAAATCTGTAGTCCCGGTCGCTTCGCAACCCTACGCGCAGTGTTGTATACCTACAGCAGGCAGGTCCTGTAGTCTTGGCGACTGATTGTCAGCGTATGATCAACTTGGGATCCCACGGTGCTGGATGCTGGTTACGGATGAAATCATCCGTCGCGTTGCAGCGTGGTGAACCGTGGTCTACGGAGTTCCTATGGAGGGGGACGCGCCGTCGTGGATTTAGGCTTCGGGAGCGGCTACATATCTCGACTCTTAGCTGCAAGGTACGAGGAAAGACGGATTGTTCTACTACGTTGCTATCAATCCCTTCACTACTAATGGCCTAGCCCTCGACAACAAGTCGGAAACCTGCCCAATAGAAGCAGGTCCCTAAGGGGTAAACGGCCGTTGATACGATGATTATTGCGGGCCAGACCGTGTCTATTTCGTGGTATAGGAAGGTGGTCGGATGCTCCGTGGATGGCGGCAAAGCGTGAGGCGCCATAGAAGAGCCTTTCAACCTTGAAAGAACAACAATGGCCGGCATGGATGTCATGCACATCGAGGCTGGGATATAGCCCACTTCTGCCAAGGCTCGCTCCTACCGACCGGGCAAATCTATGCTGTATGGGAGAATGGAGTACGTACGGGGTACGCCACACTATGCGTGCTCCGTAGGAACCCAGAAAAGAAAAAGTGCCGAGGAAAGGGGTGCAGAGACAACACTGGGAGGGAAATGGAAATGGTATTTCATCCTTATATACTGGTATTCTAATAATCGCCTCAACGCCTGCCGCTCCTCACAAACGCCCCAGCGACGATGACAGATCCCATTATCCCCTCGCGGAACTCCTAGCAGGCTCCTTTCCCTTCGATTTCTTCCTGACAGGCTGATACACATCGTTAAAATTCATAACCACACCCAAGAACCGCATGTCGACATCTGGCTGATAAGCCAAGTCACCCAGTAACAAACACACCCGGGACCGGAAATGCCCGCCGAGCGCCTGCAGCCGTTCCCGCAAGACTGGAAACTCATCTGCGATGGACTCGTCTGCTGAAGGAGCCGGTGTGGAATCGAGAAAGTGCCGAGGACCACGGCGAGTCGTCGCAGGCGTGTTGATCAATATGCCATCATCGTCTTCGCGTCTGCTTCGCGTTTCGGTGCGGACATCTGCTCCCTGGCGTCTGGTGAATTCGGAGACGGACCAACTATATAGCCCGTCAACAGCATCTCGATAACTGAGCATCAGTCGCAGAATCTCGCCGAGTTGAACCATGAATGTGTTATCGTCATTTTCGCCATGGTGTTTCTTCTTTGCACCGAGAAGTCCCTTGTGCGTTATCGCGTTCAAGTATTTAGTGTGTGCTTTGATGAGGTCGTCCAAAGTGCAGCCTTCCTTGTGGATAGCCGTTTGGAGCTCGTCCCAAGAGCTTTCGATAACTTCGAAGAGGATGTAGTATTGAAGCTGACCGATGAAATGAATCATCTCCGCCAGAACACCTCTTGTCAGCTTCCATGCTTGTGCAACGTTTGGGTTTTCATCTTGGAGAACACCTCGTGCCCCCGTCATACATTTTCGCCAGGTCGTAGCCAATGCAAACTCAACCCGCTTGAGCCGCCACAGGAAGTTGAAGACTTTAAGGTACTGCCGATTCCCCCACTCTGTCACTACTACGTCTACAGGAGCATCAATCTTGTATTCCAGGGTGAAGCAATCCCAGCCTATGTCTCCATGTGACAACTGGAGCATCCGAGCGTCCAATCTTCGCAGGACTTCGGGCGAATCATACTGTGCATTTGAACCACGAATGGCATGCTCCAGTTGTGCGGTCAAGGTATGCCGATACTGTGCGCCTGCAGGTCGATCCAGGTTGGAAGAAAGGGATTCCATGAGGAGGGCGATGAAATCTCCCTGGCCAAGGAGGATGTAGTTCTTTAGAGCTTTGAGATGCTCAAACAAATGAAACTTCTCCGCCATTAAATGTATGAGACGAGCCATTGTCGTCTTGTAAGCTTCGTCAATCCATGTTTCCAGGGTTGCCGTGTCACCGTATCGCAGCTCCTTTGATGCTGCTTTCGAATATTCTTCTACCCACTGAGAATCACCACAGCCATATCGGATGAAATTCAAGGATTTGCCAATCAGGAAAACTTTCTGAGCGAAGTCCTGGGTGATAATGCTTGGAACCATATCCTCGTTGAGCATGTACTTGTCTTCCCATACGCTTGCTCCTCCTCGACTCTTGCCATCGTGGGTATCATTAACCGCATTAGGATCCTGCTCAGAGACAAAGAATTCGTGATATGGATCAGACAACTCTCCATCATAAATCCACTGTCGTAACATGTCATAAAAAGGTCGAGTAACGTGAATCAATAACCGCTCCGCAAACGCTCCTACCATTGGGTCGCCATGGGATGACGAGAATCCATGTATGAGGGAAATGAGTTGCCCACCCCGCTTGCTCTTCGATTCCTCACTTATGAGACTCATTAAGCGTAAACCCATCGTCGCCTCCCTAGTCCAGACGACACATCTTTTGAGTGTTACACCAGCCTTGCCGATACCTCCTCTTGGCTCCTTTTCATCTAGGGATGCCAGGGCACGCCGAATCTGGCTTTCCAATGTGGCGACCAATCCAAGATACGATCTGAGTTCTCCCCCGATAGCTGCTCGCAAACTTTGACCAAGCAACCCTCCATCGGCCGACTGGACGAAAGAACCTAAGCCCCGGTACAGCAAAGAAGGTTCGGCTAAGGTGTGAAGAATGGAGAGTATGGGAGCTGGCAAGGTAGCCGGTAGTGTCAGGGTCGAATTGGAAGAAAATGGTAAATTTGTCGAAGATAGGCCTTGCAAGGTGAAAGGCAGGTCCCTAAGAAGCGCTATTTCCGGTGGATCAATTTCAACATAATTTTCTGCCAGCAAAGCGGTCTTGAGTGCGACACTTTCACGTTGAATCGCCGGTGCCCTGGGAAAGGCCTGCTCCTCCTCCTTTCTGTCTCGCTGTCCTCCTTCTCGTGTTGGCAGCCTATGCAACCCTTCAGGCGCAAATGCTTCCTGGAAGGGAGTTTCTTCTCTCTTTGAGCCAAATTTCGGCGAATTTGGTATTCGTCCATTCTCCAGATTTTTGGTTCCCCCGTTCTTAGTAGGACTCTTGAATGGGCTGGTGAGAGCTGGTGGAGGTCTAGATTGCTGGTGACTCCCAAGCTGATACAAAAAGTATAGGACAGCCCACTTCTGCGATATAACCGGTACAGACAGGAGTCTACTGTATAGATTTGTGAATCGGAGAGCCTTCTCGGGGCTTGGGTTCGTTTGTATTAATCGTTTCTTGATCAGATCAGAGGCTTGATTTACATCGGCAACAACAGCGGGACTTTTCGAACTTTAGGTTATTGATCAGTATCAGCCTGGAGAAAATCCCGAGATAGTTGAGATTCGAAGCCACATACCTTCCTAAGACCTCTCTCACAAACTCAATAGCATTTTGCTCTCTTTCCTCTGCCGAGGCGGCATCTTCACCTGGTATCTCTACCAATAATCGTCGTACTAAGCTGTCAATACCGTTGCTGATACGTTGATTTCGAGAAGACATGATCGCATTGTTGCAAATGAGAGTTTTAACCCAGTCTGCAGTAGATCCAATCAACTATTATTTCGCTGTCGGCGTGTTGACGCGTGAATTTGGCGGGGAGGCACGCGCCCAGGTTCAATATCGCTAAATCCACGACAACATCAATATTTGCACGGCTGGCTTTCGGACGTCACAAGTCAAGTTGCGACAAAATCGTCCATCTCGAGTCATCTACCACAACCTCATATTGAGTCGGATCATCTCCATATTGCATCGCTAGGGTCCTCTGGCTTTGCGCTTTTCATGGGCCCTTGATTATCTCGCAAGTCGCGCTGTACTGGCCGCTCCAGGCGCGACTCTCAAGATGCCTGACATCGACCCTGCGGCTTTGAGCCGTCCCTCTGGCATCTCGACCACACCTATTTTACCTCCAAAAACTATCGGCGCATCGGCGCAAAGTGTGCCCAAAGTGTCCAAGAGCAACCATGTACCCGCGCGGATTGATCTCGAGCCATTGTACACGGCGCTCAAGCTGGCGATTGGCGAGCATTGGGGAACATATAAAGAGTCTATCAGCCTTTTTGTGATGGGTTAGTATATACTCCCGTTGTCACCTCGCGGGCTTCAATTGTATAAGCCCAATTGCGCAATTATCGATTTACTGATTGTTCTCCATACAGGCCAGCTGAACCAAGCCGAGTTATCAGCACGGATCGACAGTTTCCTAGTTACACCCAGCGGCGAAATAGAGCATCTTCATAATCAACTTATTGCGGCAATATATGGAAATGTCACCCGAGAAATGCCAGATCAAGGCGTGGCCAGCTGGGTCAGTGCAAATGATAAGCCTACAACAGGGGCTGGGAGCAAACCAGTTAGTGGAGATGCGGCGGAACAAAGATTAAAAACGGAGGTCATGCAATTACCAAGTCGAGATCGAAGGCGGCTGAAAGATCTAAGCCAAAACGATGTGAGCAAACTTCAACTTCAGCTCTTTACTCCTATTTCTTTAAAATTCAGTGTATTGACAATCACGCTCAGTTCGACCCATTCATTGCATTACAAGATCTGTTTGGAGATATGCGACGGCAGAAGCCTTCAAGAGCTCCAGAAGCTGTAACCCCGGGCGCTGGGGGGTTAAGCAAGACAAGTACGTCCTATTCCTGCTTATTTCTGCTTATATATGGCCTATCTTTAGATGACTATACTGACACCACTCTAGACTGGGACATTGAGATTCGTAAAAGATACGCCCACCCATTGGCCTTAGAGTCAGGGGAGTTTCCAGACCCATCTACTATTGAAACTCGGATGCTTCCCATTTGCTACGAGACTGGGCTTGTCTCCGGACATGCGCAAGATGCAGCTTATTTCATGTCTGTAGCTACGGAAACATTCATAAAAGAAGTTCTTTCTTCTATTTTCAGCAAAACGCGTAGTAATGGCCCAGGAACCACTGGAAGCGCTGGAACTGGAGGAGGTTCGACTTGGATTCAGTCCCATAAGTATCGAACTCAATTAGAGAAAGAGGAGGAGGCTTTCCTACGAGGTGAAGTAGTAAGAGACAAGAATGGACTACTTCCCACGGAAGCCAAAGCTGCCAGCGAACGGGGACCCCTCGGGATGGCCGATGTTAGGACTGCACTCGAACTGGGCGACTGTGGCCTCGGCCAGATGCCGGTGGTGATGCGGCAAATTTTGTTTGGATACCGTGAGGGTGAGCTGGAGGCGTGGGACGACTTCTCTTGGCCTGAGGGTTATGATGGCGGTAGAATCCTCGGCGAGGATATTGATGGAGATCTAGAGATGGCAGGTGTCAATGGTTCCAATGGGGTCAATGGAGTCAATGGACACTACGATTTGCCTGGAGAGGTCGATGACTTTGGCTGGGAAGGAGGCGAACCTGAAAGCAGGGCTGCCCTCGATAATCTGCTGGATTCCTGTCTGGCATGAGGCAGGATTTTGTTATGTTGGCTAGCACGGATGGCGTTGCACTGGAGGGGCTTGTTTTGGTTTCGACGGAGCGTTGCATGGCATGGAAGGCGTCTGCGGTATTGAACATACGTTTTACTCATTGTATAAAGCCGGACTAAAAAGAGGGTATGGAGGAAGGAGGCGTCTTCTGGATGGCAGGAATTATGTACGCAGACGGCACGATACCCTGGATTTGTTGGTAGAAGCCAATGGTTCAAATGGCAGTAGCAGTACATAAGATTCAATTGGCAAGTTGTCTTTGTTCTTGAATCTTGATATTCCTTGAAGCATATGATAGTTTTGAGAATCATGTGTGGTTGAAAACAGTCCCGGCATTGGTTTCCTGATCCCTGCTCGTTTCGCGACGGCCTCACCTCAGCCTTGTGTTGTGCGGTCAGTGCCTGAAACGGAGCCTTCTGATCCTCCCCCGAACACTTACGAATCACTCTCCTCCCATTTTCCTTCTCAACTTTTCCGAAGGATTTGATGCGTAGAAGCTCTGCCAAATATGTCGATCGTTATTGACAAGATCCTCGCGGCCTCGCCAAGTACGGAGCGGGGTCGGCCAACTCAGCTCTCATCAGACCCCAAGGGAGAGCGCATTGCTTATGCCGTGAGTGTGCCAGGTTGGCAACCCCTTGAATATCTGCTGATCCGCCCTTTCAGTCAGGCAAATCTATCTTTCTTCGATCCATCGACGAACCCTCTCTCAGCAAACAATACACTGACCACACAACCTCGACTACGGTGGCACGCTTCTCCCCCTCCGGATTCTACGTAGCTTCTGGAGATGTCTCCGGTACGGTAAAGGTTTGGGATGCGATAGAAGGAGTCAATACAAAGGGTATCTATTTGCCCGGTCTTCCGTCCAACCTCAATTACTGATTAGTTCCAAGGCACCTACCAAATCATATCTGGACGAATCAACGATATTGCTTGGGATGGAGACTCTCAACGCATCATTGCTGTTGGTGACGGGCGTGAGAAGTTTGGCCATTGCATAACTGCGGATAGCGGTAACTCCGTAGGGGAAATCAGCGGACACTCTTCAGTCATTAACTCAGTATCGATCCGCCAGCAACGACCTCTACGAGCAGCTACGGGTGCCGACGATAGCAGTCTAGTCTTCCTACACGGGGCGCCATTCAAATATGCCACAAAGCTTGGAGGACTGCACAAGGGATACCTTTATGGTGTGGAGTTTTCACCGGATGGAAACCATCTCGTCAGTGTTGGTGCAGATCGTAGGATACAACTATATGATGGCAAGACCGGGGAAGCCACGGTGCAGATTGGTGAGGGAGAACACAAAGGAAGCATATTTGGGGTTTCTTGGGCGAAGGACTCGAAGCGTTTTGTAACGGCAAGCGCAGATCAAACAGTTAAGATTTGGGACGTGGAAACTGGAAAAGCTATCCAGAGCTGGCGACTCGGCGGGGAAGGAAACGTTAGTATTCCTGATCAGCAGGTTGGAGTGGTATGGCCTGCAGGACGTAGTGATGGCATGGTAATCAGCTTGAGCCTGGCTGGAGATCTCAACTACCTCGCCGAGGGAAGCCAGAAGCCTACCAGGGTTATCCAAGGGCACAACAAAAGCATCACTGCCCTTGGCTCTAGTCATGATGGAAAATCTCAAACTTTCTGGACAGGCAGCTTTGATGGTAGAGTCTGTTCTTGGGATAGTGCCTCGGGCCTTGGCTCAGTGGTTGAAGGCAGTTCGCACACCAACCAAGTAGCAGCCTTCACCACTACACCCGATAGAGCCTATAGTGTTGGCTGGGACGACACTCTGCGGATTGTTGACACAGCTGGAAAAACTTTCCTTGGAGAAGCGGCTAAGTTGACTGCTCAACCTAAGGGAACGGCATCCGCAGAAGGTCGACTCTTCGTTGCTACTGCTTCGGGAATAGACATCTTCTCCAAAGATAGCTTGGTGGGGACATTCCCGACCAAGGAGTTTACCCCTACGGCTATTTCAGCACATGGATCTCTGATTGCTGTTGGGACCGACCAACACGCGGTGCATATCTACACGGTCGATTCAAGCAACAAGCTAAATGAAAAGGAGAAGTTGGAAAACTCAGCTCCTATGATTACAGCCCTCGCCTTTTCACCAGATGGATCACTTCTGGCAGTTGGTGGCTCTTCTGGAAAGATCATTGTCTATAACACTGGCTCTTGGGACATAAAGACTGATCGATGGTCTGCTCACACGGCGAGAGTCTTGAGCATTGGTTGGAATGCAGAGGGAACACATGCTGTGAGTGGCGGTCTGGATACCAATGTCTTTGTTTGGAGTCTGGCATCTCCAGGCAAGAGAGTCAAGGCAGCAAATGCTCATAAGGACGGCGTGTTTGGGACATGCTGGCTTGATGGTGGAAAGAAAGTTGCTAGCACTGGTGGGGATGCTGCATTGAAGATATGGGATGTTTCCAAACTCGAATAGAAAATTGTTGAGAACGGCACTGTTACCACTCACCGATAGACGTTTCCATCAATACTACGGAGTATTGATAGGTTTACCTGCTTCAACGAATCAGGCCCTCCTCGTTTCCTGGGGACGCCGACTGCGTTAGATTCCTAGGAAGCACAGCACATCGAATGAAAATGAATAAGGAGCTTTTCTCTTCTGGATTATAAAGTGAAGCATGGCCAATATTTTGCAGGCGAATAAATATTGGTGGTAACCTAGTGCCAGATCCCCTGCATTGTCTCTTGATGTATAACCGCCAGGGGTTGCCGCCACGAGCTGAGCCGGGAGACGCTTCAACCTCACTCGAAACATCTCGTTGATTGGACCACCTTTACAGATTAACAACTTCACCTTACAATCAAAGCAGACCTCCCAGGACAATGGAAGCTCGTCTACCGACTTGTAGAACCCTGCCTTTGTCTATCTGCAACAATGTTACGGGTCAGGCCATAGAGCTTCTTTGTATTGTGGCCTTTGATACCAAAAATGGATCAAGGACAACCGACTAATATATATACGTACATGTTCCATTGAATCAATAGCCTTCACTGATGACTGAAATATAAGTTCCAGGGCGTTTGCGACGTTCTCGACGCTTTTCACCAGCTACGATACCAGCAAAACATCCACTTCTCAATTTACCAAAATGGATCTCTCCAATACAGCACACATAGAGCAACCTCAGCGTCACAACAGCAAGACATCACGACCTCTAAATCGCAGCACAACAACCAAAGTCCCTCTACGAACAAAACCCAACCTCTCCCTCCATATCCCACAGAATCCCTTTTGCCACTTCAAAGCAACGTCGCCATCACCAGCTCACAATGTTACTTCTCTCCGCCCCTCCATACCACGCCAGAACTCCGTGCAGACACGTTATATGAACATGCTGCTAGACCTTGACGCAATTCCTAGCCTACACAATATTTACGCATCCTTCTTCACGTGGATTCTACTAGCTGGCTTGTACGTACCATTTCTTTTGTCTCCCAGCTCTTAAGACATCATATCTCACAAGTCACCGAGCATGTTTCGATACCCTTAAACTTTTCTCAGTCCGAGGATATTGCTGCTAACTCTATACACAGCGTCATCTTCCCCAGTACATTCACCTCTCTCAATGCCCTCGGCGAGAATTCAACCATCGCATCATCACATGCCGCGACCGACATCCTGAAAGAAGTCAAGGACGTACCGCTCTTGTACATCGCAGCGTTCTGTTCCGGAATTGGAGCCGCGGGTATGATATGGCTCTGGGTGCAGTGGCGAGCCAATTTCGTCTGGCTCCTCAACCGCATCTTCTTGCCCGGGTGCTTGAATAGTTTTGCGGGGCTGATCTCAACGTTGACTAATGTGTATTCGCAGCATGGGGGCAATTGGAGCGTCACGGCTTGGGCTACGGCTGCGGTTACGGGTGGGGTTATGGTTATCACGGGGGGTCTGTTTGCCTTGTATAATTTTTGGTTGTTGGAGGCGGTGAAAAAGAGACATGAGTTGGAGATGGGGCAGTGGAATAAGGGGCACGGATATGAGGGGGGTATGGACAAGATTGGGCGGAAAACTCATGAGCCCTTTGAGGAATCAGGCAGTATGGTTTGAATTTTATATAATAAACTTGCAGTTAGGAAAGGTTAGCGTTCTTTGGAAGACCTGGGTAGATTTGGGCTCTTTGAAGGATCAGAGTCGCTTCGCTACAAGGAAAAGTAATACCTTTGATCAAAATCCATTTATCATTTATGTTCTCCCTGTATATGAACAAGACCGCCGACTACAACGGCTTCGGTCAGACTTTGGAATATGAAATAATAACGGTAGGTCAATTGACCCTAAATCAGAGAAGGCCGCTTCCAGAATAATGAGGCCTTCCCAAACTCCATCAACGCCAACGCTATGCAGGATTAACTTTTTTGTTCATTCCTCACGGCATTCCTACCATCAACATTTCTAACATGCCACTCGTCTGGATTGCTTGCTGTGACCTCTCAACCTCCTTTCGCACTCGGCGATGCAACAACCTGGTCATCTGCACTAGTTCAGAAGATCCGCCAAGATGTTCAGAGTAGATGTCCAAGAGTAGTAATGCAGCATCAACACATATGCTGACGTACCGAGGATCTGTGATATGCTTGATGACCCATCTGAAAATTGGCTGAACGGTAGCTTCATCACGCCCTTGCAACGCTGCTCTCATAGCACTCCTATGTCGCAACGCTGTGAGCAGGGTGAGGACCGTAACTGATGAAAGTCCTCGAGAAAGCACCTTGTCCAATGCTTGTGAATATCTCCCTTTGCGAAGATCATTCTCCCAGATAGCTTCCGGCTTCCCCCTCCCACGTTTGTTGCCCTCGATTATGACGTCGGCGCCTTCGCCCATGAAGTCCATACCCCTGAGCCTTTTCTCAACTCCCCTTGTTCGCTTCTTTTTGTTCTTCTTGTCATATTCCTCTAGTGTTCCTTCTAAGAGGGCTTGCATTTCCTTCGCCCTTTCCCGCTCTTTGACCTTCTGCTGACCCGACAATCGCGTCTTAATTGACAAAACACCAGACTGCATACCCACAACCAAATGTTTGTCCTCGCGGTTGGCTCCTGCGCTTATAACATTGACAGATAGAATGGGAGCGGGATACTTGGAACCGGCAACAACATTCCAGCCTGTAACCTCGAACATCTTGACGTGGCCATCCAGACCTCCACTAACAAGCCTGGTTCCATTTGATGCCAGGCACAATGAAGTGACTGTTTTTTGGTGGTTTTTGAGCAATTGTAGAGGTTTTCCAGCTACCAAATCGAGGACCGAAATCTGGTTGTCGGCAGAAGCTAATACTGTTGTTCCAGATGGCATTGGTAGGACTGCCTCAATCGGCGCAGCATGTTTGAAGATCATTGCAGCTCTGGTCGGTATCCTGGGATCCCAGAGTCGGACCGTCTCGTCGTAACTCCCCGTAACAATCATATTCGACATAGTCCCTGGCATGAAGCTCCCACTCCGGACATAATCTGAGTGTCCGATAAAAGTTGTCGTGCTCTGTTGGCTTGGTAAATCCCATAATCGAACAGTGCGATCGTCACTGGCGCTCATGAGTGTTGTCAACTCAGTTGGCGAGAACTTGGTCGTCCATACTGGCTGCTTGTGTTCCTCCCAGGTCTTCAAAATCGCCCTTGAATTCACATCAAACACCTGGATCTTGCCAGTCTCATCGCCAGCTACCATAACCCGGCCATCTCGTCGAATCTCTCCACTGTGTGCTATATCTGAAAACCGAGTGAAGGTCTTGACCAGTTTTCGCGTGCGAATGGAGAATACCTGCACTCGAGTGCCGGTAGTGACCGCGAAATAGTCATTGTTCGAAGGAAGTAAAGGATTGCTCGGTGGGGGTGGGAAAGAGATATGCGTTACTGGCGATTGAGAGGGAACATTTTGTGATGATCTGAAGCCTTTCCAGTATTGTTGTTCGGGCGTGATAGGGGATGGCCCACTGGGGAGCTTCACCTCCTGAAGCTTTGTTATCGGAGCCGCCATCTTGTGAAGAACATTGACAGTCGCGAAGGTTGCAATGTGAGGGACGGCGCAGAGAACTGGTTTTGAGGAACAAAAAAAAGTCAAACACCTCGGGGAAGGTTATTTTTCACGGGAGCGCTAGTACGTATAGATACTAGCGCAAGCTTAAAGTTTCCCTGGAGAAGATGGTCATCACGTGACAAAGATATTGTAGATAGATGCCTCGTCGCCTTGCTTGGTCACATATTAGTCATCCATCAGTTGCAACTTGCTTGACCAAGCTGACTGCATCTTCTTTAAGACTAGTGCCGCTCCTTAGCGGATTTGTCAGCCTACAGCCAGAAAAGGCTTTCCTTCTCGCCTCTCAGGATCTGACTCTGCCTCCTTCATCCCCACTGTCGACAGTCGACAACACCACGACCCATCATCACGGAAGACAACTATCCCATCAACTTATTGCCTGTCGCATCACTGGTGCTTACTTGTGGCATCCCGCTCGTTCAGTGTGGCTTGGAAGAAGGGGTGGACACAACGCGAGGGGGAAGAATTCAATTGTTGTCGTAGTGAATGAGTTTGCTATTGTCGTGGAGGAGCCAACAATCAGTCAAATCAATCCAGAACGTCGCACAGTCGCACATTGCAGCTAGCTGCAGTCTTGTACATCATTTCTTTTCTTTGAGAGCATTGTTCGTTTCACGCGAGTTACCTCAGTGATTGCAATCAGATTTCATTTCACCTCGTTCTGTCGAACGGAAAAAGAAGAAGAATCTTGATCTTGCAACGGTCGCATTCACGAACCAATATACCTCTTCCTTTCATTTGGACCGCTGATCTCTGAGCACTTGCTTGTGTTCTTAAAGTGCCTTGGGAGTAGCTCCACTTTGTACCTCTCGAACAGGAACCCCAACGACCCTCGACCTCGACACCTACACTACAATCTGACATCATGACGTCTTCAGTATTCTTCAAGTTCAAGTCCCAGAAAGAGCCATCTAGAGTGGAATTTGACGGTACTGGTATCTCCGTATTTGAGCTCAAACGTGATATTATCATCAAGAGCGGCCTTGGTGACGGAACAGACTTCGATCTTGCGATCTACAATGAAGATGGCAACGAAGGTAAGCATCCAATGAGTATCAGATCAATGGTCAACTAACACCTCTCCAGAATACGATGATGATACTACCATCATCCCCCGCTCCACCTCTATCATTGCTCGCCGGCTGCCACCCATCAAGCCAGGAGCAGGCAGAGCCGCCAGGTACATGTCAGGTAAAATGCCGGTGAGCGCCAAGAACTCTTCACGAAAGGAGCAGTCAGCAAGCAAGACAATTGCAAAGTCGACTGTGAGCACAAATGGCCTTACACAGATGGATGGTGCTATGACGGAAGAGCAGCGGATGGCAGCCATGTTTCAAGCCCAGAGCGAACAATGGTCTGCGCAGCAAGAAGAGATGGCCAAGTATGTTCCCCTACTCCGAATACTACAACTATACTAACGTTACCAAGTCAAACCCCAGTGTACCGACCAGGTGCCAAGAAGGGTCAACTTCCCCCCAACGTACCAGACCACGAGCCTCCTACAGGATACATCTGTTATAGGTGTGGCGAGAAAGGGCATTGGATTCAAGTCTGCCCTACGAATGACGACCCCAACTTCGACAACAAGCCAAGAGTCAAGCGTACAACTGGAATCCCGAGGTCATTCCTCAAAACTGTGGAGAAGCCTGTGGCGCTGAGCAACGATGGCACGACGGATGATACAAAGCCTCCGTCGGGTGTTATGGTGAATGCAGAGGGAGAGTTCGTGATTGCAGAGCCAGATAAGGCATCCTGGGAAAAGTTTCAGGCCAAGACCAAGTCCTCGGCTGCTGCGCAAGAGGCTGCTGCTTTAGGAGATAAGGAACTTCAGGATAGAGGACTGGAGTGTCCCATCGACAAGAGAATATTCATAGATCCAATGAAGACGCCTTGTTGTGAGAAGACGTACTGCAATGATTGCATTACTAATTCACTTATCGAAAGCGACTTCACATGTCCTGGATGTCAGACTGATGGAGTATTGATTGATGATCTAAAGCCTGATGACGAGACATCTTCGAAGATAAAAGCATATCTGGAGGAGAAGAATGCCGCGAAGAAGGAGAGGGAAAGATCTAAGAGTCCCAGCGTAAAGCCCGAAAGCCCTTCTGCTGCGGCAGAGAAGAAGGCCACGCCGGCATCACCACCGCCAAAATCGCCAAAGTCACCTGTACAGACCAAGTCCCCGGAGCAGTCCAAATCACCGAAAGCGGAGGCGGCCACCGTAAAGGAGGAAAGTTCGAAATCCAAGAAACGTCCAGCGGAAGAGCTACTCGAGAATCCCAAGATCCCCAAGGGCCCCAAAGCCATGCAGCAACAAGAAGCGCAGAAGCAGGCCATGTTGCAGCAGCAGGCAGCCATGATGAATGGGATGGCCGGTCTCGGCGGCTTCCCTAACATGCCCTTTGACATGTCAGGACAGTTCTTTGGCGCCAACGGCTTCGGCGGGATGCCGATGATGAATGGATTCGGTATGGGCATGCCGAATCCGATGATGATGAACCCCATGATGGGAGGCATGAATGCATATGGAGGATTTGGGGCTATGAACGGCATGAATGGATTCGGCGGTGCCGGCTTTGGAGGGATGGGGAACATGGGCGGCATGATGGGTAACAACATGGGCAGTGGAGTGCAGGCCAACGGGGCAGGAGCCGCTGGAGGGTTCTCGAATCAACAGAAGACCGTCTTTGCTGAGCCTCTACCGAACGAAGAAGACAATGCGTATTTCCGTCAGCCGGTCAACCCGCATCGCCACCAAGGCCGACAACGAAGAGCCAGACCGAGCGACTACCGAGAGCTATAGACGGGGTTAGCTATTCTCTTTTGGCGGTTTCTCTCATCTCAGCGAGTATCAATCTTCGGACTTGGGGTCGGTATGGATCGACGATCCTCTATCTCTCTCTCTCTCTCTTCAGCATGGCGATGGCGTTTATGGGGGGCGGCAAGGCGGCGCACACGGGCTTGTATCTACGGACGGGGTTTCACGGTATGGAGATAGATGTGGGACGGACCTGCATCCACAAACCTGTATTTTCTGAACCCTTTGACTCTCGGAGGTGGAAGCTCCTGAGCCATCATCAATCATATTCACGGATTGGGCTGTTATCTGATTAAGGACTGTTTTTTTCTCGGGGAGGGGGGCCCGCCAGCAGCATTCGCGCGGGGTCATAGCGAGATAGTAGATACAGTATAATACCTAGAATTCGAAATCTTCCATCTCCACCATGCTTGTTTTTGTGTTTTTCCGTTTCCCCAAATCTGCTGTTGTGCTACTGAATGACGTGTGCTGGTTGATTGAATGCTTGACTGATCCTCCTTACCTGCATATTTTGGGCCCATATTTTTCATGTCTTGTCTCAAAAACGAAAAAAGGGGGGGAAACGTAAGGGGCAGCCAGCAGCGATCGAAACATCTCCACGGTTTCGGTCGTGCAGTGTGGAGATTTTCGTACCTACGCAGGTACAGCATAGCACAGCATAGCATGGTACCGTACATCTTAAGCAGTACCTATGTGACCTAAGGTACAGTACCTTATGTATGTATCTAGCCTCCCTTATGTCCACCCGGATGTACGATCCATCTGAAAATCATCCCTTCAATGTTCAGCCAGTTCCTTCCTTTCCATCCCTAAGATAGGTAGCAAAAGAAAAAGGAAAAAAAAAGAAAATATAAACGCCCCCCAAAATCCCTACATACGTCTCGGAAACGGGCCGTTGTTGGAGTACCCATGTCGTTTATTGGAGGGAATGGGGTCCGGTCCCGAAACCTCGGGTTGTTTGGGGGCTGCTGCTGCTGCTGCTGCTGTGGGATGCAAGGGGTGAGTTGATGGATGGATGGATGGATGGATAGGGTAGTGAATGGTTGGTTGGTGGTTGGTGGTTGGTGTGGTTCATGTATTGAAATGTGAGATGATTTTACTTTTGTTCTTGTTCTGTTCTGTTTGTTTTTTTCTTCTTGGGGGAGGAAGGGGGGAGGAGGTTGTTAGAAATTGAGAACAAAACATGTAGCATAGCATCTTCTAGTAGCATTATTGCTGCTATTATTATTATAAAACACACACCTACACAAAAACTTGTTTATTTATTGTTAAGTATTACTCTACCTACTTGCTACGTAAGAAAGGTAAGGTAACTAAAGGTAAGGTAACTCGCAAACATCTAAGATTAGGTTTAGAGTTCAAGCGTAGACGAGTTCGAGTCGTAGGCTGCATGCAGGATTACATGATGGCAAGACAAGAGGATGTTGCCAGATGCAGACTACGAGGGAGCGATCTGCGGGGAAGGCGGATTGAGATTGTAAGACAAGAGAGGGGAGAGTGATGGCATTGGCATGAGATGGGATGAGATGGATTACGAAAGGATGGTGAGTGAGTCCCTGGATGCGGGTCGGGAGGGCGGGAAGCAGGCGAGCGGATTGGTTTTTCTTTTTCTTTTTAACTTTTCTTTTCTTTTGCGCCTTGGGTTTGGGATGGAAAGAGAGTTGAGATGAGACGAGGGGAATGCGTGATGGGCGTTGACTAGGGGTTGCGGATCAGACAAGATGATGGAGAGATGAGCAAATGAGGAGAGACAAGAGGCAGAGAGACAGAAAGACAAGAGACAAGAGACGAGACACTCGAAGGAAACGAGAGACCAGAGACAAGGAAAGGAACAGAACCGGAGAGAAAGGGTAAAAGGCAAAGCAAGAAAGAAAAGGGGATCGCAGATGAATGAATCGTGAAAAAAGTGAACCATCAAACCAGCCCCACGTCTTCCCGGGACATCTGCCATCTGCCATGAATGAATCCCCTGGCTGCCCCAGCTTGACGGCTCCCCCGACCAATCACCCGTCGTCCCCGCTCCCGGCCACCAGAGTCCGGGGTAACAAGGTCCCATCTCTTCCCCCCATGTTACGAGTAATCCTGGCATCTTCTCATCTCTCATCTCTCATCGCTTTGCTTTCGTTCTTTCGCTCGTTCGCCCGCCGGTCCCTGGAAGCCCCCCCCAAAGCGCCAGAGGGGACAGCTGCTGCCCGTGAGACCGGGTTGCCGGGAGCGGACGCCCTATCCAATACATTAATCCATGGCGCATGTAAGTCGGCATACGTACGGTATGTAGGTACATGTATATGTACGACGCGCGCTGTGTGTATGTATGTATGTATGTATGTATGTATGTATGTATGATAATTAGTTGTGATTAAATATTCGATATTCTAGAGGCGATTTGTCAAGGAGCGGAGAGAGTGCACGAGAGAGAAAGTGTGTTAGTTATATAAAGTGCCTGGCCCTTCCCAACAACATTCTCATTGCTGTGAAATTCTTCTTCGTTTTCTCCTTCAAAGAAAGAAGTCTTCTTCCATCCAAGGACCCTGTCTGTCTCTCTTCTTACCAGAGCACTGGACAACCACCTCGTCTCGTCTCATCGCCCGCAAAGCCTCCCACCCCCTTCCGGAGCGAGATCCTCCGTTGTTTCCCGTCAACCGGTACGTGCATTCCTGTTAATACGGTTCTTGTTATGATTATCATCATGCTGACTCCTCTTCTCCTGGCAGCAAGCATAAACCAATCTCTCTCTCCCCGAGAATCCCCTCGGCCCACACCCGAATCCTCCCTATAGCCGCAACAAAGCCGGGATCTCAACGTCCGCATAGAAATACAAAGAACGGCTCCCTCCTCCCCCCGCATCTCTCGAGCCTTCCATCTTCCAGAAGAGAAAGACATCCATCCATACCTAGTCGGAAAGACAAAAAGAAAGAGCCAAAAATATGCCTTCCCAAGCACAAACCCCCCTCGCCATCCCCATCCCCCGCCGCCGCAGCCCCCTCCTCACAAACCCCGACCTGGGCCACGACCTCACGCTCTGCCTCTCGCGCACCCTGAACGGCAAAGCCAAGGAGCCGTACCTGTTCATCAACCGCGCCCCAGAGAACGAGTATGCGCCCCCGGCCCCGCCGCCGCCCTCGCCCGTCAACTTCCCGGCTGAGAGCTGGAGCCCCGCGTGTGCGGTGCGCAGATAGACGGGCGGGCGTGGTGGTGGTGGTGGGCGATTTCATGACATGATGGATGGAGAAAGGGGAGTTGCTATGGGGAAAGAAAGGGAGGGAGAGGATCGAGTGGTTGAGATCCTTGCTTCCTTGTTCAGGGGCCGCCGGCACGTGATTGGCGTTTGGACACGGCATTTCCTCCATCACAACAATCATCAATCATCCCTCTCAGCAGCAGCAGTCCCGAACTCCATTCCTACCATCCCAGATATATCATCATTCGACACTCACCGCCCACATCTCCCGCCATCTCCCATCCAGCCCACCAAACAAAATCCCCTCCCTCTCCCTCTCCCTCTCTACATCGGAAACTTGAAACGGCGTTCGAAAAGTCACTGCTTTGTTACCATATCATATCATATACCTTACAGGTTCAAAATTTTTTCTTTCTTTCTTTCTTTCATTATATGTCTATCTATCTATCTATTATCGATAAGGGTGGCTTTCTCTCGCCTTTTCCAAAACCTCCCCAAAAAATTCGGATCCTCGTGGGAGTTTTGGCTGCTTGTGTGTTATTGTGCTGGATCTGATTTGATCTGATCTGATTTGATGGGATTGGCGTGTGTGTTGCATGGGGAAGGAGAAAAGAAAATTGTTTTGACTTCGAGGGGAGAAGATTGTGCATATATTGAAAAAAGTGTTCTTGTAGGTAGTAAGAAAGAGAGAAAGAGCGAAAGAGAAGGGGGGAGAAGATTGTGCATATATTGAAAAGCTGTTTTTGTACCTAGGTAACAAGAAAGAAAGAGAGGGAGCGGGAGAAATACGAATGAATGAATGAGTTAATGAATAAATGGAATTATATTTTTATTTCTCCTACTTACTTCCATTAGGTATATCTACCTACTCAAAGTCTTTCTGTACCTATATCACCCTTTTTGCTCTCATGTCATGTCATGTCATGTTCATAAGCGAGTAGGGAAAGGGGCCCTCTTGTGCTGTACGATGTATAAGGTATAAACCCCAAACCTCGTCCTAACAAAGAAAGAAAGAAATCTCAATATCAATGATCAATATCTATATCAATATCTATATCTATATCCATACTAAAAAGAACCCTTGTTTATATATCATTACTACTTGTATGTATACCGGCCTAATCCCAAAACCCCCATCATCCTCTCCACGCAAAAACCCTCACCCCGCAAGCTTGGGATTGAAAGCCTCCGTACCTTACTTGGTGAAATATATCGTGATATATAGGTAGGTAGGTAGGTATCCTTTTCTTATTCTCTTCTCACTGTTTTATTTTATTTTTTAAACTGTATTTAACTTTTTGTCTTATGTTGAATTCAATCTATCCAGGTCTAGAATCGATGGATGAAATTGGAAGGAAGGGGATTGGTTGGATTTTGAATTTGAGTTTTTGAAGGATCTTGGGCCTTTTTTTTTCTGTCTTTTTTTGTGGGTTCTGGGGGATAAGGGATAAGGGATTAGGGATGGAGAGAGGGGGAGATGTGGTCGTGAAGATATCTTTGATCTTGATCTTGATCTGGATATGTGTGTAGGTATGGCATGCGGAGAGTGGGAAGGAGAGAGATAAGAGAGAGGATGGGGAATAAATAGGCGGAATAATCCTCTCTCTACTGTACCGCCCACTGCCTCTATCTTATAATGTCCATCCCTTCCCATCTCACTCATTCCTCTCCCCTCCTCTGTATGATCAAAGAGATAAGGAAGTTATCTATCTCTACACACCTACCTTACCTTATCTATCTGTTCCATTCCCCCTTCTATTCTTCCAGTCTTCTCTTCTTCTCCCCTTGCGTGCTCCAGCGGAGGGATCGCGAGACGGGAGAAAGGGATCGCGTGCTCCTCCTCCGCGGCGAGGGCACAGGGGAGCCGAAGACGGTTAATGGAAAAGGGGCTCCACCGATTGGGGGAAGGGGGCATGATCCGACGGGGCTGAAGTTCTCTGAACCACGGAGCGTGGACGGTGGATGTGTTGAGTACCTTTTCGATAGATACCTTGGATAGGTAGATAGAGATGGGAACTGGAACTGGAACTGTAGAACAGTAGAAAGGACCGCCGCATCCATGGTACGTACCTATTAAAGATGATTCCCACACTTTCCATTGTCCGTGGACAGCAAAGCAGAGAGAGGACCTTGGACCTTGGACCTTGGACCTTGGAAGTTGGAACGTGGAACGTGGTCCCGTACCATCCGGGTCGCTGTGCCTCGCCGTACGTATCCGTATTGCCCCACGGCCCACAACCGCACTTTCCACTTTCCATTGGCGCGAGCGACTATTTCTAAGCACAACGCCTTGGTGTCCTGAGGCTACTATCAACGAGGCAGCTGCACACCGCCCTAGCCCACATGCGGCATGGCGCGCGCCGAGGAGACAGGCAAAGACTGCACCGCGCCCCACACGCTGCACGCTGATTGGACCACCGCGGCGCACCAAACGGGCACAGGGAGGCGGCCAAATAAAAAGGGCGCGGCTTGTCACAGCGCTCGCTCGCTCTTCTCCCACACGTCATCTTTCCGTCATTTCTCCCATCGCCCACCTCTCTGATTCCGAAGCTGCAGCAAAGGAACTCCCTCACGAGAAAAAGAGTTCCCCCCAAGAGAGAGAGCCTCACGCCGCATCACGCCGCCCTTCACGCCTCTCGCCCTTCATCGCCACCAGAGCCGCATCGCTCTTCTTCCCCCCCCCCCTTTTCTTCCCTCCATCTTCTCTCCCCTATTATTTTGTGTCGTTGTCCTATCAGTGGCCCCGTCGCTTTGCCCGAAAGGAAGGAAAAAAAAAATAGGGAGGCCCAGACACGGGGGAAAATCAATCTCTCCCACCCAGACTCGATAAAGAGGCCTACGTCACTCCTTTTTTCTGGATCGACGAAACTCCAAACTCGAACCAAGAGACGTTGGTCCATCAACAAGAACCACTCTTCTCTCTCCCCCCCGTCTCGACTTGCTATTCAATATCATAATCCCCCCCCAAAGGCATATCCCTCGAGCGAGAGCCACACACAGATAGTCCCGCTCCCCGCGTTGCATGCCTTCATGCGCAGGTCCCGGAATCTGACTGCTCCTGCGCCATCCCATCCATGAGAATAAGCACCACCAACTCACTCGCCCTCGAACCCTCCCATCCATCCACACCTTGAGTCGGCCACTACTCGATCGCAATCCCAGGATTTTAGAAATCAGATCTGTTGAGAGAGCGCGGGCGTGAAGTACTTAGGGACCGTTCCGCCGTGCCTGCCTATAAATTTAAAGCGCGCCCGAGTGAGGTCATACCCTCTGACATCTGAACCATATCTACAATCCAAGCCCAGCTCCCGCCGCCTTCTGGTCGAACACACACTCGTCATTGTGTGTAAGCCACAATTGCTGCAAACCGCCAGATTTGCCTCTGCCCTCCGCCCGCCCCCCCAAAAAATTAACGAACCTCTCCAAATCCCACGATGGGCCAATCTCCCACAGAAACTACAACCCAGACCGACTCCAAGTCTCCTGTACAACCCAATGCTTCACCACCACAAGGTATATCTCCCTGTCCCCCTCAATGCATATCTTAATCTCGATAGTCTTATCTTTCTGCTATCTGTTTATGCAACCGACGTTTGGATGCTAACCCGTCTGAAAGATGCAGCGGCGCCGAGGCAAGATGACACAGTAAAGGCTGAGACGAACAATACAGAACCGCTCGCCCCCCCTCCTCGACCTGAACCTGCTGCGCCAGCAGTATCCAATACGCCCGACTACTTCTCTGTCGCCCACGGCACCCACCTCTCCTACGAAACAAACCCCTTCGAGAACTCCTTCGCCACTGGAGGTGCTGGGTCGACGCGTGGAGATCAGACACCCGGTGGGACAAAACTTCCATCGGTCGCGTCGCTCACTTCGCCCTCTGGTCTGCTCGGATCCGGCGCAACTCCAAACTTCTGGGGTAGCCTGCGCTCCGGTCCTCTCAGTCCGGCCATGCTTTCGGGTCCACAGAAGGACGACTACTTCAGCGACGGACATCATCTGCGAGGCGGATTCCCGACACCCAATGAGTCGGGTCTCAGATCTGGGTTGACGCCTGGCGGTGGTGGATCGATGTTCCCAGAGCCCAGCCCCAACTCGCAGGCTTTGTTCAACCAGCTCGCGGGGGCCGCGACCCCCGGGACTCTCGATTTTCAACGCACTGCTTTGAATGCGGCTGCGGCCCAGAGGAAGATGCCCCCGACCAGCCAACCGAGCGTAACATCGCAACCGCAAGAACTTCCAGCCACCCTGGACGTGAAACCCCAGGTCCCCGGCCCCTTCGATCAACATGACGCGAACGACGCAGCCAACGGCCTCTTCCTGCTTGCTCAAGCACAGACTCGCAACAATGGCTCTCAACAGACGAACCACTACGCGATGGCTTCGCAGATGCCCGTCCACGCGCACCCTCAACCAATGATGCCAATCGCAGGCCAGTCCGCAGAGACGTCGCCCAACGTGGCAAACCGAAACAATTCTTCTGTCAGCACAAATTCGGCCCGTGGCGTGAGTGAGATGAGCGGCCAATCTGATGAGAACGACCAACAGAACAGGCCGAACACGAGAGGCAAAAACAAGAGGTCGTCTACGCAGATGAGCCAGACCAACGGAAGACGGAAGGCGGACGAGACCCCGTCTAAGGCGCCCGCTGGAAAGAAGGGCAAGGGTAATAATGGACAGGCCACGGAAGCCGAGCAACAGTCTGAGGAAGAACAAGATACGAACAAGGACGAGTACAACTCGAATGGAAAGAAGATGACCGATGAGGAAAAGAGAAAGAACTTCCTTGAGAGAAATAGGTTGGTTTGCTCGTCCTCCCCACTCCCTGACGTAGCACTAACATGACCCTAGGGTTGCCGCATTGAAGTGCAGACAACGTAAGAAGCAGTGGCTTGCAAACTTGCAGCAGAAGGTCGAGATCTTCAGCACCGAGAACGATGCGCTAAGCGCCCAGATTCAATCGTTGCGGGACGAGGTGGTCAACCTCAAGACACTCCTCTTAGCCCACAAGGATTGCCCAATCGCCCAACAGCAAGGTCTCCAAGGCATGATGCAGGAGCATGTTATGGGCGGGTACGGTGCGCAAATGAACCCCTACGGCATGGCTGCGGCCATGAACAACCAACAGGTCATGGCAAGTCAACAAGCTATGCAGGGACGCCGATACTCATAGCCTCGGGCGAGAGACGGTGAAAATTTCTGGGAGTTTTGGGTCTTAAAAGTAAGGAAGAGAGGATGGGAATAAAAGCATCCATCAGATTCAGTTCGTCATCATAAACCACCGCCTCATCATGAGTCAGGCTCATAGAAGGAAGAAGGAGCCTCGCATCACCCCACCTACGTCACATCAACATCACCGCGACTAATTAAGAATCGCACAATTTTCAAAAATTCGATTTCGATTTCGCTCTCGCTCTCGGGTTCGGCTTCCTTACATAGCGTGGCTCAAGAAAGAGGCACGCGAGGGGACAGGCATATTCGGCGCTCGGGCTCGGGATCAAAACAACAAACATTTATATGTAGACTATTTTATTCCTTCTCGGTCATTCCTTCTTCTTCCTGGGTTTGCACATGCGTGCATGGCTTGAGGGCCAGGTGGCCTCATGTACATATGGAATACACGCATGTTCATCAATTGAACTGGCCGGCGTACGGTTGCTTTTCGGTTGCTGGAGGGAGGTTATTGGAGTTGCGGCTGTAGTGGAGGAGTTGATGGGGAGGAGAGAGGGCGAGGAGAGAGCTTGTGTGTAGTATAAACGAACATGATAGTGGAATCCATCCAAGTTAAAACATATATGAGGAGTTCTTGACTGGTGAGATGGAGAGGAAATCACTGGACTTCAAGGGTGCTTTATATTGCTCACAAGATACTAGAAAAGGTACCATTAGATGTTGATCTTCGAGCAGCAAAACTAGGTAATTATAGGAAAGGGGAAAAATAGAAATAGGAAAGGTATACTATAAATTAAACCCCAGGTATTACCAGACAAAGGCAGCTGGTTCTTTCTAAACTGACTAATTGAATGTAAGAAAAGAAGTCCTTGGCCGGCCACAATAGCTTCTCTGCTTCACCCCAAATCGCACGCATGCATAGGGAAGATCGGCATGGTGGGATTGAAAAAGTTCCTATGATCTTTCAGCTGACGTTGACAATGGTCTGTTATATGGGGTTTAACACCCTTTTCTACGTTGTTTACCTTGTCTATGTGTTCTCGGGTTCTCCCGCACAAGCCGTCGGGGCTCAATAAAGCTCACTCAGCATAGAGCCATGGAACGCTTTGACATGGAGAGACATATTTGACAAGGAATATTGTCGAGAGAATACAACAACTCTGCATCGAATGTATAATTACAATCATCAGCTATCAAGAACTCCCAATTGAAACAAGGCATATATCTCTTTGTTTTATATGTTCTCCCTTCGCTCCCTCCCCAGATCACAAGCTCTCCGCTTAGAAATGCTTAGCGCCGTTCCGCCCAGGAAACCGCAGGGATTCCGAAAAAGGTGTGAAGCGCGACCAGAGGCTCTCGCCATATTTCAGCCTCTATGATCCATCCCCAAAACACCACTTCTATACCTTCTCCTTCTTCAACTTGCTCATCGGCGTGCAGGTATCGCCCTTTCATACTGCTCGACCTCGATACCTACAGCGTCAGCCTCTTATAACTTTTATTGCCGCAGGCGGTACATATCCGTTCAGATTGCCACTGCATGATCTGTCACGAAATACTGCCCCTTCCGTCCTCACCCAACCTCGCCCGTCAGCCCGTCGCATCTCTTGACAACCGCCCGTACAGCTTCTCGATATGGCACCCCGTCACCGGAAGGACTTAGCGGCGAGCCGAAGACGGGTTGCGGACGAAGGTGACGAGGAAGGGGGTTTGGATGCCGGGGACCTGGACGATGATTCATTCAGTGAGGGGTCGATTGTAAGTGAGGAGGATGAGGTACATGAGGATGAGGAGGTGAGCACCGCTGAGGTGGCGTCTGCTACCTCTCCGGAGCTGCCAAGGGTCAATGGAAAAGCCAAACGGCCATCCCAGGACGAGAAGGCGAAGTCAAGCAATAGCCCCAAGAAGCCGGTTACAAACGGAGCTAGTGATATGGAAATGATGCTCAATGGTCTCAAGATATCTGATAAGAACGTCTCTGCGGAGGAAGTGCATTATGACGATCTCCGGGAGGACGCGGACCTGCAAGAACCTTCCCCGGCTGTTGTCGATTCAACAGCTCAGATGGACCGGCCGCAGGAGGCGCCCTACGAACGTCGGCGCAGGGAGCACGAGGAATACAAGAAGAAGAGGGATGCGGATCCAGCTTTTGTACCAAACAGAGGAGCTTTTTTTATGCATGATCATCGCCATGCTGGTCCTGCTGCCAACGGATTCCGGCCATTTGGGAGAGGTAGAGGGAGAGGCAAGTCGGGCATTGGAGGTCCCTATGCACCCATGAAGTATGTCCCTCTCATTCTACTCCAAGATGGAAGACTCCTATGCTAACAATCCTCAGTCAAATGCCCCAGCCATTCGAACCTACCGATGCTCCTTGGGCCCACGACATGCACGAGGTGATAACTCAACCTAGCCCTCGACCACAGCCAACAGGCTATATAAATGGCACGGCTGCTGCACGCATACCTGTGAAGGCATCGGCAGCTACACCTCCAAATCGAGCTCTCTCAACCACGAGGCACATTGGCAATGTTCAGATCCGGGTTTTCTTCCCGACAATGGAGAAGCCTTCTGTATTCCCGGGCGTTCCAGTCAAGCAATACACGCGCCTTCCAGACCACCGACCTCCTCTGCGCCGTGACAAGCCGGTTCGAATATCTCTCCCAGATCATCCGCCGCGGTACATCTTCCCTGCTGTTGACAGGTCTTTTATCTTCATCCCACGGGCAATGCGACCAAATCAACAAGGATTTGGCCGTGGCAGGGGCAAATCAGGACTCGGCTCCATTGGCCCATACTCAAGGCGTACGAGCGTGTGGGGTGGTAGTATGTACGGCAGTGCCTATAGCCCAAGTGTTGCCATGAGTCGCAGATCGTCACTTGCTCGGGAGGTCAACAGAGAAGGCATCGTCTCCCCAGCCGGGTCAGCGATGTCCCGACCACAGATGCCAATGGATGCGTCGAGACCGATCGTGAAACTGCCGCCAACAAGTCAAACTACACAAACACAGCCCCAGGCTCCAGCGGCCGAGCAACAGAACGGTCAACCACCGGCACCCGCATCGATTGATGACCTGCCACGACCACAGACGTACCCGCTTCCTCAGAAGCCAACATTCCGGGAAAACCGGCCGAACGCCATCCCCATGCATCAACCTCGGCCTCAGAAAACTGTTTCTGTTGCTGATATCGAATCACCCGCCACACTGTCATTCAACCCACCTCAACAGCATCAACAACCATTTCACCAGCAAGTTCCTATTCAGGTCAATGGTAACGGCTACCCACATGATTCTATGTTACATTCTCGCAATGCCTCTTATCCCAGCCAGGCCTCGACTGGTACTCCCTTATCACAGATACCGGAACGTGCCATCCATGCCCAGCCATTCCAGCCCAACCCGTATCAGCAACAACCTCAAACCTACTATCCTCAGCCTTACCAGGTTATGCAGCCTGCACAGGGTTACTATTACCCGCAGCAAGGCTTCAATCCATCAATGGGGCCATCTGCGGGTGCAGCTCCCTTCGCTCCTTCGCAACAACAACAACAACCACAGCCGCAGCCACAGCCGCCACCTTCATTCAACCAACCTGGCCAGCAGTCAGATGCCTCACAACCGGGTACGCAGAATCTGGTAGCTCAAGAAGTGAATGGCATGGTCTACTACTATGACGCGGCTCAGATCCCGGCGGTTGCAACTTTCCCGGCTTACCCAGCGCCTCAGCCGTATCCCATGCAGCCGGTTGGTGGAGTAGTAGGGATGGGAGGAATGATGACCCCTAGTCCGGATGGCTTCTACTATCCCCAACCTGCTCAAGGCGTCGTCTACTATCCGCAGTAGCGTGATCTCTTTGGCGGAGGAAATTTTGTTATAGTCCCTTTAATGCTTTCAGCGATCTCATTCTGCCACGGGTTTCATTGTGCGTTTTGGAAGCGTTGCTACCCTTTTGCCCTATTGCAACTTATCTGCAAAAAAAAAAGATGTCTGTGTTGGTCGACGCCTACTAAAGAAGCTGTCGGCAATCTCCCGATTTCCCGTCGCCCTGTGGGGGGATATGATTTGGGTGGCGGGCTCTGCAGCTACCTCCTTTTCAGCTGCTTGTGCCTTGTATCTTCCCCGTGATGTTCTGTCTTCGTTGTCGTGCGTGAGAGAAGATTTCTCTGGTCGAGACAGAGCCGCTGACTGTAGCCTTGGTCCCGGACGAGTAGAGTAGGAGGAGTAGTTAGGTAAATGAGAAGATTCAGTGGATGAATGATTGATTGACTGATTGACTGATTGATTGGATTCGGTGATGTGAAATTACCATTCCTTATCTGAATAATCCATCTACTGCCTAAACTGAAGTATTAAAGAGGTGAAGAGTGGCAAAGCGGTGATCTAATCGTAGCTAGTTTGGATGGTATTTCGACTACGGGCCCTATGATCGAATTGGGGATTTGGGGTGGATGTGGGATGATTTGATCAACTTCTGTGTTTCACTTCCCTTGTTATTGGTTTGACGAGCTGGAGGTGAATGTGAGATCTATGTTATACTGTCTCTTATATACCTACTATACGAGGAGTGACTGTCAGTCTTGAAATACCTTGAGAACCTAGGTACAGTACGGTATCTGGACGTAATCAAGCGAGCTCGGTTCCCCAGGTCGGTGATAACAGTACACCCTCTAACGAACCCCAGATATCGAGATGACCGACACAGTTGAAGAATAGGAATTACTATAAACTTGAGCCTCTTGATTGTGCTTCCTTGAGTCGTGTTGGATCTAGACTCTAGACTCGGCGGCCCCGGAAGGCTCTGGGTTTTGCCATCACTCATCGTCTATTTGCCTCGCTACAGCACCATCCCGTCCTGTACGTACCGTTCGCCTAATAGCTGACGACTCCGTTGCCTTAAGCTCTCCTCTCCTCTCCTCTCTCCTCTTATCGACTCACCTCACCTCTCCCCTCTTTTCCATCTCCCTCCTCTCACCAACCTTCCTGCATCAAACATCCACCGCCTGCCAACATCCCGGATCTTCCATCTCGACTGCTTCTGGGAAGCACCTCTTCTTCCGCCCGTCGAAGATCTCCAGATCCCAGGTCTTCGCTGCTCGGCCTTATCTGAGCCTTCTTCACGTCACCGCTGCGCTTGCATCACCGCTACCCAGGCAGCCCGCCGCCTCAACCCAACAGCCATGGCATCGGCTTCAGCGACCAATCCAGATACTCTGGTCACTCTGAAGATCAATATCGAGGGCAGCAATCGGAGATTCAAGCTTCCTCTTCGTGATCTGGGGGCCAGCACCCTCCCCGATAAGGTATGTGATAGTCCCACAAGCTCCGAAAGAGCTTCCCGGCCTGCCCTGCGGGTGCCGCATCTCTGACGACGATATTCTGTCAATTACCTTGTGCTGTCAACTACCTTACCTTGTGGGACCCAAGCTGATATGGTCTGGTTACGTAGCTGCGATACCTCCTCGCCATCCCACCGACCTCCGAGGCTATCTTCGAGCGTTACTCTGACAGCGCCGCTGCCTTTATCGTCCTCGACCCGAACAATACCTCCGTTTACAAACAGCTCTATCGTGCTGCTAAGGCAAAGCTGAAGCTTCGCCTCAAGGTCACCGTCAAGGATCAGGAGCCGGTCGTGCCAAGGCCAGCTACCGTTGAAGATGAGGCACCGAGCCTCGTGAGTGCTGAAGATGAGCGGCCTGCTATCCCACACTACTCATCAGCAACTCCTGCCCCAGCCCCACAAACCTCATCCCCACTCTCCTCCTCTGAGCCAACCAGCTTCCCATCCGTCAACGAACTCCAACGTGGGTTTGAGGAGCTGCTTATCAAATATCCTCGAATCAGCAGCCCCAGCTCTGCTTGCCCTGTGGTGAGCTCTAGCTGCCACAGCCAACCCAAGCATGAAGTCCCAAGCCCCTCGCAGCATCAGGCCGGCTCGAGCACTGAGATTGCTGTCACACGTGGCGCAGCAGCTCGCGATAAGTGGTTCGCCGAGCTCGCTGGCGTCTCCCACGAACGCCAGAATGCCGTCCGCAATAACACATACGTCTCAGCTCTCTCAAATATGAGCATCTTCTCCGTCTACTGCAACAACTGCAATCAAGCTATCCCAGACTGGCACTACCACTGCAGCACCTGTGATGATGGCGACTTTGATCTTTGCCAGACTTGTATCGATGAGGGTGTTCTCTGCAGTGGCGATGATCACTGGTTGATCAAGCGCTACGTGAAGAATGGACAAGTCATAAACAGCACGACTGAGATTATCGCACCAAAGCCTGCTGCTCTTGAACCAAAGACGACTCCTGTGGAACCCGAGGAGGAAGCTCTCATCGCTACTCGTACTTGCAATTCTTGCGTCCAAGGTCAGCATCACATGGAATTTCATCTATGGAATAATGCTAACATTGCTTTCAGAATTGCCGGAGGAGAACTTCGTCACTTGTACCTCATGCGAGGACTACGATCTTTGCATCCCTTGCCACGTCGCAGTGAAGCACGGCCACCACCCCAAGCACGCTTTCATTCCTGCAGTTGAAGACGCGAACCTTGATATGGTGTCGCAGGCTCTGCTTGCTCCTGGCCGCAACGTTGGGCACAATGCTATCTGTGATGGGTGTGACAAGTACATCTTTGGCGTCCGCCATAAGTGTCTCGACTGCCCAGATTGGGACTTCTGCTCGACCTGCATTGCCAACGCCGGTTTCATCCACCCCCGCCATCGATTTGTCCCAATCTATGAGCCTATTAATGATCCTGCAGCATCAACTCGAGCAATCGTCAAAAAGGCTCGCCATCACGGCATCTACTGTGATGGACCTCTCTGTAACACCGGCAATGGTGTTCAGTCATATATCCAGGGAGACCGATATAAGTGCGCAGTCTGCCACGATACCGACTTCTGTGCCAGCTGTGAGGCCAGCCCTTCAAACCCGCACAACAAGACCCATCCCCTCATCAAGTTCAAGACACCGGTTCGCAATGTCTCCGTCACCACTTTGGGCGATCGCGAGGATGGCAAGCCTGTACCGATCATGGGCGACCGACGCAGCAGCCACACCACATCCAAGGCTACTGAGACCCAAACTTCGTCTGTAAACGCTGCCACACAAGTCCAGACCGTTGTGGATCTGCAGCCAACAGAGACCAAGGCCGACGAACCACTTGAAGTCAAGGCCGAGGCTCCCAAGGTTGAGGCCAAGGTTGAGGCCAAGGAGCTTCCCGCAGCTGCTGTCAAGGAGGAACTGGTTGCTCATTACGTTCGTGATACCGTTGCGGATGGCACTGTCATGGCACCCAACACTGTCTTCGAGCAAACTTGGTACCTTCGCAATGGCGGCAACGCTCCTTGGCCCGCAGGATGCACTGTTAAGTTTGCTGGCGGTGATAACATGTGTGCTGTTGACCCCCATCACCCGGCCAGTGTTCACGAGCTTGTCTCTGCTGCTGAGAGTACCACCTGCTACACCGAGGTTGCTCCAGGTCAGGAGGCTGCTTTCACTGTCTTGATGAGGACTCCAAATAAGCCCGGCTCACACATCTCTTACTGGCGTCTTACGAGCCCAGACGGAGGCAAGTTTGGACGCAGACTCTGGTGTGACATCAAGGTCAGGGAGCCCGCTCTAGTCAAGGAGGAGCCTAAGGAGGAGCCTAAGGAAGAGCCTAAGGAGGAGATTAAGGAGGAGCCCACAGAGGATGCTGCTGAAGAGATCAAGGCTGAGGAAGGAAGCCAGATGATCTTCCCCAAGCTCGAGAAGGAATCGCCAACCACAAGCATGCATGAGGAAGCCCCGGCTCCTGCCTACGAGGCCCCAGAGGAGGTTGACGATTTTGAGGACTTCGTCGAGGAGGCTCTCGATGATGAAGAGACCGAGGATGGGTTCATGACGGATGACGAGTACGATATTCTCGATGCCAGCGACGAGGAATACCTCGCTGAGCAGGAGAAGGCTGCCAAGAAGTAAAGCAGCAGTCTTTTCTACAACTAGAGGGCGCGATTGGGAGTGGAGTACATGAAGGCGCAAGATTGTCAAACAAGCTCTGGATAGCCCCTGTATTAGGTGCTAAGGGGTATTCTGGGGTTTTTTTTCTTTTGTCAAAGGGACATGCGGGTTTTGCTCTTTGCTTTTGTGGTTAGCCAGGTCATTAATCATGACATCGACTCTCTCTTGATGCGATTCAAAAGGGCCCGCGACGCGTCGGAGGAGTCGAGTCCAACAAAGACGAATGGGTTCGGATCTCTTCTCAGTTTGCGTGGGATTGGTTCGGTAGTGCAATGGATTTGACTTCAATATGTGCTGTGCCGTGATATATCGTGCTTGTGAATGCTAGTCTATGTACTTGTGCTTGAAGCCTTGAATTGTTACGACTTGGAGATTGCTGAGTTATACGTTGAGTTATCGTATCGTGATGAATCCTTCTCTTTCTTGTAGCATCTACCTTAGTTTGTCCAGTAATTATCTCCAGCTACCTACCTCTCAGATCGCCCCACTCTCTTCCCCCTCCCAAAAAAACAAAAATCAACCCCCCCCCCCCTCCCAAACCAAAATTCAAACCCTCAAACCCCAAAATCCAAACCTTCAAAAAATTAAATAAATCAAAAAAAATCAAAAGAGAAAGAGAAAGCTCCCTACCCGGGTCGAACGAGTGACCTTAGGATCTGCAATCCCACGCTCTACCACTGAGCTAAGAGAGCCGAATCTCTGTTTTGAGGTTGGGGGTTTTGGGGGTATGTGTGCTTATTTAGGTTGGGGGTGTGGGGGGGTGGGGATATTGGGGGAGGGTAATGCAGGGAGGTAAGGATGGAGGGAGGTTAGATATTTTGGATGTTCAAGCAAGCATCAACTACCTAAGGTACATGTAAGATACCTTAGCATAGGAAAGGAAGGAAAGTGTTTTTACGGTGGTATAGATACGTTATGTATGTATGTATATATATCTTGATTTGAGGGTTTGGATATTGATTTTCTACCTCAAGGAAGGAAGGAGGGGGTGGGGGGAATTGTATAGGAGGATGGATGGATGGATGGAAGCAAGACCAGATAAGATAGATATTTACACAGGGCATTAATTATCATGATAAATATCTTCTCTCTCACATTCCAAAAAGCTAGACAGACAAGACGAAGTTCTAAAAAGTAATCTTCTTCCCCTTACTCTCGACAATGCCACCCGTTAACCTCGGCGCGTAGGGCTGGCGATACTCGACTTTCGCTGGGACGAACGGCTTCTGTGGCGCCGCCTCTCCATTCTCAACTTCTGATTTCTCTGTATCGGTATTTGATGTCTCTGCAGCCGTCGCGTGCCGCTTCGCGTCCTTGCCAAACCGCTTGCTGTAGCGCACCTGCGCGTCCTCTGCGAACTCGGCGCGCAGTTTGCGGCCTTTGATCATGTTGAGCCACCATTTGCGAGTCTTTGTTTTTTTCGCCGTCTTGGGTTTGTCTTCATCTTCATCTTCCGAGGATTCTGACTCCGAGGCTGGTTCCTCAATACGCACGAAGCCGCGCACGGCGGCTTGCGCGGCTTCCAGATCCTCGAACACGACCCAGGCGTAGCCCTTGCATTTGCCCGAGTCCTCGAACGTCGCGACCTTGACGCTCTCGATGGCGCCGCACTTGGCGAAGTGCTCCTTCAGGCTGTCCTCGGTCGTGTCGAAGGAGAGGTTGCCCAGGAAGACGCGCTTGCTGGGCGGCTTCTGCTCGTTGCGGCTCTCCTCCTTGGTCTTCTCGGGCCGGCCTTCGAAGGACTTGTGGTTCTTGATCAGGACGCGGCGGCCCGACAGCAGCTGCTCCGACAGCTCGATGGCCTTCTCGACGGCGTCTGCCGTGGAAAAATCCACGTATGCGAATCCCTTGTTGTGGATTGTCTTGCCCGCTCGCTTCTCCTCGACCTTGTTCGCTGACTTCTTGTCGTCTGGTCCGGGCATGTGCACCCGTGTGATCATCTCCTCTGTGATATCTGAGTATTCGACGAAGAACTTGCGCAGGTCCGCCTTGGATACGGTCCATGGTAAGTTGCCGATCCAGATGCCATGCTCGGATCTCTTCTCGACCTCTGGTTTCTTCTTGGATTCAGATTTCTCCGCCGATTCGGCTCCCGTCTTGGAAGCTGGCACGGGCTTGCCCTTCTTGAGACGACGGAGCTCTTTCTTGGATGGGGGCTCGGGCGCTGTGACATCGACTTCGATCTCTGCGACTTCGGCTTTGCGTTTCTTGGACGCTGGTTCTTGGGATGTGGGTTCGCTTTCTGGCACCTGTGTCTTGCTATCAATTTCAGTAGCGGTTGGTTCTGAGGCTGGAGCAGTGACTGGACTAGAGGGAGTGATAGTGGTAGAGTCGGCGCTGGTAGAGGAAGGTTCGTCGAGAGTGGAAGCTTTTCTCTTCTTGCTGGGCTTGTCTTTTTTCGATTTGGAAGAAGAATGTGAGGAGGAAGCCATTGTTGGGGCTTGAATGAGTTTTGTAGAATATGGAAATGTAAAGATGTATGGCCAGGTATTGCAGTATTCTCAATTGGCGCTTTCTCTCAGAAGACTGCTTGCAATCGTATTTGCGCAAGAGATGTCTTCGAAGAACCCCGCTTGCAAGTACACAAGAATTGTGAGGGTATCCTGGATTCTGAGGGCGGGAGATTTGGTAGTAATGCCAATCTGCTTAATCTCCGGTCAAGTCTCTGCAATTGGAGAGCTGGAGATCAAAGTTCCCACCAGACTGAAGAAGTTGCAATTCTACAGATTAATTTACTCGCGAAAGCCCAGGAAAGAAAAGTTGTGTCGGTGGTCGGCTTCATGATAATCCTATCCTGGAGCTAACGCTAATAGGCATGACGGCGGGAGCTAATCCGCAGGACCGCCGCCCTTAAGACACGATCGCTGCTTTAGAAGGGGCTGAACTTTGGAACCGCGTACCTACACCATGACGGTGTTGCGACAGGAATCATCTCCAATCCAACGACATTCTGAACCGATGACCCGTTTCTCATAATCCAGTTCCACACACGGCGACGAGGAGAACCATACGCCATCTTTACTAATTCAGTGGAACAACATGGATACCATAGGGGAGGAGAGTCCTGCTCCTGGATTCGAGAGTGAGAGTGATGTGAAGCATGACGAGAGTGTGCTGCCCAGCACTCACGAAGAACCCAAGCCAACATATAAATCATTCAAGTAAGTTCACTTGGCTCGCGCTCGTTGTTCACTGGGTCTTCAACTCCCAGATCTCGAGACATCCGCATCATCTACTCAACAGCGCACAGTTCGGACGCCAGCTAACGTGCCATCAACCAGGAAGAAATATCGGAAAATGCGAATCAAGTTCGATGCGAAGATGCAAGAGAGTAATTTCCTCTACACAAAGGAGCAGATGGGCGCGGATACAGCCAGAAGGCTTGCGCAAGAGAACGAGTAAGCCGATGCCTCCCTCCCCCGCCCAACAGCACTGACAGTTCTCACTCAGTCAACTACTGGATCTTCTTCTCGATGTCAACAACTCGGCCCAGATCCCTGCCGACAAGCGTATCGATCTGAATGCTGAGACGCCTGCTCTCTCCGCCGTCCCACCCCTCATCAGCGCCGAAGAGCTCGCCCGAGCCTCCAAATTCGACACACCAGCCAGCCAAGCAATCTACAACGAGGTACTCGCTATCATGAAAGAGAGAGCTGCCGAGAAAGAGACATCAAAACCCCTGAAATCCCTCGCCATGCTGATGGCAATGACACCCCACCGCACAACCAGCAGCGGTCCCCTCGCCCCCAGCCTCCGCGACATCGTCGAGCCCATCGAAGGCTACAGCGCGCCAATGTCCTACCTAACAGGCGATCAAATCGACGACTATCTGTACGACATCGACGCGTCGCTAGGCACCGTGCCTCCCACCAACCCGCACTCCAACCCGCCGCAAGACCTCGCGCTCCGCAACCCCAACAGCGTCTACAACTGGCTGCGGCGCAACGAGCCCAAGATCTTCCTCCAGGACGGCGAAGGCAGCGAGAAGTCCCTCGGGAAACCCGGGTCCCTCCGCGGCGCCGGGAAGAGAGCTAGCATGCCGGGCCCCAGCCGTCCCGACGCCCTCGAGATCGTCGAGGAAGACGGTCTCGGCTACGATCCTACGATCAGCGGGCTCGAACCCGCCAAGGGCAAGAGGAAGAGGGAGGACGATGCGGGCTACCATCCGAAATCTGGCGCCCCGAGTGATGGGAAGGTGAAGAAGCCCAGGCCGCGGAAGAAGAAAGCAGATGGTGCGGGCGAGGCGCCGACGCCGTCGTCGTCGAGGAAGGGGAAGGGGAAGGCGAGACATTCATCGCCTGTTCTGGAAGCTCCTCCTCCTCCTCCTAACACTGGGGCGTAGGGCTTGATCGTGGAGTGTATTACTACTATATAGGGAGGGAAGGGGTGATGAAAAGAATCTACGGAAAGGGGGGGAGGGAACATTGGCAGTAAGGCATGAATGACGGCGTTATGGGGTGGCAGACAGTCTTGCAGGGATATTCAAAAAGAAAAAAAAGCAGACGATGTACAAGTAAATAAAATACCACAGGAAAGCATGCATTTGCAATGGGAGCACCATGAAGAAACCAACCAACCAAAACCAGAAACCCGCAGGGCAGAAAATGAATGAAGTCAGTACTGTGATATATTCTTGCAAGAGAAGAAATCTATATACGAATCTAGACGTTAAAATTGCAAGTGACGATGCAACAGCAAAGGCTCAACCAATGGAATCTCGAGCGCCTTCTAGCCCCAATCTAACCCAAGGCGCTATTACCTATGCCAGCTCGCCGGGAGAGGGGTGGTTGGTGGGGTGTATGGGGTTTCTACTTTGAAGAAACCCTTTTCCTTTCCTTTTCTCCCCCTTCGCTATCTACAGCTTCTGCTTCAGGATGGTCTTCAGTCTCTTCTCGACGGCTTCCATGTAGCCGGTGGTGGTCACGTAGTCCTCGCGGCCGGTCTTGCCGCAGGCGAGGGCCAGATCCTTGGTCATAATGCCGTCGATGTCAACGGTGTCAATGCAGGCCTGCTCGAGGCTCTCAGCGAAGGCGACGACCTCAGGGGTGCCGTCGAGGGTACCACGCTGGACGAGACCACGGGTCCAGGCGAAGATGGAGGCGATGGGGTTGGTGGAGGTCTCGTTACCCTTCTGGTGCTCGCGGTAGTGGCGAGTGACGGTTCCGTGAGCCGCCTCGGACTCGAAGGTCTTTCCGTCGGGAGTGATCAGGACCGAGGTCATCAGTCCGAGGGAGCCGAAGCCCTGCGCCACCACGTCGGATTGAACGTCACCGTCGTAGTCTGTGTGCAGTCAGTAAAAAAAAAGTTCGTTCGGCCTCGGTTAAGAAGCGGCTTCCGTGTCTCCGGGAATAGGGGGCAAAGGGACCGGAAATAGCAGGAAGGGGAAAAGGGGAAGGGGGCACAAACTCTTCAGCGCCATCACGTAGCCACCGGAGCTCTTCATCATCTGGGCGACCATGTCGTCAATGAGACGGTGCTCGTACCAGATCTTCTTGGCCTCGAAGTCCTTCTTGTAGGTGGTGTCGTAGATCTCCTGGAAGATGTCCTTGAAGCGGCCATCGTACTTCTTGAGAATCGTGTTCTTGGTGCTCATGTACAGCGGCAGGCCCTTGCTCAGGGCAAGCTTGAAGCTGGCATGGGCGAAGCCCGTGATGGACTCGTCGGTGTTGTATTGTGTCTGGGCCACTCCTCCTCCGTTCTTGAACTCGAAGACCTCGATCTCCTCGGGCTTGCCTCCCTCGGGGGTGAAGACCATCTTGAGCGTACCGTTGCTTGGGATGACGGTGTCCTTGGCACGGTACTGGTCACCGAAGGCGTGACGGCCGATGATGATGGGTTGCTTCCATCCTGGCACGAGACGGGGGATTCTGGGGATGACAATAGGCTCTCTGAAGACGGTTCCTCCTAAAGCATTTCGGATGGTGCCGTTGGGGGACAGCCACACTGTGGAAAGGGTTAGCAGGCGCTGGGAGAGCCCGTCTCGGGGGAACTCTTACTCTTCTTGAGGTTGAACTCCTTCACACGGGCCTCATCGGGGGTGATGGTGGCGCACTTCACACCGACGGAGTACTTCTTGATGGCCTCTGCGGCATCAATAGTGACCTGGTCGTTGGTCTCATCTCTGTACTCGAGTCCCAGGTCGTAGTACTTGAGGTCGATATCTAAGTAGGGGAGGATGAATCTCTCGCGGATATCCTTCCAGATGATCCGGGTCATCTCATCTCCGTCCAACTCCACCACGGGGTTCTTCACCTGGATCTTCTTGAAGGTAGCCATCTTTCGTGAGTGTGTGAAGGCTGTGCCGAAGGAGGGGTTGTTCAGTGCGAAATGGGACTGCGAAGGAGCGGAAAGTCTGCAGGGAGAGGCTGCGACGCGGGTAAGGCTGCGCGAGAAGAGAGCGCGCGCGTTCATGGTGAAAGATTCGGACGTGGGAGCGGCATATATTGCTTATAATTGCTTGCAAAGGATTCCTAGCCTGCCTGTCCTTCCGAGGCTGTTGTCCCGACCTTAGAGCGGGGAAAAGGGCGGGTAAAGTTAGAAGCGTCCAATGACGAATAGCAGAGCCAGGAGTGGGCGGGCAGCTGGGTCCGACGACAGCAGAGCAGAGAGAGATAGGCAGGTGGACGGCAAAAGAGGATGTTGGCAACAGAACGGGACGGAGGACGAGATGGCAAATCCGCTCTTGGCTTTGAGGCGTCACATCTTGGGGGGGCAAAACGAGAAAATCATTTTTGACTTTCAATCTAGACCAGGGCAAATGATTCTAAGCTGTCTTGGGTCACGGGTGGCTGTTTGGGGGGGCAGGATGTATCGATCGGAGGGAGTACGGGTAGCAAGAACAGCGCGGCGGGCAGAAGGAGGGGCGCCGATATCGGGCGGTGCATCTTCGCATTTTCGCATCTTTTCGCTTTGTCGATTACGAAGCGAGCGACGTTACGGAGTCGGCAGATGTGTGGTGTGGGAACTAGAGAATGCTTGTTCAGCAGCCGCACGCTTCTTACATAGAGATACCTTGGATGATAGATCGTCCCGATTCCCATGGCCAAGGAGAGACATCTCATATCTAATCCCGCCAATGCAAAGGGACCAGCTTGTGCCCCTCACTAACTTGGATAGCCCGCGCTGCTGTACGTGCCGCTGTTCCACGTCTCGGGGTAATAATACGACGATGGCTCTGTCAGCGCGCTGCATTTGGGACAAGCAGGAAATCCATTATGCCCGTCATCTATCCGCCCGATGCCGTTGCAGCTCCAGCAGCCGGGTTGGAACGGGACCATAGACGGCCCGGACGAGGACGCCGTCGCCTCATCGGTCCTCATCCGACGACGTGCTGCCTTCCGTTCTGCCTCGCAGGCAGCATTGCACTTGCGGCATTCCCAGCCTTCCTCCTTAACATACACTCTTGATAAGCATTTGGCGCATCGCCACCAGTTCGGGCTGATCCTGCGTTCAGCGAGCCATACTTCTTGGGCTCTCTCCCATTTCTGTCGCTCTAGCTTCTTTGCTCCCTTGGCTTGACCAAGGTCCTCCATGTGGAAGTCTCTCATGTGATCTCTGTAATGGTCCTTCCGTGTGAAAGGGTCTTTTGCTCTCTCGCATCTCGGATAATCGCATTTATAGTGCTCCCTCTGCTCCTTAGGCGCATGCACAGTATAATGCCGCTCAAGGTCGGCCTGCCTCTTGAATAGCTTCCTGGGGTTAGAACAACCAGGATACTGGCACGGGTATTGGCCCTTTGGAAAGTTTCTGCCATCGTAAGCATAATTATAATTATAACCGTGATGTCAAAATCGGGATAAACTCGCCTTGGGGGGTCGAGATATACCCTCTCAGGGGTTTTATCCGTTACTGGGTGATGAGGTTGCAAACGCCAGTATGGTTCCTCCCCCTTGGGGACAATGAATATATAAGCACTTAGTGGTACATAATCTGGCGCCCAGCCAAGGGTCGATGGTGTCTCTCGCCTTTCGCGTTCGTAGCGTTGGGGGCAGGCTATAGTTGTCTGGTCGAGAGATCCATAGTTGAGCATGCTTGCAGGCAAGGATGCAAACGACAGGGCAGGTGAGTAGCTCTGACCGTAGTCGAACATCGGAAGCTGCTGATCATAGGATGACATGGTTGTAGAGAAGGGTATCGAGGCAGGGGCCGAGAGATTAGTGGCAGCAGAATGTCCTGAACTCGCACTGTTGCTACTTTGGTTAGAGTATGATAACATCATGCCTGTCCCACCAAATGCAGCCGTTCTCGACGTTGCTGTGTCTTCCCAGCGGCTCGTGTTCTGCCCTGAGAAGCCCCTCCGGTTCGAGCCATGCTGATACAAGTAATTAGAGGTGTTCTGTGGGTCCATGGCGGGTACTGTGATCCCCTTTCTACTTTATCAGTCAAATTGGTTCTGCAGTGAAGCAGCAAGCTAGGTCTTGGTGGTAAATCGAGGTCTTTAAGAGGAAGGAAAAAGTGCAAAGTCGCTTACCCCTAATCGTATAAAAATGAAATAAGTGGCTAAGGAGCGTGATGAAGGGGGAAGAATTTGTTGCGATAAAGCAAGCCAAGATAGGAAAGGAACATATAGATCAAACAGGCGGGGACATTACACTTAATATGGTTTGCATCTGGAAGTAAGGCAACCAAAGCAAAAAGAGTCGCGGCTTAGGAGTTTCTTTGCTTGGCAAGGCATCTGATGTGCTTCCATGGTGGTTGTGGTAATGTCAAATGGGAGCCACATTTGAATAGCGCGTTGACGCATCTGAGGAAGCCTCACTAGATTCAATGGCCTGGGAGTAATTTTACAGCAGCCTTCAATTCATACCAAGCATTCCGTAGCACACTGCAGCTAGGCTTTACCACATATGTTCACCGAATCCAATTCAATCCTAACAAGTCCTTGCCTTCCAAATAGTCAATAGTATTTGCCAGTACTTTCTGGCTATACCCAACGGTTCATAACCACGAATGGGTGAGCTTTTAGATCAGGCCGAGGAACAAAGTGCCTCGTCTTCATCTGCAACTGGATCTTTTTTGATAAACAAGATAAAATGGACCCATAACTTTTGGCCGCATGCAGCCTTGCTGGGGCGGGCAGCAGACTAGGGTGATATGATCCGACAGCCGGTAGGAAGGCAGACAGAAAGACAGATTCCCTTGCAGGGTTCGTTGTAGCCACGTCCCAATACAAGGGAACATTTCACCTGAATCGTCTCAATGGAGAGGTTCATGAGCTGCCACGAAGGTACTGAAAAATTTGGTCCTGATTCTTCATATGACCTCAGCTGGGAACTGTGGTAGCTCGGGCGGAAGCCTTTCGGTCGTTGCCTAGCTTTTACGGAGTAGAAGGGCAAAAAATACTGGCAAGAGTGAAATCTGCGGACATAATGGCCTAATAAGCATCGCCCAGCTTGGCCGTGGTTTTTGATGCGATGCAGGAGACCAATGACGTTGATTGCGTGTCCTTGAACAATTGGGTTCTCGAGGAAGCTGAAAGCCGCAGCGTGAAAGTTAGGCAAAATGAAGGCGGACGGCCCCCGCGAACCCCCGCTCTGACAGCCTCGTCGGAACCGTAGGCTTTGACCTTTCCCATTTCCGAGGCTGGCGATAAGGCCAGGGTATACGTGGCAGGGACTTTGCTGTATGAAGCCCTAAGATGCTCATGGACCGTGACGCCGAGTGTAGGACCTGGGACGGGGGCCCAGTAGGATCCGTAGGGACATGTCGAAGGGAGCAGCTGAAGGAGCGACGGTGATGCGACGCGGAACTCGGAACGGTCGTATCAATTCCTAGGAAGAGAGCTTGAGACTCCTATGTAGCAATCAGTCTTCGCATTGGCAGAAAGAACTTGATATTCCGAATGGAAACCTCTTTTGATCAGTGTCTGTGTTGAGCTGGAGAGAGCGCGTTGTAGTCCCGATTGACCAATCAGCGCACCCGAATCCCGCGCTAAGCTGTATTCGCGTTGGCGTTCGCTCCCCCGGTGCTGAGTACTGGAGTTCTGGAGTCTGGAGGGGTTTTAGTTGATGAATGGAACAAAGCGGAGGGTTTTCGGGCAATTTGGGTCAAAGAACATAAGCGGCCTCGCCGGCTTTTTATATATCTCTGGCAAACCCCGCGAGGACACGGGTGGTTGGGCTCACTCGTCTTGGGCATCCACGCATCACCCAGTACTTAGCTGAGCCATCGAAATCATTGAATGCATAGACCTGCGGCCGCTTCATAGGCCGCTCCGCTACCTTATATACTTTACCCCATCCCTCAAATCAATTTGCTGCAAGATAGCCACATGCTGTCGCCTCATGCGGATGGAGCAATGCACTGACTGAACTGGCTGTGCGGCAAGATATGAGTGGTCCGACATAAGTACCCTGAGGAGAATTAGTGCCTTGCTTCACTTCATCACATCGCACGGTTATGTCCAAGCTCTGCACTCGGCTTGCGACATAGGTTGCACATTTGCAGCACCAAAGATACACACACAAACAGTGATGGCTGGACATCATGAGTACAGACAAACCTCATCTTGATTAGATGAGCGCTCTTGTTTGCTAATAGACGCCAACGTCGATTATCCCAGCCAGACCTAGGTCGGAGCAAAGCCGTGCGCCAACCTGCCTTCCAACTCAGACACCATCCGACGCCTGTCAATAACTCATACCTCGTCCTCGAGGAACTTATACACGAACTTGAAGTCTGCCTTCCTCCGATTCATCCTGTAACAAATCACCTATGTTAGCCCGGGTAACAATCATAATTGCTGTAAACTAGATGGAGCACAGATGTTGTAGATGCCAAAAATACAATGAGAATACGAAAGAACCTGTATGTGTAATCAAGATGTCGCACTATCTTGATATCAAAATGACAGCCAGCAGAACAGCATGTTGGACACAATACCGATCAGCAGGACAAGATCAAAAAGAGAATCAGGATAGTTAGAAGTCATCCTGGCCCCTCCAGGACACGAAATAAGGGGCAGTCGAAATAACAATGGAAGCGTTTTGAAAGGATAGGGGGGTCCCACCATGTGCTCTCATAGTCAAAGAACCGATAAGTTCCTTGTTCGAACTCCTCGGTAATTGTCTTTGGCTCCTCATGACGTTGGAACCAAGTCTGGTACTGCTTATGGAAACGCCAGCTTTGGTCCTTAAGTGCCTTGGCTGCGAGATACTGTTGGTATGTCCCTTGCTTGTAGTAGAAGACATAGAACAGGGTATCCGGATCTATACGTGAGTATAATCGAGGATCGTCAAAAACCGGATCCAGATCCTGGGGGTAATAGGAAGGCGTGTTGAACTTAATATTCGGCTTATAATTTCGAGGGGCCCCCACGTCCAGCATATCTGGTACACTGGCCTGTGATGCTATAAGCATTCTTTGAGAAGATTGCGACGGAGCACTTGTTACACGACGTTGGGTAGCTTCGAAGGACTGGAGTAAATCTTGTAACCCTGATGGGAGATGATAAACCGATTCGTCTGGGTCTTCAACAACAGCATTCTTGACGCCATTCGTAATACCATTCGATTGCGATGGAGCGACTTCAGACTAGTTAGAGTTATGCGATACAAAAAAATCATAGAGAACAGACCTTTCGAACTCTCGGATGGCCCAGGTGCAGGTTGAGTCTTTGCCGACCCTCGAGAAGTGCTGCCTGGTCTGGTACTATCCGACCTCTCGATATTGGCGGCTTGCGACGCACTGGTACCGTTGGGGACCGCACTTGACTGGCTCAACGCTGGTGACTTCGTCTGAGAGCTTGACGGAGTATCGGCAACATTGGCGGCAGGTGGGATACTGGATCTTTGGCTAGCGGTGGCTGGTTGAGCATGGACGACTGTAGGTGATGCAGCAGCCAGACTTGGTCTTCTCCCTGCATGTGACGGTAATGGAGGATGGCTAGCAGACGTATTTGGTGCCGGAAGCGTTTCGGGAGGCGGGGGTAAAGGAGCAATGCCCATATTGTTCTTTTCACTCGCCGCGGCCGCAGCAGCAGCCGAAGCATATTTGAGGGTTTCACCTGGGGCTCGAGTCGGCAATGCCGCAGGCTTCATATTTGCGGTACCATTAGAGATATTGGGTATCGGTGTATGTAGTGTCGCCAGAGCCGGCAGGGGGCTTTTCATCTGTGTCGACGGCCTTCGTGCTGCAGCAACAGGAGTGTCGGCGGGTGCTGTAGACTTCGACTTCCCCGGTATGCTACTCGATCTTGTATCTGTTTCGGGTACTTCTTCTTGTATCGACTGAGTATCTTGTGATGATACCCGGTCATTGTCGTTGTTCATACCGTACGTGTCCTCCTCTTCCTGGAGGTTAAGGTCATCGTACATTTCGTCGTCCTCCATGAAATCTTCGTTCATGCCATCCGTAACGTAATACCGAATTGTCTCCTCCAGCTCGTTGACTTGTTCGGTTTCCACAGCGCCATTCTCCAGCGATCGTTTGATGAGCTCCAGTTTCCCTTGGTGCCATTTATGCCGCTCAGTTATTCGCTCGATCTCCGCCATTCGATCCGCCTTGGAAGTCTGGTTTTTGCCCTTCTTCATGGTTGCCTGTATTGATTCGCCCTCTGCCTCGAGGGTTTCTATTTGACGCTCGAGATCATCAACCATATTGCTGAGAAATTCGCATGCCTCCATCTTCGCACGTTCCTTCGGATCTAATTTTGCAGCTGCTGATAGGCCCTCTTTCGAATATGCCTTCGTCTTCATAGCTTTCTCGACGGCCTTGAACTTCTCCATTTGCTGCAAAAGGGTCAGCTGCTATCTCGACGGATGGGCCACAACACCTACGGTTTCGATCAGCTTCCGCTTCTCCATGAGTGGCCCCTTGTCCTTAATATCATTGCTGGCGGCCCATGTCTTGATTTGATCGCGAAGCCTTTGCAGCTTCTTGATCTCTCTCTTAAGGTTGTCCTCGAGCTTCTCCTTCTGCGCGGCATTTGTCGACTGTTCTATCTTCTCGTAGATTGATTCGAACTCTGCGACTCCTTCCTCGATCTTCTTGAAGCACTTGTCGACTTCCTGCTGAAGCTTTCGTGCCGCCATCTTGTTGGTGAGAGGGGCGCGCTGTGAAATTGCCGTTTGGGGATGGGTGAGTGCTGTTGTGTTCACGGATCTAGCTTTGTTTGTTGACTATCTGGCCCCATGCGTAGGACACAGTAGAGGATGGCGCGCGCCAAAAAAGGTGCGGATAGTGCTACAGAAGGCTTGTAAGAAACTTCAGTCCGGGGGTTGTTATTGTAGGGGTTTGCTGGACGGTGTTCAAAAAGGCGTCCCAAGAGATTGATGCAATGCGAGGTCTCGCTTCTGGGGCTCTGGCCGGCGTAGCTTTTGCTCCTGCAGCCTTATGTATCTCACGTAGAAAACCTGGGGAAAGGACCGCCCACTTCTAGATCAACAAAAAATAAATAAGTTGGAAGCACGTTTGCGATACCTCGAGTGAGTGTTGCAGGCTTGAAGGTCAACCGTCTATTTTTATATTTCGCTGATTGCGTTGCAACTGCCCGTATCGCATTCCTCGCCGGCAATTTGTTGGCGGCAAGTGCTTCAACCCTTCGCTCATTGCATCATCCCAGCGCTTCTCTCTGAAGCCCCGACCCTGATCCGCTTCCAGAAGCCCTAGAAGTTGTGGGCCAATATCTACCAAAATATTTATTCAACCTGATATCTTCACCTCATTTAGGGGAGGTGACGAAGCGTAATAAACATGAAAGGTCAGGCTCGCTCTTTTACGCCCTTAGCCGGGGATGTTCTGACTCAATATCAGCCATCCTCCAGCGGGTGCTCAGCGCCTCCGTCACGGTCGACAAGCAATTGGTATCATCTATCGGGAAAGGGATACTGGTCTTTGCTGCCGTAGCACCAGGAGATACAGAGAAAGATGCAGAGACGTTGGCCGCAAAAGTGCTGAAGATGAAGCTGTGGGATGATGAGGCGGGTGGAAGGGTACGAATAGACCCTATCTGTACATACTTAGTGGTAGGCACGGAATCTGATTATCTAGCAGTGGAAAATGAGTGTTCAAGATATCCGTGGAGAGGTTTTGTGTGGTACGTGATACGAGTCGATTAAACATCGTTTCGGGGACTCATACTGGTGTCTACTAGTTTCACAGTTCACATTGCTCGCATCGACGAAGAAAGGATCGAAGCCGGATTTCCACGGAGCCTTAGGAGGAGACCAGGCAAAGGAGCTCTATCAGCATTTTGTCTCGAAGGTCCAGCAAGGATACAGCCCAGAACGGGTAAAGGATGGGGTTTTTCAGGCCATGATGGTATGCGCCATCACCCATCATTGATATGGCAGCTTACTGATATGTATATTAGGAAGTGGCTTTGGTTAATGATGGTCCCGTGAGTACTTAAGATCTGTTCAATCCCAGTTGCTGACAAGCTGCAGGTCACCCTGGAAATTTCAACAGGGCCAAATGGACAGAAATGATGCGCAAGTCAAAAGGGCTGACACAAGGTGGACCGCGAGACGGCTGTTCAACCATGGAACATTTTATATAGATTTCTATATATAGATTGTACCGCCTGAGAAGGGCGGGCTATTGAAGCTTATACTGTTCTCTATATTGTGGACTTCTTCTAGTCTGTTGCTTCAATGACTGAGGGTGGAAGGGGGCGTTATCACGTGATAAGCAACTGAGATATTACATATTCATCTTGGGTGTTTCGTTTTGGGGAAAGTCTCCCAAACAAATTTAGAGCATAGGAAGGGTTAATATGCAAGGTATGATGATACTATAGAGGGCTTGAAGTTGAAATAGAATTCTCTTCAAAATAGTAACACAAAAGAAGCGATTCCGGATAAACTCACCTTCCGATGTTTGGATCGTTTGCACTAAACTCCACCAACAGTAACTAGAAGCTTCCAAGGATACGAACAAGGCTGAGGATATAATACCAAGGTTCTCAAGTACCTTAACTCAAAACAAACTCGCGCATCTATCTCAACAACGACTCAATTCCAGTACCCCGACATCAACAGAGAAATAGACCAACATGGCAGAAGGCAATTCCGAAAAAAAGCGAAGCCGCGTCTTCTTCGACATCTCCATCGGCAACAAGAAGGAGGGTCGGATCACCTTCGAGCTGTACGATGATATCGTACCCAAGACCGCAGAGAACTTCCGTGCTCTCTGCACTGGCGAGAAGGGCATTGGAAAATCTGGCAAGGAACTATGCTACAAGGGATCCATTTTCCACCGAGTCATCAAGCAATTCATGATCCAAGGTGGAGACTTCACAGCAGGAAACGGCACAGGTGGAGAGTCGATCTACGGCACCAAGTTCGACGATGAAAACTTCCAACTTAAGCACGAGAAGCCATTCTTGCTATCTATGGCCAATGCTGGTCCAGGTACGTCTCTTACAATTCCCCAAAAGTAGCAGAGCAATGGACCAACTAACCCCTCATTTCCAGGCACCAACGGCTCACAATTCTTCATCACCACGGTCCCTACCCCTCACCTGGACGGGAAGCATGTCGTCTTCGGTGAAGTCTTAAGCGGCAAATCGATCGTGCGAAAAATCGAGAACCTCCCCACGCAAAGCGACAAGCCTGTCAAGGACGTCACCATCACGAATTGCGGTGAGCTCAGCGGCGAGGAGGCCGAGCAAGCCTTACAGAAGGTCCCCGACGCGACTGGCGACCCTTACGAAGACTTCCCCGAGGACCAAACGGGCGAGCCTCTAACTGCGAGCGGCATCGTCAAGATCGCTACCGATCTGAAGGGCTTTGGAAACACAGCGTTCAAGGCAGGGGATCTGGAGCTGGGTCTGGATAAGTATCAGAAGGGTCTCCGCTACCTGAATGAGGATCCAAGCCTGGATGGCGAGCCGCCGGAGACGAAGCAGGCCATGGACGCCCTGCGCTTCACGCTGAATTCCAACTCGGCTCTGCTGTCGAACAAACTGAAGGCCTATGATGATGCGCTGCGATCCGCATCGGCTGCGTTGGATGTGGCCAACATCACGGACGCGGAGAAGGCAAAGGCTCTGTACCGCCGTGCGATTGCGGAGATCGGCCTGAAGGACGAGGAGGCTGCGTTGAAGGACTTGGAGGAGGCGAATAAGCTGGTTCCGAATGACCCCGCTGTCGTCAAGGAGTTGACGCAAGTCAAGAAGGCGGCGGCGGAGAGGCTAAAGAAGGAGAAGGCTGCTTATAAGAAGTTCTTCTCTTGAGATACGCGAAATGATGATGCAGTCAATGAGCTATTGGGAACGATGACGAAGACTACGAGATAGAAGGATTTAATGCTGTTCAGTGGAGCAGAGGCGTTGCTAAAAGAAAAAGTTCCATTTTTGCGGCGCTACTCATGTTTTGTACTACTTGCGTATGCATCACTGAATTACAAAAAAAGTGGTATAGAAAAAAGACTGCCCAACCCCGATTCCTGCTTATCAAAATGTGACCCCACCACCAATGCAACCGAAATCGTTTCTACTCTATATATGCATGCATTAAAACTAAATCATATTTCCTTTCAATGGTGTCCCAGCAATGAAATTACCGTCCTTATCCAAAGACCCCAGGGTATCTCCCTTTCCCTTCCATCTCAGGCCGCCAAGAAAACTCCTAGATTGCTTCCCATTCCGGCCTTGACCTCCGCTTGGTGGTGATGCCTGTGAAGTATCTGCAAAATCGTACGGCTTCTGTGATTTACTCTCTTTTCCAAAAGTTTGTTCCCAGAATTTCTGCTTCTCTCTTCGCTCCTTGATGCCCAATTCGCTCCCAGCAGATCCCGGTGGACGGCCTCGTCCGGGACTGGCAGGGACGGTGGCTTCAATCGGTGGTGGAGGACTATAGGCTTCGGGCACAGGACTCACAGCATCTCGAAGTGCAGTGGCCTCTAGACTTCCAATGACATCTTCCAGACTTAGGGGTGTTTGATCGGTATTTCGATTGCCCTCAGCTTTACGAAGACATTCGTCAGCGCGGCGTTGAAGATTGATACAAAGTTGATTGAAATTCAGGAGATCGCCATCGAGACTGGAGGGAGCTAGATGATTTGCTGTGGTATCTAGCCAAAGCTTCACTAAAGCCGCAAAATTGCGGGCGTGATCAATGAGATATGGTAACGACGGAAATCCTTCTCTGGATGTCGGTGGTAAGCGAGCTAGAATCGTGATTGGTGTTGTATAAGATGCGGGTAGTGCGATATTGTTACGTTCCGACGGAATAGAACAGATATCATCGATGTAATCTTTCACCCCTTGCCGATGACTTGTAAGAAACTTGTTCATGGGTTCCATCCATTCCTCTTTCTGGCCAAAAGTAGATAGATTAGCAAGCGCCTGTAAGCTCTTGGCAATCAATGTCAGCGTTCGCTGAGCTTTAGGTTGGGGGTGGTCCGGTAGAAGCCCAAAGAGTTTGGGGTTCAGTATAGCCGGGCAAAAGAATCGTAGGAAGAGGAATCCAGAAACACTGGTATAGGCTACAGTGCGGAGGAAGTCACCATAGCGATCTGCAGCGACGGCACGAATATACTTGAGGATTTGCCGTATCCCAGGTGGACATCGATTGGCTGATTCAGCGATGCTTTCCCAAACACTCGTTGTCAGAGACATGAGTTGAACCCAATTTTTGTTGACATCCACACCCTGGGAGATCCTCGATGGATCGACTTCGCAATCAGCATTGAGGGAGTTGATTTCCAAGATTTTTTCAGACAACACTTCCTCCAAATACTCGTGACCTAGTCTCCTCATGTGAAAATCCAAGGCTTGAGTGAGGAGAGAGTTGCCCCGGAAAAGGAGATTGGCTTCGCCCTGGAGAGATTTGCTCATATCTCGGACAGATTGTTCTCTCTCACTAACTGAGGAAGCGCTCGAACTAATCCGCCTACTCCATCTGATGCGGTGAACGGGAATTTCCTTCCCGATGCCATCAATTTCGTCTTCGACTAAGGCCATAAGCCAATCTCCGGCATGCCCAGATACCTGAAAGATATTCACCAATATCTCAGATAGGGTCCGTAAATTGGAAGGCATGGCTTGAGAGATACGTATGGTAAGGCCGCTATCGAATCGGTGAAGCAGTTCGGAGATGTCCTGGTAATCCCTGGCCAGGAGAACCACGACCTCATCGTGTCGAAGCTTTAGAAATATGTCTCCGAGAGACTCCTGTTGATCATCCAAGATTGGAAACCATGCTTCACAATCCTTTCCGGTCTCGAATTTGTCTAGTGGTATATCGATGGTACCGCAAACGATCTCAGTCGGCTTCTCAGGAACATGGACACTAGATGAAGAAAGAAATCCGTGGGTCGCGACTTCTGGATGTTCAAGTCGTTTCAGCACAAGTGAGATTTTGGGTGAGTAAGCAGGGAGATCAAGGAACTCGTAGTCCTCTCGCCAGAACGGATACCGTGTGTTGGTCTTTGTTATTGTACGCGCTCGAATCTCCCCATCGAGAATGACCTCGGCAAAGTAATCACCCACAGTTGAGTCTTGTACTGGCTTCCCAGACGGCTTTCCAAGGTAAGCCGTCTCTGTCTTTGGTTGTGGTCGGCGGATTTTCGCTTCCACCACTCGCAGAGTGAGAGAATTCTCGATTCTGAACATATCGTTGGTAGGAGGGGTATATGGAGTTTCTGGGTCGAGTTCTTGATCGTCGGATAACTCAGGCCCATAGATGTCCGGCATTGAAAAAGCGCGGAGTAAGCAGAACCATACTTCGAAAAGAATTCGTGTTTCCAAGGCGATATACACGGGCCTGAATATGGACAATTGAGTTGAAGTCGAAGTATACTGTGGGAAGATAGCTATGCAGAACTTCTCGCCTAGAACCGATTTGTCCAGCCGTTGGATTGCGGAACGCGAAAGCTGTGATAATTGTATAACAGACAGAAGCGTAACATCGTTCTCTGTCAAAAGCTTGAACTCGCCATTGTCCTGAAGGATACACGACACTCTGCGCCATGACGAGTGGGATGGCGCACGTAGGTCCGTAGTAGAAGAACGTCGTACAATGGCGGACGGGGACGAGGGTGGTCCTCTATCCCAAAGCAGCAATTTGGCAACCTTGATTATATTTGCATTGCCCCCCGAGTTACCGAAAGAAGAATCCCTTCTTGGAAGGCTTGGCCTCCGTTCGTCCCCAGAGGGAGTAAGCGGTTTTGGCGGGAGTGGACTGGAACGGATCTGTTGCCAGCATAGCAAAGCTGCTAACCAAAGATCGTATTCTGCTTTGACCAAAGGATAGATTCGAAGATCGACACCAAGTAAAGGGTTCGACACTTCAAGACATTTGATCGATCTCTCTTTCACGTTCACAGGCCGGACGCGGCATCCTCGAAGGTCGGGTACAACCGTCAGGGGGAAAGGCCCATTATTATCACTGACACACATCAAAGAACCATTGACATCGTCAATATAGCAAATTCCTGAGTGCCAGGGCCCCTGTTCGCCATCTTGGTAGTCGACCCCGCCTCTCATACGGCCACATAAAGTCTTCATTAACATTAGGATTTTATTAGCATCGCCCGTAGCCACTGGGAAGGGGAGAGAATCGATAGTCGGGACGTCGCTCATTACCGGAGGAGAGGCTGTCCGTGATGACTTTCTTACCAGACGTCTACCATTCTTGACAGAATTCGATTTCTGCAATTGAGGCGGGGGTCTGGTGGTGATCGACGGAAAGCCAAGCGAGTTTGATATGTCCTGTCGAGGTTCCACGTCGTGGAAGGAGGGGGAAGTTGTGGAATGGACTGAACCAATGCGGTGTCGACTTTTCGAAACACTTGACGAGGCTGCATGGTGACGGGGGTATTCGTCCATTGTGTGAGTCCGCGACCTGGCGTGAAAGCTGACTGGCGGTGCAGAGCGAAACCCGTCCGTAGAGCGACCAGCTCCAGGTGACTCGGCGCCGTAGGGATCTTGGAATACCAGACCATGCCGGCGATCTCCAGAAGCCCTATCCCTATCCCTCCCAGCTCTTGCTCGTGGTGATGTCGGCGGGGAAGAAATGTTGATACGCGCGGGCTGCAGTTCCCCTACTATGCTGTGCGCTGAGAGTCCACCCTCCTCCAGACGGTCCGGTGTGACAACACGAATCGTATTCTTTGCTCCCACCCGCGTCCTTTGCGCTGGACTGTCGGAACGCTCCAAACCTCCTGCAGTTGTCTCCGCAGCATTCTCTTGCCAATCCTGAAAAGCGCCGTCTTCTGCAATGGCCCCATCGTGTCGATTCCCATCCATCCCTGGCGGGAGTATGCTGCTCATCTGGCGATGCCTCCTCATTCACGCACTTTCATGTCATGCCCCGAACACCCAGCTGTCGAGGATGCTGGACCGGCTATCGCAGCGATAGTCGGGATCCACGCGTAGACGATGGTTCGACGTCAATCGCATCAGCACTAAGCTGGCCGCGGCGCTTCTCCGTCTTTGATTTCGAGTTCGAGTTCGAGTTCGACGAGCTGTGATCCTCGAGAAAGCCTAGGCAGGTCGGGGCGCAAAGTAAACAGAAATATCAATAAAGTTCCGTACCTACAGGTACCTGTAAGTCAAAGGGCTTGGTGGGTGCACTAGGCCTTCCTTCACAGGGCTTAATGACGTCTTACCTTTTGTCCAGCGACAACAAAAGGTTCGACTGCTGCCGTGGAGATTATTCCCGTGAGCCTGTGTCTTCCCAATGCCAAGCTCGTTCAGCACCCAGCTCGCACCTCTTCATCATCGCTGGCAGTGAACCAGTCTCGGTCGGAGGCTCAGCGGGCTCGGGGACGCTGGTGAGTTGGTGATGGGCCGAGCTTTTCCCCTCCAAGGAGGTTATCCGGAATGTCTCGCGGGCCTTGCGATGCGAGACCTGGAGAATGTCGGATCGAAGGTTCAACGGAGCGGCGGCGCAGAAGATGGAGCGTTATTATAGTAGTCAGAGACGTATCTGCGCATGGACGGCCGAATGGGATATGCCCGGAATAGTTAGACTTTCCATTCATACCTTATGGAGCAATCATCAACATCATGCCGTACGGCTTAGGCCTAACGTGCGCGCCACATTACATTTACCAAGCAAGTACGTATTGAACAGGGCTCTGCTGCGGCTGTTGCGTTTACATTGTAAATAGATTTACGTGTTTCCACTTAATTTAATTAAAATACAGCTACCGGCGGCACTTGAGATTATTCTAGAATACTCCCTGTTAACCTGTCAAAAGCCTGTCAAAGTGCTATGCTAAAGAAGATCAACAGCCGGGCCGCGATGGCATGTCTGTTTCTCATGTGACCACGGAGATGGCAATATTTTACTATCTGAGGTAGGTAGTTAACAGAGGCAACCAAGATATTGGCATCTACACAGTACAAACAAAGTACACAGTATACAGTATATATAACCTCCGTTCCAGGGGCCCACCAGCATGTGTGGACAACGTGCTTGTATGTAATTCCCTATTCCCTAACTACTCATCAGCCAGACATCGGCCGTGTTAAAAGAACAGGAAAAGTGAAGATTCCCAGCCATAACACCTGCGTCAGCTCAATCGAGCGACACATTGAAGACAAGACCTCCCTGCTCCGATGATCTCCGTTCATCCCAAAATTCTCAAAAGAAAGCCCTGACGGTCATCTCTTTCTCAGGTTTCATATCATAGAAAGTATAACATTTCCAAATGGACCGCACCTAACAATGCCGGCCAACCCCACGTATTCTTACTTGAAAGCTCGATCAGAGTGCCCGTCTGGACTCGAAGGACTCAGGGGTTGGCTTCGAAAACCACTGAGATCTCCGCTTCCCGTTTTTCTCAGAGCTTGACTCATTGTTTCAATTGTTAATTCTCCGCCGCTGAGAGGCGGATATGGCAGTAATGGACTTCCCAGAGGTCTCCCTCTTGGTGAAAGATCAACGCCTTTGATTGACGCCGATTTGCTCGTCGGAGGAGAAGTTCCCAACCCCGTAGACGAAACTGGCGATCGAACTGGTGAAGGAGATTGGTTGTGTCCTGATGACAATGAACCAAGTCCTGCAACGTATATCGAATCTCTGCTCCCGGCATGATCAATGTGCTCTGATTGCACAATGTCTGAAAAGGAGATGAAGCTCAGTCGGCGCACGTCCGCACTATCAATGGCACCATAATACGATGCTGCGTCGTCTTTGTCTGGATGTGCAACCAACTCATCCGGCCAAGCTCCTGGTGTGACCTCATTGTTTCCTACCCCGGTAACAGTTACTGCTGCCGGCTGGTGGGAGGAGTGCATGATTATCTCGACGGTATCTGGGTCGAGTGTGCTATTGGTGATAGCTTCAGAAGAAGCATCTAATACGGGTGGGATGTAGTTTTCTCTCTGAATATGGGACGGGATCGCGGGCGAATTGGGCACCGGTAAGGTACTCTCTTGTACATCGCGTTCGAATATTTGCGAGCCCGCTGGTGATACAACGCGGGGCGATGATGAGTAGAGATTTCGCTGCGGCGAGGAGGGTGACTGGTACCGTTCATTTGAGCGGGAGGGAGATGTCTGTGTTGGGAACCTTTGGGCGGCAGGTTGTGCAATTGGGACGTCTGCATTACGAGCATTTACGCTTGGTGCAATTTCATCTTCTTCCTTCCCCGTCGCCTTCTCTCCATCCCTCTTCTTTTTCCCAAAGCCAAATAATCTTCGCTTTCCAAATTTTAGATCTTCCCTTGTTGTTTCACCAACATCGGGTTCACCATCGCTGCTGTCGACGTCCGTCGATTTCGACAGCCGAGGGTTTGTAGATTCTTGGAAACCTTCGCCCAGTAGAGGCACTTTCGAAGCGTTGGCCGATTGTTTAGCCGCCGGAACTGGTGTGCTTGGGGGAGGAGTACTGGATTCGGATGCGCTCATCGTGAAGTTCCTGGGACGTCAGGGAAGGTTCCCTCAATCTTGGGAATGCGCAGGGCCGTATGATAAATTCTGAGGAGCGTCAGCCGTGCCTCTTTAGCTGTGTGTTGCATATGTGTCGGCGGAAAGGTGTGCCCAATGATCGAGTTGCTCTAGAACCAACATTGGCAAAAAGTCGAGTGAGAACTTACGCGTCGAGCTGATAAGTGCAGTATCGTCGACCGGTCGCCGCTGAGAGAAGGAATAGCAATGGGCAAGAGTCCTAGCGATCTCGAGGAAGAGAAGGCATCATGTGCGGTTGAGCATGTTGGATCCAGGGGATGAGTTCTGATTGTAAGTTGTCCGTGGAGGCAGGACGTACGCCCCCGAGTACTTGGGTCTCAGGGTCGCATGACGAGCTGCGGTTGTGGCCGGGGAGAACGGTTCAGGGGTCACGGCTACGGCGACTCTCGCTTACCATTGGTGGAAAGCTAGCGCCGCCGACTGCCAGAACTCCAGTCTCCCAAAAATTCGCGAATGCCATCAAAAGATCCCCAGCTCGACCTCCATCCTTCTGTCCCACGCCTCTCCTTCACGCCATGGAAACCGGTTTGCTTAGACGGCCTGTCATTGACCTCCTGTCAGGCAGATCCCAATGTCTATTTGCCCTCAACACCGCCGCTCGACGGCATGAATCCTCCTACCGCCGCACGAAGCACCGTCTGAATGTCAAGCCAGACTCGTCCTTCCTCCTCTCCAACAACAGTCCTCAACAAGACCACATCGTCTTCAATCCTCCTTCATCAGCTCCGTCCGTCCAACACACCCCCCTCATATTCCTTCCCAAGGAGGACAAGCGGAGACAGCTCTTCGCAGCCACAGCCGCACGAACACCTGCTCCGACACGACTACCACCAGTGATCCAGAAGTTCAAACCGGTCGGTGTAAGACATCACTTGACAGAAAAAGATATAGAGGAGATTCGAAAATTAAGGAGTTCCGACCCTTTCCAGTGGTCGGCAGCGAAACTGGCTAGGAAGTTCAACTGTTCGATGTTCTTCGTGAAGATGTGCTGTGAAGCACCGGAGGAGAAGAAGGAGCTCGAAAGGCAGAAGCTCGAGGCACTTAGGGCGAGATGGGGTCCAAAGAGAAGGAGGGCACGGGAGGATATGCTCAAGAGAAAGGAGCTTGCTCTCAGGGATGAGTAGGACGCATGCATTGGTGCTGATATTTATGACGAACGGTCACACGGGAGCAAGAAAGTCGGACTTGGTGATCTGGTATGCGCAGAGGGAGGGATTGTCAGGATTCATCGGAGCCGTTGTACAATAAGGAGCGCCAAGGCCGAGGCGACGCGTCTTTCATTTGTGTAAAACAGACGGTGGGATATGTTCCCGGGGGGCGTTTACAGATCACTGTAGGAATATGTACAAAAGCTTCTTGGATAAGCTCTCCATTTCTAATACAACATCTTGCCCTCAATATCCCCAGTCCCTATGTCCACCATCCAGTTTCCTTGCGTGAACCATACCTCCAAAGTCTAGGAGGCAGAACGAGCTCTCATGGGCAGCAATATATTTACCGGTCAAGCAGAAGCAGCTTCATATGGAAATGTTTTTTCATCGTTCAATGCTCCAGTTTCTAGCTTTGTATTCAGCATCGTGCCATAATGATTGTACTATAAGCCAGTGTGTGTAATTTGTATAAACTCTCATTTCCAACCCCCAGATGAAAAGCAACTCACCAACCAAGGGCTTGGACATACCTGGAGATGTCAATTGACGACATAGACTACCTAAGTAGGTGCCTTAGTGTATCACATGACAAGAGGTATTCAATAGCACTCAACTCGCAGTTCTTTTTGGGTCACAGGTTTAGAGATCTTCAAGGCAGCTTGAATAGACGACAACTTGACATTCCCTCTAAACCAACACACTCACACACGAGGCTTTGCAGGTCGATGCATAATAGTATGACGAGCAACTCCCATTCCCTCCCCTCCTTCATACTCCCATAGATTGAAAGTCATCGGTTCAAACACGACGAAGCCGTACTTTTTATACAATGGTTCTCCCGCTGACGACGCCCCAAGCACGACTTGCAATCCAGCAGCATCTGCTTCCCGCAGCCCGTCTTCTAGTAGCAAGGCCCCAATACCACGCCTCTGAGCTTCAGGAGAGACGACAAGTAGTCCCAGTTCTGCAACATGGTCAGACCTCTACTTCTCGTCTTTGTCGAATCCAGCTGCAATCAAACCAAAGATAATCAATCAGCAGGACTTACTAAGATACTCCTTCCCCTCACAAGCCCTCTCCATATGCTCATCCCCCCTAACCAAAGCATCCACACACAACCTCGGACAAGCCATCTGACTGTAAGCCTTCTCTTTCTCCTCTATCTCCTTCGCAGACAACGCTTTATCAACACCCCTCCACCATTGAGCCCAGCCCACAATTTCCTCCCGCCCATCCTCACCCGTCCGAACTGCCTTAACGTACTTCCTAGTTACACCAGGCCTACTTGCGTTGAGTAGAGACTGAGCCCGTTCAGCAATACCTGCTTCGCTCGATGGCCCTATGGCTACGAGAGTAAATTCCTCGCCCTGGAAGGCGGCGGCTTCGATGCGAGCTAGAGTCTCAAAATCGGAGGGTACAGGGGTTTGGAGGCTGATAGCGGAGGCCGTCATTATGTGGAATTCCTCACATGCACAACAAAAATGAAAGAACAAAATGAAATTCGACGATGCGCAAAAGAGGAATGAGAAAAGAATACAGGAAATGAGTTAGGAAACTTCCTATTATAAAGTATATTTCTCGTTGATTGAGGTCTCCTCTCCCGGCGTTGAGATATGAAGTTCTGGCAGGAGTGGGATGTCTTGGGTTGCTGTTTGCCGCTTGAGTCACCCGCCGTCGGGAGGCTCGATGCAGAACTTTCAGCATCAACAGTGTGGCCTGAAATGGGAAGCTTCGTGTACAAAGAAACTTCTTTTTAAGGTAGGTGTGTGGAGTTGAAGGATTGTGGCTTTGTCGATAGCTTGAGCTGTGATAAAGCCGACTCGAAAGGTTCTGTAGTATCTCCAACAATTTATGCCGGATGAGAACTTTCACTGCCGACGGTGAAGAGCAACTTGTACGGCTTATATAGCCAGGTATCCAAGATAGTCTTAATTCCATATGTCACAGTAACTCCTTCCCACGGGTATATCTCGTAAATCATCAAGGCAAAACCTTCCAATCAACCCCAACTCCCCATTTCTCCCCTTCTATCACCACCTCCCATACCGGACCTTTGATTCCGACAATTGATCCCACCTCGACTTCACTGCCCTTCTGCAAACCGGTGCCCTCTCCCTGTCCCGCCAAAACGATCTTTCTTTCTCCCATAGTAGTAATAGTGCCCTCCAAGTCACCAGATTGGACTTGTTTACCCCTCACCAGTGTCATTCCCGCTCTTCCACCACCACTAACCTCATCGGCCATAATCTTCACAAGCCATGCACCATCTTTCTTCTGTGCCGAATTCCAGGGTATTGCAGACTCAATATTGACCAACCAGTCTCTGACCTCAGCAGCCAAGCCTCCTGGCACATACTTCTGACCCCGTCTATGCGGCGAGAATTGCTCGGGGAGCGGGTCTGTATTCGATTGTGCTTGTTCGGGGATGTCTGGTGGTCGAAACCTAGGGGGTTTGAGAAATGTGGTCTGGCTTGGCTGAGGTGTAGATTGTGGTACTCGTGTTGAGGGCAGGAATCGCGGTGCTGTCGAGGAGACGGGGGGACGCGCTGCAGGAGGAGAGGAGAGAGAAGGGACGGGAGAGGACTCGTCAGAAGTAATATTCTCTTGCTGTTCCAGAGCTTGATCATTCTCTTGGGGGACTGGAGAAGATGAGAGCCGCATACGCTTCGGGCTGCGTTCTTCTATATTGTAATCATCCTCCACATCCGTCGATAGGTATCCCGGATCTATATTTCGATCCTGCGTCTCGATTGATTGCTGCACATCTTCCAGGATGTCATCCGACGAAGAGTCGATAATGTCTTCCTCCTTGGGGATTTGGCGCGCTGGAGTCACATAACGCGATGAATATGGTGTAGGCGTAGGCGCAGTCGGTGTTGCTGTAGGCCTGGGCGTTGAAGAGAAGGTGAACCGTGGAGTGGCATTGAAAAGCTGGGTACTGGGACGCGGTGTTTGCTCAGGCAGTAGAGGGGCGTTTCTTGCAGGGGCTTGCTTCTTGATCACGAATCGATGAGGAGATGGCGTCTGCGGCACATGAGATCAGATACAATTATGCATGTTGGAAGGTTTAGCTTGTGGTTACCACAGGTGGAGGAGGCGCCATCTTGGAAGCCTCATGTCATGAGCGTAGGCTTCAGCAACCAGGCGAGCGGACTTCAAGTTCTCAGTCAACACCCACTATACCCTCATTAGATTCGTGTTCGCGATATCAACCACCTCGGCCTCCTCATGATGGGAATCCCATTGCTCGTTCATTCGAATGGGGAGGATAGACTGGACAGGACTGCTCTCAAGGTAACGTACCTTATCCAGCTATATGCCTTTTGATGTCATCATACAGCACACAACCACTGATAGCTAAGCGAGAATTTTTACCTTAAGGTGCTGTAGAACCAATGATGACTTCAAGATGATAAGATGTACCAAGTAGGTATGCAAAAACCATTCATTAAGCTATCCTTGTCGGCCGATAGAGTTTAGCCAATCTAAGTAGATTGGTAGCTTCGTAGTACGTTGTAAACACGTACTTATACTGTATGGCTTTGCGCCCGGCATCCGCTTTATAAAAACCCTGTTTCATGAAGTATAGTCAAAGGAGAGTGGAGATTGTGTCGAGGCTACTCCTCCACCCCTCTTTAGGGGCGGTCCATATAAAGTTTCAATCTGCCGTCTTCCATTTCCAGATGTTCACTTGATTTGAGAAGCAGAAGGCTTGTTAGCTCGGTACTGTACGCAGAAGCCAACCGCGTTTGTTTGTTCCCTTCGTTTTGATATCTCTACAACATGCCTAACCCACCACGGATGGGAGGAGACTCCTCAACCCTCTCACTGCTCTCCAGAAAGCACGAAATTCTTCTCTTCTCAAGTACCGCCATTGCTCTATATGGGTACGACCAAGGTAGCTCAGATCCCTGACATATATCATCATTCCTGTCTAACGTGGAAAAAAAAGGAATGATGTCCTTGATCAATACAAACCACTCCTATCTCCGGACCATGCAAATATCGCCCGAGTCTCCCTTGATCGGAATTATTGTATCGGTCTATTACTTAGGATGTGCGGTTGGCTCCGTCATTGCGTCCTGGCTTGCTGACCGAAAAGGTCGCAGGCTTTCTATCTTTATTTGTCTAGCAATAACAGTACTTGGCAACATTTTCATGTTTACATCAGGAATGTCCCCGAGTGGAACATCTCCATGGAACGACGGCGCATTAGGATGTATGTTGACTGGCCGAATCATTTTGGGACTGGGAGTTGGAGGCATCGATGCAGTGGTGCCAATATACAGTAGTGAGCTGTCGTCAGATGAATCCCGCGGTCGAGCTCTTGCCCAAGAGTTCCAAATGAATATTTTTGGACTCGTCATGGCATATTCTATTAACCTTGGAGTCACAATCAGCCTTGGAAAGGATAGTCAATGGGCCTGGCGAATCCCAATTGTCATTATGCAAATTTTCCCCATACTCCTGATGTCCGTCACGAGTCAACTTCCAGAAACTCCACGCTGGTTTATAAGCAAGGATAGGAAGGATGATGCAAGGAAGGCGCTGGAATCAATCCATGGAAAAGAGATAGCAGATTTAAAATTAGAAGAGCTGGAGAAGGCCCAGGAGGAAGAGAGTGATAAGAACGTTGGCTATAAAGATATGTTATTTCCTGGTGGCTCTCACTTCCATCCAACCGTGGTGACGGTCATGGGTCAGGTGAATCAAGCTCTTACAGGCTATGGCGCTGTTTCCGTCTACGGGCCACAGATTCTTGAGCTTCTTGGTTTCGGCGTCCGCCAAGCAGAGCTTTTGACGCTTGCAAACTACATCTCATATTTCCTTATGATGACATTTGCTTGGCTAAGCATCGACATTTTTGGCAGAAGGAAGCTTATGGTCTGGGGTGCTGCAGGCTTGACTATTTGTTTTGGCATGCTCACACTCTTTGGGGGTCTGGCATCAAGTGTTTCTGGGATCCCCAAACTCGCTGTCGAAATCCCTGGGACCATAGCCCTGTTTGTTGCGACTGCGACTTTCGGCATCGGATGGCTGGCAACTGTCTGGCTAATTCCCACTGAGATATATCCCAGCATGGCTCGCGCACAAGGGGGCGCTATCAGCGTCATCGTTTGGGGACTGGCTAACTTTTCTGTCACGTTGCTGGCACCGATCGGCTTCAACAACCTGAAATTCTGGTTATTTCTAGTGTTTGCGGCAACTAATGCTTTTGCCGGATGGTGGACTTGGACCTATACCCCTGAGAGTGGTGGAAGGAGCTTCGAGGAGAACCAGGAGTTCTTTGAAAGTGCAAAGAAAGATAACAGCTGGGTTGTCAAAGATGTTGACGGAGGGAAATTTGTGGCGATGCCGCACAAGGAGAATGATGAAGGAGATGGAGAACGTTCACCATTGCTTAGAAGAAGAACGTAGAGATAATAGAGCAGAGCGAAATCGTCACTACGTCGAATATTTGGGGCATTGCAAAAGTATTGCGAGCAATTATATTACGTCGTCAAGGCAAGAGGGCTCGAATGTGTGGCTATTTTGCTGCCTCAAGAACGCCACAATTTCCCTGATCCTCTGTTTCATCTTTTTGATGGCTTCATTCCATTTTGATATTGGCTTCGCCTCTATTTAACTTTTGATATCTGACTTAGTGGTCAGTTTCAATACAGTCAATCCCCACCAACTTGAGATCTTTTCATGTTCCCGCGGTAGCCTTGATAAGCCAGGGTACTAGGGCTTGTACTCCGCGTGTGGCGCCTGATATTATAATCATTGACACAAACGCCGGAATTGAGATGGAACTTCGGTTGACATTTGGGAGTACTGTAGATGGCAACAAGTCTTCAAATTTTCGGATTCTTCTATTACTAAACTCAATACAACACAACAATTCGAAATAATACTATTCAAAAAGCATCGACCAGTATAAAATCGAGGAGTGCAACCGGTTCAGTCAGCAGAGGTTATTTCTGCAGCAAGAGACAAGGCATTAAATAACCTCTGGCGGCTACGGTAATCGCGGACCGCAGCGAGAGTCCGAAACAGACCCTAGTGGGGTATCGTCTGCTTTAAACAAAATTCGCGCACAATTCACAGTTCTGTATCGCTTTGTTAGATGGTCAGATAACCTTATTTCAAGTTTGATTTTAAATGAAGCTATGGCCAGCCAGGTCGGTTCGGAATCATATGAAAGTTTGGAAGATTCGCGAGTCTCGGACCTGTCATGTCAAAAGCCCACTATTGCCTGGAAGCATTCTCAACTGAAGATGTTGCCATTTCTCTATTACTTTTACTCGTTGAGAGCATTATTGCCTCTCGTGCGACTTATACTTTTTTTCTCAGAAACAGGAATAATCTCGACAGGGTTGCCTGGGATTCCTTAAAAGTACTGTAAGTCAACTGCTTCCGTCTTTCATTCTATGCGAGCTGTTAATACCGTTGATAGTATCACTTTTATGAAAGTGGATTAGAAAGAGATCCCCTCGAGCCTTCATCTTTTTGATTCCAAAGGTCTCCAAGCGGACATTGCTATTTTGGAAATTGCTCCCTGGATTTGACGCCATACTCCTATTTTTGGAGAACGATTATGTTAGTAATGCTAAGCATCCACCTTCAATCAGGCATGGAAGACTGAGATGGCAAATCACTCCAAGAGATGAGACCCCTCTCTACACCCAACAGCCAGTTTAGAGTGGTAACTCGAAGATACAAGGAAAATAAGCAACAAGAGAGAATTGCCGTGACAGCATAGGATATATTACCATCATTACGTTACGAGAAGACTTATCTTATGAGTCTCTAGCTGTTTGACCCAATCCCAAGAACTTGGCAAGCCCATATCATGTTCCAACCACATCTTTTCGACAACGCGATAAGTCAGATCAATATTTCCCAGCGAACTCCATTCCTTCAGCTTGCGAAACTGAGCGGAAATCGCTTCCCTATCCTCAACTTCAATAGCAGCCGACCCAATAACGAAAAGAGGGAACAGCAAACAAGACATCACTCCATCACCGAATTTGATATTACGCATCCCACCCACGATTCTTTTCACCGCATCCTGAACCTTAGGATCTGCTTTGCCATCTGGGTACACGATCGAGAAGAGCCAGATGAACAATGCCCACAGGTAAAATTCGGCGATCATCTTCCGCTCTATTGAGAGGGCACCCTTGGGTTTCCATTTCGCTAGATCCTCCCATATCTTGACGGCTTTTGAGATAATATTGCCATCGAGCTTTGCTGAGTTCATATCTGTCTGGGCTCGGAGCAGGGAGATGCGTGTGATGAATTCGCTGAGCCCATCCTGTACTCCGACCATAGTCGGGTCGTGGTCAGCGAGACCAGCAGTGCTCTCAAGGCGCGGCTTGTTCATTGGGAGTAAAGGCACGGTGACAGCGGCAAGACAATCGTGATAAAGGAAGTATTCGATCAAGAAGGGGTCGATTTCCGTGATGGCCCTTTCCTGAACTGGACCTGCTGTCGGAGTGTCGCCGTCTACAGATGGACGGTCTTTCCCTTTGGTTGCATCAACCAAGATCCTCCTGGCTGTGTCTAAGTGGACGCGCCAGGAATCGTCGCCACTCCCCTTACATATTTCATACAAACAAAGCAAGACCGAGGTGGCGAATATTATTTCCTTATCTTGAATGGTATATGGCTGTGCTAGAGGCATCGTGGTCGAGCTCTCCCAAATCTGGACACGATGCGATTGCATCTGTACAACAGATTGGTGAAGTCGAGCCTTTTCGGCGCCAAGCTCTTCATCCCCATTCCCCTGTCCAAGTTTCAGGATATGAGAGGCCGCCAGGCACAAGACCATGTCCATAATGGCCCTATCCTTCAGAGCTAAGGGGATTACAACCTTATTCATAGGATTGCATTCGCCGACTGAGATGGTCAGAAGGTTAGACATGGTATTTGTGAAATGGCAGAAAAGCCGTTGGTGGAGAGGGGTATCAACTCCCGATATAACGAAAGGAATTTCCTTCGGTATCCAGACAGGTTGGTTGTCCTGGGGCGTTCCATCTACGAGAGCCCATTCATGTGGATGATTGGAGCCCCTTTCTCTTGCTATAACCGTACCGCTCGACCCGCTCTGATCGAAGATGAATGTTTCTTGATGCGTTCCCGTTCGAGGGGGGGCTTCGAGCGTGTCGAATACGAGATCGAATTCACTTCCGAACTGAGGGTCAATTATGAACCCGAACTCCTGGTTTTGGTGACTCGATGGAATCTGGTTTGGAACTGCCTGAGCATCCTGTACACAGGCCACGTCAAATTCCGAGCGCTGCGACCCTGTATTTACTGGATGAGGACTATTACTGGGTCTGGGCATGCCATGGTTCCCGATCTCAGATCTTCTCGCCGCAGCGCGAGCCTCCCAGGGGACTTGTTGTGGGAAGCCTTCACAAAGTACACCCGTCTTTTGGCAATTGGCACAAGTTGGCCGCTTTTCTACAAGTTAAGGTCAGCACTTGCATTTTACCACATCTTTCATTTCCCACTACTGTCTCCTTGGACCTCAAAGGGGCATTGAGCAGGGGTAGATTCGCGGACACCTACCATCGCACTTCTTCTTCCGCTTTCGACACGTGAAACATCCTGTCCGCACCCGCGTGATGGGGCTCTTCCTGTCATGACTTCTCTCGCCGTCCGAAACACGGCCGTGGCTCGACATCGAGGACGCACGCGCTTTAGATGCCATTCACGTTGGGGAGTGCAGTCGAAATATCTTATCTCTGACGACGTTGTGAACTCCTTCGAGCCTCGCTCCCCATATAAATTATATAAAGATATGCAACGGACTACAGTTCAAGGGAGCGCAAATGCAGTTAGAGTCATGGCAGGACCCTGCAAGGGCACTTGGGAAGTAGATGTGAGGACAGTAAGGACGTCAAAGCAAGAAGCGATGCAGTGGTGGAAGTGGGACGATCTCGATCAACCAAGTATGGGGGAGGGCTGTTAAAATTGCCCTTGTACTCTGTACTGTGCTGGAGTAGGAGCCTTTACTCGATTCAATGACCTTGTGAGTTCGTTCAAGTCTCCAGATCCTTGGGCTGCAGGTTCTAGGCTCAAGCTCCAAGCCTCCAAGGAGAGGCGCCGTATGAACCATGAGGACCCCCACTACTATGATCAACTAATAAGGCGCAGAAGCTGGGCAAACGTTTCTCATAATATTATTGGGCAATGGCCGTGCGTTACCCCGTCTCTGCCCTCTTATCGACGCATCGATCCGTATTGGCTGGAGGGTCTGGAGAGTTGACACCTGGGTAGGGAGTGGTTCGATAACTGGTGAGTTCCTTATTTTGTACAGAGGGGTATTATTAGAAGATGAACATCGTGGATAATTGACTGTACTGAATAAATAGTTCGCCAGCAGGTTGGAGGGACTTTCCAAGAGACATACCTCACAAGAAGGATGGATAATTCTCTTGGTAATTCATACCCCGCCCCCATTCTTCTTTAATTTGATTTCTAATTTTTTTATCGTTATATTTATTACTGTACCAAGCAAGCATCGTAATTTCTTGGAGGAGAGATCAACGTTTGCCTACCCGAAGGAAGAATAATACCCTAATCATCCTAACGGTCGCCACATCGTATATGCCTGTAGGTAGTCTTCGGCATTTTGCTAACGCTGCATTTACCGTTCTATGGCTTCAAGCTTCAGAGTCCTGACCTCATCATATGTTTCTTCAACTCAGTCTATCGCGATGCATACAAGTTCCTATGATTTACTCTCGGTCGGTTCATCGACGTCGCTCTTTGGAGGAACATAATCCATGACCTTCGCGTACCACTCCTCGAAAACCGCTTCCCAGACCTGCTTCGCCTTATATGTGGCCATCTCGGGTGGCCAGGCATTGACGGCCTCGCGGAAGGCGTACAGACTCTCTTTCTCGTCCAGCAGGTCAACGACCGGGAGGAAATAGGTACGCACCATGAACAGTACGGCGTTGCTTCGCGGCAGGCGGCGCAACGTCTGGCGCTCGTATCTGATGCGAATATCCTCCACCCGCGGAGGTGGGGTCATCGAGGACGGGAACCTGTGTTTTGATACTTTCTTCAGTCACTTCTTATGCTGTGCTGGAGGAAGGATAGCATACGGTTCTTGTTGGAACATGGTATCGTTCGCCTGCGTGAAAAAATTGTTTCTCTGCACCGGCTTGGAGACTTGGAGTGTTAGAAAGAACCTTGAAAGGATAAGCAGGAGACTGGAGGAGGGGACAGGCGAGGAGTGCACCTCTCCATTGCTTTTCTCAGCTTTTCCTGCCACATCGGTACCGGGTGATGAAGCTTGTGCAAGGGCCAGCCAATCCGTTCTTCGAGATACCACCCTGCTGGGCCCATGGAGTAACTGGCGCATCTGGAGAATAGTCACGGTTAGTCTGTCCCCTGTCTGCCCCCCTCTGAACTTACAAGTAGTACTGGTTGGGGTCGTCCCCCTCTCCCTGCAGCAACAGATTGATATCTTCCATTACGAGCTGAGCTGCCACTGCCAGTGGATGCTCCTCATAAGGAGCTGTGATCCTGAAAGTCCTATTCGTTATCAAATTATGTATGTAATCGGGCTTCCCCTTTGGGCGTTGGAACTGTGAAGGAAAGCGCCGTGTCAAGAAGGCAACGATATATTCCAACGTTTCCTGGCATGCCTCTTCCGCGACTGGGAGTACCTGCATTACCCCGTTTCGATTGGTCTCTAGGAGATGCCTTCGGAATTCTTGTTCCTTCTCATACAAGTTGTCGAGGATAAGCCAGTCCTCCTCGGGCATCTTACGCAGTCCCATTGTCATGTGGAACTTTCCTGCCCTCCACGGCCGCCACGGATACGGCGGGGTATTGGCCAGGTCGAATCCTGGGAGTGGCTTCACATTGGAGAAATCCAGAGCTACCATCCGTTTCCTAGGGGTGGGATATAAGCCCCGGAAGAGTGAAAAACAGACGTATGAGACGAGCGCGATAGCTATCAACAAGACGATTGCTGCAGCAGGGACAGACACCAGGGTTCCAAGCATGGGGTAGGGCTCCATTTCAAAGGATAGGGGCTCTCTGCGACTCATGAGGGTTGAACGGTGGGGGGCTTCGGGACACATCTGGATCACAATAGATGGAGAAAATGCATAGAAAGACAACACTCTCTACCTCGTACGAAGACAATATTTCATGGGCTACGCTCTCACGCAGCGGCAATCGTTCATTTAAATAAAAAAGAATAGTTAATCATGAACCAAAATTCCGCTGAGTGCGCTGAGTGCGCGAAATCCCTTTATCCCTTGCATCAGACGCAGCGACAATACACGGTCTCTCCAACCAAGTCCACGAATGTTCCGACCCGACTACAAGCGGAATGATGCATCCTTGGACCGAGTCGGACCGGTCCATGATCCCGTCTGCCGTGCCGTTCCAACAGGCGCTAGAACCCGGTCGGTCGTAGCCTCATAGGGTGGTTTTGCCGGACGGGTTATAGGTCGACGATCCGTCTCTACAACATTCCCGGCGCCGTCGACAGGGATCAGCATGGTTGGGACCCTGTGGCAGGGCTTGCCAGTTTGTCGGGTCAAGCAAGGAGGTGTTCGAGGTGTGCTCCAAACTGCGGAGGAAACTCTTCTTGGCTATCGTCCGGCCGTTATGCTGTGTTGTTACTGGAGCATCTCAATGAGACTGACGGGTGGTATGTACAGCGGCAAAGTCAAAATCCCCCTCCTCTCTTCCAGTGCTGACCCCCGTCGTTAGGAATATGCCATGGACGGGACTTCCTGATAAAACCGGAAAGGCCCCCGCTGGTCGGTGACCTTTGCCTGAAAACCCTACCCCTATTGCACCTGGACGACGTTTCCTAGAGCTCAGGAAAGAGACACGATGTCGGATTCGAGCAGCGCCGGCAATGAGAAGCATTTCGAGCACATAGCAGCGGCCCCTGTGAGCGATGATGGCGCCTTGGGTAGTGTGAAGGACAGTGAAGCCTCTGACGACGAGCTTCTCAAGTCCATTGGTTACAAGCAGGTACTCCTCAACCACCGCAATATAAACAACCGCAAACAGGATCTCATGGGATCATATATAGGAATTCAGGAGAGAGTTCACAAGATGGTCAACCCTGTCATATGCCATATCTATCATGGGAGTTCTGGGCTCCGTTCCGGCAACCTACTCCACGCCGTTAGCTGCGGGAGGACCCGCGACCCCCATCTGGACCTGGTTTACGGGCTCATTCTTCTCCATGACCATTGCCCTCTCCAGTATGTCCCCTAGTGTTGGAAGACATCATGCTATTATGTTGATGGTGGAAATACAGTTGCTGAATTAGTATCCGCCTATCCAACGGCCGGTGGCATGTACTTCGTCACGAAATATGTGGTTCCCGAAGAACATGTCCCCATCGCATCTTGGATCGTCGGCTGGAGTAACTTCCTGGGCCAGACGGCGGGTGTGACGAGTGTTGGGTACTCTGTTGGGCAGATGCTGCTTGCTGCTTGTGCCATGGGCTCCGGCTTTGATGAAAAAACTGGAACTTTTGGCTATACCCCGTATGTGACTTCGATATGAGCTGAATCGCAGACCTGATATAGTGCGGATAGGACTGCAGAACATACGGTTGGTGTCGCCGTAGCGACTCTCATACTCATGGGCATCATCTGCTCGTTCCCTACCAAATGGCTCCACAACTGTATTATGTGGTTTGCACCTATTAATGGCGGGTATTTCATCCGTTACAATTAATCTATGCTAATTATCGACCTAGTGGTGGCATCCATTGCTATCTCCATAGCCCTTCTGACATTGACCCCAAACCTACTCCCGGCCAGTCAGGTGTTTGGCAACGTAACGGATGGTTCTGGCTGGGGTTCTCGGGGATTCTCGTTTTTGATTGGGTTCTTGTCAGTTGCATGGACAATGACTGATTATGATGCGACAACACATATCTCTGAGGAGACCAGAAAAGCTGCAATACGAGGACCAGTGGCTATCACACAGGCAGTCATCATATCAGGAGTAAGAATGGACCTATTTGTCTTTCCCAATCACATGCTTACATATTCCCTAGCTCGTCGGGTTGCTGTTAAATATCTCGTTTGGTTTCTGCGTAGGCGATGGCACCACGATTCTGTCTTCTGGCCTTGGAAATCCTGTGGCCCAGATCTTCTATAATGCTCATGGCGCAAAGTCGGGGCTTGCGATGTGGTTCTGGGCTATCCTGATTCAATTCTTCACTGGTACGTAGCCTCTTAACCCCATCTAGTACACCTGAAATACTTATTCGAACTCGTGTAGGATGTGCTGCGATGTTAGCAGATACTAGAATGGCCTATGCATTTGCCAGAGATCACGCATTCCCCTTCTCAGGGTAAGCAAGTACTCCTCTTCTCACATCTACCCAAACACTGACGACAAGTCTCCCAATTCAGAACCCTGAAGAAAATGAGCCCCTCCACCAAGACCCCTCTATACAGCGTATGGATGGTCGTCATAATATGCTGTCTTCTCAACCTCATCGGGCTCGGTAGCGTCGAGACCATCAATTCCATCTTCGGCATCACGGCCCCAGCCCTCGACTGCTCATACATGGCCGTCATAGCTCTCAGACTATGGTACAGCGACCGCCTAACCCTCCGCAAAGGCCCTTTCAGCCTGGGCAAATGGGGAAGACCGATAAACTTCATCGCTCTGGGCTGGACCTCCCTCCTCGCTGTAATCCTAATGTTTCCTACCTCGAGACCAGTTACTGCTGTTAATATGTGAGTTCTCTCCGGGCATTCTGGATTGCGTCGTGCTTATGCGTGGAAATAGGAATTATGCTGTTGTTGTCGCGGCTGGTGTACTGGTGTTTGCGCTTATATGGTGGTTCGCGGGTGCCCGCAAGTACGCAAACCGCCCCCCCCCCCCTCCCCTTTTTCTTTTCCCCCTTCTCCATCTCCTACAAGAACAGCTACTAACCAGCAAAATGATATAGGGTATACGTAGGTCCCCGAACCGGAGGAGACGAGGTACAAAAGTCTTGAAAAATTCGAAATATATCATCATATGGCGTTCAGGACCATCATCCTATCACCAGTATAGGATCCGGAATGTGTTGTTGTTTTTGATATATAGAGTTTTCGCTATCTACCTACCTCCAGTGTGTTGGTTATAATTACTCTCTAAGTAGGTGTTTACAAACTGCACATGATGTCTTAGAGTTTACATACCTACCCTATAAGAACCTTTAGAATAGCATATAATGTAATTACATTCTCCGTAAGATAAGAAATGAAAAACGAAAAATTCATCCCCTGGCTTTCCTTCTATATACATATATACATATATACACATATGTATATATCCCTACCCCCCAACCCCCTCCCGCCCCGCACTTTTTCAAAAGACACGAACTTCTATATAACCCCATCTACAAACCAGTCCGCCGACTTGCATGCATGCACCCAGCCACTTCTACGGTTGAGTATCATCAAGACTAACGTTATGCCATCATTAGATTTCTAAGGAAAGTGGGGGGAAGCTGGTTTTGAAAGGGGATTATTTATTCTGTTATCTAACTAACATCATGAGTATGAATGATATATACGACTACTTTAGTTGCGGCTACTCGTCCTGAATGAGACAGTTTAGGATCATCTTGGCGGGATTCCGATTCCAAACTGATTGATAGAACTTGTAACTTTGATCATTCTATATCTATATATCTCCGAAACAAAACGGTGTTTCTAATCAAAACCAGGCCTTCTAGAAATGAACTCCAAAATTTACACAGATTATAGCCTTATCCATGAGCCAAGCCGCCGCACAGCCCAAGGCGAGAAGCAGGAAGAGGCACCTCTACCAAGTGTACATCATCAGCGCCGGGTTCAATGCAACCGGCAAGAGGAAGTGAGTGATGATGACAGTGGAGAGAGGGAACACGGCAACGAAGTCAGTGATCCTCCACGACCAAGGCATCGCGTAGTACCCGGCAAGGATGATGCCGGTGCAGACGAAGCAGAACAAGAAGGTGCATTTGAAGCGACGGAGGAGACGCGGCACCTCTTCGAAGAAGGAGATGTTCTCCACTTCCTTGGACGTGGTGCCCCACGTCATGTCGATCTCGAAGAAGTGGCACAGAAGCGCCTGGGACACGTGCAGAGAACTTCCGCCGAGGAAGACGGTGAGGAGGGCTACCCATTTGAGGTTCTCGCAGACTGGGGAATGTGTCAGTCTTTATTCATTTTCGGGATGACGGAGCTTTTGGTAACTTACTGGCTGAATAGAGACTTTTCTCTGACAGTCTGTAGCGGAGAATGGCGAGGGCGACATTACCGGCCCCGGTGAATACGGCGACTAGGGAAAAGTAGACCTTGAATGAATCAATATAGTAGTGGTCGAGGTAGCCATTGAACCAGCCAATAAGGAAATAATTGACTAATGTCAGGAGCCATGCAGCACCGATAGCGTAGTATGTCCCAATATAAGATATGATAGTAATCTTGGACGTAAGTCGAATGTTGGATGCAAGGAACTTGCGCAGGAGAGGAGTGAAAGGGCCACGTGTTGGCCAGAACCTGAGTGGGTGGAACAACAATTCATTACAGCCATAAGCGTATTTCTCCCATCGGTTCAGCTCATCATAGACAGTCAGAGAGACGCCCTCTTTGAAATCCTCGCCAGTATATGCACCAAGCCTGATAGTATAGCCGGCAATTTGAAGACGTAGAGACATATCAAAGTCTTCAGAGACGTGACACTCGGACCAGAACTTCTCGTACCCATCGTCATCTGTATAAGAAACCTGCTGTAGAGCTGACCAACGAAGAATAGCATTATGCCCAACAAAGGGAGCCACATCTCCGTTGGCAACTGTGTATCGGATAGCAGAGTAAATGAGATTAGTGAAGAACGTAACTCTGCAGAGGAGATTGTCAGTGGTAAGACTAAATGATAAGGTATCCTTACTGACCCCTTTTCAAAAAACTTATCGGTCACATTCATAACGCCCGACGAGTACTGCAGAATGCCGACTTGAGGCGAGAGCTCCATCTCACTTGCAGCATCCAGTAGGCAATCAATGGGGACTCGAGTGTCGGAATCAATCAGCAGGATGTAATCCCCTATACGGATGTTACCTGCTGCCCAGGCGCGGCCGTCTTCTTCCAAGACCTGAGCCAGACACCGATCATATGCAGCACGCTCATCCTCTTCTTTCCAATTCTCACCGCGTTCCACAAGGAGAAGTTTATCTTCAACCTTATTGCTGATCATTAAGGCGAAATTCATATTCGAAGCCTTCTTGAATTTCCCTCCTCGAATGAATAGCTTCTCCCCATCTTGTGGCTTGGGAGTATGTTTCGGACGAGCAACCCAGCCGATGTTGTGTTCCTCGTAAAACTCACGACGAGCTTGTGCCTCCGGATCTGGGATCAACTGCATGCCGTCATCATTTACGAAGATGTTGCCTGAGCCGCCCTGAAGTTCATAGGTCGACAAGGCAGCTTTGAGGGATTTGATGGTTGGCTGGATAACAGTATACAGACCTTCCTTGTAGACTGGCATTTGAATTGTCACGTGCGGAAGCACTTCCCCGTTGCACTTCAACCGGCGAGGAGGTTTACCGGAGTAGAATTTCGAGTTGATGTTCAACTGGCTGATCGGACCAAGGATCTGGCTAATGTTGATGATGATGGTTTGCATGAAAAAGAGCGACACGAATATTTGGCACGGGGTTATAGCGAGCAACGACAATCGAAGATACTTGTGGTCAATTGAAACCTCCTGTGCGAGATTTCGCCAACCCAAACCAAGAGCAACAGTTAGCAAGGCCAAAGTCAGCGCGACGATGACAGGATTGAAAAGTAAAGTAGGTCGCTTCTCGGTCGCAATGGCGTTCTCTAGGTCTGCAGGAGAGATAGTTCCCTCTTCAGAACCCACAGCTGAACCATGTATTGAGTGATTCTGTATGGCCTTCTTGTTCGCTGGATCTGCTTCCTTCCATACCATGTCTATCAGTGACTTTTCGATATATTCCGCGCGCTTGAAAATATTCTGTGCCTCATCATCCCAGACTATCAGGAGCTGTTGGTCTTTTATAAAGGCCCCGAAATGGTGCTTTTTGCAACTGGATAAGTAATCCACAGAAGGTAGGACTTGTAATCGGAGATCGTCAGAAAGGGGGACGTAGTCGGCTAAATGCCGCTTCAAGAACATCTTGATAACTCGAGTGTTTACTGTCATGACACACTTTCAATCCATTAGCCTACAATCCTCGGAACCGAAGGAGGTTTGGACATACTTGGACGTTCAGAGACGCCATCTGATTGTAGAATTGAGGGGCCTCGTCCTTCAAAGATTCAGGGCAGCAAGTAAAGTTACCTCGGCCCTTCTTTAATATAACGCCTTCGCCTGGCAATCCGCCGGACCAAAGCTTCTCCAACTGTTGTTGGCGCAGCCAGCTTACCATAATAGTAGCCTGGGTATCAAGGACATGATCTCGTGGTGAATTCCGAAAATCACCGACGGGGTATAGAGATGATCCAGGCGCTGCCAGCGAGACTTCCGACGCTGGCGTTGCTGGAGTTGCTGATGATGCCGGTGATGCGGGCTGTCTTATGATAGGCATAGGGCTTGGCGACGCAGGGATGAGTGCAACGGGCATCTGGCGTGGAGGGTCCCTGATCGTTGGATTGCCATTATTCCCGTTTCCTGAAGCTCCTCCTATCGTTGGATTGCCGTTACCTCCGTCTCCTAAAGCTTCTCCAGTCCCTGGATTGGTATTATCCCCGCTTCCTGGAGCTTCCTCAGTCCCTGGATTGCCACTAGCACCGCTTCCTGAAGGTTCCCCTGTCGTTGAATTGTCATTAACGCCACATCCAGACGAACTTTTGGATGACTCGCCATCATCGAGATTCGTAGACGCTTTTTTTGATGTCTTTTTCCAAGCAGATGGCAGGTAGGTCTTGAGAGTCCCCATCCTGGAAACGTGAAAGACTGGCGTACAACGAAGGAGATTCAGCTGCCGCTGTTGAAACGCATGGATCCTCAGGCTTTAAAGACAAACATTCGAGGCTTTTGGTGAGAACGTTCAGGAGACAGAGGCGAGGACAAGACAGAAAAGAAACGTTGACAGGGTTGGTTGACGAAATTTCTCAACCAGTATGACGGAAACATACTCTAGACTTAATGGGTGTTGCTCTTGGTTTAAAGGGCACCAGCGCTTTGATAGCTTACAGTATCTAAGATGCCTGGTCACAATGTTGACTAGATCGAAGATCGTACTGCCAGGGCAGCTGGGACCTAAGAGTCACAGCACTTGCAGCACAATACTATTAGGGGAGGCTTCAACAAACCCTTGATCTACCAATATACAAAGAACAGCAGTTGTGGCACGCGTAGTACGGGGCTTCCGCCTCTTGGACTCGGACTTGTTATATTATTATCTGAAGTAGGCTAGGAGCCTAGGGATATGATGATATCTATCGAACCTTGTTGGATAGTGAAATGGATTTTGAAGCCCATTTTTCTACAAAAGAGAAACCTCCACGAAGACGACAGGCATGCAAAAACCGTAATAGTTCAAAAAGTGTAGAAGTTGCTCTTTGATGAGCTTTGAAAGTTCCACATCAGCAACTTTAGAGACTATAAGGATTGACTGGTCCCTCCTGGAAGGTAACATAATTGAGCTGTTCAATTTGAGGGACGGAAAATTATAGACCAACCCAGACCATAAAATGAAATGGAAGAACTACTAACAACGGTGAATTCAGATATGCTTTCAGAACTGATGAAATGCGCTCAGAGAAAATGCTAATGACTTCAATGGCCTTAATGGCTCAAGTTTTCACTTCAACGGGCGATTAGCTTGCAGTTTATCACTATGATCAACCAAACTCTGTTCGGAGCTGAGGCTATGGTAGTTGGGTGAAAATGGCAGCCAATTTTACTGTTGACTTTGTTTTCTATTTGCCCCGAGACTTCTCTGTATCTTCATGTGATTCGGGCTTATAAACAGGCATAGGACAGATCCGTCGTAGTTGATGAACGACAGAGCTGAGAGCGGGTTTTAAGTCGAACAAAGTCTTGTTGGAATAATACCGAGTGCGTGCGATGGCTTAACATAGCCTTTGTGTTCCACGGTTCGGCTTGGGCAGGTTTTCGTCGAAAAATAATGACCTACCTAGACGGCGAGAACGGTACAACCCAGGCGGAAACATTGGGCTCGGGCACTTTGATCTAGCTTAAACATGGCTGCCCAACTTCTAAGGCGGGATCTTCTTGGTGGAAGGGAAGCTCGCACGAGCCCAGACAGTTATAAGTCCTCCATGGCGCACAATGTGGACAAAGGTCGGAGGGCGAGCTGAAGTGAACTTGATATGTGCTCGGTGGAGGTTAAGGTTTCAGTCTGAGCTTGGAGCCCGAGCAGACCGAGGAGCAAAGGCCTCGCCTCCTGTAAGACGCAGATGGATGCGGTGTAGAGGCCAAGCGTATTGAAATCGTACCTATTCAACGCATACTGCTGAGTGCACGGCTCTGCTGTACCACAGCCACGAGTTGCACGAGTTGTACCGGTGGATGAATTGACGTCGAGATTTACTTCACCCGAAGCGGTGATCATGTCCCGGCTGACTTGGCGAGCTTGGGGTTTTGGCGCTAACACTATTGTCTGTCCGTGCAGGAATAGACGCGGCCGTGATCCGAGGCCATCGTTGAACCTGGCCAAGGTATACATCATTTATCTCTTTCTTGCAGTAGTACCATAGTACCAGAAGTATAGCACAAGTAGTACTTGTATACTATCTGCCCAAGGTGTCTACCTATGTCTCCTATGTTGCGGTTTCGGAGCCCCTTTATGTGATACTCAGCAGTCCTCCACGTCTCTTAGTTGAGACCAAGTACAGTACGAGTTCTACAGAAGCAGTGTTGGCGTACTATGCTAGTTGCAATAATTCGCGAATATAGTACTATGCCAGTCGAGGCCAGATCCAGAATATTCTATTTCATGCTTGGGAATCTTGGGATTCGTCATGTATGCACGGTCCGGACCGCCATCCTGTGTTCTCTATTGGTTGTTGCGTCCTATATTGATGAGAAGCTGCTATTTTTCTTTTCTGCACCTCCTAAAAAATGTCCTGGTACCCGACTTCTGTTCTGCGTGCTACCTGCCAGTAGGCATGGCGGCGCGAAGATCACGGGCAGCTAGATGCCTACCTATGACCGCAATTCCGTTCCTCGAAGAGACCACCAGAATTAAGGCTATGTGCCGGGCTCAAAGCCTCCTGTTTCAAATCTGACCATTGGAACTGGAACTGCCAAACGGGATAGACTTGTGCATGGAACAAGTTGTAGTGAAGTGTACCAACACCAGCACATCGTTCTATGATTTAACAGCGTCGTTCTTTTGGTCTGACTGACGGCTGTGATTGGCTTTGGACTTATGTGCTGATATATCGAGGATGATCTGAGTTAACATGGCAACAGCTTGGATTGACGAGAGAAGCGCGGCGTTGACATTGCTTGTCCTGTGGATCTTTAGGTAAGTGGACGACCTTCTTGTCGTATCAATTATAATCGTGATGCTTCAATTAGAACCCGATTAGGTCCGTATGTACGGGGTAGGTCTACTTCGTACGCATAATAGGGTTGGTCGGTGCCGTGATTGGAATTTCTCCCTTATCGCCATCAATGCCCCCCCATCAGGCTGAGAGGCGGGATTTGGTAGTAGATTTCGATATTGTTGTTCATGGATCCCTTGTTTGTCCAGCCACCCATGCCACAAGACTCGAGATCGCATGCTTCTTGGACGATGTGCCACGTACCCGAAAACCCCAGACCGATTACTCGGACCGTCATTACGGGGGGGATCAGACGGGATGATGCATGCAGCATGGCTCCCCGCGAACCTGGTTGACTGGCACCACTGCGCATGGGCCATACTCTGTGCCCAGGCGGATCCCCCTTATTACTCCCTTCTTCACATCTTGTGCTCCTGTACTCAGCCTTTCAGCAGGGACAAGCATTCATCGCTGGATTCGGAGTACATTACGGACGGTACTGTCCCGTGATCCTTGATTACATCTCTCTACTGGATGACTTTCAATGCCAAGGAGGACTCAGGATTTACAGTGCTGGAGACTGTCATGGGTCCTAGCGTATCTCCCGCATCAGATGGTTGAGTCCAGAGGCAGAGCGGTCAGGAACTGAAAGTATCGTGAGGCACATGTGTATCTCGGGGCACACATCGTGAGATGCATCTATTTAGGGCAGGCGATTTAGTGTCCGTGTATTAAACAAGGGGGTGCAATCCTAATACCCCACTTGCCCCACTTGGCTCTCGCTAGCAGATCGGTCCCTCCTTTGCGGCACTTGAAGGGCTCGCCTTAACTGGTACCCACAGATAATTTAAACGAGCCGCTAGAACCACACCTTATTGACTACGGAGTACGCCGTACTGTAATCGTGGGTCTTAATTGTTGTAAAGCGGTGTGCCCCCACACTCCGTTGGAGCTCTTCCCTTAACTTCCATCAAGCCACTCTTCTACAGAACATCCTGTGGTCAAGAAGTTCTTCCAGATTCTCTGCATCTGAAGGCACTGAACCTTTTTCTCAAGGCCCTGTTGCCCGGTCTACAGCTTCAGTATTCGCATCCTGCTCGATACCAATACTCTCCCTCGCGAAGATGAGCTCTCCCCCGAGGAGGCAGCGCACCTCAAGTGAAACTGATCCCTATTCTGCCGCACATATCTACTATGCAGAACCTCCTCCACACAGGGCGAAGAACCACACCAGGACACAAACATTCTCCTCCGTGAGTAGAGCTATCCCGGCGGCTTTATCAACCTTTCCTAACAGGTACGATAACACAGAACCAGAGCTCTGCGTCCCACAGCCGCCTTATCAACGAGAGCAGGACGCCACGGAGACGCGGTAGCCATGGTAAATCTCAATGTGCAGCATCCTTTTTGACAATTTCTGACAACTGCCTTCCTAGATGAAATGACAGGAGTCGGCCGAAAGTTCAAGATCGACGTAGATGCCACCTTAAAGGCTCTCTCAGAACAGGAGGACACGGATGGGAACATGCAAATTACAATTGAAGACAGTGGACCAAAAGTATGGAACAGACAGATCCAGGCATACAAGAGCAGAGATGGAAGTCAAGAACCCAAGGCTAACTTGCCTCGAACAGGTTATGACGCTTGGCACAGCTGCCTCGAACGGATACAATAAGGTCGAAATCCGTGGGACATATATGCTATCTAATCTTCTTCAAGAACTTCATCTTGCACGGGAGTATGGCCGCCAGACGATTGTTCTTGACGAAGCACGTCTTAACGAAAACCCTGTCAACCGTCTCTCGAGACTCATCAAGGACTCCTTTTGGGATGGTCTTACTCGGCGTATCGACGGGTCTGCAATCGAGGTTGCTGGGCGTGATCCAAAGGATTGGACAAATGATCCACGTCCTCGGATATATATCCCTCGTGGATGTCCAGAGCAATATGAATACTATAAGCAAGTGGCCATCGACCGTCCAGAAATAAGACTTGATGTCTGCTTGTTGCCGGAAAAGATCACACCCGAGAGTGTCAAGGAAATGAATGCAAAGCCTGGCCTTCTAGCGCTTGCGATGGAAGAGGTCGTGGACCCCAGCACAGGCGCTAAGACCCTCAAAGGTTTGCCTTTCGTTGTTCCTGGGGGTAGATTCAATGAGTTCTATGGCTGGGACTCATATATGGAATCTCTTGGCTTGCTTGTCAATGGCAAAGTCCACCTGGCCAAGTCAATGGTGCAGAACTTCTGCTTCTGCATCGAGCATTATGGGAAGATTCTCAACGCCACAAGATCATACTACCTCTGCCGTTCCCAACCCCCATTCCTTACCGACATGGCCTTGCGAGTTTATTATGAGATTCGTAATGAACACGGTGCCTCTGAGTTCCTCCGAACTGCTATTTTAGCCGCAATAAAGGAATATCACAGTGTTTGGATGGCTGAACCTCGATATGATCCTGAGACTGGTCTTTCCCGCTATCGTCCAGAAGGTATAGGTATACCCCCTGAGACAGAGCCGACCCACTTCACTCATATTCTAGAGCCTTATGCCAAGAAGCATGGTGTCTCTTTCGAAAGTTTCGTTGAGGGTTACAATGCAGGCACAATCAAGGAGCCTGAACTTGACGAGTATTTCCTACACGACCGTGCAGTACGAGAGTCAGGACATGATACTTCTTACCGTCTCGAGAAGCGTTGTGCCAACCTGGCAACGATTGATCTCAACTCCCTGCTGTACAAGTATGAGAAAGATATTGGATTTGTCATTAGACGCATCTTCAATGATAAATTTCCTATTCCTCCAGAATTCTGCGCCGGGTCAATGGTGCCTGGCCAGCTTGAGACATCGTCAGTATGGGACCGTCGAGCCAAGCGGCGCAGAATGGCTATTGACAAGTACCTCTGGAACGCAGAGAAGGGCATGTACTTTGACTACGACACCGTCAAAAAGGAGCAGTCAGACTATGAAAGCTGTACTACGTTCTGGGCAATGTGGGCAGGTGTCTCGACTCCTAGCCAAGCTGCCACGATGGTCGAGAAAGCGCTTCCATTATTCGAGGCCGCGGGGGGATTGGTCTCTGGAACCGAGAAGTCTCGGGGAGAGATCTCATTGGATCGTCCGAACAGACAGTGGGATTACCCATACGGATGGGCGCCGCAACAGATCCTCGCTTGGACAGGTCTGCAGCGCTACAAGTACAATGAAGAGGCTGAGCGGCTTGCTTACAAGTGGTTGTTCATGATGACCAAGGCCTTCGTCGACTTCAATGGTGTTGTTGTCGAGAAGTATGATGTCACGAGACTGGTAGATCCGCATCGAGTTGATGCTGAATATGGAAACCAGGGCTTGGACTTCAAGGGTGTCGCCAAGGAGGGGTAAGTTCCAGATGCCGGAATGCAGAACATTGTACTGACCTGTGTAGATTTGGATGGGTCAATGCCAGCTATGTTTATGGTCTCCAGATTACTAACGCGCATATGCGGAGAGCCCTGGGCACGCTGACTCCATACGAGCAATATGCGAAAGCCACTTCCCACGGAGCCACCCCGGACTTCTTCTAAGCGGTACCGCTTCGGCAACGTTATCAAGCAGCTGTCCTCGTCACAAGTCATTATTCACGACTGTTCGAAACAGCGTTCCTTGCGCTCTGCAGAGGGGTTCCAGCTTAGGCGATCCTCCCGGCCCAAGGGAGCTCGCTGCCCAAAGCATCACGAATTCCCTTACCCTCTCATGATCACAAAACTGCGGCACACGCTATACCCTGATAGACCAGCATTGTTGTGGTTGGCCGTTCTGCTTGCCTCCACCACCTCCTCCTCCAGCGTGGCTCTTTTTCTCTCTTGTCATTGTTTTTGTTTTGTTTCATGGGGCGATTGGCGCAGCATGATGATGCACTGATGCACTGCTTAGGTTGCTTACCCCAAACCACGACTGTACTTGTACTTGTACTTGCCCGAAACCTGTACCCCAGACAGAAGGACAAAAATGATCCCTTTTGAACGCGAGCTCTTAGACTTATTAGAACCCCTCCTTACCTTAATAATAATGACATGCAGTGAAGCCTCAAGACGCCCGCGGCCTGCGTATCACCTGTCAACATGGGCAACTACTTGCGGGTCTTGGAGTGAGAGTGCAGTGGGCCGGTGAGGCGTGAGTCAATGGGCGGCTTTCCTTTCTCCCAGGACGATAATTCTTCGGGCGAATGACGACGGGTATCGCGGCCGAATCCGGAGACAGTCGCGAATCCCTGGGGAAGGAGGGGAGTGGGTTTGCAGGCACAGCCGAGGCTACTGCGGTACAGTCCCCTGTCGTCCACCACGGTCCACGGCACACCTGGCCATCTGGGGTTCCCAGATATTCACATGCCAGAGAGGAAAGGAAAAGGTGAAGTGAAAGAAACAATGGCAGAGGATTGATTCTCTTCCCATCGCCCCCTCCTTTCCATCACATGCCATTGCTTGACTTGCAGTTCCATTGCTGATGTGGGAGTGTGCGCACGTGCACGCCCGTCCATTGCTACAGTGAGGCATGCTGTACAGAGTAAGGTAAGGTAACTTGCCTATCAGATTCCCCCGTCACCCCAGCAAAGCCCGAGAGACCAAAGGTGCTGACTCCCGCGGTGACATTCGACGGCGTCCTGAGGCAGCAAAGGGTGTCGCGGGGCCGTCCTTTCGTCATTGCTATTGCCCAAAGCGGCAAGGGCGCAGCGGATTGTGGGGAAGGACGTAACCGGCTAGAGGGCCAATCACGGGATTTGGGCGTTGGTCCTTTTCCCCGTCCGGCTGCAGTTGAAAGACAGTCCGAGTCCCTCCTCCATGGCCCTCGGGTCACTGCTGTCCCTGTGGGTAATCCCCGCTAGGCCGATGGCCTCGGGGCCAGGGCTCTTTTTTGCTTATGACTCGATGATTCACCTATATTGCCTCTCTTTCTCCTTCTGCCCTCGAGCACTCCTCTCCTCTTATATATATTTTCAACCCCCCCCGTAAAATCCCTCATCCCCAGCTTTCTACTTTTTACTTTTTTTTTCCCTCTCGTCCCCTCTTGTCTGCAACACCCAAGTACAGCAAGCAGACACTTGAGACACCTATAGTATCTAGCTTCTGCGCCATACATCCCAATCACTCTCCACTCTACCACCCCCAGAAAAAAACACATCATGGCTTTCAACAACATGGCCAACCCGGGCGTCGACCCGAACAAGGAGGAGCAGCAGTACCTGGACGAGGTCGCGGAGGTCAAGAAGTGGTGGTCAGACTCCCGGTGGAGATACACCAAGCGCCCATTCACAGCCGAGCAGATTGTGGCGAAGAGGGGCAACTTGAAGATTGAGTACCCCAGCAGCACACAGGCAAAGAAGCTCTGGAAGATATTGGAGAACCGATTCCAGGTATGCATTCTACATTGCGATGAGGGGCGCAAGAAGCTGATTCCAATTGCTCCAGAACCGTGATGCGAGTTACACCTACGGCTGCTTGGAGCCGACGATGTTGACTCAGATGGCGAAATACCTCGATACTGTCTACGTTTCTGGCTGGCAATCCTCTTCTACTGCCTCTTCATCCGACGAGCCTGGCCCAGATTTGGCAGACTACCCATACGTGAGTCATGAATTTCCCAGCAGCGTGGACGCCGATTGCTAACTCATGCCAGACCACCGTCCCAAACAAGGTCGCTCATCTCTTCATGGCGCAACTTTTCCACGACCGAAAGCAACGGGAAGAGCGCATCACCACCAAATCGAAAGCCGAGCGCAGCAAACTCCCCAACATTGACTACCTCCGACCCATTATCGCAGATGCCGATACTGGACATGGTGGTTTGACGGCGGTTATGAAGCTGACCAAGTTGTTCATTGAGAAGGGTGCTGCTGGTATTCATATTGAGGACCAGGCCCCAGGGACCAAGAAGTGCGGTCACATGGCCGGAAAGGTGCTGGTACCTATCAGCGAGCACATCAACCGCTTGATCGCCATCCGTGCGCAAGCCGACATTATGGGTACGTCAATCCACTGGAGTTGCAGGGGTTCTTTACTGACGATACCCAAGGATCTGATCTCCTTGCAATTGCCCGAACTGATGCTGAAGCTGCCACACTCATCACCACCACGATCGACCCCCGTGACCATGCCTACATTCTTGGTTCTACCAACCCAAATCTCCAGCCCCTCAACGATCTCATGATCGCTGCTGAGCAGGCTGGCAAGACCGGTGCTGAGCTCCAAGCCATTGAAGACAAATGGACCGAACAGGCTGGTCTTAAGCTCTTCAACGAGGCCGTCATTGATACCATCAATGCCGGCGTACACATCAACAAGAAGGAATTGGCCGCCCAATTCCTGAAAGATGTTAAGGGCAAGAGCAACGCTGAGGCGAGAGCTATCGCCAAGGCCATCACTGGTGTGGATATCCACTGGGACTGGGACAGCCCCAGAACCCGTGAGGGTTACTACAGATTGAAGGGTGGCTGCGATTGCGCCATCAACAGAGCCATTGCCTATGCGCCATATGCTGATGCCATCTGGATGGAGAGTAAGCTTCCAGACTACGCGCAAGCGGAGGAGTTCGCCAAGGGTGTCCACGCCGTCTGGCCCGAGCAGAAGTAAGTCCTCATTTCCAGATCACAGTTCGATGCACCGTGCTAACTCCACCACAGGCTCGCTTACAACCTTTCGCCATCGTTCAACTGGAAAGCTGCCATGCCTCGCGCGGAGCAAGAGACGTACATTCAACGTCTCAGCAAATTGGGATACTGCTGGCAGTTTATCACGCTTGCTGGTCTGCACACGACGGCCCTGATCTCGGACACCTTCGCCAAGGCGTACAGCCGGCAAGGCATGCGTGCCTATGGCGAGCTGGTGCAGGAGCCCGAGATGGACGGCGGCGTCGACGTGGTCAAGCACCAGAAATGGTCGGGAGCCAATTACATCGACGAGCTGCTGAAGATGGTGCAGGGTGGTGTGAGCAGTACTAGTGCGATGGGTAAAGGTGTGACGGAGGAGCAATTCCATTAGATGAGCGAAAACACATAGATGATCGCATGAAGTGAATATTTTTTGTATACGATATATGAATGCATACTGTTTTGGCTGATAAGACCGCATCCTGCATGTGTGCCTTGTATAGATACGGACGGTAAGGTAAGGTAGCTTCGGAAGCCAGTTGAACTCTAAATGAACGTCGAGGCCGAAGTGCAAAAGTGGGAGGTGGTCTGGCTCACGTGTGCGGGGGATCATGTGCCGTGTGGCCCTCCTTCAATGATACCTTATTACTGTACGTACATATATACCCCTGAAACCTGATTATCTTATCAACGGGTCCAGAACGGCTGTTCACGGAGCTATGACCGTCATGTCCTATGTACCACCAGTACAGTACAGTACAGTAGTAGTAAGTACCTAAAGAGAAGAGAGCAGCACTCGATCGATCAGAGTTATAGACTGTATGTATGTACTATGGGGCTTGTAGCGGGCTGGTTTTACTTGTTACTCTTAGGACTCGGATGGAAGGAGGAGGAGAAGGGGGAAGAGGGCATGATCCAGGGTGTATGTATGTAGTGAGTTGAGAATGAAGACTGGGATGGCATGTGGACATATCTCCAGGGGGAAAATCTTATAGAAAGGTGGGAATATGTATGTGGCTGACGGGAAAGCTGGGGGGGGGAATTGGGTAGGTATAGATAGGGGAGATCGGGAACGATGCCTTAGGAGAGAGAGGCTTGCCACTATACTTAGAGGAGAAAGACGTCGTGGTTCATTATGAGAGATATACCTTGATGAATATATAACTCTGTAGGTAGGGAGTACTTGAGGGATTTATTTAAATAATTGAATACATACAGATCCCTTCTGAATCTCAGCTCATGCCCAACATTAATCGCGCTCGGCCAGGAACCCCGCAGTGGGCCGTGTCTTTGCATCCGCCAAGCGCAGTGTCGTCAACGGCCGCTCTGCTCGCCTGACTCCCTCCCTTTCACTTTCTCGACACCTCACATTACTTAACGCTGGTTATCCCTTTTCAACCCCCTCAACACGCCAACATCACACACGCCAAGGCACGCGCAGCAGCGCAGCTTCAATGGGCAACCTCACGCTCGCTTGTCCCTTTTTTTCTTTCTCTTCTCCTCGTCCGGCTCTGAGCGTAGCAGCAGCGCCTGCCGATCATCCATCCCAGAATCATGGTCGTCTTTGTCGATTTGGAGGATGAGGCCGAGCCGCCGGAGAAGATGCTATCGAGCCGCCAGTGGGACAAGCTGGATCTGAATCGGAACCCCCCGGGCGGTGCGGATGCCTTCAGCAGCAGGACTCAGGGAATAGCCGGCTTGGGAGAGGAAGAGGGTAGAGTGAACCCGAATAAGAATGCTGTCACGGAGGCGTTGGGATGTTATCCGTGAGTCTCTCTCTCCCGACTGTTCTTTCTCCCCGGGCTGCCTGCCTTCTTCTTCTTCTGTTCCGCAAAGAGAGAGATGAAGGTCTATATCGTGGGATGGAGAGCTGATTGGACATGTAGGATCGTCATTTCTATTGCCTCACACATCGATCTGAACACGCTCGACGCGCTGTCCTCGACCTGTCGCCAGGTACGCGCCAACCTCCTGCAGTTTCGCACGCAACTCCTCGCCTCGACGCTACACTGCGAGAACGAGGATATCGAACCAGACCCAGAACACGTCTTTCGCTATCGGGCTCGTGCCGCAGACTGGTACTTTGTGGAGGCGGGGAGGGAGGCTGCGGGGGTGGGCAAGGTGGGCGACTGCGCGCGGGACATGGTGGGGGGCTGCAGAAGATGCGGGAGGATTGTTTGTCGAGTACGTTCCGCCCTTCGGCTCTCTCTAAATCTTCCATATACGGGGTTTGCTAACTGACTACCTAGAACTGCACGATCAAACCCCCAGCACCGGTCCTGCTCCGTCACCGTCACCGACGTATCTGCAAGGCCTGTTCCCGAGCACCTCTCTCCTCGCTCATCAACCCATCCATCCAATCTGGAGCACAGCCAGCTGCCGTCAGCGCCGAGACGCTCAAGCAGGTCGTGTGCACATGCCCGTCTGCAGGGGTCTGGCTGTGTCAGCCCTGCGGCCGCAGTCTGCGCAGCGCCGACACGGAATATGAAAGCATCTGGAAATGGCGCACGCGCTACCTCCCCTCCCTCGGCGGCCTCGGCGTCGGGATCGGCGAGGGCGACCGCGGGGTTCCCTGCGGCCGCGGCGGCGAATGCATCGCGGCGCACGAAGTCGAGCAGGAGACGGACTGCGACGCCGAGGACGCGCGCGAGATCGACAGCATCAGCCGCAGCGTCAGCCCGTCCTCGAGCCCCGGCGGCAGCAGCAGCCTCCTCGCCCACGCCCACGGCCACGGCGCCGCATCCATGGGTCCCGGCTACGCGCGCCACGAGATCGAGGGCATCGGCGGCGTGGTCAAGAAGAAACTGGTCAGGATGGTGAAGGTCGGGGCGTGCGTGCCGGAGTTTGGCGACGAGCGCGAGATGGGCCGGTTCTTGGTGCGGGAGGTCGAGGGCCGGGCCCGCAGCTGGTGTGGCTGGTGCTGGAGAGTCGTGCCGAGTATGGATGATATTGCTTGATTGAATGCGGGGGAGGAGAAGGAAGGGGGGAGGGGTGCGGGGTGGATAAGAACATTCAAATAATCCCTAGGTATGGAACGAACCAATGAACGAACGAACGAATGCAATGCAATCAATAATAATATCTGAAAACCCCCCATCCCATCATCTATCTATAATATGAAGGATCATCTATATATTCACCGTCCCGCTATCATATCACATCCTATCTACTTCTTCTTCTTCTTTACTCCTCTGACCCTTTTTTTGTGGTGCGCTTGATAGATGCTGGGATAATGTTTTTGGGGGGGTATATATGTATATACAAATTTTTCATTCCATTCCGTTTAAAAACCTCCGGCCAACCAAGCTTTCTTTCTCTATAATAAAATTTCTTTATATAGATAGGTAGGTACTACACATCATCATCGTTCATTCATCATCATTCATCATCAACCAACAAGCCCACTTCCTCCTCTCCCCTGCCCCTCTGTCTCCAAGCCCTAAAACTACAAGTCGTAAAACTACAAGTCGTAAAACTACAAGTCGTAAAACTACAAGTCGTAAAACTACAAGTCGTGAAACTCCCAGCGCGAAGAGGTAAATATCGATACGACCAATGACACAGCATACCGGCCACGAAGCCCACCCCATCATTCCGAAACGCTAGCAGACCGCCCACCGTCATGAACATCACATTCCATCTCTCTTTTCTTTCTTTCTCCGAGAGTTCTCTCTGCTGCTGGTGTTCGGGACTAGTACTAGTACTTTCATCACCGAGGTCTAAGTCTCGCGCCCCGTGGTTCAAACTCTCGCCTACCTTGGCGAGTTCGAGACCGGCGGCTAGCACCATGATACCGAGCAGGCTCTTGGGGTATGCGCGTAGCAGCTGGACGAGCGACTCGCCGAACATGACGCCGAGCAGGATCTTGAATAGGCCGAGAAGCATCACGCTAGCCCCGCTGCGCGCGCCGAAGCGGAACTGTGCGGCGAGCCCGCCCGACCCGTGACAGACTGGCATGGCGCCGAACCAGCCGCCGATGAGGTTCATGATGGCGACGCTGAGCCCGATGGATGATACGCTTGGTGTGGGCAGGTGCGGCAGTAGGTCCGCGGAGAGGTGGTGCACGGCGATGATGGAGTTCAGCGTCGTGAGGGGGATTTGGCCGAGTCCGGCGTCGAGGGCGCCGGTGCGGAAGGCGGGCCAGGAGGGGAGGATGAAGTGGGGACGCCAGAGCTGGAAGGAGGGCAGATTGGCACTCCCGGCGAGCGTGAAGGAGAGGAGGAGCCCGAGGAGGAAGATCAGGAGGGCGTAAGGAACGCGTGGGGAGCCCTGCGTGAGCAGGAGGCTCAGGAAGGCGAAGATGGCCCAGGGCAGGTTGTCGGCGGCTGAGGGTTGGCTCCATCCGAGAGGCTGGAGGAGACTGGTGCCGGCGGATATGACGAGGGAGAGTCCTGCGCCCACTTGGATCCCTTTCACGACGGGAGTGGGGATCACGTGGGTGAACCACTGCAGAAGGCCCGTGATGCTGAAGAGGAAGACGACGCCGGCCGTGGTGAAACCGGCCGAGACGGTCTCTTCGACGGAGAACTTCCTCGAGATGGCGACGGCGGCGATGGCCTGTGGGACGGATCAGTTTTTTCTCTTCTCTATCTATTCCTTGACGTCGAACTCGAGGAGGGAGGGGGATTTTCAAAAAACAAACAAACCTTCATAGGCTGGACCGGGAGGGGGATCCCAAAGAATACGCCCGTCAGGATATTCCACAAGCCCGAGAGGACGAGGGTCGTGGACAAGGAAATCGAGTTATTGACCGCCAGAGTGATCATGAGGGGTAGCAGAGTCCCGAGATCGCCCAACGAGCCCGAGATCTCGGATAGGGGGGATTTTCGAAGCGTCGCGACATTGTTTGCGTGCAAGCGGCGGATCTTAGACATGTCCATGATTGCAGGAGCGGCATAGGACTTTTATGAGGAGAGAGGAGGAAGCATGATAATAAATAAGATATAGAATAAATAGAATAAACGGCCATGGCTAGAGGAGGTTTTTGGTTTAGGTCTTGTTTCTTGACTAGGTCATCTGGACATGGTGCGCATGTAAGAAGTGGGGGGAATCGCTTTAGCAGCGGAGCAGGGGCCCGTCCCGCCACGCCTCGCGTATTCGCGTGAGAGTCGCGTGTCGAGACGCGTTCTGGGGTCTTTTATCATCCGCGACATCTCGCTCCTTTACATTGATCCCTCAACCAACATGAATTGCTCATCCATATAAGATTTCCGTATTGTCTATGTCTATGGATGAGTGATATTTACATTTAATACATTCTTCACACATCCTTCTACCCATTCACAATGCCTTCCTCCCGAGGATCGACTCCTGCCAGCCCCTCCTCCCCGACCTCTCCACCCCAATTAACCCCGAATTCGAAAGTCAAGGCTCTTTTGGCTTCTTTAGACAATGATTCCGACGACGAGACGGTCTCCGGATCTGCGAGAGCTAGATTGATATCCACCATGGCGAAGAAACCTATCTCGGACCCGGCCTCTCCCGTCGCGGACGCGGATAAAGCAGACCGAAACGTATCGTTGCACGAGCGGGAGAAGGATTCGTCTGCAGATGATGATGATGATGATGAGGATATTGTTCGGCCGAGAGGTCGAATGGCCGCGAGGATGCAGGCGGCGGAGGACGATTCCGAGCCTGAAGCAGAGAAGCCAGCAGAGAGCGCCCGCGAGCGCGTGAAGAAGATGCTCATGATGAAGAGCAAATCGCCCGAGCCAGCCGCGAATCCCGAGAGCAGCGATGAGAACGATGCACCTATCGCCTCACGGAAACGGAGAGTCAGAGTACCACGGAGAAGCACGCCGGTTTCGAGTCCCAGGAGAACATCCGCTTCCCCAGGTCTGTTTGTCTCGCCCTCCAAGCCTGCGGATGCTTCGCGTGATGCGTCTGATTCTGAGGAGTTCCCTCTTAATCCTCTTCAGGATGATCGTTTCAAAGCACTCGTCGAGAAGAAGCGTCAGGAACGGCTTGAGAGGGAGGCCCGGGAAGCAGCTCAAAAGGCAAAGAAGATGGCGGAGCGGAAGAGACAAGCTACGATGCTAGAGGAGGATGACGATATGAGCGATGACAATGTGGAACGACGTCTCACTCAACAAGCCAAGCCTACCCGTAAGGCGAGTAAGAAGGCGCTGGAGGAGATCGCTAGGAAAACACAGCGTATGAGCCGCGACATGCAGTTGGCTCATGATCCCAGGACAAAGAAGAAGATCACTAAGGAAGACTTGTTTAAGAGGTTCAACTATAGACCGGCGGGAGGCATGAAGGAAGAGAATACTGAGTCTACACAACCCGGGAGCTCGAGTCCCCCACCTAATTCCGATGTTGAGATGCATGATACACCCCCGACATCCCCGGCATCTCATGCAAGTGAGATTGAGAAAACCTCGACAGCTATTAATGCACCCGCGATTTCGAACGAATCAGCTGAGATGGAAGTTGATGGCGATTTGCCAACTCTCGAGGAGGCTTTGACTTCCTCTCCGCCCCGAAAGTTGGACAAGGGCAAAGCGAAGGCTGTTGATGAGCCTTTACCAGAGACCGAATTACCAGAGAGGAAACCTCAATTCAAGCAACGCCCTATTCGTATCCGACCACCAGTGATCACCGATAGGAAAGCCTCTACCCTAGACGACTCTGACAGCGATCTTGAAATTCTTACAGCGAAATCACCAGATGCTAGAATGAAGAGACTGGACACTATTTTCGACCGTGTTCCTGCCAGGCAAGCCAATGAGCCCCATTCTCTCCAGGCGTTGAAGATGCTTGCCCATCTCAAGTCTCCTGGAAAGCAGACTTTGGGGAAGAACAAGAAACCCTCCATGACCACCACTGAATTACAACTCTCGCTCCAACAACGTGCCAGACAGCAAGCTGCACGCGAAAGGGAGGAGAGGCTGGAAGCTTTGAGGGCTAAAGGTGTTATCGTGCAGACTGCGGAAGAGAGAGAGAGAGCCATGGCCGAGGTCGAGGATCTCATTGCTAAGGCTAGGCGTGAGGCCGAAGAACTCAGGGAGAAGGAGAAGGCAGCTGCCAAAAGAGAGAGGAAGGCAAAGGGCGAGGTCGATCCTCTGGGAGATAGTAGTGATGATGAAGACTGGGAAGAGACTAAAGAGAAACCCGAGGAATTGTCTCTATCTGGTTCAGAAGATGAGGAGGAAGGTGCCAATGACGCAAGTGGTGAAGAAGAGGAGGACGACGAGGAGGACGAGGAGGAAGATGAAATGGAACTGGACGGTGAAGAGGAAGCAGAGACTACTGCACCAAACCCAATATTCGATAATGAAGCCGATGAGACTGACAACGATGAGGCTGAGGCTCAGTTGTCTATCGATGAGGATATGCCTGGAACTGGCGATCTGGAGGACGATCAAGAAGAGGAGTTACCTGTCAACCGGAAAAGTCGTCGGTCAAGGAAATCCAATGTCATCTCCGATGATGAAAACGAAGAGAAGCCCGTAGTGGAAACACCATCAGCGTCACGGACCAACTCTCTGATGCCAACCCGGACAAGCTCTCCAACAGCTCCAACCTCCGTGCTCCGCTCTGCCACAAAGACCTTTATCCCCGGACTACCAGTTACAGGCCCAGTGGGTCTTAGTTTGACCCAGATCTTTGCTGGCACTATGGACGACAGTCAAATCGAGCCTTCTCAGGGATCACCAACGGCTTCCAAATCCATCGATCCCCACGTTGACGCCGAGAACGACCCAATGGCATTTTTGAGACGATTGCCTGCTCCAGACCTCCCACCATTTGTGCCCACAATGGAGGAAGATTCACAAGATGTTGTTATGGACAGCCAACGTGAAGTTAGCCACGTTCCGGAATCACAACCCATGGAAACTCAGACCCAAGGGATCCAACTGGGATTCTCTCAGTCACAAGTACATGGCTTTGACAGCCTTATTGATCCGATGGCGACCCAAGTCTCTGAATTCCCAGAAGCGACGCAAGATAGAGGATTCCAACATCTGACGCCTATCAAAGGACGCTTTGTTGAAGCCCCGCCATCGACAATCGACACCGTAGTAATTGGACCAGAGTCTGTCCCGGAAGCTGTTGCGGAAACGCCAGTCGTCAAGAAGAAGGGCAAATTGCGGCGAAGAGCCCAAGTTGCCGCTTTTTCAGATGAAGAAGATGCAGAGGAACCTGCAGAAGTGGAAGAACAAGAAGATGAGTTCGAAATTACCGCCAATGTATTCGATGTTATGCGTAAAGCCGCCAGGAAGAAGGAACCCGTTGTGGACAATTTCGACAAGAAGACCAGCAAGGCTAAGGAGATGATACAAGAACAAGCCGAAGAATCTGAGGATGAGTACGCTGGACTGGGTGGAGCTAGTGATGATGAGAGTGGCGATGAAGAGGATGAATATGTTAAAGCGATGATTGATGATGAAGGTGGGAAGGACGTGGATGAGAGGAAGATTGCTGCATTCTTTGCGTGAGTCTATTCCTATAACATGTTATGATTTTGCTAACGATAACATGCAGGGATCGTGAGAGAGCAAATGACGAGAAGCAAGTGGAGAAGCTGTATAACGATATCACGAAAGGAATGCTGCGGAGAAAGAGAGGAGCTGACTACGACCTTTCGGACTCTGACGATGGTGGTGAGGCACGGAAACGAATGAAACGCAGAGAGTTCGCGAAGATGCGTAAAGCTCTCTTAGCTGATGAGCGTATTGGGAAGATCGCAGAGAACCCTAAGAGGCAGGCTTTCCTGCGTGCTCTCGAGGACCGCGGCAGTGAGGATGAGATGGACTTCCTCGATGACTTTGCAGAGCAAGAGGAGGGAGCTGATTCTCAGTCCCAATCCCAGGCGGAGGACTCGCAGCAGCGAGTGCCAGACAGCCAACCTGATGTTGTAATGGGTCCTCCAAAGCGCAAGCGCTCTGATGACACCGCAGAGATGGAGCCAAGAGCTCCACCACACCTTCGCCGCACCAAGCCTTCCAAGAAGCCGTCCAACCTTTCCGAAATCCGGGAATCTCTTTCAAGTCTCATTGAGGAGCCTAACGCGGTGATTGCTCCCCCCGAATCTGGTTCTGACACGGAAGATGAGCTTGAAATTGAAGGCGAGGACCTGAGCACCCACAAAGAGAAAGAAAAAGAGAACCGAGATCCTTTCGCCTTAAGGAGAAAGAACGTGCCAATCATCGACCGCATCTCTCTCAAGCGCGCCTCCTCAAGCTCTATCTCCAACAACACGCGTCTTGCGTTCTCAGCTTCCTCAACCGCACCAGGCTTCAAGGTCCCTCCTCTCCTCAGACGCGCTACTACAAACAACAGTCTTGCATCCACCTCGTCAACTACGTCGAGCGTGAGCGGCGGTGGCGCATCTGCTGCTACTGAGCGAATGGCGGGTGGGGGAGGTAGTGATGGGATTAAGAGGGGAGGAGGGAAGAATAGCGGTGTACATTACTTTGCGCGGGAGAGCGAGCGGAGAGCCGCGCTTGTAAAGACGGAGAAAAGAAGGGAGCAGAAGATGTTCAAAGGGGCAGAGGTGCGGAGGAAGGTTGTGGGTGGCTTGTTCGGTAGCGGGAAGTTTGAGTAAGGTGTTTTTTCTGGAGCTTGGATGGATGGATGGATGGGATGGATGGATGGGATGGAGTTCATGGCTTTCGGTGGGTAGGGAACGGGATTGGATCTATTACGACCTGCATAGATGGAGGCTCTGTAGGACTTGAATATCATTTGTCTTCGTACAAAGTCTTATTCTGAAAAACCTGCGCGAGAAGACCTGGCTTCTGAACATATCCCTGCATGGCTCAATTGCTCGACTGATAAAGGAGCCGCTGGCTGGTGAAAACTGCTACAAGATATAGTATTTAAAATTTTACAGGTGGTTTCTCTAAAGCCCTCATATCGTACACAACAATCTACCACGAATAGTATTGCCTCTGGGCAGTAATCGGCCTGTTGGGTAGCTGTACCCAGACCTTCCGATTCTTGATCTTCTCTTCCCGCTCGTTGTGGAGCCGGATGCGCGTCGCCTCTTCCTTCAAGAGCACCGTCAAGCCTAACGAACGTTAACTAAAGCCTTCTCCAAGCAATGAGAGATGGGGGAGACTTACTGGTTGTCCGGTTCTTCATGATGTTGATCTGGCCTCGAGCCCTGTGATCAGGTTCCGTCCCGTACAATCCCTTTCCGCACCAAGCCTGGTCTACGTATAAAGTGGTCGGGTCCGTAACCGTGATGCGCTTGCCATCCTTCGTCTGGATCTTTATCGGGGTCATTTTCTGACCATTGACTGGTCCTAATCCCATGCCCCTCTTGACGATTGCCTCGTTCTTGGCGTGCTCGAGATGTTCCCTGACATCCTTCGCGGCCTTCTTCTTTGAAAATCGCATTTGGATAATCGCTTCGTCCACAGTCTTCCCGGCAATTTGCTTCGCCAATGGGACGAGCTTCTTGACTGACGTCCTGAAATCATGGGATTTGGATATCAGTTCTCTCTCCTGCCTCTTGATCTGCTGTGTTCGCGTCAACCTCCCCCGTTTCTTAATCTCTCTTATGACCATCCTGCGCTCCCACAGTTTTCGTCCAACTGGATCCGGATCCAATGCAGCAGCCATCGTCTCAGGATTCCGCACAAGAGGCTTCTGTCCATCTGGCGTCTCGATGCGTTCGGGCTTTGGCCCAGCCTGCTCTTCATCCTCGAGGATGGAAGATGAGGAGAGATCACCGCGGACAAAGGCCGCTCGGTTCTGAGGCTTTCTCCTGAGGTACTCCTCTGTTAATGGGTTCGTTGGGGCTTTAGAGGGTTCCTCCACGCGACGTTTCCCCCACCCGAAGAGGGTTCGTCGTTGGATGCATGGTGCGAGAAATGTAAGAGGTGTCTGCGAGGAGGCCAAGGAGGTGGCTGCCGGCTCAATTAGCTATCGCAGTAATCAATGAAGTGTTAGGAGTACGTACCGGACCTCAGCACGCGCCGTGATGGCAGGTGCAGGCTCATTGTGGGTTGTGGTGATGTTCCCCCTGTGCTTGTCAAGAAAGCTCAAAATGTCAGCGCGGAAGTCCGACTTTTGGCACGTGACAAAGGCGGTCTAGAAGCGGCAGAAACTTCTACTTCGTAGCGCGTCCTCCTTCCTCCCAATGAGGTGAAATGACGGAAGGGAACCATAAACGTATGATTCTTTGACGTTGAGATTTTTTGGTCCAAGAGTTTCTTCTCTTCGCGACAGTGGATTTTCCCGGTCTGAAATGAGAATCCAGACTACTCGGGACCTTTTCGATCGGTAATCGAACACCGCATCGCGACTGAACAACTTCCAAGTATTCGATTCGGACATAAAACATGACGGATCCCATAGGAGAGGACGGATGGCTCGCGCTTGTCGACGAGGCCAGTAGAACTGCGAGTGACTTGGAACAACGGGTCGGGGTGGTCGAGTTATACAAGCGTTCGATTGCCGCGGAGCCTTGGTCCCTCAAGCTTTGGCTGGCTTATTGCGAATGGGTCTGGTCCTTATACACGGACTGCCAGACCGCGGATGCAGGATGGCCGGAAGAAGAACAGCTCCTCGGGCAGGAACTCTTCACGCTGGAGACTGCGTTGGATGTCTGGCAACAAGGAGCTCAAGCGACCCAATACCGACTGAATGACAGCAATGAGCTCTGGAATAGGTGGATGTCGATCGAGTTGGAACTGCTCTCGAAGTCGCCGACCCGTGAAAATATCGAGCGCATACGAAACCTCTTCCTCGATCGATTACAAGTACCACAGGCTGCCTGGGATGAAACGTCGCAGATGTTCTCTACGTTCATCACCAAATATGATGAACCTTCCTGGGAGTCTACCATGGTCCAGGCTTCAAAGTTGGCAGAGCAAGCGAAAGCTCTATATGCCAAGCGCGAAAAACACGAAATGGACCTAGAACGGGCAGCTGGTGATATCGAGGCTCAAAGAGCAGTGATGCGAGACTATTTGGACTGGGAGAGCAAGCAAGCTAGAATGAAGCCTAAGAAAGGCGCTTCTCCAAGCCCCTTGATCCTTGTTGTCGCGCTATATGAAAGAGCCCTATCATCTACACTTGGTTCGGACCCAGCCGTATGGCAGGATTACATTGTCTTTCTGGGACAGAACTCACAGGCGCACTTACCGTCGGTTTTGTCAGTGGTTGCGAGGGCTACACAGCATTGCCCCTGGTCAGGAACCCTCTGGGCTCGGTATATCCTCACAGCTGAAGCCGAAAAGTTGTCTTACTCCGATATCGAGTCCATAAAGCACGCTGCCACGAACACTAGAGAGTTAGACCGTGATGGGATGGGTGGGGTGGTAGAAGTGTATATTGCATGGTGTGGTTATCTCACCCGACGAGCTGCTCCTCCAGGAGCATCAGATGAAGATATCGATGTCGCTGAGATGGGTCTACATGCTGCGCTGGAGAGTGTTCAGGATTGGGGACAAAGACTACACGGCAAAAAGGATTACAAGGGCGACCCTCTATTTCGCATCGAAAGGATAATGATTCACTACCTCACCCAGAAGGGCTCAGCCGCAGAAGCACGTGGATATTGGAAAAGATTAGCTGAAACCCATTCACATGGTTGGGAGTTCTGGCAACGATACTATATCTGGGAAATGACTGTCAATCCTGCAAATACACCTCCTACTCTAGCAACCCAAGTTTTGAATGAAGCTGTGCATCAGCAATCACTGGATTGGCCAGAGAAAATGATGGAGGTTTATGTCCGGCACTGCAACATATACACGGATGCCAATCAATTACTTTCTGCCATGGATACCGTCCACTGGCTCTCCAAAAACGTTGCCAAACGACGTGAAAAGGAGGCAGCTGAGGCAGCAGCATTGTATGCTCAACAGCAGCCTTCAGCAGAGCAAGCCGCCGGCGAATCTCCTGGAGCCTCAAAGAGGAAGCGCGAAACGGGTTCAGATGAGGCTGATGGTATTGCAAGCAAGAAGCTCAAAGGCGATGAGCAAGAAGTTGACCAGGAGGCATTGCGAGAACAGCACTTGAAACGCGATCGCGAGAATACATCTGTCCTAGTCACAAATTTGCCAGCAGAAGTAACCCAGACAAAAGTCAGACATTACTTCAAGGACTATGGCCACATCAACAGCATTACAGTGAAGACGGAGCAGGACGGACTTTCATCAACAGCTTTGATTGAATTCCGATCCAACGAAGACGTTCTGTCGGCCCTGATTCGGGACGGCAAATACTTCGCTGATAAACAAATTTCAGTGATGCCCGCTACTGGCTTAACGCTCTATGTGACCAACTACCCACCTGCCGCTGATGATGCTTATATCCGAAATCTGTTCAAAGACTGTGGCGAGATATTCAGCATTCGATGGCCAAGTCTAAAGTACAACACCCACCGTCGATTCTGCTATGTCACTTTTCGCACACAGGCTGCAGCTGCTGCCGCGACACAAATGAATGGCCAAATGCTTCCAGGTGGGTTCAAGCTCAGTGCATTATATTCTGATCCATCGAGGAAGAAGGCACGTGAGGGCCCGATAGCAGAGGGAAGAGAATTACATGTCACCAGTCTCGACACTTCCCTAAACGAGGAAGATCTGAAAGCCGTGTTCTCAAAATATGGCCCAGTTGAAGCTGTTAGGCTCCTGAGGACATTGGGAGGTGAGAGTAAAGGTGCAGCATTCATTGTGTTTGAGAAAAAGGATGACGCCACAGCAGCACTTGCCCTTGACAAGACTAAGCTGAAGTCCAGGGTTATCACCGTTGAAGTGTCGACGGGTAAGAACTTCAAGCCTACTGCAACCAGCAAGGGGGCTTCGGCTTCTCCAGCACCGGATGCAGATGGTGACTCCGTTATGTCTCCTTCCCCCGCGCCAGAGTATCATACAAATACACATGCACACCACGGCCCGTCCGGAACGGACATAGCCAATCGAACGATGACCTTGATAAATATCCCAGACACTGTCAATGATGCTCGGGTACGCGCTATTGCTGAACCCTTTGGTAACATTGTCAAACTTGTTCTACGACCGGACCACCAGGGCGCCATTATCGAGTATACCGATGCTGCGTCCGCAGGCCGGGCAGCATTGGGACTAGAAAATTATGAGATCGCGCCTGGACGACGACTTCGAACTGGAGGCATGAAGGATCTACTTGGGGAAAGGGATGAGATAAAGACTGATCGAGTCCAGATCGGGCAAGGCAAGAAGACGCAAGGAAATTACTCTTTACCGCCTATTGCGCCGGTCAGGAGGCCAGGCCCAGGCGGGCGAGGGGGTTTGGGAACGAAGAGAGGATTGGGCTACCCTGCTGCAAAGCCTGCTGATCCATCCGGCTCAAGTGCTGGTGCCGGTGGAGTGCAAGGCAACGGAAGGGCAGATGGAAATGTTGCGCCGAAGAGCAATGCGGATTTCAAGGCAATGTTCTTGAATGGTGGAAAGGAATAGTTGTTTTTAATTAATGGATAGGTCGCAGACCATCAAGGCTAGTTCGCTATTTGCAAAGGCTCTATCAATGTAATTCAAAAAGGTGCTAGTCTATCGTTGTGCTGCATTGAAGTCTCATATCCTTTGAATTCCGTTGGTGAAGATGTTAGCTGAAGAAGCTCATCTGATTCTCATGTATCCTTCTGATGTAACTGTACATAATGGCGGGACCCACCTGCCAGCCCGTCGATGATCGCGGGCGCCCCCGAAACCTGGGGAAGGCTGAAGCGCGTAAAGAGCTATTTATCCTACCGAAGCTTACCTACTTGGCACCTCACCGAAGAAACTTCATTCTCGACAAGACAACGACAACGACGACCACAACAAAAACAATGAATGCACCAAGATGAGCTCCCCGTCTGCTTCAAGCGGTCCAGGATCACCGATCAGCCGTCGATTTTCCCGTCTATCAAAACGTGGCGTAAGGCCTTCAATTATAGTAGCTTAAACATCGACATGCTGACGTTCAAGACACAGAAGCTCCGAAATGGGACGTTCATCCTCCCCGCAACAGGAGAGCGGATTCGCAGGCAGATAACTCTTCGAAATCCAGATAACTTCGATGGATCAGGGCGACAGAATGGCCAGGACGGCGAAGCTTTCATCTTCCCGCGAGGGCAAACCTTTTCGCAGGCTGGCACGTTCGGGGCGGCTGTGGACAAAACCGTTGAATCCGTGAAGCAGTTGCGGGACCGCTTGCAGACGCCTACGGCGAAAGCGATACTAAAATGCTCTCTTGCGTACCTGTTGGGGAGCATGGGGACTTTCCTGCCCCCGATCGCCAACTTTCTGGGTCATCAGGATGGGAAACATATGGTTGCTACGATCACGGTGTACTTTCATCCAGCGCGGTCGGCGGGATCGATGGCAGAAGCTGCCATGTTGGGTATTGCAGCATTTTGCTATGCTGTCTTCATCTCGGTGTCGTCCATGGCCGTATCGGTACTCTGCGAGACTCAATTGGGCCTGATTGAATTGGGCTATGCTCTTGTGTTGGTTGTCTTTTGCGGAGGTGGATTGGGTTTCATCGGCTGGTTCAAACAGAAATATGGTTCGCCACTGGTCAACGTGGCATGCAGTCTTGCCAGTCTTGCCATAATAACTGTTTTGACGAAGGAAAATGCGGTCCAAGTTGGAATCTTCTCAAACGACAAAATAGTGCAGGTTATGAAGATGGTGCTGATGGGCATTTTTGCAACTTCAGCTGTGAGCCTGCTACTATGGCCCGTTTCAGCACGTGCAGAGCTTCGAGAAACCATGATTAGGGCGACAGGGTCATTTGGTGATATGCTCACGATGATCACTCAAGGATTCCTTAGCGGTTCCGAAGCAGACCTAGGGTCTACAGCTTTCAATAACGCCCTGGGCCGATATAAGTCAGTCTTTACGCAACTGACAAAGAACCTGAAGGAGGCCAAGCTCGAGCACTATGTGCTCGGGACTGAGGATGAGTATAAGCTGGAAGCTAGCCTTGTGAACTGTATGCAAAGGCTGGCTCAGTCAATTGGTGGACTTCGCAGTGCTGCAACCACCCAATTGACGTTGCTACGTGAGGGAGCTGCTATTGGATCTGCAACGCCTACCGAAGATGGTCTGTCTGCACAAGCAGTGGGGTTGGGTTTATCACCTGTGCCTGGTAGGCAAGACAGATTCGCTGTCTTGACAGCTATTGAAGAAGCATCCGAGGAGGGTAGCGGAGCCGAAGATCAGTACACCCCCTCTCTAGGTACTCAGTCTCCAGGATCTCGACCTTCACGGCTCGAGAGGCAGAACAGCGAAGCGAGCGTGACGAGTATATATGTACCAACTGCTCGGACCCCAGCCGACATATTCGCGCGGTTCATTTCGCACTTGGGGCCTTATATGAAGTCTTTGGCATACACACTGTCCCAGATACTCAACGAACTTCCGTTTGGGCCCGGGCCGGATTATTCAATTAATATCAATGAACATTTCAGGACAAGCCTCAGTGATGCATTGCATGTCTCATTCCCAATGTTGCCTTGACCTATGCTAACGTTCCATGTAGGTTGTTGTACAGCAATGCTCGTGCCAAAGCTTTGAAGGAGCTATACAAAAGCAAAGAATTAGATCAGGCAAGACCCGAGAGTATCGAAGCCGATTTTGAGGAAGTGGCAGCCAGTTGTGGCCAATTCAGTTTCAGTCTCTATGACTTTGGAAGCGAAATGCAAAATCTCCTGTCGATCTTAGAAGACTTGAAACAACAAACTGAAAAGACGAAGAAGCGTTCCTGGAAATGGCTGAAGTTTTGGCAGCGCTTTAGATTTTATAAGGGTTCCAGCGTTACTACGGATCCAGAGCGAGAACCACTTATAGAGCCGCCATCTTCACAACCAGGTACAACCAAAGACATGCCAGAACTAGTCATGGGAAGGCGAGATTCGAAATATTGGAAGCTCTCATCACAAGAAGCACATCCAACAGGAAGGTTCTACAACAAATTGTTGCATGTGATGAGAGTCCTAGAACGAGATGATGGTTGGTCCCGTTCTCGTATATTCTCTGCCGTTTGCTCACATATAATTAGTACGCTTTGCTTTGAAAGTTGGCATTGGAGCTGCTCTATATGCCTTATTTGCCTTCATTCCGGCCACCCGGCCATTCTATCAACACTGGCGAGGGGAATGGGGTTTGCTCTCATACATGTTGGTGTGCAGCATGACCATCGGAGCCTCAAATACCACGGGATGGGCACGATTTATAGGCACATTCATGGGAGCTGTTCTTGCCATCGTAATTTGGGTTATGTGTCAAGGTAATCCTTTTGCTTTGGCTTTCTGTGGTTGGCTTGTTAGTCTGCCTTGCTTTTACATCATCATTGCTAAAGGCAATGGTCCTTTTGGACGATTCATCATGCTTACATACAACCTTTCCTGTTTGTATGCGTACAGCTTGTCGATAAAAGAAACCGATGATGACGATGATGAGGGAGGCGTCACTCCATTTATCTTCGAAATCGCAGGACATAGAGTAGTTGCCGTCCTTGCGGGTGTCGTCTGGGGACTCATTATAACGAGAATTATTTGGCCGATTTCAGCACGACAAAAGCTCAAGGATGGCCTATCTCTCCTCTGGTTGCGAATGGGCTTGATCTGGAAGAGGGATCCTTTATCGACGCTTTTGGAGGGGGAATCTCAGCATGCTTACATGAATCTTCGTGAAGAATTCGCTCTTCAAAGATACCGTCAGTCTTGAACATATGTTTATGGTCTCCAAACGCTAATCCTCTATTAGTCCTCAGCCTCGAGGGCCTTCGAAAGGCAGCATGTAGCGAGTTCGAGATACGAGGTCCTTTTCCTGCAGCGCAATATGGGCGTATCCTAGAATCAACGCATAGGATACTAGACGCATTCCATTCAATGAACGTAGTGATACAGAAGGACCTACATGCCAGTGAAGGAGAAACCCTACTCTTGAAATACACAGCACATGAACGAGCTGAGCTGTGCGCCAGAATCAGCCATCTCTTCCAAGGTACATCCCCTTCTTTCCCCTTCTGACACCAGCATTGCTAAAACAGGAGACAATCAGTTCTGGCAAGCTCGATGAAGCTCGAATATTCCCTTAACAACACAGTACCGAGTACAACGCATTCGCGCGATAGATTACTCGCCAAGATGTTTCAGTATCGCAAGGATGCAGCTGGTGCCGAAGAAGGTACCACCGTGGCAACGGATGAGGATTTCGAGATCTTGTATGTGTATACGCTCGTTACCGGGCAGTTGGCCGAGGAGATCAAGAAGGTCGAGAAGGAGGTGGAGGATTTATTTGGTGTCATGGACGAGGAGTCGCTCAAGTTACAATGAGCGTTCGTATAGGGTTAAAAGCAACCTAGGATTATGGGTATAATCAAGGATGGAAGCAGAGGAATTAGCAAAGTTAGGAGTCAAAAAGGGCGGGATGGTGTATATAAATACTAATTGTATATATCATGATTAATGACTCTTGCCTCCTGCGTGCTATGCTATGCTATGCTATTCAAACCCATTACATGCATACATACATACATACATAAGTCATTTGCCCCAAGCCGAACGCCCTTCATGACCCCATACCTCATCAGAACAGAACTTCCCTAACCTTCCCAGCCTTATTCCGAATATCATACTCCACCCATTTCGCCACCCCCCTCCTACCAGGGGCAACCACACTCCCCGGGTTCATAACATAACATCCTTCATATGTGACACAGAAGGCAGGGGCTTCTGTATCAGCCAGCACCAGAGCTGTAGGCAAAGGATAGAGCTGCAGCGCACTCGTATAATCCCACAGCACAGGCCGAGTCGCCATCCCAAACGGCGACAGGTATCCCTGATCCAAGATGGTCTTGACGAGTTTGCGCGCCGCGTGGAGATCACTGGATATAGATTCCGCAGCGGCCGCGGGTTCCGCGACGTGAGACTCTGCGGCTTGCACGTCGGTATCGATATCCATCTCAGCGGGCTCCTGGACCGGTTCCGGAACGGGCGACATGCCCATCTCCTCTTCGTCTTCAGCGGGTTTGGAAGACGAGAATCTGATGGCGGTCCTGCGTAACCGACCGGATATGTTGTCCCGGAATAGCACGATCTCGTGCGTGGGTCCGAAGAGCGAGAGGCGGGAGGGATTGGTCGTCCATATGGCTTCTCCGTCGGTTTTCTTGCCTTTCTCCTTTTCGGCTTCGGCGTTGGCGGTTGCGAACGCGCGTTTGATACGGGAGGTAAACATTTCTGGGACGCCTTTGCGAGGCAATGGCGTAGCTGCCCCGGCTGAGAAGGAAGATGCCCAGCCGTCGTTGTCGCCGGGGACAAAGATGAAGGTCGCGGATTGGAGTAGCGTTGGGTAGTCGGCGAGTGTGGAGGCGAGGCCATCGAAATACTCTTTATATTCGATGCTGCCGCCACTACCCCCTCGTGCCATAACTGCGTGTTGAGTAAAGTTCCCCATGAGCACGAAGGTCATGGGTGTGTCTTCCTCGGGCTCTGCGGCGTAGATTCCCAGGAGCTTTTTCAGGGCTTGGAGCGTTCGTGGTTCGTCAAGATTTACCTCCCCTATTATAATTACTCGACCTCTGCCCCCCAGTTCGTCATCTCCTGTGGGCTGTCTGATCAATCGTTGCTCGAGCTTGCGCATCTTCGATCCTACAGCACGCTCGCTGCCTACTCCTAAAAAGTCGACCCATCCAAATCCACCACCGGCTGTTATGTCTCCATCGCCGTTTTTACCGCTGACTCCTAGGGTAACGGCTCTCCGTTCACAGGGAGGTCCACCGATGAAGAACCCTATAAACTTTCCACCGATTGTACCTCCAACACCTCCACTACCACCAAGACTCACGGTGTTATTGTCTTCTTCTTCGTAGGTTCCGTCAACTAAAACAATCATGCCAGGTGCAAACCAGGCACCATCTTCAGGGATTGGTTTGGCGTGAGTAAGATCTAGTGCAATACTCCCGGTCAGATCGCTGATGGCAAGCGTGCCAGTTGGGGAGATGGTCAATAAACCAAGAAGCATGTGATTGGTTCCGTTTCTACCAAGGAGGTTGGCAATGGGTGTAAGTTTGTAGGATTGCTGAGCTGTTGCTAAAGAAGAGGCTGAGCGTCTTAAGGAGGGTGCTTTTGAGGGTTCAAATGTTGGTGCTTGGAAGGCTTCGTTTCGAAGAAGGCGCTGATGAATGAGATTATATCGGTTGCGGAAGACTTGAGTCTTATGTGAGGGCGAAGGAAGTAGTGATGGTTTCGAAGTTTCTCTAGGTTGAGGTTAGCCACGCATTTCAAAGAATATATGCCATCACAAACCTATCGAAATGCTTCTTGCCAACATTATATACAAGTCGAGGTTGCTCAAAAGCATCAATAACTCTCAGCCACTTCCTAGGGTCTCTAATCTCATCATCATCTTCTTCATCTTCCACACCCAAGGTCGACATCCCAAGACTCGATTGGCTATCCTCTCGCTCCAAAACGTTCGGTCGTAACCCGAGTCTGGTATGAGACACCTCTGCATGTTGAGAAGATCCGAGTACAAGGCTGTTCTGGCGACTCAATTCTTTGGCTGTAACAATTCTTCCTCCACTCATGCTCCCTTCCAAATTTCGTAGGATATCCTTCAGATCATTGCCCTCCCCTTCGACAATAACCCCTCCATTCCTGTTCTTCCAGCTCTTGGCAACCTCCTCCAGTACGCGCTCTGCCAATCCTTCTTCCCGCCATCCAGTACCACAATGTCTTCCAATAAAAGTCGCTAACACTTGTAAGGCGGACGATGTCAGAGTCAAGCTATGCTTTTTGGTAAACGTCCGGAATGCCAGAGGCCGCAATGTCGCGGGAGGAAGAAGAATTGGCAGTATAATGCCTCTCGCTGGAGCTGCAGCAACATTGAAAGGGCGCACAGGATGGGCCGGAGTTGCAAATGCTGGAGAAGAGGAGGGAATTGGGTTCGACTGCGCGGGGATTGGAGGCTGTTTGAATATAGGAGCGGCCCGAGACTTTTCTGGCTGATGAGGTCGACTCATGATTTCATGTAAAATACACAAGAGCCGAAATATTCAAACACAGTTCGAATAAAGTCCAGGTAAAGTCCAAATGCGAAGTTTGAATGTGCAGCCGGTGAACTGTAGTCAAGGCTCCTCTAAACGCGATCTGCGGGGAGACGCGACGCGTGAAAGTTTAAAGTGCTTGTCGCGTAGCTACTGATCCCTGCACTTCTCCAATATTGATCCAGCTTCAGAATCACCTGTCATAAATATCATTCCTCACCTGTTTCCCTCCGATGCCAATTACCTATTGAATCGATCTATCGTCGTATTCCATTCTACGCAGTCCCGCGATTCCCTTCAATCGTTAGATTTCATCGAAACATCAACTCCAACGATCATGGCCGACCCAACTGAACTAACTGAACCACTCGCCGAGGAATCCTCAGCAGCAGCGGCAGAAGCCTTCAAGTCTGCCAAAGTATCCCTTGCAGATCTCTGCGCGAAGGGAACTGCACAATATGCGCACAAGAATTACGAGGAGGCAGCCGATCTGTATGCGCGCGCAGCAGAGCTCCAAGCTGAACTCAATGGCGAGATGGCTCCCGAGAATGCGGAGATCCTGTTCCTTTACGGTCGGTCGCTGTTCAAAGTTGGTCAAAGCAAAAGTGATGTTTTAGGAAACAAAGCTGCGGGTGAGGAGAAGAAGAAATCCAATGGTGCGGCGAAGGCAAAGAAAGAACAACCAAAGCAGGAGATTAAGAGCGAAGCTGAAAAAGTGGCCGAAGAGGGTGTTGCGATAATCGCAGAGCAGAATGGTGGTGCGGTCAAGTCAGAGGATGGTCCTAATGCCAAGAAGCCGTTGTTCCAATTTACGGGCGACGAGAATTTTGAAGATTCAGATGAGGATGAAGAGGTAAGGTTGTCGCATCAACTTTACTACCTTGTTTCCTGACAATTGATTAGGGCGAGGATGGTGAAGGTGAAGCAGAGGAGGAAGAAGATGACCTTGCTGCCGCATTTGAAGTCTTAGATCTTGCACGCGTCCTATTCACAAAGAAGTTGGAGCAGCCAGAAGAGGGAGAGGGTAAAGGAAAGGAAGTTGGAGACTCGCTCGCGACAAGACACGACAAGGAGCGACTGGCAGATACGCATGATTTGTTGGCAGAGATATCTCTAGAGAATGAGAGGTACGCCGTTTGTGATCTGCTGGCCTTCTATATTTTCTAACTTATCCCAGATTCCCTGCGGCGGTCACCGATTTCAGGGCCTCCTTGGCCATCCACCAAAGCTTGTTTCCTGAAGAGCATGAGGCAGTTGCTGAAGCCCATTACAAATTATCTCTCGCTTTGGAATTCGCATCTATCACCAGAGCCAAGGAAGAAGGCGAGGAGTCTAAAGAAGCGGAAGATGAAGCACACTTTGATCAAGCTATGAGAGATGAGGCTGTCAAGGAAATGGAGGCTGCTATCGCAAGTGTGAAGCTCAAATTACAAAACAAAGAGGTTGAGCTTGCATCTTCCCTCTCTTCTGATGACAACGAGATCACAACAGCCCAAATTGCAGACGCTAGGGAAATCATTGCTGAAATGGAACAACGCGTAAGTTTATTTGCTTGTTTTACATCTTTCAAAGCACACGACTGATATCATGATCTAGCTTGCCGACCTCAAAGCCCCCCCTGTTGATGGTGTCAAGGACGCATTGTACGGACCAGCTAGTGGAGGCAACCCTCTAGGCGGTCTCCTTGGTGCAAGTCTGGGAGAGTCACCTGCCGAAGCAGCTGCTCGGATTGAAGAGGCCAAGAAAACTGCAACTGATCTTACGGGACTTGTCCGCCACAAGAAGAAGCCCAAGGATAGCGAGACAAATGCTCCAGAGCCAAGCGCAAGCACCAATGACACGAATGGAAAGCGCAAGGCAGAGGATGATGCAGAGGATAATGATAATGCGAAGAAGGCAAAGGTGGAGGAGGCTGTCGCCAAGGAATAGGTAGGGTTATGTATGGTTTTCCTACTGGGCTGCGGTGGGGGGCAGGGGGGATATGAAAACGGTTGGCGTTCACACAGGATACCAAGGAACATCGGTGGCACCTTCTAATCTGCATGTTTGCAAATGCAACATGACAGGTAATAGATTACGGGATATGCAAGTTGTTACTTGCCTTGAATTCATGAGCTTTTTTTTTAAAAAACATATGATGATGATTTGTACTGTAACGTGACTCCTTTGATGTTTGATGCAGGAATTTCGCCCTCCATTATTGAAATCTTATATTATGAGTCTAGGTACACTCAAGACTCTCCAAATATGCATCCTTTCCAGGCCACAGGGTATCATGAAATTCGCATCATGTGCGCAGAACCCATGTTCCGTCTCGTGGATTTGGACAGCGGTGGAGGAACCTCCCGGGGAACTTGAGATTCTGTGTCTCACCTTGAAAGCGTCTCCTTACGCGGATTTTAATCGGAATGAGAATTTGAGGTATTATGCGTATTATTTTTTTCGTAGAGTTCGTGATGGGATTCAGTGATTCGTAAACATAGGAAAGGATAGATGAGCGGTTCGTAATAGTGGTGATCTATCAGGACGGCAGGCATTCTAATAGGAAGAACTTTGCACCGACTGGTTACACCATCTGGGTATAGTTGATAGTCCGTGAGAAATCCTCTCCCAATCGAGGCTTTCCCTCTCCTTTAATAGTGCTTTAAAATGGATATAAGCGGTGACACCTTTACCACCTGCAAGAAGGCATCTCTCATTGTAATTGTAGGAAAGAATTCGAGGGCAGCTTTGAGCCGGCGACTTGATGAATCACTTTGGGCAGATTCCTCCCACGCTTGGTATTTTAAGATAGCATCTGATCAATGCTCAATATGTAGGCATAGCATGCTGCCGTGAGTATGCTCGTACCGGGCAAGATCTCGGAATAGAAGAGATCATTGATTGACGTTAACGAACGCCTTAGGTAGAATTTGAAGGCGTCGTGCTCGATCCACCTCGAAGATGTGAAGAAGATCCTTTGAACAGCGATTGCCAGATGAAAGCCTCACTTAGAAGAAGCTCAATATCCTTCTCTGTCCAATCCCGCGTGGGAAGAGCCTGAAGAAACATCATGACTTCTTGAAAGTCCATCTTCAGGAGCTTGTCGGACCATTTGACCAGGAAGGCAACACACACATACAGATGGAATTCCGAGAAGCCCTGCTCCTCAGCCTGAAAATCTTTAGCACATACAGACTTATGAATGGTAATGGACTAACCATATATGTGTCCCACATCCTAATTGTATTCTTCACACTTATTTCCCGCATTAAGAGACAATTCATCCATCGGAAACTGAACTGTATAAATTCAACGCCCTCTTTTTCGAGGTGTTTCGCAAGAGCAACGTCTATCCTCGCAGTGAGATCATGGAGAGCTGCAACTTGACGTTGAATCCCAGGTTGCGCGAATATGTAATTATCCTGGATACCATCTAAAAGCTTCGTCAAGCACCAGAACGAATCTGCTTCTACAGCGTCGAGAACGGGTTTCGGTAGCTGTCCTGGATCCATACCACTTTCAACATCCGAGTCCGTAATATAGGTCGCAAGAAAGACCTGCCAGAAAGGGGTCACGAGGTCATTGATACCTTGGACATAACCACTGGCAGGATGCCGCACAGCCCAGACGTATAATATTCGTTCTAAGGATCTTTGCGTCGCTTCGTAGCCATAAAGTTCCAAATGTGGATTCGTTCGAGGAACGTCAATGCTGATCTGATGCCAGATTGCTTCGTCTAGACCTCTGACTTTACCAGCTGGCCCCGACGTTCCGCCCCTTTCAAATGCTTGTCGAACCCCATCTAAGTATTCCTTCCGTTTACGTTCAAGAGTCCCAACACGCCTTTCACTGCTTGTAGGGAGGTAACCAAGCAGTAATTGCCAGGTCATAGCCCGAACTTCCTCTGGTACGCCAGACCATGCTGCAGCTCTCAGATCCGTCAAAGAAATCGAGGTGGCTTGGAGTATCTTCTTGAATTTGTTGATTCTCGTAATCCGCGCTGAATGGATATCTATATCCTTGGGCGACGCATCGGGGGGTATAGGTGGGTGGTTAATGAGATGCAACGAGTTTGCGGGATCCCTTAGTATATCTTTGTACTGAGGTCTCAAGATCTTCCCTTCACTCTTTTTTGGTAGAGGATAACTTGGGGCTGGCCGTTCAATTGCAATATCTGCACTGTTTGAAAGCCGCCGGGGCCCGAATCCACCATAGCTTCCCTGTAGGCCATGACCAAATGGCGACAGAGTCCCACCTGAGTCCACACCGCTAGGATCGGGTGCCTTCTTGGTCTTTCGCTTCATACTCGAAATACTCGGCAGCCCGAAGTCGTCCCCATCATCATTCTCGTAGCCATATTCATCTTCCTCATCAGCCTCGTCCTCCGCATTCCAATCATTGTTTGTATGGGACAGAAAATCTGTGTATGTCCTTCGAGGTGGTGAAGCCAGTCCGGAATGTCCTCGGCTCAAAGACGGAGTATGTCCTCGGTGCAAAGAAGGAGTATGGGTATCGCCATAACTTTTGTATGGTGATGTAGATGGGGGGGTTCTCGGGCGGCCTGAACCTGAAGATATGGATCTTGGGCATATGTTAGCATTGTCTGAGAGCGGGGAAACTTAAGACATGCAAATTATCAAACTTTAGAATATCCGCGTGGGAGTATGAAGCTCCCACCACAAGTCCTGAATCACTGGCATGCTTTTTTGGAGAAGAATTGCGCCGTCCACTTGTAGTTCTACTTCGCCAGAAGGGAGAGGATGATCTGTGTCCTAATCAGCATACCGCCCACTTTCCAATCGCCGTTTCCCCATATTCAACTATAAGAGCATTCGCTGGTCGGTTTGGAACATACTCTGATCTCTCTAATATGTTGGACCATGTATTAGCAGAAAAGTCCCATGCAATCGGTGCAAAGAGAGCTGCTGAAAGGCATCAAACTCACCAACCTGCACCATCTCCTGTACAAAGGTCCTTTCCGTCAGCGCTCTGTCCTAATTTATCTCAAGAAGCTTCTGCACTAACCTGCTGTACTGGCTTCTTCGATCCATTTGAAGCAGAGAACATCCTTATAGATATCCAATCCTTTGGTCTATATGTTTGTTCATTCCAATACTTCCAGGTTGTCGTCTTCCTTATTGAGCCTCAAGCTTAAGGCGCCAACATGCAAGTGGCCAAATGTGGCTAGTGCATGAGCCTTTAGCGCCTTTACGGAGTACGACGTCTCTGGAGATACGGACATATTTATCACAATCTTCCACTCTCCAGCATACATTCACTCACCTCTTTGCAAGATAACTCCCTTTCTTCAGCTTTCTCTTCTTAATACTCGTGGCAGATTTCTACCTCTTCGCATCTCAGTGCCCTCTGAGCTGATTGTCTTTTGTTCGGGGGAGACCACAGTACCAGTAGCTGGTCTCACCTAATTAATACCTGTTCACATCAGCGACACAGAGATCCATCGAAAATGGCAGAGCCAGAGAACTTTGAGGAAGATTTGTTTGCCGATCTGTATGTACAAATCTCGATTTCAGAATGACGCCTCCCTCCGTTGGACACAACTGCCTCTCTGCGACGAGAGTCCATGCCGAGCTTCATTTGAGCGTCGAACCAGCATTACTTCTGATTATTACATTCATCGAGCACCAGGCTAACAACACCTCAGGTACGCTGATGATGACACTCCCGCGAAGCAAGCACCTGCCCCAGAGGTCACCGTCGAAGCTACAGCACCAGCCGAGGTAAAGAAAGAACAGCCAGCAGAAAATACCGAGAGTGGCAATGGAGACGAGCAGAAGAATGGCAGTGAACAGGATGGGGATGACGAGATAGATTTTAATCTTGGCAATGGAAATAGCTATGATGCTCCTGCTGCAACAAACCAGCAAGAGTCGCATGGACCAGGCATCAAGGAAGATGGGTAAGATAGCAGTATTTTTCTTTTACATTTAATCTTTCTGCGAAATCTAGCACATACATGACCGTAGTTACACGAGCAGCGCAAGCAGCGGTCTCGTTTTGAACTGCAACTACCGGCACAAAGCGGGGAATGACGGGCAACTCTATGCCGATCTGTGCATGTTGAAGGTCAGGGCACCAGGGCACGAGCTTTGGGACATCAAAAAAACTGGGCTTTGGGAGTGAGGCTGGTTGGACGGGTGGCGTACAAATCACAGGCAGCACTGGGATTGAACGAACTGAAATCAAGGACGTGGTTACTTTGAGAGCCAAATCGACTGGCACTGAAACTATTGAATCGATGGTTGGCTTGCTCTGCTGGAAGGAGATGCCAAGGCAAAAAATTGGGCGACGCGAGCTAGACGTGGAGACATGAAGACATGACCGGAAGGAGAGGAAGGTCTGCTTGAGGGTTGTGGAACTGAGATTTCGCCCCATGCATTCGCCATCAACAGCGGCCATAGTCAGCCTACTACTACATAGCCTATTGTCGAGATAATCTTCATAGAGCATCAGAGGAGGCCGCAGATAGGCTATAGCAGATCGGGCAGCGTAGCGCTCAACGCCAGTACCTAGCATCACGATAGCAAAAGACACGATTGTTCTTGGATATCTTGTGGTGTCAACCTTCTTTCCATGACTCCAGCGGAAACATGATGGGTGTGCTAGCCTCGAGGATGGATAGGTGGTGGGCACGTGGAACCTCCCAGCAAGACATCATTGCCGAACAACCTTCTTCACACGAACCGATATATCCAGCATCCCCATTCTCGCTCCGCTGCTCTTTGTCTATGCCTTAGGGAGATGTACTGAGGAGGATATGCCTGCGTCAGAGCAACTGCAATAGGGGATAGAAAGCTATGGCTGCCCCCTTAGCGAGACATTGACTTGCTGGAGCCCTGCCAGTCCTGGGCCAACGACATGTTTCGGATCATCTCAACAATGGATTTCTTTTATGTTGTGTCACATGTCATTCTAGTTGTTTGTTGCTTGCTTGACATGGTTCTACCGCTAACTATTCGACGTTTAGAAAGATGTTCATTGGTGGTCTGAACTGGGAGACAACTGATCGTGAGTTATATGCCAACTCTTTTTTCTTCCAAGAAATTCTCTAATTCATTTTTAGAATCACTCAAAGAGTATTTCTCGCAGTTTGGCGAGGTCCTAGAGTGCACTGTTATGAGGGATGGTGCTTCTGGTCGATCTCGAGGTTTTGGCTTCCTCACCTTCAAGGATGCACGAACTGTCAACATTGTGATGGTAAAGGAGCATTATCTTGATGGAAAAATTGTAAGTCCCGATATTCGGATTCACATTATTTCAATTCTTCTCCTCGACGCCCTTCTCAATTCCATTATCTCAAAATGACAACCCACTCACAACCCCTACAGATCGATCCAAAGCGTGCGATTCCGCGAGATGAGCAAGAGCGTACGAGTAAGATCTTCGTCGGTGGTGTATCACAAGAGGCTACCGAGCAAGATTTCAAGGAGTACTTTATGCAATTCGGTCGTGTTGTCGATGCCACTTTGATGATGGACAAAGACACCGGGAGACCACGCGGTTTCGGATTCGTCACATTCGATAGTGAGGCAGCTGTCGATGCTTGCTTAGAAATTCCCCTTGAGATTCACGGCAAGCCGATCGAGGTCAAGAAGGCTCAGCCCCGAGGCAACATGCGGGAGGAGGAGGAGGCGCGCGGCGGTGCTCGAGGAGGCCGTTGGAAGAAGGGGGCTGAAGATAACCAAGTCAGTCAGAATCAGCAAGCGCAGAGTGGGAATCAGATGGCTCCTGGTGGGATGACCCCTCAATTAATGGCACAGTACTGGCAACGTATGCAGCAGTACTTCCTTATGATGCAGCAGCAGATGGCTATGGGACGCGGTATGCCTACTCCAATGGCGGGTATGAACCCAGCCATGATGCAACAGATGGCTCAGATGCAGCAAATGCAAGCAATGCAGCAGCAGATGCAAGGAAACCGAAGCCAGAGTCCCCAGAGCCCTGGAAATGCGATGGGTGGTATGCAAGGCATGAACCCGGCGATGATGCAGCAGATGCAACAAATGCAACAAATGCAAATGCAGGGCGGCATGGGCGGTGGTGCCGGTATGGGAGGTGGATTTGCTGGAAGTGGAGGAAGCAATCCCGGTGGACGAGTTGGCACGCCGGGCTACAATGCCTACGAGCAACAGATGTTCGAGCAGCAGAAGTACGAGCAGCAACAGATGCGACGAGCCACACGCGAGCAGTCCCAGTACTCGCAAGGTGGATATGGTATGAGTGGCAGTGGAGGACCGACTTCTTGGGAGGGCATGTATGATGATGTTCCGCAACCTAACGTTGCTCCCACTACCGGTGGGGGTGGGGGTGGTGGTGGACGTGGTGGGTTCCAGAAGGGCGGAAGCAACAGAGGCTCAGCACCACCAGACCCTGCGAAGGCACCACCAGCCAACGCTCCAACGGGACCTAAGAATGCCGGAAAGCCCGGTGCGAATTATCGTGGTGGAGGCCGGGGTGGTCAACGAGGCTTCCATCCATATGCCCGGGGCTAATCTTATTACTTGGGAAGGAAATGATGCGTTTGTTTGTTTCTGGGGGATAAAAAGGTTGACATTGAGTGTATGTTTCCGCCTGGGTTTTTATGATGCACTGCGAATCTTGGGCCTACTCGGATGGATGGGCTCATGGATGGTCGACCATCTCACTTATTTTCTGCGTTGTATTATGGCTTTGGGAACCGCAAATGAACCCAGCAGATGAACTGCACGAATAGAGATTGCGCTTTTACAACATGAGTTTTTAAACTGACCAGTGCCTTTAATCATAATTTCGTGAACCCCTCCTTCGGGGGTTGTAGCCAGTTCCTCTCATCGTAAACTGCCCCCTCGCCCTCAATGACATGGAACGTATAAATGATCCTCCCCTTCTGGCTAACATTCTTCTCACTCTTATGCAACAAATTACCATGAATCAGCACCAAGCTCCCCGCCTTAACCTCCCCCAACTTATACTCTCCCTCCACACTACCCACACCATATTCCTTCCCTAGCGGAAACCTCCTGCCCTCATTTTCCACAAACTCCGTACCCTTCCCATCCCTCTTCCTCACAAACCTCTTCCCCACCTCGGCCGTCCTATGGCTCCCGGGGAGAAAACTCAGACAGCCATTCTCCACCGTCGCGTCTTCAAGCGCGTACCAGAAGCCCACCGCCGATGGCGGGTCCGTGTACAGGAAGGTCGAGTCCTGGTGCGGCGGCACGGCGCCGCCAATCTCAGGCTGCTTGCAGATGACCATGCTCTGTAGGCACTGCGGGGCGCGGAAGCCGAGGGAGCGGGCGATGGCGCCGGGCGAGTGCGCGGATGTTGGCGAGAGGAGAGCCGCGAAGGGAGGAGAGAGCGCGTGGAGATAATGCCCGATCTTGTTGATGGCTTTGGATTTGGGTTTGGTGAGGTTGCCGGCGCTGTCGAATGCGTCTGGAAGGAGGGGCGTTAGAAATTGATGGGTGGGGGTTTTGGGGGGTTGGGGGATATATCATCACCTTCTTCGAAGAAGAATCGGATCTTGTCACCGCTGGATAGGAAGTAATCGTCTCCTACATGTTCGCTTTTCTCACCGGTGGAGAATTTGGTCATAGGATGGTCTTCGAGGGGGAAGTTCTCGAGGAGGGACTGCGTTTCTGTAAGGAGGGATGTGACGGTTTCAGGGTCAAGAGCGTCGGGAATGATGAGATAGCCATCGCGCTCAAAGGTTGCCACCTGCTCCTTTGAGAGGCCATTCTGTTTTGTTGAGGGAGGGTCTGGAGAGGTACGTGAGGGAGCCATTGTTGGGTTCATACGAAGTGAAGTGGGCTGAAGTGATAGGAGGTTGAAAGAAGACGAGAGGGATTGTGGGGAATTGGAGCTTATCAGATTACCCCTCGACGATAAGAGGTCCCACTACGCCAGAACAGGGGAAACCAATGAAGAAAAGCAATTATGCCAGTTGTCAGATATCTTAATGTACTATGTTATTGCCCATTTTATGTTCCTCACTACTCATTTGGTAATTAGTGACCCGGAAAGGTTATAAAAATGTATATACGACGGTACTTCGACAATTTGACCGTCTGCTCTCTCGATTATTGATATCAGTCTCAGTAATTGAGATCCTACTCGAATTAACATTATATAAAATATGTTCCGTATCATTCTTCGGGAGCACCAATGCTCTCCAGCTCATTAGATTCATACAACCACCAGATGTAGTGATATCATGCAATGGCGACCTCCGCCAACCAAAAGAAACCAACAAGCCAACCAAAAATGCCCAAACGCCTAGAATGCACGCTGTGTTCCCTTCCCTACCCAAATCAATCCACATAACGTTCGCTTGGAATAAGCTCATATCCATCTTCCGGCGCAAAGATGAAGGCTGAAGCAGAGATAAATATAGCTGTGACGACGCAGATACACCAGCTAACTGTGCAGAGAATCCAGCCCTCAGACAATTTCCAGCCCACGAAAAAGCGGTCATCAGTATCGAACAGGTATGACTATACGGAATTAGCCAAGGAGCGCTCGACTCCACGGAGAGATACATACCACAATAGCCATAGCTGCGCACTGGAGAATGCCAACCAGCATCAGCATGAAGCTTAATACCTTCCAGCCCGTCTCCCTCTTCTGCTTCCCACCCGTGATGAGCACACAGAACGCCACCAGTGTAACCAGTTCGAAGACAGCGGCGCTTGACATCATGAATCCCACGCTCTTCCACATGGAACAGAAATACCGATCCGTGCCATGGCAATCATCATATTGTGGGAAATGTTGGCAACTGCCATCACCCACCGACGAGCAGCTCCTATGCAAACCCAGAGTCTTTGTGAATTTGCCTGTAGGCGAGTCGATCTCGTAGCTTAGCCAGTTCGGGATGAAGATCGAGGCAAAGGTCATGGCGGTTGCTGGGGAGAATCATCAGTATTACTTTGGTGAGGTGGAGAGGGGAAGCATGGGGTGGCGAATGGGGTGAATCGACGTACCAGCGACGAATGCGACCAGCGCGGTGGAATAGACTGCAACTCTTGTCATCTTGACCGCCTGACTTGTCTTTGTTTCAAGCTTTGGTATGTGCCAGTCTCCGGAAAAAAAGAAATTATTAATTGTGTTTCTTCGACGAAGTGCGCGGCGATATATAGAGGACCTTGTGTTTTGGCGAGGGGGCGAGCTTGCTTTATTATTTAAGCCGCTGCCTGGGCGCTGCAGAGAGCCGTATGGGGTAGATTGGTTAGATTACGACATGACCGCGCGGGCAAAAAATGACGCAAAAACGCGGTGAGCAGAGATGCAAAGAGAATGTCGTGCAGAAAGCCCAATCGTGATGAGAACCGCAAAACAAAGCGGCGTTGAGGCATATTTCTCCTCATCTGTTGATGAGATTCTGAAAATGGCTCAATTGCTCAACGGCCTGAGATCCCGGCGGTGGCGTCCGGGGATGCATATGCAGTGCAAACCCCCAATCGGTGTTCACGAGGCACATCCTCCAGTTACAAGATAACAATCTGAGTCTGCATTGGGCCTTCTTATTGGTTTGTCAATTCGTTGTGTTTAGATTTCGCTATCTGATCTGCCTCTCGTATCTCTAACGGGGTATCATCTGGCAAATCGTGCAGTCACCATAAAACGCTCGTACCATGATGGATGGGTGAAACCAGAATATCCAAGCCAGGGCCGGTATTTCAAAGCGGTTCATCCTCCCCAGTCTATCCTAGAGCTTTTCCACATCTAAACCCAGATCCAGGATGAGGATATCCACCCCCTCTAGGGCGTCGAGTCCTTAGAGGAGCATTGACCCCCCTAAACCCCTCGCTTACTGACTGCCGCTATCATCACTCTCATCGCTCTCCTCTTCAGAACTAGTCTCTTCCTGCTCGTCCTCAGAGGAAGACTCCGACTCTGATGAGCTGCTGGAAGAACTAGAAGAAGTGTCCTCAGGGCGCTTAGCGTCCGTGTCCGATTCCGAATCGTCTGAATCCGAACTGCTATCGTCTGAGGAACTACTCTCGTCCGAAGAACTGGTATCCGAAACCTCAGTCAAGGTGCGCTGCTTTCGTCTCCTGGCGACCTTCTGCGTCGAGCCGTCGTTCATTCGGAGTCGCTTCTGGCTGTCGTTATCGCCAGCGACTTCTTCAGGGTAGGTCAGTCCGCTGGTGCTTGGGGTTGCCCGTGCTTCTGCCTCGGCGGGAGAGGCTCCTGCTCCTAGCTCAGCAAGTATCTGCTCCGCCCTGGTTCTCTTCGCTACTCGTTCCTTCATTGCATAATCTGATAAACCCAGCAGAAGCCCCTCTTCATAGCCCATCTTGGACGAAGCATCGATCTGAGTCATGGTCGCAATATACTCCTTGCAGCAGTTTTCGTACTCTTGCTGTCTCTTCTCTTGGTCTTTCTGCTGGCGCTCCTTCTTCTCCTCTGGAGTCTCTGTATTGCGAGATCCTCTAGAATCCATATCGGGAAATCCAGCAGCTCCCTCTTCTTGATCTTTGACTTTGATTGACAGAGCTGTGTCTCGTAATCTGGTTCTAACTCCGCCCTGTAGACCCCTAATGTATGCGTAAACAAGATGTATGTGATCTGACGGTATGATGTTGAGGTCGAAGATGTGTTTGAGAAGGTGGTTTTGGTGGTTCTTGTTGAATTTCCAATTGGCTCGATCTTCGTGATACTGTCTGAGATATGCCAGAAATGGGCGGGGAGGGGTTGCTGTAGGCTTGACAATCTTTGACTGCTTTGATTTCTTCTTGGGGGTATCCTTAGTCTCTGCCGTCTCTGCTTTTGGCTTCTTGACCCGCTTTACTCGTCTCTCTTTTTCATCAATTTCCGTATTAAATTGTTCTTCGACTTTAGGCGGTTCTGGTGTAGCAAAAGCTTGACCCGATGTGCTGAACTGGAAAGTAGGATCCCGTGATTTCTGCTCTGTAACCCAAGCATTGAATAGCTGTTTGATGCTGTCTCCGTCCTCAACCTTTGTCTCTGGCGTGAACGTAACAGACTTCTTCCTGGTGAGTTTAGGAGTAATTGGTTCAGCAGAGGGCTCCGTATGTTTCCTCTTCTTCACTTTCTTAGCTGGCAATGTATCTTCAGACTCATTCTTCCTCTTGGTGATAGGAGTCCCAGAGGCTGTATTAGAGGTGGAAGTGGCAGAAGGCATGGTGAATTAAATGTCTCCAGGCTGGTAAAATACCTACACACGAGAGATATAGATGTTATATCCCCAGGCAGATGTTAACCCAGTGTTTGCGTTGCTCTCGTGCGCTAAGTTGACTTTTTTCGATTTTTATCTTATCGAAGATTGTGTACAGTCCATTTTTGGCGAAAATATTGACCGTTGCACGAACATACCTTTTCGTTTGCCGTAGCGAGTTCCAGGCACAAGCGCGTCGTCAACTTGAAGCTTCGAGCTCACAGCTTTCTGTCGACCCTGTCTGCAACACCTTACACACCTCTCTGATATTCCGTCCTCCGCCCTCCATCTTTCCTTACACCCCATCCCCTCCAGTTGAACAAGCAAGAAGCAAACCAGACTATCCTCGCCACTCACGATGTCGGGTAAGTCGACCCTCTTGGGAGCTCCAACAACCATATGGACCACAGCTGATCAGAATCCTTGAAAAGGCAGCGCAGGTTACGACAGACATATCACCATCTTCTCAGATTCGGGAAGGTTATACCAAGTTGGTGCGCAAATACACCCGCGCTCACAGGCCATGAGCTTCTATGTGGTCTTAAGCCTAGAGCCTCATGGTCTTTCGTCATGGGAACGACTATAGCTGACAGCTTATATACAAACAGAGTATGCCTTCAAAGCTATTACTGCTGCGAATATCATGTCAGTTGGGGTGAAAGGAAAGGACTGTGCTGTCGTGTTATCACAAAAGAAGGTCCCAGTAAGACATCACCAATTGTGCCTCTGTTTCAAGAACGCTGCTAAGACACTGATTCGACATAGGACAAGCTCATCGATCCATCATCCGTTTCCCACATCTTCCAACTGTCGCCTTCCGTAGGCTGTGTTATGACAGGCTCCATTGCAGATGCCAGAGCATTTGCCCAGAGAGCTATTGGCGAAGCCGCTGAGTTCAGATACAAGTTTGGATACGAGATGCCCTGTGATGCGCTGGCCAAGAGAATTGCCAATATCAGTCAGGTCTACACCCAAAGAGTAAGCTTGAATCAGTCTGGTTGATGCTCAATCTCTCTCGGTACTGACGATCCACAGGCTTACATGCGACCGTACGGTGTTGCCACCACATTGATATCCCTGGACTCCGAGTTTGGACCTCAACTTTACAAGTGTGATCCAGCGGGATACTATACGGGGTATAAGGCTACGGCTTCAGGTCCCAAGCAGCAGGAGGCGTTCAATCATCTGGAGAAGAAGCTCAAGAACAAGGACTGTGCAGATGGCACCTGGGAGGATGTAGTGGAGCTTGGCATTACCACATTGAGCACAGTTCTCAGCGTGGATTTCAAGAAGGGCGAATTAGAGATCGCGGTCGTGGGTGGTCCGAGAACGGATGGGAAGGAGGGGACCGACCCTGGGTTTAGGATTTTGACGGAGGACGAGATCGACGAGAGACTGCAAGCGATAGCAGAGAAGGACTGATTTCGTTCAAGATGGGCATGATATCGAGGAGAGATGATCAGCATTCGGAGTCACCGACGAGCGGCGGTTCCCACGAAATACTCTGGAGTGTATGAGGATAGGAAGGGTCGGCGTAGAGAGTTGTTAATATTGTGACATTAGATTCGAATTGCCACAACGGTCAGAAATTCTACACAGCCCTGATGTGGCGCGCCCTGAGATTTCCAAGGTGGGACCAAGCAGGAGGGGCCAGCCTTACACGTAAGTTACACAGGAGAAGAACTTGACTTGATACTAGGTACGCAGGGGCAGAAGTGACAGAAAAGACTGGCAAGCCGGAATAGGGCAATGCACAATGCACAATCACAGAGACGCGCTGGAGATGCGACGGACCGTAGCTTTTGCTGTGGCGCAGTCGAGGGCACTTTACCGCAACCAGCCATCATCCCCGTCGTCAGATATTCAGCTGTGCCTAGCGGCGGGAACGCCATATGTATGTCGGACTGTCCCTCTCCCTCTGTCTTTCGTTCTCCCGGACTACTCGCGATATGCCTCCAATTGGTCCCAGCACAGCTAGCCAGCCCACAGCTGCCCCCTTTCACTGTGGTTCCGCAGTGGTCTTCGGGTTCCCTCGTGCCAAGTGTCGCTCAACGGGCCTACGCCAGGGGTCTCCACGCACGGTGGCTTGCGCAAGGAACGCTGAAGCGAAGGCCCCTCAAAAACCTGTGCGACTAAGAGGCTCTCCCGCCCTTTACATATCCTGAAGATGCAAGTTTCCTTTTTACCTCCCAGCTCGGTAGGGTTTGTAGTTTTAAGCTCGCCCACGGTTGATCCAAAATAGGATTCTCCTGTGGGGCAACACTGGCATTTCTCATCGTGAAGCGGCTCCAATACCCTCTAGTGGTGGGTATCTGATGGATGTGGAGTAGCAGCCGCACAAATGGGCCCCCTATGACGGAGAATTATTGAACGTGGAGGATGACAATGGTAAATTTTTTGAAAGTTCATAAACCTCCCGGATGCTTCCCTTTTTTGAAATATCTTCAACGGTCTCTTCTCTCTAGTCAATTCATTCACTCATTACTTTTCATTCCGGCACCTGCTTCTCATCGTCTTTTTCTCCCTAAGATCAAAGCCAACCACTCATTCCAATGGCAGACGGACGTGAGTCTTACTATTCCTATTCCTATCTTTCTCTTATACTCCCTCTTTCCTGTCCTTGTTTTGCGCTATCAAATGAGTGAGTGCCTGATCCGCGTGACAGTTAATGAACAGCGGGCTGCGCGGGTCGCAGAGCTGCTCTCGGATTTCCGGGTTCTCCAGCATTACATTGCCGCGGCTCCAGTAGATCCTCAAGATCAGGACGACTACTACGCAGAAGGCTGGGTCGCCCTACGACAATGTTATACCGATGGCCAACATGTCTTGAACTCCGCCGCCGAGACTCGAGTCCCAAGAGCGCGAGGCGGCCCCGAGGAGCAAGCAAAAGCCGAGCTGCAGCAGTACGTATAGAGCAGATCTTGAGCTTTGTAACCAATGTTAAGTGGTGATTAGGGTCCTGCCCGATGCTTACGCGCGCCGCCATGAAGCTCAGAAGATCTACCTCCGTCAAGCCGCAGCGCAGCGATGGATTGACTGGAGAGATCAGATTTTGCAAGGCCAGAGGCCCCATGCAGGACATTCTGAGCAACTAGCGGCCTGTGATGCGCAATTGGAAGCTGTAAGTAGTGTTGAAGACCCGGGTCCCAGTTGGGATTCCAGGTTCCTTTCAAGGTCATCGGATCTAATTGAAAGCAGGAACTCGCAGCCATCACAGACGACTCGGTTTACGCTGATATGAGGAATTCGGACTATCAGATGGGGCGCTGGACGCTCGAGGATCCGAGCTTACGACAAATCCAGCAATGGATCAGAGCCAGGCGCTGATTGATTCAGCGTCTGGATTAATGGGATCAAGAGGATACGACTGATGAGAAAAGTTAAATGTAGGTATTGCATTGCAAGGAGCAAGGGAAAAGCATGGATGGTATTGGATCATACCCGGGAGTATCAGGGGCACACTCGGTTACATTCTTCTGCCTGTCCTAGCGACTGGGCGCATTACTTTTTCTTTTCTGTTATGGGAGGGACATTGCCAGGTGCATTTGTCTCTCATAATAATTCTATGTTTATCTTCGTCTGTCTACTAGCATTAATGGCATAGAAGATGGAATAAGATACACAGTGTGTTTGAAACGATCTCCAGTTCAGCCAGACTTGCTGTGAACACATAACGCTATCCCACACAATGACAATGTCATTCCAATCCAAGTATCTACAACGGTCAGTCCGATCCTCAAGAATTCTGAGTAGGGAGAGCTTCTTACCTCTACTAATAACTTTCCTCTCAACCCACCATTCCCCAATGACAGTGAAGAGAAATGCCATCGAGTTAGTAATCGGAACCGTCAAGCTCAGTTCTGAGACCCGCATTAGCAAGCGGCTCTTCCCAGCGCAGCCGCGCATGCCCTCCAAATCTCAGATCCACAATCCCGGCGCCGTCTTGGGAATAAAAGCTACGCAAGCTAGATGCAAAAAAAAAAAAAGAAAAAAGCAATAGCAAAAAGAAAACCAACGAAACTCACCGGCTTTCCCGATCAGCAAAAAGAACCAAATGCTGCCAGTCAGGTTGATGACCAGCGGCACGGCATACCTCGGATTCCTCAAGAGATCGACGACGCCAAAGAAGGCCCCGTAAAGCTTACTCTTCAGCCAGCTCCCCTTCACTGAGGGGGTGTCCAGTATCGGGTGCGGCGGTGGTTTGTGCGTGCGTGCCGCGGCGCGCATGAAGGGCGTTGTGAAGCCCCATGCCAGACCGATGAGGAGGAAGCCGAGCACGTAGCGGATGACGGAGGGCGCCGGCTCTTCGGCGGGTGCAGCAGAGTCCATGATAGATGCCGGTTCTAGGAGGAGAGGGTGATTGAGATATGGTCCTGGAGTTGAGTCTCAGAGTTGAGTCTTGGAGCTGCAGTTGGCAGTTGGAGTTGGAGTTGGACTTGGAAGAGAAGCGTCCTCACGTGCGTGACGCGGCAGCGGAGAGGGCGGCTCGGGCCTCTTTATGTATCACGTGACTATAGTCACATGCAATACCTTAGCTATATGTAAGGTACCGGATAGGGGTTTAGGGGCTCTTGCAAATCTACTTCAGCTTGATTGGTCTCTTCTTTACGACGTTCTCCCTTAAAGGGCCAGTTCTCTCTCTTGAAAACCATTCGACCATTTACGGTGAATCGTGGTACGGCCCCTGAAGCCAGCAGTGACCAGCCCCACAGGAGATCGAACACCAGCCACACTAATAAACTGGGGACGATAGCCGAGGTGATCCTGATTAGGGCTAGCGCATCTAATTTTAACCCACCAGCCTCCCTCCATCTTTTCATCGTAATCGTAAATCGGCTAATCGTAAATCCGGCCGTGACGTGCCCGCCGTGGGGTGGAAATGCCAAGTTGATGCCAAACGGAGCATTCGAGGTGGAGAGGAAAAAGAAAAGAAATCAAGGGTCTCCTTGCGTTGTCATCATTTGATTGAGCTGGATAAGCAAACAATATCGGGTATATGCTGCGTACGCGTGCTGAGGACGTTGTTTGCGCGTTCTTGGCACGCCCGCTCTACGCGAAGACTCCAGCCTCTTCAGTTACGAGTCGTATGTTGTGTAAATAAACCTTCAGCCACCATTTTGGAAACTTATCGTTGCGTTTCCTCCTTCATCCACTCTCTGCTCTCTCTTTACTCTCTCTTCTCCACTCTTCACTTTCTTTTGCATGCTCTCGATGATGTGTTAGCTGCTATCCTTGAACATTTCAACTCAACCCTCACGGCTTCGCCAATGCGCATTGAGCGCTTCGACGTCCAACAACAGATCACGTCACCCCCAAGCTCCTACCACAACAACAAAGCCTTTATGACCTTGCGGAACAATGGCGACAAAGGTCAAGCTCAATGGCTTCCATGGGGTGCATGCGGCTGGGATTTACTCCGACATGACCGTTGATGGTCCCGAAATTGGAACACTGGTGGTTATTGTTGATCGCGCAAAGAACCTGCCCAACAGGAAGACAATTGGGAAGCAGGATCCATATTGCGCTGCTAGGCTGGGCAAGGAAGCAAAAAAGACGGAAACCGATCGCAGAGGAGGGCAAACCCCAAGATGGTAAGAGAATTGCGGCCAGGTAATTGCTCGCGCCGGTCGCTAACGGGCTTCCCAGGGATCAAGAGCTACGATTCACAGTACACGACTCGCCGGATTACTACCAGTTGAAGGTGTCGGTGTTTAACGATGATAAGAAAACCGAGATAATTGGAGAGACTTGGGTCAATCTGCGCGAGGTCATCGTCCCAGGCGGGGGACAGAATGACCTGTGGCATAACCTGAATTGCAAAGGCAAATACGCCGGGGAGATCAGAATCGAAATCACGTACTACGACACTCGGCCAAAGCAGGAGAAGCCTGAAAAGGTAAAGCAGGCCAGTGCGAATGCTATGGAAGCTGGACATAGGGATAGTCTCAGGGGTCCCAGACAACCCAAACCTAGCATCAAGCGGAGGCCTTTGCCATCAGATCCAGTTACTGGTGCTCCGCCACCTGAACCGGTCGAGCAGACACCACAGCGATCCTATCAACAACCTAATTCAATCCCTGAGCAGTCACCACAACGATCCTATCAGCAGTCTACCGCTATCCCTGAGCATGTCCAAACACCACCACGAGGATACCAGCCGCCAGGCTACGGACCCAATCAGTCTCCTCTACAGAGTATAGAGTACAGCACACCACCACAACGTATTCCTCAACCGCAGGGTTATGGAAGTAATCAGAACATGAGTGGATATGGGACATCTCCCGGAATGCTTGGGGTCTCCCCAACTGCACAGGAATTGCCTGATGATGGATTCGAAGTTTACGGCCATCCCCCTAGGGATGACTACACGCAAGCACATGGAATGATCGGTTACGGCGGCGAGGAAGAAAGCGTGGATCCACGCTACAGGTACGACACCAGCCAGCCCCCGTACGAGGTGCCAGAACCAGAGGAGTTTATTGCTCCACCAAGCCCTGAAGGGCCGCCGCCGCCTCCTCCAGCTCATCGAAGTAGAAATGCGATCCAGCATGTTAGTTCCACACCTGCCATGACCTCCCATGCCAGCTACGATTTCCCCTCGGATCCGAGACCCCAAAATCAATACGAAACACCGCCACGCGACATGCATCGTCAATCGATGCCTACATACTCACGTCCTGATCTCTATCAAGCCTACAGTCCTTCAGCCAACGATCAATTTCGACAGGCTGCTGATGGATATGGCTATGATCAACCACAACCTCGACATCACTCATCATATAATAGTAATTATGGGTCAATGCAGCCCACGGTTGAAGATGCACCTCCAACCCCAGCACCTGGCAGTTACTCGGGACATCGTGACATTGGATCACGTGCTCCGCAATATGATTTAGTAAGATACGATCCTGCTGCATCTCCTACGCCTCTTAATCTGAGTCGACGTGGAAGTGCTGCACCTGGAAGTAATGGCGTTGCGGCCGGTCAGAGTGCCCAATACTCTGGCAATTCGAACGGATACGGATCCAATTCATCATTCAGAGACCCTATATCCTCGGTTTCGCCGCAAGCCTCTTATAATCCGCTTCCGCAACAAAACCAGATGCAGAGAAGACAATCCGAGGATCGAATAGGCAGGTCCTCAGACGCCTACAGCCTACCCCAAATACCTCCAACGCTCGTACCCGGGATGGATCCTGCTATCGCGCAAGAGATCTCTGATAGGATATACGCAGAGAAGAGAGCAAGTCAAGCGCTTGTGAGTTCTCCACGTGGTAGATATGACTCGCCACAGTATCAACAATCTCGGCCTCACCCTCTCTCATACCATGAAGCCACAGCGCCTCCTGCGGCCCCTGCGCCAGCATACGACGATCATCAAAGCCGCTATGGAGCTGGATCAACCGCACCGCTTGTCAAACCTCGAGCGATTTCTCCAGATCCTCGGACCCCCGCTCGGAAATCTGTCAGTCCATCTCCAGGGCCTGCCCCGAATGAGAGAAGACTATCTGGCGTTCCATTTGGCCCCGATTCATACAACGCCCTGAATCCAGCTCTGGCTGATTCAGCACCATCCCCCTCACTCAGCGGGAGATATGACTCCAAACAGGTGGATCAGGATGAGAAAATCATTACTTACGACGGCAGAGAAATCGATCCTAGTGATCATATCCCAGAATCGAACTATGCACCGCTTCATGAAACAAAGGGGCCAAAATATGCTTCTCAACTACCAGATCGCAACTATCGACCTCCGCCTAGCTCAACAACAGGGCGTAAACAACTTAGACTGGCTGGACGACCCCACTCGATGTCTGCGTCCTCGCCTATCTATATGAACAACAATCCACCAGATCCCACGACCCCGACCGCTCGTAATCGTTTGCAAAAGAAATCGAACCGGATGTCGGCCCAACCAGCCTCGTACTCAAGTCCTTTGGCGCCTATCACGCCTTATCAAGACAACACATACGCCCCCGGAAGTCTCCCGAGGCAAAATCCAGGCGAGTACTCAAACGAGAATTACGCACCACAGAGTTACGGGAGCAGCCCCGGATACCGTGGTTCTCCTGGGGGGCCTCCTCCCCCTGCAAAAGTCCCTATTGGCTCGTATACGCAACCTCCGCAGGCGAATGGTGGCGATCCATGGGCACTATTGGAGGAGATCAAGAATATCGATCTGGGCACAGGGCGGGCGAGACGGAGAGGATAACGAACGCGTCATGGTTTTAACGTTGAACGTTTTCTTTTTTTACATTCTGCATTTTCTATCTATCCTGCTTTGCTTCGAGGGCTGTGGCTGTGGGTTATATACGGAACCTGTGGACGGTGGATGGGGAATACAGGCCTCCGATTGAATATCAAGGAGATGTGGTTTTGGCGTTTGATATGGTTGGATGGGTGGATGGGTGGTTGGACACAAGGGGGGAAGGAAAACCAAGAGTATGCCCCGTAGGGGCCTGTATGTAGTTATAGATTCAGAGACGAATGCAATGGCTATTCATCTGTTATTCAATCTTGATCGCTGGTTTCTGTGAATTGGGTTTGAGAGGGAGGTTGGATATAAAGCAATGAAGGGTTCGACACAGCTGCTTGGAGAGATGATTTGATGATAACAGGCACTTTATGCTAGAGGACAGTACTATAACGTATAGCAATATGTAACAAGGCTACTCGAATAACTAGGTATCTCTTGTACTTTGAGGGACGAAGATATCGCTCACACACTATCCAAACCACCACACATCACGCTTTTCTAACCGCAACCTCCTGAATACTAAAAAAGAAAAGAGAGAAAGTATTTACTGTATACAAACACAAACAGCGCCCATCTTAATAAGGCATATTCAAAAGGCTAAGGAATAATGGTATAGCTTTCACGTAAGGTAGTCTTATAGACAATAGCCACAGGACAAAAATATAGCTTCTTGCAAACAACAAAAAGGATGGAAAGAGATGCAAAAAAAAGAAAACATACAACAGTAGGGATTCGCTGATCGTCACCGACTCAACTACTAGTCTACCGATCTGAAGCTTGAGTATGCCAGAGCGGACGGGATGGCCTGTTGTCCTCAGTCTGTGGTCGTATGTGACAGAGTTTACCCTATTTGAATGGATATTGACGGGATTGTGGTAGTAAGAGAAATAAAAATAAAAGCAAAAAAAAAAGCAAAAATAGACATACAACAGCAGGTATTCGCTGGTGGTCACCCACCCAACTACTAATCTGCCGATCTAAGGCTTATGTATGGCAGAGCGGACGGGATGCCCAGTTTTCCTTAGTCTGTGGTCGTATGTGACAGTTTTCCTCTTATTTGAACTGATATCAATCGGTTGAGATATCGTAAGAAACAAAGTTGCAAGCACTTGCAAGCAAGCTTCTCGTTTTGCGGAAGGGTGTTGGACCGGAATCAAGGCAATAAAGATTCCAGACAGTAAAGATTTCCTGTGTCTTCTAACTTCACGAGGATACTCTGCAGTTCTTTGGATTTCGATGTAAGGAAGTGGAAACTTCACTGGTTCATTACACAGCAAGCAAAGATGGGCTTCCAATAAAGCAACTCCCTAGAAGACTTTCAATAGTGGATAGCAATTTGAGTATTTTGAATGCAAACATAGAAAAGATTCCTTTCATCTCTCGGAAGTAGAGTAGCAAAGCTCGTTGGGTGAATATGGCTCATTCAGCGATGTCTGAGACGAGGAACCTCTTTCCTTTACACCACAACCGCAGGCAAGCGGTAGTCCCTTAGTCTTCTCCGTAGCCTTGCTGCAGACACTCTTCATTCTGCCCCTCCATTATAAGACTGGACATTGGCGCCACTGCCCGCGGAAACCTCGAGATCCCGTCCTCTGTCGCCGGTAGAACCTGGATGATTTGGAGGGCTCTTCGAATTTCGACACTCTGTGGTAGAAAATTGATTACTATCCGAGTGTACGTGGGGAATGTCAAGGAAGTGAATGTCAATGGAGTCAAGGGAGTCAAAAGAGGGCCATAGTTGAGTTTGTTTGGAACTTTGGAGTAAGGCCAAGGTATTCCATGGTGCATATCAAAAGTCCTGATTCTTACATAATATCCGCAAGGCTGTACCTGGATCTGCGGTTAAGGTACCTAAGGTAAGTGCAAAACTCCCCGGTTAGCCTACGCCCTAACTACAATTTGCCTAACCTAGCCTCGTACCTACCTACCTTATATTGTCGAATAACCTCAGCCCCTTCTCAATGCCTCTTTCAACGACAACGAGTGGCCGTCACTTCAGTTGCATTGCTCATAGTAAGTCATAGCCAACACTATCAAATATGAATTGCTGATTTCAGCGCTCCTGCATCTCCGGCAGGACCGAGGGGTTGTCCCCAAGCAAACGAGCGTCCGTCACCCAGAATAATCAAACCGAACATCACAGAGAACGATACGTAGGGGAAGCTTCGGGCTGCGAGACTTTGGGACAGCAAAAACGAAGATGGCTATTGAGCCCCATACTTTCGATCCGGACGGCGATGTACTCCTTCTTCTTTCAAAACCTCCTCCACAAAAAGCGCAAAACGGGGCAAGGGATTCTGATGATGATGCCAGGATTGCTAAGATTCCTAAGAAGGAAGCAGCACACACGAATGAAACATTGGAGGTAATTGCAGATGGCGACCAGGATGTCGCAGCGTCAGACAACACGACTGTGGTAACCAAACCTGTAATTGAAAAGGAGCCATGCATCGATATTCATTTGCTTGCTTCCTCAAGGCACTTGATGCTAGCATCACCAGTATTCAAAGCCATGTTAAAGAACGGAAATTTTAAGGAAGGCCAGGCACTTCAGTCCACAGGAAGGGTCGAGATACCACTTCCTGATGATGATGCACCCACACTCATTCTCTTGTTGAATATTATACATGGGAGGACTCGCAGAGTACCGAGTAATGTGGATCTATCACAACTGGCCAAAGTTGCATTTATGACCGACAAGTATCAAATGTACGAAGCCGTTGAACTGTATACGGATTTTTGGTTTGACAAATTGTTGCCAAGCCTTCCTGAAGTCTACAACGACGACACTGTGACGGAGGTAATGGCATGGCTTGGGATTACCTATGCGTTAGGACATGAGGATCAATTTAAACATATCACAAAGTTGTTGCAGCGCTATGGAGACGACAGAATAGAAGATAACATGGAAGGCATTCCCGTCTCACAATCAGTTATTGGTAAAATGCCCCTAGCCTCACCCCTATTCCGAGTTAACCGATCCTCAGATGCTCTTAAATCGCAACGTATTAAAGCACTATCTGCGATCTATGCTTCTATCGACCAGAGCATTAAATTGTATCAAGGGCCTCAGCTTCGCTGCCAGTATTGCCACTGGCAGTCGAGGTCAAGGTGCGATTCGTTGGCGCTAGGCTCACTCATGAAGAACTCAATATCGGCAAAAATTTGGCCACCACCAAGTCCACCTTACGAAGGAGTTCGAATTGGGGACCTCGTAGACACGATCTCGCACCTGCAAATCATGTCATCGTGCGAGATAAATAAGCGGTCAGCCGCTAGAGATATGGAAAAGTCGATAAAAACGGAATCCAACTTGATTGCCGACACGCTTGGTCTTGATCTTAACGAATTTATGGTCTTAGTGGAGGATGGAAAGGAGATGGAGAAGGAGATAAAGTGAAGTGTGCCATGGTTTAGGAGAAATGTATAATAAAACGACATATAACCTGCTGAAAGGCAAGCAGCAAAAGGTCTAGTGGAATTTAATTCTTATATGTACCGATAGATAGACTACTACTATCAGAAAATGAATAGGATACTCAGCAAGCCACTAATCTCATGTCCAAGAGTGACCCATCAGTGCCTCATCTCAACAAGCATTCTCGAGATACGGCCACTCTAGCTATGAACAATAAATATCACGATATTTCAAAAATCCCTCCCGATAGATCTGGCGCGCGAATGATCTTATTCTAATTCTTAAAAGACCATTTAGATTTCTACTCTCTACTATTCATACCCATATAAAATAAAATTTCTTCCATCTCACCTCTTCTAGATCCCGCCTATATTCATTAGTATCTAAATCCCTTAACCTCAACACCCCCCCCTTCTCCTTCAAAGCCTCGAAGTTTCACCTTCAATTCCTGATCAAGATCCCATCTCCATACTCACGAAACATCCCCAACACCCCCCCCCCCAACCCCCCAAAAAAAAACCTCAGTAGATTTCACCCCTTCCTCCTCCAGAGTTTTAGATATATTTAGCTAGCTAGTATTTATTACAAGATGGCGGAAGAAGGATCACTCGTTAACCAGGTATTTATGTTTGTATACCTAGATAAAGTAGGATAAGTTTATTATTGTTATTATTATAGTGAAATGATATGGATTAACTAGGTAAGCTAAATAAGGTAAGGGATGGTAAGGTAGGTAGGTAGGTAGGTAGGTATGTGTTCATGGAATCGTAGGGTTATTTACCTAGTGAACTGTTGTTTTGTATAAGGGGTTTGGGGGAATATGGATATGGATATTGATATGGATATATGTAGATATTATTATGATGGTTGATTAGTTGATTAGTTGAGTAGATATGAGATTAAGTACGGTGAGAGAGTACCTAGGTAGGTAAGGGTAGGAGCTTGGGATTCTCATGTAAGACATTATATTATATTAATTTATCATATGTATGGCTGCTGTTTCTTCCTAAAGCTAGCTTTTGCTTGTGGGTGTTTGATTTCAGGCGTGTCCCTTCCTCCTTCTTCTTGCTGAGTGGCCTGCCTGCCTGTCTTGGGGCCTATCTAGTCTCGGACCCGAACTTCTTTCTTCTCGTTTGATGGTGGTGTCAAGAATGGGTGTTGATGAGTGGTGTGCCCTTTCTTATTAATAGACCTTCGTGTGGTTTTGTTTGGGCTCTGCGTGGACTTTTGAGACTTTTGATCTCCCCGAGAGAGTTGTCTGATCCATCTAAAGACCACCAACATATCCCCTCTCCACACCCCCCCAGCCAGTAAATCTTCCACCTCTTTATCTTCCACCTCTTAATCATAGCTCACTCACTTAATCTCCCCTCCCTTCACGAATTCGTATGTCCCATCGTATCTCCCGCGCCGCGCTGCGGCTGCCCAACCACACGACTCGCCTGCCCCCCCGCCCTCTCACCGTCCAAGCGCACATCCTCGAACGGGATCTCGCTCAACGGCATCTTGCCATCCGCGACCATGCCCTCCTCCTCATCTGGCATGCCGCCCGCTAACCTGTGATGCTGCGCCGGGACCACCTCTTCGTATCGCGGGGGTGCATCGCCCGGCTGCGGCGCCGTCGCCATCAAGGGATTGCCTTCCAACGACGACGACGACGTATAGTGCAGAGGATGCAATGGGACGGCCGCGGGGGGATCGTGCAGTCGCTGGTGCTGCAGCCGCGCGCGCCGCCGCCGGTGGTGGTAGTACCATAAGACGAAGAGGAGGACGAGCACGCTGAAGAGCACGGCGCATGCGATTATGGCGTGGTGCCGGCTGAACCCGAGATGGGTCCAGGAACTGGAGCTGCTGGGCGGGTCTTCTGGGGAGGGGGGCGAAGCTTCGTTGTTCGTGGCGGGGAATGAGGAGGATTCCATGGCAGTTCAATTCAGGTGGAATGTCAAGATTTGGTTCGAGGGTGGGAGAGAGAGAGAGAGAGAGAGGATTATTTATTGCAAGCAATGGTTAGGAAAGGAAAGGAGAGAAAAGAAGCTCAACAGGAATTAGGAATTATGTAGATGGACATTCCCGCGTCCGTGCTACGCTGTACGGCTGAGGGGGCGAGGCGCAGTCGAGAGCTGTCGTGTGCCTCTCTGATAGTACCGCAGCCACTTCATTTATTTCATTTCATTTCATTTCCGATGTTTCGTTTCCTCGTATTTGTCGAGCGGTGGGGAGGGGATTGTGGAGGAAAGAAACAAAAGGAAGAGAGAAATGCAAGAATACACCTTACCTTATCAAGTGTTATAAGGGTCTTCGGACGGTCGAATGGCTATCCAAATGTTTGACTATCCATGTAACCGGGCTTGCCAGAACACCATGACTTGACCATTTCTGATCATCTTGTTTTGTAGACAGTATAAGGACAGTTATTTAAGCGAGGATACTCATTCTGGATAAAATAGTACAAACCAGGCTTTTAGCTTTTATATCGACATGGGGCCCCAGATTCGCGTTCTCTTCCTCCATCTACCCGCTGTCAAATCCGCTCTCCCGTCCCTTTCGGAGCATTGACTTGGTTCCCCCGACTTACAGACAGATTGCGCGCTATTGTCACATGAGGGGAGTGGTCCCGCGCGACGATACCTCATTCATTCTATCATATATCACATTGTTCACGTCTACCCAGTGTTATATACACATCCGGACTTTCGCGGTATCTATCAAAGCACCCTCATTCAACCCATCACACGCCTCTCGCAGTCCCTCACCACTCGCTGTTTACATCTCATCCTTGGCATCAGCCTCGTCGATGGTCGCGCTCAGCGGTCCCTTCTTAACCATCAGAGACATGATCTCGTACAGCGCATCGGCTGCGGCCATGGTCGTGTGCTCGGCGTTGGTGTCGTAGGCCGGGGCCACCTCAACAACATCCGCAGCGATGATGTTCATGCCTTCCAGACCACGGATGATGGTGCGGAGCTCGCGAGTAGACCAGCCGCCAGTCTCGGGGGTACCGGTCGCAGGTGCGACTGTCATGCTTCATCAGTAAAACCGTACCGCGGATGAGAAGGGGAGAGGCAGCACTCACAGGCTGGGTCAAGAGTATCGATGTCGAGAGAGAGGTACACGGGCCGAGTGGTCCCCACGCGGTCTCGGATCTTCTTGATGATGCCGTCCAGGCCGATGGTGTCAACCTCGCGGGCCTCCACGATCTCGAAGCCACAGTATCCGTCGTTCTCGTAGTCGCTGGGCCCGCTCAGGGTGGTGCGGATACCGGCGTGGATGTTGGTGTCGTTGGCGAGCAGGCCTTCTTGCGCAGCGTGGTAGAAGTAGGTACCATGGTTGATGCTAGCCACTTGGCTAGGGGCTCCACCAAAGACCTTGGGCTTCCAGGTGTCGAGATGGGAGTCGAAGTGGATGACGGAGACAGGACCGTAAGCACGGTTGATGGAGCGGAGGAGGGGGAGGGTGATGGTGTGGTCTCCGCCGAGGGTGATCACTCGGGGAAGTGTCTTTCCGTTCTTTGCTGGGCCCTTCTTCTTGGCGTCGGTCGCTGGCGCGCGAGACAGGATGGAGTTGTGCCCCTCTTCAATCTGGTGGAGAGCCCATGTGTTGTCGTATCTGCGATCCCTATGTCAGAAGAGCCTCCTGATATGAATGTGAGTTGGGACGTACGAGGTGACTGGGATATCTCCGCAGTCGATGACGGTAGCCCAGCTGTTGAAGGGATTGGTGTCCAACGGGACGTTGTAACCTCCGCTAAAGCCAACCCTACGTGAGCCTGTGATTGCGGATTGGGTCATCAGCTTCTGTGCTGTGGGAACATACTATAAATTGAGACGGCGAGAACCTTGACGGATCCCTGAAGGACCGAAACGAGCGCCTGGTCGGTAGGAGGTTCCTGTGTCGAATGGAGCACCTGCAAATCATTGTTAGCTTCAGCTACGAGACACCTTGAGGGCTACCTTGGGGTTGTTATAAAGGCTTGGGGGACGCACCGATGAAAGCAATGTCATACTTCACGTCGTCCGAGGCCAAACATGGGAAGTATGGCAGACGACCGAAGGTCGAGATACCAGAGAAAACAGAGTCGGCCTGTTGATTGTCGGTCAGTGCAGATTCCCCGGGACGTTTCTTTAGTCTACCGACATACCTGAGTTCCGCCATCACCTGGAAGGGTATTGTACCACAAGGCCTTGTGAGGCCCGGCAATGGGCAACTGGTGTTCGTGGTCGCCGTGCGCAAGGGCACTGCCAGCCAAGAGGGCAACGGTGAGGATGTCGGCGAGCATGATTGCTAGTTGTGCGATTAGGCTGTTGAGAAAAGAAGAGGTGGAGGAAGGACGTCTTTATGAGGGGACGGTGCTGGCAAGACTTCACATTTCAAAAAGGATCGACTGTTACTGGCGTCAGTGGTGTGACTGCTGGCGGCAATGTTGCAGGCATATGAATGTGTAATGGAGTGGTAGTATCTTGATAACCTTATCCTGCTGGCTCCGGGGCAGTCCTGACAGCAGCCATTATAATTACCCTATCTGGCCGTCGACCTGCAATGCGGATTACTTGAGACGATTTCAAACGAAACGGCCGGCCACGGTCTCGCAACCGCTCATCCTTTTATGTCAAAGGTCCGGTAAGATATGACGGTTCCTGAGTCCAAAACTTGAAGAGGCGCTTTCGTCCTTGGGCACAAGATATGGGCCGGGGGTGGGACAGATAAAGAAGAAGGCGGGGATATTATTGGCATTATCAGTAAGTAAGGTTATTAGCATTGCATAGACGTACAAGAAAGAGGCCGTGATATGACAAGTAGTGAAGTGATGAATAATAATGGAGATTCATAGAAACCAGGAGGGCTAATTTGGAGGAGGCACATTTTGTTTTAGTCATGAGTGTGATAATGGGCATGCGTCCATGCTTGAAGAGCTATAACGTACGGGCAAGTGAACTGCATGCACATGTAATGGGGTTCAGGTAATCGACGATTCCACGGCCTGGATGCAGAAAGGCTGAGAGGTGAGGTAAAGTGAATTGATAAGAGCTTTATCGCCCGAGCGAGCTGGCGTTATGTAATCGTTCGGCTAGAAACAGTAGACCTTCGCCTATACTTCGGCTAGACTTCGGTTAGAGGTGACGGGTGGGCAGCACGTGGCTGATCCTGGCTAGCTTGGTTTAAGGTTAGCGTAATCAGAGATCGGGGAATTGGGGACGATTGATGCCTAATAAAAGGGAATAACAATATCAGGCATCAACAACAGTGTTTGCACGTGACTTTCATGTGTTCCCTCACCTCGACTTGCGTATCTGTCGATGGAGACAGAATTTCAGCATAGTAATATCCCGACATCTACAATCGAAGGACGTCTGTCTCCAGTGGAACATCTTAACAGCCACGTGATAGCCCTCTCTCAAAGGGGTCAAGCGTGACTCTCGCGCCTCTTGCCTCCAGCCCCTCTCCCCTCCCACCTCTCTCTCTTCCCATGAAAGTTCACACTGCAACGTGTGATTCGTTGATGCGCCCCATCAACCATCAACCACCGTCCGTATACGTTTCATGCCGCCGCTGCTACTTGAGGAGGTCCGGCACGCAGACCAAAGGGTCTCTTGCGCGCAACTCGCGCTCTTGGTGGCTGGCTGGCTGGAGCGAGTGCCACTGGTCCAGTGCCGCCAGCACCCCAAGGGCGACGGCTTGATCCGCGCTGGCCAATGAAGCGCCTCTCTCGATCCTCAACTCTCGATCCTCCAGTGTCGACTCTTGACCCCCCCGATTCTCGACTTTCACGCTCACTACTCCTACCAACGTGTCCTCTGCCCGTATCCTTATCCCGCCACACAACAATCTTCAGGGACTGGTCGCGTTCCTTGCGGCTCCGACGACGGCAAGAATCCCCAGCGACGGTCCGACTTGTCGCACAGGCTTCTTGCAGCCTTGGTTCAACACCTACTGCGCTCGTGCAGGCTTGCAGCTTCATCTCCCTGAAGGCTGAAGCTGTTGCTGCGAAACGTTCAGCCCCCCTCGTTTCTCCTATTTTCTCCTTCTTTCACCGCGATCCTCCTACACCCGTGCCATCTTGAGATAGAGTTAGAATCAGCGACGACCCGAGTATTACCTACCTGCCGATTTCCGTCAATGCAGACAACCGCATGATCTCTATGAAGAGTGACGATCTTGAAGCCGAACTTTGCTACCAGACGATCGTGATGACCCTGTATTAATACGATTCCCCCGATTCCACCTACATCGGCGTGAATGCTCCTCACCCAGGCGGACTGGTTAAGGATGCCGGCCGGAGAGCTGGGGGCCTCCTTCGAGTCTCCGAATGGAGTTCATATCATTGGCAACCCTTTATTCAAGAGACATAAGACGTTACCTCATCCTCGTGAAAACCGAGTTCAACATGCCCACATCTCCCTCCCTGCGACAGGGCCTCAGGATGTTACCATCAGTGCTGCAACTTCATCGCGGTCAAGTTCTGATACAAGCCCTCGCACTCTGAAACATTCATCGAGAAGGATCGGACCTCCCGTTTTGCCTCCAACTCCTCCCCCTCACTCCCACAAATCCTCGGCCCACTCTTCTGCTGCTCCTGCGCCCGTCTATGAAGTCGCCGGGAAAAGTCCTACGGCCATGGCTTCAGCGCCAGGCACGCCACCGAATCAGCGAAGCCCACCCACGCCGGATGTTACTCCCCCTCGAGCAATGCCGTTGACGTTTCGACCTCCACGGAGCGATCGATACCTCTCCTCGCAGTCGCGTTCCGACTCTTTCAGGACAGCCCGAGAAAACCCCTACTCTTCCGACGAGGATGGGGGCTCAACACTTCGTCCAGTTCTTCCTGTGACGAGACCAGCCGATGTAGAAGTTACACCGCCTCGATTGAGGAGTGAGAACCGTAAAGAAGTCGGGTTAGGACTGGGTCTTGAGTCTGATAATGAGGGAACAGCAACTCCGAAAGCAAGTACAGGCTCTCAACAGGAATTTCTTGTGTTTGATGGAGAATGGGGATCGGCTGAGGAGGAAACGAGCGAGGTTGAAAGGGAATGGGATGATAATCTCATGAGGAACGTGACGGTGCGGAAGAGGCCTACTCGGAAGCCTTATAGGTTTACCGATGGGGCTACCGATGAGGTTCTGGAAGATGATATCATTCCACCGACCAATGCTACAAAGGTTGTTCGTGGTCTTCCCTTACAGGAGAGAATTTCCAGGCACCGATCGGAAAGGGACGCGAAAAATCTCGGTGAACCAATGGTTTGGCCCTCAGCAGTTCCAGATTCCGATTCTCCTGCAACTCCAGACGTCAGGAGGTTTTCGGCTGCGTCGGGACGTTCTACATCTACTGTCATTGAGGCCATGGTTGTTGATACCGTTCCAGCGCAGAAGAAAACACTCCGGCGCAGTAAGAAGCTGCTGGGTCTCCGAGACCTAGGTGATCAGTCTGCGACAACTTCTACGACTTCAGTGATTTCGAGTGAGCCACGACGCCAACTATCTCACAAGAAATCAAAAACATCCGAAAAAGGACATCGGTGTTTGGCTTCTAATACAACTGTCAACTCCAGTGGCAAGTCCCGACGAGAGGTCATAAACAATGGAGGTATTCCCGTTGTGGTCATTCCAGATCGTCGTTCTTCTGCGAACGCGAAATCATCGAAACCACCATCTCTAAGATCTACAAGTAGCCGTCGTACAAAACGAACCGTTTCTCTCAGTTCAGCACCAGTATCTCAATCTTCGAAGTTCAACGAACCGGGATATCTCGATTCCCACCCGGTCAGAAGACGTACCATGTCTGAATCTGATGAGTCATACCGCTCTGTGCGTACCATTGACTTTCCGCCAAATATTCCTGCCAGACGATCATCCCTGTCAGCTCCAACGAGCCGCAATACGTCACGTGCAGGATCTTTGACCGCGGAGAGCTTGAAAGCCCACAACTTGATCCAGAATCAGGAAGCAGCAAAAGCTGAAATACTGCAAAGCCCCCAGTCTGAATCACAGGACGTTGGGCAGAGCACCAACCTAAACGTTGACCTTAACGGTGACCCGTTCTTTGGCAATCGTCTGTCTACGCAGGTGACTCCATTCTCCCAGTCGTCTCATGAAACCGCTGGCACCACTGCGGTAGTGTCCGAGGCGATGGCCGTCTCAATATATCCTCACCAAAACAAGTCAGTACTGGTTGTAGGACAACAAGGAGCACCTCAACCCTCGACTCCAGAGCCTGGAGCCGTTGATGGTTCGCAGCCTGAGATGGCCGGCAATCATGAGCCTACGACTGGCCCAGTTACACCCCCTCGACATTCCAACCCCATGGATGAAGTTGACTCTCCTCTGAGAAATCCTCGTGCACCACCAGTACCACCAGAGATCAAATTTATCCCCCCTACCCCAGCATCCGTCCCTCCCGGCCAAGACGAGGATCGCCAACTAGGATACGAACAAGAACCTGCTACCTCAGATAACAAGCCCAGACGTAGCCTCTCTCTGGTGCGACGTGCGTTCAGCAATCGCCGCAATTCCGAGCCTACCATACAGCCTTGGGAGGGCCTTCTCAAGCGTACCTTCTCTCTAAGTAGTCGCCACAAGGATCTGGTTGACACTTATCCACGGTCCTCCCCAAGGAATGTTAACCCATCCACACTGTATCCTTCAGTCTCAAGCCGTCCACCTGATAGTACTAAATTACATCCATTCTGGCGACCATCTCATTTCTGGGATGATCTGGAAGACTATGACGAAGGTAGCGATGAATTTCGAAATCCATACCCTATCATTGATAACAGACCGAAGCGTAGCTTGAGCGGCAAGCTCAAGCGAACTTTCGCAATCCTGCCAAGCAAGGAGGACTATGCGTATCCTTCTTACTCGCCGGATCGGCGTACCGTTCGAAGAACGCCCAGCGGGAATATGAGGGTTGTAAAGCACAGAAGCAATTCAAGTCTTAGGAGGGAAGCCAGCGTCAGACGAAGACATGGTGCTGGTGAATCTGGTGAGGAACCATTTGGCTACGGCTTTCCGTATGGCAATGGCGGGAGGAGTTACCATACAATTCCGGGCCTGGGCCTCAGAGTTGAATATGTAGGTTGGAGTGAGATGAAGAGACGGTTAAGTGAGCGGAAGAGAGAACAGAGAAGTGAGAAATTGAGGGCAATCATCAGCCCCCCAAGAGGTGTGCAAGATGGTATCAATGACGTCTTACGAAGGAGAGCCGAGGCTTGATACCCATTATCTCGGAAATGAAACGGAGTTTGGTTGGCGAGAGTCATGTCTTTACAGATCCAAGAATATGGATGGATCCATGGCTGTATTATCATCAAGGAGAGCTCCTCGGATGCAGCCGCACTTGTTTGCTTGCTTGCCCCGGTTGTTTTGCTTTCCACCTGTACTTTCGAACATTTGGCATGGCCCTCTCGAGCGGCGGATTGGACCTCTGCTCGGGGCTTTTACGAAGGTAATGACGCTGATGACATGAAGATACGACGACATGAAGGGAATAAGGGAATCCATCCTTGCTCGGGTTTCCAGGCAAGGGTTTGTGTTAAAAGGAATGAATGCATTATGATAGGTTATTAGAAGGCAATTGCAATGAATTAATTTGGGATGGCTCTAAACTCTGATGTCCGAATCTTACGTTGATTCACGTAGATTGAGAATGATTAAGTGAAGTGAAGTGAGTGAGGTCGTACCGTTAAGCTTATTCCCCAGCTCTGAAAAGGCGTCCCTGGGAGACCGAGGCGCTAAAATGCGGCCGCAACAATTTTGTCGGATTTCCCGCCCAGCAACACGCAGAGGCGAAGAAAAAACAAGAGCAAGAAACCACATCAAATCGCACTCATCGCCACCTCCCACCTCCCATCCTTTCCTCTCGATCCATCCTCAGGGAGAAAGCAAAAAGATGGCCCAAGGCACGATCAAAGTCAAGAAGCCCAGCGCAGCGACGACGGCTCGACGCCCCGCAGCGCTGGGGCCGAAGAAGGGAGCGCGCACGATCGCGCCGCGTAAGCAGACGCTGGTGAAGAATATGAAGATGGCTAAGGTTTGTTTTTTTTCCCTCTTTTTCTCTTTTTGTTTTTATGCTTGTTGTGGGTGGGTGGTGGTTTGGCAGGGTGTTTAGGAAGGGTGGTATTGAGGATTTTGGATTTTGGATTTTGAGGATGAGAGGCTAATGGACTCTTTTTTATTGATATAGAAACATTCAGCGGGTTTGACGGCGATGACGGAGAGAACGCTGGGGGCGAAAGCAGGACATTTGGAATTGTTGAAGGGAGGGAGGAAGAATAAAGATAAAGATGGGAAGGGGAAGGAGGTCGAGGTTAAGAAGGGGGGGAGTAAGAAGTTTGGTTGAGGGGCAGTCGGGGGAATATAATAATATGTGGAAGAAGGTTTTGGGTTCGAGGACGTGGCGAGGTGAGGTGAGGTGACGTTGAGGATTTGATGATCTGGGTAGGGGTTTTGAAAGCGGAGAGGAGAGGGAGGGTATGAGGGTTTGCTCCAACCCTCATATGAGGAGGTGGATGGGATGGGCTGGGGCAATGCAGTGTGTGAGGGGGGATGAGGGCCAGGGATGGCATGGGACGTGGGTTGGTTGAAGCTATGGCTATATTGCAGATCTGGTGATGGAGGCTTGGAGCATACCATATCCATATGGCTTCGGAGACCCAGCCCACAGCCAGGTTTCCGGGAGTAGCATCAATATCTCCTCGCAACGGCAGACCTAAGTACTTACCTTTCGGCTAGAACTGCAAACACATGTTTTTGTTGCAGTAGAGATCAGAGCTATGAATGAGACTTTTGCAACGGGCTACTTCCAATTCTTGAAGTGCAGTTTAGACTACTTTGAAGAATACTCTGTGATGATTTGAGCTTCTACAGAGTATCTATCCCTTCGTTTTCAACCCCCTTATCACGCTTGAAAGCCAACCGTTTTTGTTGTGGTGTACTGAAGCCTGTCAAGACTCAACACCGTATATGCCAGTTATCTTATCAGAGCAGACCCCCTTGGACGAAGATGCGGGGAAGGAATCGTATCGGCCGTGAAGCGTGAAGCTGGCCACAACATGCGTATATTTTCGAGGAGAAAGCGGGAACTCCCACCACTCTACAGCCTCACGTCAGCATCATAAATGGCAATGCGTACTCGCTCCAGAGCGACGGCGATGTGTAAAAACACAGCGTAAGGCAATACGTAACGGGAACCACGGGGGCATCACGTGACCGTATACATTACGCGAAAGGGGAAGATAACGACATCGCGGGAGCCCGTCATCCATGAACCATTGACATAGCTTTTCTATATCGCCCGTTCTGACATCCGATAAGCCGCGGTGTTTTGCATTATATGATTTTTATTACCTACTGCTTTACTACACACGGCCGCTACTCTAGTTCAGTATATATTTTCCCCCTTTGTTTTCTTTTTATTTCTTTGCAAAACTGCACGCATGACTGCTGGCATTATTAACAGCAATATCTGCCGCTCCCGACTCCTGTCGATAGTCGATAGTCGTCACATCCCATCCTTCGTGGAGTCGTGGTCCATGTCCCGCGTCTTGCCTCCTCCAGGCCGAGCCAGATATCATTGGACCCCCCCGGTACAAGTATACCACCCTCCTTATTCTCCCTGTTACGTCTCGATTACTTGATTGATTGTTCGCCGTTACCCACTATCAGAGCTATCATGGCTGCTGGCTGAGATCTCAAGTTCATCCCGTTATACCTGTCCCCTTTTCCTCGCTCTCTCCCCCGTCTATTTCCAATGTCTCGGTAGCCTTTAATATTGCTTGTGATTGACCTCGCCACACGTCGCCGTCGACATCATGGCCGATTCAAACGGTGGTAAATCTTGGGTTCCTGCATTCCTCCGCTCTTCCAAGTCCTCTCCCACCGCCACTCCTCCAAACGAGAGAACCTCCCTCATACCCAAGCGGACCGTCCCGCCGTCAGAGCACTCCTCTTCCGAGGGCGAGACCTACGAAATTGAAGAGAGCTCTCCGGCGAAGAAATGGCTCGCGGAATTCCTGCTATTGTTGCGGGGTTCGATCCCAGTGATCATCGCCTACACGCTCCAGAACTCACTGCAGACTTTCTCGGTGCTGATCGTGGGACGGCTGAGCCCTGAAGCATTGGCCACTGCGGCTTTCAGTTATATGTTTGCTATGTCGAGTGCATGGCTCATTGGGCTTGGGGGGTCGACGGCTCTCGATACCTTGGCTTCTTCCTCGTTCACCGGGAGCAAGAATCCGCACGATCTGGGAGTACTACTGCAAAGGGGATTCATCGTGTTGACAATCTTCTACATTCCCGTGGCGATACTCTGGGCTTGCTCTGCACCATTCTTCCGGCTCCTGGGCCAAGAAGAGTATCTCTGCATTAATAGTGCGAAATTCCTAACGGCGTTGATTCCGGGTGGGTTGGGATATATCTACTTTGAATCCATGAAGAAGTACCTCCAGGCACAAGGTATGCACCCCGCAATCCATCTGCGACCCCACTCACTGACCCCCACAGCCATCATGCGCCCTGGAACTTACGTGCTCCTAATAACCTCTCCTATCAACATCCTCCTCAACTACCTCTTCGTGTACACCTTCAAACTGGGGCTCCTAGGTGCTCCTATTGCAACCGGAATCTCATACTGGCTGTCCTTCTTTGGCCTCGTCCTTTACGCCCGCTTCGTCGCCGGGTCCGAATGCTGGGGCGGCTGGTCGCGCGCCTCGCTCCATAACATCGGGACCTTTGCTCGTCTCGCCGGCCTCGGTGTCATCCACGTGGGCACCGAATGGTGGGCTTTTGAAATCGTCGCTCTGGCTGCCGGCCGGCTCGGCACGATACCCCTCGCCGCCCAGAGCGTGATCATGACCACCGACCAAGTCATGAACACGATCCCCTTCGGGATAGGAGTCGCAGCATCTGCGCGCGTCGGGAACTTGCTCGGGGCTCGCAACGCAAAGGGCGCTGCGAGCGCGGCCAACGTGGCGGCCTGGCTGAGTATGGTCATGGGCCTGCTCGTTTTAATCGTCCTGATGGCCGTGAAGGATTTCTATGCAAAGATCTTCAACGATGACGTCGACGTCATCAAACTCACCGCCGAAGTCATGCCCTATGTTGCGCTGTTCCAGATCGCAGACGGCTTGAACGGGAGTTGTGGTGGCTCGTTGAGGGGTATGGGAAGACAGCATATCGGCGCGGCAGTCAACATCATCTCCTACTATGCGGCGGCCCTGCCCCTTGGCATCTATCTTGCGTTCAATGGCTGGGGATTGGGGGGACTCTGGGTCGGACAGTGCATTGCGCTGTACCTGGTTGGGGCTCTGGAGTGGGTTATTGTCGCGCGCAGCGATTGGGAGTATCAAGTCCACAAAGCATTTGAGAGAATGGATCATGGGGACCTGGCTGAGACGGGGGCAGGAGATCTGTTATTCCCTGAAGAGTAAACAAGCGGTGGGCTGGTGATTTTGATATTCAAAGGGCCAGAGACTTGTCCACATATAAAAGAATGCATTTTTGAACGGATTAACGAATTTCCTTTGGAGCTGGGAATCCAGAAAAAGGGGTTCTAAAACTATAGATATCATTGAAGAATTCAGATTGTACATGGTGAGTCGCTAGACAACCTCTTGAACAGTTGTGCGGGAATCACTTGAGTTGGCCCGATAAGTTTGATATTGAAGGGGTGCGGACCCCTTTTTCTTCCAACCCCGAAATGCAGGGTGCTCTCATCCGAGACGGGCGCTGACGACGACTTCGGACTGTTGCTTTGTAACCATTATTTCTTCGTAAAAGAACGTTGAAGTTGAGGAGATGCACAGCCACAGTATGTCATTGTTGACAGGGGGGATGCGGCAAAATACGCGGGAATCGCTGGAGAAAGCGAGATCTGGGATAGAGGGCATGGAAGAAATGAGGAGGATATTGTTGATAGCTTGACGATTGAACTGAACTGAGTTGAGTTGAACTGATTAAATCAAATTGAATTTGTCTTTGGGATGTATCTATATACTTGAAGGAGTGCTGTGAATCAAACTGAAGAGTTGATGTTTTGTTGCCGAAGTAGTCCGGAAAAACCAGCGTGAACCCCCCTGCAACTGTCTTGACGGCCGCCCCGCCCATCGTGCATAGCCTTACGGCCCACGGAGGACGATCGAGGACATCGCTACGCTTTTACGAGTCAGAAGAATCTTACAGAAGCATCTCTCTTCCCCTCTTTTGCCTACCACCAACGAGCTCGAGACGAGACTTCGATTCACGACCGCAGTCACCAGTGCAGCAGAGTCACCGACGGCGCGTAGAAGGTGTTGAGCGGCCCGGCGACAACAAAACAAGAAACGGCCCCTCGCCAGAGGGAAGCCCACCGAGCAGTCAAGATGGAGAACAGCGGCGGATTGAGGCGGAAAGACACGACGAAGGGCCCCCCGCTCCGAATCCTGTCCCTAGGTAAGCCAGACGAGGAGAACCGATGATTGCGAGAGGGCGCCTGCTGATGCGTCGTCGTAGATGGGGGTGGCGTGCGCGGCTACTCGATGCTCATCATCATCCAAGAGCTGATGCACCGAACGTACGTGGAGATCGAAGGGCGCGCGCCGCGGCGGGACCAGATCCCCAAGCCGTGCGACCACTTCGACCTGATCTGCGGGACGGGGACGGGCGGGCTGATCGCCATCATGCTGGGCCGGTTACGCCTCGATCTGGAGACGTGCAAGGAGGTCTATGTGCGCATGACGAGGAAGGTCTTCGAGACGGACAAGACGATTGCGGGGATCCCGTACCGCTCGACGCTGTTCAAGGCCTCGAAACTGGAGGAGGCCATCAAGGAGTGCGTGCGCGAGCATACCATCTTCGAGAATGAGGGGAATGATGGAGAGGAGCCGGCGGGTCTGCAGAATCTGTCGAGCCCGATCAGCCCCATGTCGAGAGTCCCCCAACGACATACGAGCAATGCGAGCGTGACCAGTTTCAGCAACAGAAGCCCGTCCACCTATATGAGCAGGCCGATGATGTCTATGAGATGGGGGAATCCGAATGCCCGGTTGTACGACAATCGGGAGAACAGAACCAAGACGTGAGCCTAGTGTGCATCTTGCTTGGAATGAGCTAACACAGAGCAGCGCTGTCACTGCGGTCTACAAAGGTACCCCTGAGGGAAGCCCACCAGCAATTCTACGATCCTATGATTCACGAAAAGAACCCTCGCCCGAATTCGACTGCACCATATGGCAAGCGGGACGGGCAACCTCAGCAACTGGCTTAGCATTCAAACCCATTCAGATCGGGCAATCGGTATTCATTGATGAGGGTGCAGGGAAATACAACCCCTCGCCGTACGTTCTGGACGAAGCGTGCGTCAACGAGTGGCCAGGCCGTGAAGTTGGAGTCTTCGTAAGCATCGGGACGGGCAGGAGGCCAACAGGAAGCGACCATAATCAGCATCTCTGGTACGAAGGATTCATGGGAGAGTTCGCCGAAGCAAGACGCCGCCTGATCTCCAAGATTGAAGGTTGTGAAGCCACGCATCAGTACATGATCCGGGAAGGACTCAGCAAGCGTGGGGTCAATATCGAGAACTACTACCGCCTGAATGTGGAGATTGGAGTTGGAGAATTTGGCATGAACGAATGGAACCGCCTCGCGGATATCAGTACCGGTACCAGGCGCTACCTGGGAAAGAAGGAAGTCAAGATCATGAACGACGAGGCTGCGACCAAGCTAGCCAAGATCCACAGAGCCAAGTTAAGATTCGACCGCGACGGTGGTATCGCTCCACCCACCGGCTACAAAGACCACCTGGCCGACGTTCCCGAAGCCTACCCCACAGCCGTCGAACTCCCCGCCGACATCCCCCTCCAAACCCCTATCAGCCCCCCTCCCCGTCCCTCCTACGAATCAGGACATCACGACACGCTCGAAATCCGCAGTAAACCCCTCCCCTCCCCCCCAACCCGCCCCACCTCCTTCATCGAAACAACAACCAAACCACCACACCAACATTCTCCCCGCCGCTCCTCAGGCAACATCTCCTCGACCTCCAGCGATAAGTTCATCGTCCAAAACCCCTCGCCCAACCAGTACCTCGCTGCTGCTTCTTCCGGCGCCGATATGATTGCTATCGTAAGCGAAGACGAGTTTCCTAAATCCCCCCAATCCCAATCCCAGGACCAACAACAACAACAACAACAGCAGTCTTGGATCCCTCCTCCTCCTCCTCCTCCTCTTTTTCAAGGAAGAGTCGAACCTCCTCCCCTCCCCCCGAAAACCCCGATCTTGGACCCGGACATGGGAGCTGCGGGGAGGGGAAGACCCCCATATCCGCTAGATGACGGACCGCCTCCGCCTATCAATCTAGCTAGGAAACCGGATTATCGCGGGAGGTAATATGAGAGAGGGAGAGAGAGGGGGCATGATGGCTGGCGTTTTTTTTGGGGGGGAGATCAGGGGCTGGCTGGCGTCTCTATATGTTATTCTTTTCGGGGGGTTTGTGGGTTTGTGGTTTGGTTTGTGCCGGGGGGAGTTGAGTTGGGAACATACTATATATACCTCTGCTGCATGCGTGCTATGTACCTATGTACCTATCTAAGTTCTGTTGTTGGGTTTAAAAAGAAAATCTCTGATTTTAGGATTATTTCTTTGCGCGGTGGGGAATGATGGGGTTGAAGTGTTGAGATTTTTTTTTTTCTGGTGCAGTGTGAGATGATGTGATGTGATATGATGTGATATATTTATCTCTGAGCTTGAAGTTTGAAAGAAAACTTGGGTTTTGAGGATGGTTGGTTGATAAGGTATGTCGTGAGGTAAGGTAGGTAGGTCAGCTTTGTGCGGAAAAGAGATAGGAAGGGGGGGTTATTGGCAATGTGGATAATCTATTAAACTGGCTAGCTAAGGTAGCTATCTTGTCTATAAACCATATGTAGATAACAAACACGTTTAGGTGTGAAAACTGTATAGCAAAGGTCCCCCAAAGAGACACCAATCATTAATTCTCAGCCGCCAAAGGACTCAACAACCACTTCAACTCATTCGCCTTCTCCGCGCCAACCAATTCCACCAAACCACGCTCCGTCAAAAAATCATGATCGCAGTACTCAAACCCTGGGACCACGACCTCGCTAATCAGCAATCCCTGGCTCTCCTCCTGCCCGCCCTCCTCGTCATCCGGCAACAAAAACGACGCTTTGAACTTCCCGCCTTCGACGATCCACTGTAACCGCTCGCCCTTGGCGACGTTGGGACCGACGACGAACGTCTCGATGCGTTTTTCCTTCTCGCGCCCCCCGGGCTCGTCAGCGTGGATGATCACGTAGCGGCCGCGCCCGCGGTGCAGCGTGTGCACGGTGCGGGCCTGGTTGCGGTGGAAGCCGCCCTGGGGCCCCTGCGGGGTCAGCAGGTAGAAGATGGTCGTCGAGGAGTTGCGGAGCGCAGGGTTGAAGCCGGGGCGCTGGGGCGCGAGCGAGGACGTCGAGGAGGCTTGCGAGGGGAAGGGCGATGGGACGGTGTCCGGGGCGCGGTCGGTCTCGGCGAAGAAGCCGCCTTCGATGTGTGGTTGCAGGTTCAGGCTCTTGACGAGTTCTTGGATCGGAGGGGATTCGGGCGCGTTGGGGCTGGGGGTGAAAAAGGGGTGGAATGGAGACGCCATGGGGGTATATATTGTACGACGAAGAAGCAAGAAAGGACGTGGGAATGAATGAGATTATACGCAATGCATGGGAAAGAGAAAGAAAGAGGATAAAAAAGTAAAACTTGAACTGCGCAAAGGAGGAGGGTAGGACCCCACTGCGGCCGAAGACGTGAGATAAGAGGGCTTGATAAGCACGCTTACTTAGATGGATCCTTGATCCTTCACTTGTTTGAGGCAAACATCTGGAAGAAATACAGTAAAGATGTTCTTGGCGAAAAATCAGAGTTGGAGCCGCAATCGAAGGGCAAATGGAACGGCATTTAGAACCGTAGCGCGATAGGATAGTAGCTACTAGCAACACCAAAGCGCTGCTAGCCATGTTACAGTAGGAAGAGAGTTTCCGTCGGCCAGAGAACACGACGCTCAAGGCTTTCAAAAAAGAACAAACCGTTGAAGTTAAAGGAGTCTTTACGGCTTTCTCTGTCACTTCATGAACGCATGTTAAAAACCGTTGAAAAGGGGGCAAAAGAAAAGAAAGGGGAGACCGTTCGGGGTGAAGATCCTCGAGCTTTAAAAATAGACGAAAGGCGTGTGTGCCTCAAATGTAAGGCACACAACCGCTTCTGCCGACCGTCTGCCAATCTTGGACCCTGGACGAAAGTACTTCGAACACCTCTCCTTTTCTTGATAACCACCCCCGACCCTCCCCGCCCTGTGCATTGATGAGTTTACGACCCGGACGACACTGGTGAGCGACTGTACAATCTCCTGGATGCGTTGTGTAAATCTCTTATGAGCTGGAGCGCTTCGATCCGTCGTCTCCTTCGTTTCGATCTTCCTCGTGCGGCAGCAGTAGCATTTTCTGCGTGACCACCGTCTCTCCGCCATGTCGGGAGCATTGAGCAAGCGCCAGCAGGCGCGCAACGAGCAGACCCTTCAAGAACTCATAAAGACCGTTCCGGGGAACAATCTATGTGCAGACTGCGGGGCAAGGAATCCAGGTGAACCTCCCGCCACCAGACCCCGATAGAAGAGTGCTAATGCGGAACACAGGATGGGCGAGTTGGAGTGTAAGTTGATTCCAAATACTGTCACGAGACATCTGTCATAGTATGGAAGCATGCCAATACTAATTTTCTGGACAGTTGGGTATATTCCTGTGCATGCGGTGCGCGGGGTTGCATCGGAAGCTGGGTACACACATCACGAAGGTCAAGTCTTTGAGCATGGATTCCTGGTCGACTGAACAAGTGGAGGTATGTATCTTCACCGCTCTTAATTGAGTAGACTATGTCTAATGCCCTCCAGAATATGAAGCGTATAGGAAACGTCAAGTCCAATCGAATATACAACCCTCAAAATACCAGACCTCCCGTTCCATTCGACGTCGACGAGGCTGATTCTGCCATGGAAAGATTCATAAGACAAAAGTATCAGGAGAAGTCGATGAAAGCAGCAACACGGCATGACACAGGAAGCTCAACCTCAGATGACCACCCTCCACCTCTGCCCCCAAAGACTGGCAGCAGATTTGGCTTCAGATCGACTTCGTCCATTTTCCCATTATCGTCAAAAGCCAAACGCGAAGCTGCTGCTGCTGCAGCACGGCCGGACCCACGGGATAGGTCGCCTTCTCCTCCCAGAAGAAACAAGCCTTCCAAGTTATTTGGTGCTGATGTAGGATCTCCAACCTCGGACGATATAGAAATGAAGATGGCCAGGCTTCGGAATATGGGGTTCAAAGACGAGAGACGAAACCTAGCAGTTTTGAAGGGGCTCAATGGGAATTTCGATAAGTCTATCGAGACCCTAGTTCGGCTTGGAGAGGGCCCGGGTTCTGCTGGCCTAGTGAAGAACTCAGGCCCCTCCTCTCGGGCACGAACGCCAACAACCCCAACGGTGGGAATAACAATAGAGCGCAAACAGGAGAAAAAGAGTCCACCCGCGCCATCGACCAATCCATTCGATATGCTTGATTTACCTCCTAGACCCGCCCTACCTCAATCCTCTCAATCAACTGGGTCCCTGGCTCAATCCCAGAACCAGGCCATGGGGAGCAACCCATACCAGCAGAGCCAGAATTCAAATCCGTTTGGACGGACAATGACACCATCCCAGTCACAATACAATCTCAATCAGGCGTTCCAAAATATGGCTGTTTCATCCTCGCAGCCCCTCTTCCCACATCACACGGGCGGGTTCCCAGGTCAACAGCAGCAGAATCAGCAACTTTACCAGCAGCCGATGACCCCACCAGTTCCTTCTATACCTCAACAGTACTTCCCTTCTGCCCCCGTGATCTACGAAAATCCTAGTCAGCAGCCGCAGCAGAATTACAATCCATTCATGCAGCAGCAGCAGCAACAGCAGCAGCAGCAACGCCGGCCACCACCACCTCTCAATACTAACGTCCAATCAAATCCATATACTCAACAGCAAGGGCCCTTTTCAGCGCCTCTGGGCAATTACCAATCAAACCCGTATGGTCAACAACAGCAGACTCCGCAAGCGGCAAGCGCGAACCCCAATTTCCAGTCTAATCCATATTCCCAACAGCAGCAGCAGCCGCAGCAGACTCAGAATCTTGTCCAGCCTCCGGTGAATCAACCATCGGCGTTTTACGGCAATAGTACTCCACTACAGAGTACCCCACTCCAATCCCCGCAACAGCAAAACCCATTCCTACAGAACAATTCGCAGCAGCAGATGCAGCAGGCGCAACAAGCGCAGCAGGTACAGCAGCAATTCGATTACCAAGCGCAGCAACAAAACCTATACCAACAACAATTCCGGGGTCAAGTAAATCCGTTGATGCCTCAGCAAACTGGAAGAGCTGACAAACGGAGCATCCTCGACTTGTATAACTATCCCCAATTGGCACCTACGCCGCTCCAGCAGCAGCAACAGCAGCAGCAGCAGCAGCAGGGCCAGAGTCAGAATGCTCAATCGGCTCCGGCACTGGATATGGAGCAGCAGCAGAGAAGTGTGTCGACCCCTGTAACAACAAGCACAGCGAACAGTAGAAATCCATTCGCGAGTAGCGGTGGAGGTGGGGCACAGAGTTCGGGTGGTGATACTGTCGGAGCTATGGGGCAATTCGCTCAGACTGGAGCAAAGAATATCAGCCGGGATAGCATGCTTATTAATGCTGGGGATTGGCAGAACGGTCGGCATTCACCAGATGCCTGGGGGACCATAAGTGGGAGATCTATGAGATAGAAGTAATTGATGGATCGTGAACAAAGTCCTCCACCGTCATGCATGCACGTGAGATAGGAACTGCAGAAACTTTTGAATCGACGAATCGATTACATACATCGACATTATTTCTCGTCATCGAAAGCCGATCGACCGAGTCTGGTTCGGATTTTCGTCCCGCGTTTTAGCATTTTAGGGGTCCGGCGAGCCGGGGAAAGGGCCGGAGTGAGTGGGGTTATGGCCATGGCCATCATAGACCGTCGAGTACTAGTTGTCAACACCAGATCGGACGGGCTCTTGGAGGCGTGGTCTTTAGGGTCGGGGCAAGACCAAAACACAAGGAAAAAGGTCCAGGACATGAAAGAAGGGCCGAAAAAAAAGAGAGAAAAAGGGGAAAAAATACCTGATTCCACTTGGATCGGCGGCTCTTTAATGGGCGGACGGGGATGCATCTTCCCCGCTGCGGGACAAAAGAGCAAGTCGTCTATGCCTGGGTTCGCCTCTGTGACGACGATCCTAAGTATTACTGGCATTACCGTTTAAATAGGCACGGCGCGTTCCTAGATTCTGCGCAACTCCGATGCTTTAGGCAAATCAAATGGGACCTGGTCTCTTCGCCGAATGCTGTTGTGCCCCGGAGATCTTGGCTGGACGTCATCCTGGATGGACTCGTCGATAATGGCGGGGTCGCGCGGGTCTCGACTCCAACAGCCCATGATGGGTTATTATATAACTATATAGTATTAAATCCGGAAGAGGGCCTCAATTGCTAGGACAAGTGCTGCTCTTTTTTTTTCGAAGCTGCTGGGCGATGGGATTTTGCTCGAGCTGAGAGAGTGAGTGGTTTCGGAAGGTAATTCGCGATCGCTTCTTATAGAATGGGTTATTCGACACTGTCGCTATTAGCACTACCCGCGCTGCTCCTGGGCCCGCAAGCTCTCGCGCAAACCGACTTCTCAACTTCCAGTGGGATTTCGACCTGGAACCAGAGCGATTGGTCTTTGACTGCGTCCAGGTTCATCCCGGGTCAGTTTCAAGCGCGAGCATCGCTTGCGAATGGGTGGGCTTTCAATGACGCTTCCACAGTTTACAGGGTAAATCCCGCTGACCTCCGTTCATAGCTATGTTGGAGCTTCACTCGCTGCAGCGGGACCCTTTTTCGAGATAGACGTCAACCAGACTGATCCCACGGGCATCCAACCCACAAACGGATGGCCTCTATTCAATCCCCGGATATCATTTTCTACCATCTCGGGGTTTTACAATATCCAACCTAATGCCACGGGCACAAACTATCCGTGGCTGGACCAGTATGGCTGGGACTCATTCATAGCGGGCATACCGCATCCAACAGCAATCATCTTTGCCTTCGGGGATAGAGTCCTCAATGCTTCGGTCAGCAATACCACAATCTCAAATTTCTCTCAGAAGCTCTCGTTCAAGACCGGTGTGAGCGAGTGGTCGTATACTTGGAGACCAGACAATGGTAGCACCAGGCTCAATGTCACATACGCCGTAATCTTTAGCAGACAGAGACCGAACGTCATTGCGGTGACAGCCAGCATCACACCCTCGAGAGATATTTCCGGCACCGTGACCGATCTTCTCGATGGGCGAAGTGCTGTTCGTTCTTACCTCAATGCGAAAGGAATGGATAGCAATGGTAGCACTATCCATACTTCAGTTCATCCCGACGGACTTGCCAATGTCACCGGCTATGTTGTCTCTGGCACCAACTTCTCGAACCCGTATACCGATTTATCGTCACGGGCACTTGCACATGGAACAGACGTAAGCAATACCACGAGTATCGGGCAAACATACAACATTAGTCTTAGGCAAGGACAGACGGCTACCTTCTACAAATATGTCGGCGTAGCATCAACCGACAAATTTCCAGATGCCGAGTCTGTCGCTCGACGTGCGCAGGCTTCAGCTCAAGCAGTCGGATGGGATGCTCTTCTGGCGGAACACACCGCAGCTTGGGCCACAATCATGACTCCGGATTCTGTTGATGACTTCACAGACCCTGTCACGGGAGACCTTCCAAGTGATCCAGATGTTCTGGCATTACACATCACCTCTGTGGCAAACGCATATTACCTGCTCCAGAACCTTCAGCCTGAAGGCAGTGGACTCAATGATGACAGTATTGCTGTTGGAGGCCTCGTCTCAGACTCTTATGCTGGGCAAATATTTTGGGATGCCGATTACTGGATGGCACCAGGACTGAATTTGGTTTATCCAGAGTGGAGCAAGCAAATCAGTAATTTCCGCGTCAAACAGCATGGTCAGGCTTTGGCCAATGCTGCATTCAATGGGTTCCCAAATGGAAGTGCATTATACCCGTGGACTTCTGGGAGGTATGGCAATTGCACAAGTACTGGACCCTGTGTTGATTACGAATATCATCTCAACTACGATATTGCATTCAATCTATTCCAACAATACAACATCACCAAGAACGATACTTGGTTCAACAATGGCCCAAGACAGATCATTGAGAGCGTAGCTATCATGACCGGAGAGTTGCTCAAATACAACGCGACTACGAAGACGTACTGGTTGCACAACATGACAGATCCGGATGAATATTCAAATCATATTGATAACGGACCTTTCACCATTGCCTCTGCTGCGGACTTGCTGAGACTGGCGAACCAGCTCAGAGTTGCCCAAGGACTGCCGATAAATGAGACATGGTACAACCAATCTGAGAATATTGAATTCCCAACCGCTCCATCGGGTATCACTCTTGAATATGAGACGATGAATGATACTGTTCAAGTCAAACAAGCTGATGTTGTGTTGTTAACTTACCCGTTAGACTATGGTGGGAATTATACCATGGCCGATAAGTTGCTGGACCTGAATTATGTGGGTGATCTGAATTGCTAGAAGCGGGAGGGTTACTGACTTGCACTTAGTATGCCGATAAGCAATCTCCTAATGGCCCAGCAATGACTTATTCGGTATTCGCCATCGATGCCAATGCTCTATCGCAGTCAGGTTGCTCAGCATATACGTACACGCTCAATGGTTTCATACCATATCTCCGGGAGCCCTGGTATCAGTTCTCGGAGCAAGCTGTCGATGATGTTCATCTTAACGGGGGCACCGACCCTGCATTCCCTTTTCTGACCGGCCATGGCGGTGCCAACCAAGTCGTCCCCTTCGGCTTCCTAGGAATCCGTACCGACCAACCAGTCTTATACATCAATCCCTCTCTCCCCCCTCAGATCCCCTTCGTTAAAGTACGGACCTTCCACTATGCTGGGGCCACTCTCTCCGCCACCATGAACAGCACCTACACCAACCTAACTCGTATCCCGACACCTCCTTCAGCCAATCTAGTCGACATCTATTCAAACACCACCCTCCCCCTCATAGTCGGCTCACCCAACGCCGCTCCCACCTCAAACATAACCTACACCATAGCCATCAACGAAACCCTCACAATCCCCAACCGTCTCTACTGGCAAACCCTAACCCAACCCTCCGACCTCCTCCAATGCCTCCCAGTCACCAGTTCCTCCCCACACGTCCCGGGCCAATTCCCCGTCGCCGCCATCGACGGCGCGCGCTCCACCTCCTGGCAACCCAAGACCAACGCCTCCTCCACGCTCCTCATAAACATGACGAGCACGCCACCCACGCCCATCTCGGGAGTATTCTTCGACTGGGGCTCCCGGCCCGCCACCTCCGCCGTCCTGTATCTCGGCAACATGACCTCAGCCGGCATCATGACGGGCTCTGAAATCTCTATCGACATCGGCGGGATCACGCCCAGCGTTCCCTATAACGCGAATGCGAGCGCGGCGAGCACAGATGCGGTCGTGCCGGTGGTCGGTAACACGACGGCGATTGCGGTGGTGGGCGGTGCGTGGACGGGCGATTATGCAAGGTTGCAGATAGAGGGCTGTTGGGAGATGGATGGTGTTGGGGCGACGGTGAGTGAGTTTGCGCTTATTGCGGGTTCGATCTCGTGAGTTCTGGGATTGCTAGGTTTGTTGTCTGTGCGTGTCTATGGTGGTTAGTTAGTCAATCAGTCAGTTAGTTGGTTGTGTGTATGTATGTATGTATGGAATGATTCAAGATATCCATCAATCCCGAACTCGGATTTTACCTACCTATATCCTATATCATCTTGTTTGTTTGTGAAGACTGTGTACCCGCTACTTTCTCTAAAGATTTCCTCCCATTTGAGTATTATGTATATGTATATGAGAAGAATCTCTAAACCCTTTGGAAAAATTTGCCATAATTCCTGGGTATATTCTATAAGGATGTTGAGCGGGGGAAGGGCTACTATAAATAAGACTAAAAGAAAGTAGGAATAAGGAAATAAGGAAAGTATTATCATCCATACCAAATCTTTCTTCATACCTGTTCACAGCTTTACGTCCTACACTTGAGTTGGAGTATGATGCTATGCTATGCATATAATATATGATATTTCATATTTCATATTTCATATTTTCATATCATATCATATGCTCTCTCTCTCTCCAAAAAAGGGGGGGTATGTATGTACCTCTCTCTCCATATATATAACCCAGCCTCACGCAAAATATCCCGCACTTTCCCCGCTCTCTCTCTAATCAAATCAAAAACCTTGCGTGCGTACTGTAGAAACCCTAGACCGACCCCCCCCAAAAAGAAATCCATCCCATGATGAATAAACGCCGTTACGCCGTTTCCGTCCCAAATATATGTATTCTATGCTGATTGGTTGGTTTGATGAAAAGAGATATTGTGGGGAGATGAAGCTGAAGATGTTTTGTGGTGTGGAGGATTGGAAGGGGGAAAGGAGGAGGTCTAGGAGGGTTTGCGACCCCAGACTACGTAGATCTTGTGGTAGGCGTGGACGTCTCGGTCGGAGATGGCTTTGCGGACGTTGATGAGGTAGACCTGTGATTGGTTAGTTGATTGATTGGTTGGTTATGTGGGTTGGGGATGGGTGGAGAGGAGAGGAGAGGAGAAAGAGAAAAAGGAGGGAAAGAAAGATAGGTATACCTCGATCTCATCCTTAGTCCAATTCAGATAGCGGGAGAAAGGGGCAAGCGAGAAGCCCTGCAAGCCCGAGAGCCAATTATCCTCAGACATGCTACCTAGAGTTTTCAGATGCGGATCTCTCGGCCAGGGATTGATAGGCATCTTGAAGACTTTCTCCTGAACGTCGACAAACCCCGCTTCTTCGTACCAGCGCTTCAAGCGGCTGGCGATGCGGAGCGGCCGGTCGGCTTGCATGGCGGCGTCGTCGACCAGCTTCATCCATTCCTTGAAGGGCCAGTCATCGGGCATGGTGCCGTCGTCGCAGTATGGCGTCGTCATGATCTCCTGGCTCTCCATGTACCCGCCGGGTTTCAGATAGTGGAAGGCTTTCCGGATGATGTCTTTGAAGTCGATGAAGGAGCCGGCCAGGACGCGGGTGTGGATATAGTCGAAATAGGCCGGCGGCAGCACCCAATCATCTTCGCTGGCGTCGTCGATGTAGAAATGTACGTTTTCCGGGACTGAGTAGGGCTGGATGGGCGATAGGTCTGTGGCTTGGACCTCGGCGTCCGGGAACTCGTCGCCCATCTCGATGGCCCATTGCCCGGTGCCGGTCCCGATATCGAGGATGGTTCGGGGGTTGCGCAGAGGCGCAAAGTAGTTCCGGCCGGAAAAGGCATACTTGAGGATCTTATATTGGAAATCGAGACGTTCGGTCTCGGTTGGGTCGTTGGGGAAGACATACGCTGGGATGAGGGATCAGTCGGGGTGGAGGGTTCAATAGAGACGGGGGGATATTCACAGCCAGCTTTGTAGCGATGGTACGTCCGGCCGTTCTCTCTGTGATATTCATAAATACTGCTGGTGAGAGACCGCGAGTCAATCCTATCAGACTTCTATCAGCATGGCGTTCGGGGTCAAAGACGTTGCGGCACAGCCCGATATCTGTACCGCATCGTCTCCAGAGCGTTGGGTACGGACCCATGGCTTATTGGACTCCCAGCGGAACTGGCAGCCCGAGAAGCGTTTGGAGACTGATCGTTGTCAGTAGAACTTTCTGCGGGAAGGGTTTGAGCAAAATCCCTACATCTGGTTCAATCGGAGATCCTGCGTCCATATTTGCAAAGATAGATGGATCGAGAGATACTTTGTAGAGATAGGCTGAAAATCGATTTCCTTCGTCCGCGGCAACTACAAGTATCACTCACCGGCACGAATTCTCGAAGGGAGTAGCGGGAAAGGGTCCATGGGGATGATGAGGAGAGGCGAAGAAAGGATCATGACGACCACCACGAGCAGCGCTTTTCCAGAGGCCAAAAGGGCGAAAAGAAACTAGTGGAATGGGCACCTGTCGCCACCAAAAGGAGTAAAACGGGGTGCAGAGCTGTCCCGACGGCTGAGTTTAAGGGTGCCGAGCCTTCGCACTGGGATAGGGCGACAAGATTGAAATCCCGGGAGCTTGGTTTAGACCCTGTCGGCGGTCAAGATTGCTGGGGTCTACCGCTTTGAGTGGAAGTGTCTCTCCAGCTGGGTCGCCGAACAGGAATGTCTGGTTGTCGAATCAGAAGGATGGAAGTGCTTGTCAGCTCCGACACTTTGTTGTTTCTTTTTCCTTTTGCTTTTTGCTTTCCCCAAGAATCCAAAACCCAGAATAATCCCAAGAAACTCACGATTCTGTATCACGCACTTGGCGGTTCAGGGTTCAGGGGCGCAGGCGGGGCCGTCCGGGAGCTCGGCGAGAGGGACGAACTTGAGACTTTTAGGTTTTGTTAACCTTTCTAGGCTCTGTTAGCTTTTCTAGACTCCGCTTCTGCTGGGAGAGACCGCTGGATGGACCGTCCCAGCGGAGATGCATGATACTTTGGTACGTACAAGGACTAGAGAGTAGTCTTGTGAGACCCCGCACGAAACACTCCTGCAGAGCATGTCCTGTACGGAGTATGTACGTTGTATGTGTACTCTGAACGCTTCTTGTGTGATTGGCCCAGTCAAACACCGATTTAGCGGTTGAGACGAGACACAGGCAGCTCCCACCAGCCCTCTGTTCACCCAGTCCCATACACATAACTCTCTGTACCGTACGTTGCACGGTAGATTCCTGATACACGATCCTCAGTTTGACCAGATAAGTAGCACCAAGTACTGTAATAAAGTCCTCGGCGGGGCGCCCCTGATGGCTTCCCTGTTTCCCGCCCCCATCCAATCGCCATGGGAGAGCAGGCAGAGAAGCATTTACTGTAGCAGGTTATCAACATATTACAGTAATAGTAGTCAGCACTAAGTACTTACAACGCGGCCAACGCGCTCACGGAAAAAAGGAAAAGGAAAAGAGCTCCACGACCAAGATCAAGCTTCTACGTCGGGACCGGCCCTCCCTTGCTCTGGGGCTTTCCGCGTACTATAGTTAGTTGCTGCTTCCGCAAACTACGGAGTAAGTAGCAACTAACTGTAGCGCGGTCCTGGGCAACGGCAGAAACTACTGCTTCAGTCCAAGATCGCCTCTTCTCTACAGGACCCCGGTCTGAATAGTCCATGAGAGATGATAATAACAATTACTCATCTCCTGCCGCAACACTCTGCAATTTTGGTGGTATTCTGTGAAGCGGCAACTTGCTCACAATCCTCTGTAGATTCCCAATTAGAAGCGACTTCATGCTCAACGCGGGGGATTTCCGCGGAGATCAGGTCGTAGAACACCGTGTTTTCTTTCAGTAGTCAAAAGCATGGGCTATTCCGTATAACGTGCCTGCAATTCCGTGAGTCATTCATTGTGAGCTGCTTTCAACCTCAATCATCCCGAAGAGACAAAACCCATGCCAGATCTCCCGTCTTTTGAACATTATTGCCAATCACGAGTTGAGCGCCGCTCGATCTCACGCGGGGTAAAATGACAACCTCCTATAGCAGGATCAAGTCGCTCGTCGACTCAACCCCCAACGATGCGCTCCCCTCCCCCTCAGCTCTCCTCCGTGCTGCATCCACGATCCCCTCCTCGCTGCCAGCAACCGGTCTTGGAGATGCAGCCACAGAAGCGCATCTCCTAACTGATCTGGTCCCGGGCTTCAACGGGCCTAAGACGTCCGCGAACTACTACGGGTTCGTGACCGGTGGCACGTTTCCTGTCGCCGAGTTCGCGGATTGTGTCGTTACGGCTTTTGATCAGAATGTGCAGGTGCATCTTCCGGATCAGAGCGTGAGTACGATCGTTGAAGATCGCGCGTTGGGCATGTTGGTGCAGTTGCTGGATCTGGGTAGGGGGTGGGAGGGGAAGACTTTTACGACGGGGGCTACGGGGGCTAATATTCTTGGATTAGCTTGTGGGAGAGAGGCTGTGGTTAGCAAACGTCTTGAGGGATTGGGAGAGTTGGGAGGAGTTGGTGAGATGGGGTTATTAACTGCTTGCTTGAAAGCGGGAATTAGGAAGATTCAGGTCTTGACGGCCATGGGGCATAGCTCACTTTATAAAGCATCCAGTGTGGTAGGTTTGGGTCGAGCGGCTGTGAGAGACATCGGATCGGGAGTGGATCATCCTTGGAAGATGGACCTTGATCTTTTGCAGCAGGAGCTACAACAAGAGAAGGAGGGCGTTGTCAGCATTGTTGTCTTAAGTGCAGGCGAAGTTAATACCGGAAGGTTCAGTACGGACGGCTTCCTTGAGATGCAGAAGATTCGAGACCTCTGTGATAAATACGGAGCATGGTTACATGTTGACGGAGGTATAGCTTCTGTGCCATGAAGAGCCGACCTTGCAAGGACTAATCTTCTGTCAGCTTTTGGAATATTTGCGCGCTCCCTCCCTCGGACTCCAGAGTTCGGCGCGCTCCGCAACGCAGTCTCAGGGCTCGAGCTCGCCGACTCCATTACTGGCGACTGCCACAAAATGCTCAACGTCGTATGCATGACTTCTGCTCCATATCCTCTTCCCCTACCGCAATGCTCCTAACGCACCGAGGCAGCCTTATGACTGCGGTTTTTTCCTCACGCGTTCAAGCGCAACCCTATCCTCGGTTTTCCAGAATCCAAACGCAGCGTATCTCTCCTCTGGACCCTCGACCATTCCCTCACCGCTCAACATCGGCCTCGAGAACTCGCGACGCTTCAGGGCTCTGCCTGTTTATGCCGTGCTGCTGGCGTATGGACGAGAGGGGTTGGCCGAGATGTTTGCAAGACAGGTAAGGCTAGCCAGGGGAATTTCCAGATTCTTGCACGGCAGTCCGGACTACACGTTACTTCCCCACTACCCGCTGCCAGTCTCAGATGACGAGAAACTTGCAAGCGGTCATGAGTTCGAGAATACTCATATCATTGTGCTCTTTAGAGCCAAAGATGAGAAAGTCAATGATGAGTTGGTGAGTAGAATCAATAGTACTAGAAAAATGTACGTTTCGGGAACAAAATGGGGCAGCAAACCGGCTTGTCGGGTTGCGATTAGCACGTGGAAAGTCGATGTGGAGAGAGATTTGAAACTAGTTAAAGAAGTGCTGAATGAGGCTCCGAATGGTGGTTTGTGACTCGATAGCGTCTGAACCTCCAACGCTCAGATGGATACCTCGAACATTGTTCTTTCATGATCAATTAGTAGATCCAACGAACACGAACTCTGGTTCTCCCCGTTTTGCGGTCGCGTGAGGAAGCAGAGAATCTCCGGGATCTGAGTCAGGGAGTCAGTCCCACCCGGTAGGTACTGAATGTATGTTTTCTTTGATGAACGAGATGATATTCCTCTTTGGGACCTGTCTCAAGTCTTTTCGAGTCTGGCACGCCAACTTGCGAAGTTGCGATGGACTTAGGAGAGGCATCCCCGATAGGTTCCGTTTAGTAGGTAGGATCATCGGCCGAATGGTCGACAAGTAGGAAAATCATAAGGTCTGAGAATCCGTTTTGATTCCGTCTTTGAATTAACAAGAACACAGCAGTAAGAAAAGGTTCTGCATTTTTGCTTGGCTCTTCATGCTTTTGGAAGCGAGCAAAGCAATTTGGACCAGACTTAATGGGAGATTGCCAAAGTTATCGAGAGCTAGGTCCCGTCTTGATAGATGATCAGACATGGAGACTAAATTCAAGGAGATGCTGAGTTGATAAGGTTTGCTCAAGAGATAAAATTCGCAGACAACCAACCTGTCTCCCTGTTTAACGCCCGCCCGCCAAGGTGGATACCAGCGCATGGCCTGAATATAAGAAAGGATCGGACGGGAACTTGGACGTCGAATTTTTGATCTAGTATTGGGAGGGCATCGGAAGAGGTTTCCAGTCAGCTTTGAATCTCGAAACCCGGCCTTCCGACCAAAGCTTTTGACGAAAGTATCATATGATCTACACCCCTCGTCGTTGTAATGCAGCTGGCTATCAATATAGCAGAGAAGACCACGCACGATTCTAATTCGGGAGTAAGAATGCGGGATGTTGGTCGATAAGCATTGAGGTCACTGGGGTATTGGTTGAGCACCTTGTGCATTCGCGCACATGTCGCGCAGTGGCTGCATCTTCGAGATGCGGGTCGGACAACCCTGCCTAGCCAAGGCCTGTAAAGAGAGGCTCCCAACAAATTGAGTGAGATTGGCCTCCTGATCATAGGCAAGATTTGAATAGAAAATGGCGGCGTAAACTGAAATTCTGAGGATGAAGGGTGACGAAAGAGAGTCTCAGACTCTCAGCAGATTCAAGAAGCTTACCGATTCGGCTAGTCTTGGAGACCGCCTTTTTCTGCCGCCCTGATTCTATTTCCGTCATCAACTGTCTCTGAACACCACACCGCAACAACCTCGTGGCATCCTGTCATCCAACCCCACGATGGTTTTCTGCCTCGCCAGGGGAGTTATTCTTAGATGTGTGCCGCTCTGGTGCATTATCATGCAGTGATATGTTTCTCAAGTCGGGAGAGCCGAGCTGCCACAGTGCTCAGTCAGCCTTGCGAGACGTCAGAATTGATCATTCAGATTAGATCGCGTGGGACATCCCGCTCCTAACGGCCACGCTTCAAAAGATGGGCCCACTGGTTTGCGATACCGTTTCTCAAGCATCCAATGATAATATCTAAGTAGATGGTTTCGTTGTTCAGGCTGATAAGCTACTCATTTTATGTCTGCGTTCTCAATTTCAGGGCTGGAACCTAGCCAGAGCGCCTCGACTCAGAGGAGCTGAATGAGTGGGCTGAAGTATGGCTCAATCACTATTATTGATATTGTCTTGTACACTGTACTGCGTTAACTGGCAAGGCCAGGACAAGGAGCAGTAATTCGTCTGCCTCGGTAGGTAATCAAAGTGTATCTGCCATTATCGTATTATGTATCGTAATTACTCCAAATCATCTTCCCGAGGTGTGATCCCATCAGGAGCAACCAATAAGTCATATTCCAGCCGACCTCGTCCCACCATCAAGCATATCCTCTCCGAGAATGGTTCCCGCTTGCCCCAGTTATATTTGGCAACAATGCTTCGGTAAATTGCCAGAGCAGGGACGAATCCTGTGCCTGAAAAGCTGCTCCAGTGTAGTAGGTGTGTCTCTGTCCTTGCAACCCGTTCAGCTTCTTATAGAAGCCTGCCTTGATGGCACTAGCTGGCACCGTGCACTCAAATGGTACGTGAGCGGAAAACACAGCCAACTCCGGGTTGCTTGGTCCTTTGCCAGGTATCTGAAGTTTCTTCACATCTGAGAGAATGGCCTCCTTAACTTGCGCAATTGGCAGTGGAGAAGGGCTTCCGTAGAACACGGAAACCAAGCCAGGTACGCCTGTTTGCCCCATTGTGTAAACGGCAGGAAGTACTGGCAGGTTGTACAGCGTGTCGTTTCTGGTATTTGTTATGGACACATTGTCCGGAATGCCCGTCTCACGCAGTAAACCCGTGAAATATGCTCCGTTGCTAAATTGTCCGAAAAGGCCTTTTTCTGTCTCGCTCAAGTCCCACCCTCGTAGATTGTTCAATTTAGGAGGAATTGCGGAGACGAGTTTCTGAGAGCGGATCAGTGTCAACCCTGTCGGTTCCTTGATGAGGACCTTGACTCCCTCGGGACTTTCACGATCAACGGCCAAGATAGTGCTGTTCAAGAAAACATTCTTTCCCAATATGGCAGTAGCATGCTCATATATCAAGCTGTTATCATGCAGGGCGGTGGTGAGGAAACCAGTTGAGAGAGATTCGAGGATAGTCAAGCCGACAAGCTTCAGAACATACAGGGTGGGCTGAGAGAGCAAATCACCTATCCCTTGCCCATAGCCGAAGATGACTCCTACCATCTTCTGCAGGGAATACTTCTTGACAAAATCCCCAAACGGCAACAGTAAGTCAGACGGGATAGGATCGGGCAAATCGAAACCATTGTCCAAGTAAGGGTACTTTGCAAGCTGTTCGGCATATGCAACAAAATCAGCCGCCGAAGGCTCAACAGGACTATATCCAGTAACTATCTTCCCAGTGCGGAAATCGATGTAGTCCGTGATTGCGGTGGGGGAATATGAAATGTCGACCAAGGATACATTCAACCGCGCGGCAAAGTTCCTGACAACGGTGGTGTTGTGCCAGAGTTGCACGCCAATGTCGACAGCAGCTCCAGTGGCGGGGTCAATGTAAGTCTCCGTGTGTCCTCCAAGGCGGCTCTTCCGCTCAACAACCGCCACCGTCTTCCCCAGGTCTGACAGACGAATTGCCGCATACGTTCCCGACCCTCCTCCACCGATCACGCAGACATCTCGAGTGATGACCGTGTCAACTTCATATGATCTTCCATTGACAACAACAGGAGTAGAAGCCTCAGCTAGCAACGATAGGGTTGCCACGAGCCAGGTGAGGCAGGCTAGTAGACGCGAAGCTGACAGAGACATTGTGTGTGGGAAGCCCTGGAAGACCGAGATGCTGACTAGTCGATCCGGCTGTCTCGAGGAGTCGAGGGGTTGATTTGAGAGGTGAGTGAGGAGCAGTGCGAGGCTGTTTCTATTCCTGACAACTGATGACAGCCAAGGCGAGTACAACGAAAGCCTAGAGACTGCACAGCTCGTTCAGCTCGCGGCAAGGCTGAGAAGGCGGGTCCACCGAGGGCTAAATAAAGCTAACAAAGGAAGCTTTGTGATTTTTATACAAAGCAGTACCTGCAGTGTGCCTTGACGAAGGGCTAACTCCGCTAGAGTCACACGAAAGGGATCGCACAGAGGATGATGACTTGATCAAAGTGAAAAGAAAGGGTAGCTAACTGCTCTATATACTCAGCTATTTACACCGGTAGGGCGATGTCCCCTGAATATTGACGTTGATCTCGGTACAGCTAGCAAGGATCAAGCTCCTGCTTGGGCTACCTTAAGGAACTGTAATATCCCGACGGGTCCCGGCTTGTCGCTTGGCTATCGACTACGATTCGACAGCTACAGCAATGCCTTATAGGGGATTAGTGGGTGCTGCGATTCGGCAACTACAGCAATGCCTTATAGGGGATTAGTGGGTGCCGGCAACCGTCGCGCAACTGATATTACTAGCTACCGCATTACTAAGGTAAAAGGCTATGATGACGAGTGCTGATACGCGGCACCCCCCCCCTTGTTATGCGGCACCCCCCCTCTTGTTATACGGCACCCCCCTACCGGCAGAACAGACTTTTCTGCTAGTACCTAATAATAGTAGTACCTATAGTATAATACTAGGTACCTTTTAAATGCTTTGTAGTACCTAAGTAACTGTTAGGGACTTAAAGGGGTAGGATTAGGAATACGTAGGTCCCGCGTACCTATAGGCACGCTAGGGCTACTTAAGGTTCTTAGGTAGTACATATATATCTTAGGGAGTAGAGGGTAAGGAAGAGAGGCAAGAATTAGTTTAGATTTAAATTAAAGTATACTATAACTCGCTAGCTACTTAACTATAATTCTCTACTATATTACTTATAATACTAATCCCTAACATTCTAATTCTTCTTCTTATTAAAGAGGTAGCTTGTTATAGTTATAGTACTTAGTCGTTTAGAGAGAGATACCTAAAGGACTCTTATAAGAAGAGCTACTAGTAAAGGAAACCCTAGTAAAAGAACTCTTACTATAATACAAGTAAGTTATATAGTAGTTAGACAAGAGTAAGAGTAAAGAGTAAGAGACGCTAGTAATAAGTTAGTAACGCTTAGTTAAGTTAAAAGGCTATAAGCGTAACTTATAAAAGCTTAGAAACGTAATAAGGAACTTAAGCGACTAAATAAAGAAAAGGATAAGAAAGAGCGTAAGGCCTAAAAAAGGTCGCTTTAATAGCTTATTAAAGAAGAGTGTATAAGGAGCTAGTGTCTCTCTCTATACCTTTATACGCTTAAAGATAAGGCTAAAGACATAACCTAAGAGTAAGATAGTATTTATAATAAGGCTATAGAGTCTATAAGAAGATACTTAGTAATACTCTTAAGACTACTAGTATTTACGACAATAATAGTTAAGTAACGATAGGCCTTAGCCCTAAAGCCCTTTATAAGTAAGAATATCTTAGAATATAATAACTTTATATATACTTATAAGATAGAGTTTTATATAAGCCTTAATATCTATATAATAAAAGAGAGTAAAATTATATACACTATACTATACCTAAAGAAGACCCCTTAATCTATATAGATACGTAAAGAGTAAGAGTAAAGAAAAGATACTAGAATATAGTATAGTTTTAAGAAGGTTATACTATCTTACTTAAGTAGCCTAGAAATAGTAAAGTTAAAGGCGCTTAGCTAGTATAAGAAGGTAGTACTTTACTTAAGACAATCTATCTAGTTATTTGTCTAATACTTAGAGCTCTTTAAGAAATAACTCTCTTCTAAATCTAAAGAGACTAAGATAAATGTTCTCTTTACTAAGCTAATGTAAGAGCTTTAAGTTAAGGTCGCTAAGTACAAGCTTTTATAGACTTATAAGGAACTTATTATAGTAGTAACTTAGATCTAAAGAAGTATAGTAAGTTAGGATTCTAATAACAACAAGTATATAAAGAGGCGCTAGTAAGGATATAATAAATATATAAGTTATTAAAAGAGTTAGTCTTTATCTAAGAAGCGCTAGTAAAGATATAGTAAGTACTTAGCGCGTTAATAAAGCCGCTTTATGTCTAAAGAATATTTTAGAAAAAAGAGAGGCTTATAAGACTTACGTTCTTAACACCTTAGTATAGGCGTTAATAACACGCTACTATAATCTAGCTTAAACCTAGGTCTATACTTAGAATACTATAAGTATAAGGGAAAAGGATATTATATAAAGGATTATAAGTCTACGTCTATATTAAGGACACGCCTAAAGGTCGTCTACTACGTCTATAAAGAAAAGGGCTATATAGCCTTAGCCTGTCTTAAGAAGGCTAATAGGCGTACTAACTTAGGGAAAGAGAGGGCCTAAAGATAGTCGCCTTAATTAACTTAGGCCTTTCTAATAAAAGGAAGTAGTTAGATTATAAGAAGTAGCTAAGGATACGCTTTCTTATTACTATTAAGGTATAAGATAGCTAAGAAAAAGTAAAGAAAGTATAAGGTCTAATTAATAGTAAAGTAGAGGCTAATATAGTCTCTTAATCCCTTATAGTTAAGTATAAGTAGTATAATAAAAACACTACCTTCTTACGTTTATAGCTTTAGATAGTTAATAGTAACTTAATTTTTGTCTTTAAAGAGTATTAGGTCTTAGTAAATACTACTAACTTAAAGAGTAAAACCTAAGAAGACACGTATAAGTTCTTAGCTATAAACCTAAAAGTATACTTAATAGTACTTAGATACTTATAGCTCTATAAAGTAAACCCTTAGATTAATTTTGTTACTAAGATATAAGAGTATTACTAAAGACATAAAGGTATAAAGATTATAGAACCTAAGGAATTTATATAGGTCTTAAAAGAAGAAGAGGATATACTACTATTTAAGGCGTTCTTTAAGAGAGGTTATAGTAGCCTTTTTATAGTAGCTATACTTAGTAATAGCGCGTTAATAGCGCTATATATACTAGCTAAGTATAAGGATTTTATACGTGTATTTAGTAATAAAGAGGTAAAGAGGCTTTTAGATAAAAACAAGGCTTAGTACGTAATTAAGCTAGAACCTAGTACTAAGCTACTATAAGGACTACTTTACTTACTAGTAAAGAAAGAAATAAAAGTATTATAAGAATACTTAAAGGACAAGTTAGAGAAGGGCTAGATTAGAAGGTCTTATAGTCTAGTAGACGTACTTATTATGTTTGTACTAAAAAAAGATAAAGGCCTATACTTTTATATTAACTACTAGGTACTAAACAAGATTACTATTAAGAATTAGATACCTTTACTACTAATTAGTAAGACACTAGACCGGCTTAAGAGAGCTATAGTCTTTATAAAACTTAACCTAAAAGATACTTACTACTATATTTATATTTAGCCTAGTAATAAGTAAAAGATAGCGTTTTATACGTAATATAACTATTTTAAGTATTACGTTATACCCTTTAGATTATGTAATATACTAGCTACATTCTAGTAGTATATTAACGAGGCGCTAGTAGGCCTAGTAGACGTTACTTATATAATCTACCTAGACAATATCCTAATCTTTTTAAAGAAGGTAGAAGACTATATAATATATATATACTAAGTACTTAAACAGTTATAATAGTATAACTTCTACGTTAACCTTAAGAAATACGATTTTAATACTTAGTCTATAGAGTTCTTAGGTTTTATTGTTTTAACTAAAGAAGTATTAATAAAGTTAAGCTAGGTCTTTATAATTAAAGAGTAGCTAGTACTATATACTTTCTAAGATATTTAAGTATTTTTAGGTTTTATAAACTTTTACTACTAGTTTATTAAAGGCTACTCGTAACTAATAGTACTACTTACTAACCTCTTAAAAGGTACAAATTAAGGTAAGAAGGCAAGGCCTTTAGTATTTAAAAAAGAAGTGTAATGTATATTTAATAAGCTAAAAAAGGTATTTATAACTACTCTAATACTTACTTACTTTACGCTAAGGTCGCTTATACTTGTTAAGACTAATATATCTTAGTTTACTATAGCTAGGGTTTTGTTATAACTTGTTAGCTAAAAGGACATAAGGTAGTAGTACTCTATTACTTTTTACTTAAAGAAGCTAAACCTAGTATAATAAGTCTACTTAACCTATAACTAAGAGATACTAGTAATTATTATAGTATTTAAGTAATAAAGACACTACCTTAGCTATACTTTTATACTAGTAATAGTTAAGATAGACTATAATAACCTAAAATAGTTTATAAAAAAAGAAAAGCTAAATAAGAGACAAGTACGTTAGGTCTAAAAGCTAGCTAAGTTTAATTTTAGTATTAAGTACTAGTTAAGTAAGAGTAACTTTACTAATAGCCTGTTAAGACGCCTAGACTATAAGTCTAGTACTAATAAGATTAGGCAAGACTTACTCTTAGCCTTAAGAGAGAAGCTAAGAGGCGTACTCTTAATAAGAGTCACTAGTACTATAATAAAAGGACAATAGATCTTAGCTATAAGGGTAAGATCTCTAGAACTCTTAAGAAGTAAGGACCCTTAAGTAAGACAAGATATCTTAGGCTAACCTAAGCGTTAGTAGCTATAGACTAGGTAAGACACTATAAGGCCGTTAAGTACGCGTAACGTAGCTAAGACCTAGCTTAACCTTATTACTAAGACTAGTAACTATAGATACCTTGTTTTATAAGAGTCTACTAGGTTAGTAGTAGGCCTTAAAACAGTATATAACATACTATTAGAATTAATAACTAACTTAATCTAGAATACCTAATAAGAAGACACTTTTATTTAAGAAAAAGAATAAGAATTAATACTAATACGTAAGGTACGTACTAGTACTATAAGGGGGCGACAAGGCCTTAGTAATAGTAAGACTACCTTAAGAGGGTAATAAGGCCTTAGTAGTAGTAAGACTACTATAAAGAGCCTATAAGGCCTTAGTAATAAGATAAAAGAAAGGTAATAAAGCCTAGACGCCTAAATTTAAGGTAATATTATAAGAGATAACGTAAGTAAGGAACTTAAGGATAAAAAAGATAACTACTTAGAGTAGTACGTTAACTTAACAGGTCTACTTTAGTATAATAGCTAGGTCTATGTCTTAAAAAGTAAAGCCTTAAGGAGTAAGATCCTTATAATTAACTATAACAACCTAATAGTAAGGTACTTTAGTACTACTAAGACACTAGAGCTTCTCTAGCGTAAATACTTTTAGTAAGGTATATACTATAATATTAAGGAGTAAGTTAAGACGTATATAGTCTACTAAAGAACTAAACCTAAAAGGTACTAGCTATATAGTAAGTTAGTACTACTAGAATAGCTAATAAGGCCTTAGGCGTAGATTTTAATAGATTTTATTATAAGCCTACCCTTAAGTAAGTTTAATAAAAAGGTATTTAACTTATGTCTTATAGTTATTAACAAGTATATAAAGGTAGCGTACTATATCTTATACTATAAGATAATTATAGCCTTATAGCTAGTAGAACTCTTTATATACTATATAGTTAAGGATTTTAGGACTCTAGAAAGGATTATATTAGATAAAGGCCTCTAGTTTATAAGTAAGTTTTAGGCCTTCTTATATTTTTACTTAAAGGTAAGGTACTAGCTTAGTACTACCTTTTACTTATAGAGTAACAGTTAGACTAAGGTATAGAACTAGATAATTAAGTACTACCTTTAGGTCTATATAACGTATAAGTAAGATAACTAGGTATTAAAACTTATCCTAACTAAATTTATATATAATAATAGCGTATACTCCTTAATAAGAGTAACCTTATTCTATATACTATATAGGTTTTTACTAGAGATCTAGGTTAATATTAAAGACGACATTATAGAGAGAGAAGTAGTAGTAGTATATAAGAGGGTAAAATAGATTAAGAAAGAAAGGATAGTACTAGATAAATACTAGTATAACACTATTAAAGTATAAAAGAGGTTTTATAATAAGAAACGTAAACCTATGTTCTTTTAAGTAAGTAATAAGGTAATGCTCTTAACTAAACACCTCTAAGTTACTAGGCCTAATAAGAAGCTATTAGATTACTACCTTAGCCCTTTTAAAGTTATCTGTATTACATTAAACAGGTTAGCCTATAAGCTTAAGTTACTTTTAACATTTAAAATCTACCTTATATTTTATGTGTCTTTACTAGAGCTATACTACTATAAAGCCGGCGTAACGCTAGAGCTACTTAGCCTAGACGTTATAAAAAAGTAAAAGGAGTTTAAAGTAGAATTAATCTTAGTATATAAAGAACGAGCTATAAGAAGGCAATACTTAGTAAGATAGAAAGAGTATACTCTTATAGATAATACGTAAGAGCTAGTAAGAAACCTTAGAAACGCTATAGATATAGTCTAGGAGTATAAGAAAGTAGTACTAATTAAGGACTAAGGTAGTGTCGTAAAAGGAAAATACTAGAGAAGGCGTAAGTTATAGTAAGTAGTTAGGTTAAGAATAGTTATTAATTTAGAAAAGAAAAAAAAGAAAAAAAAGTAAAAACAAGTCTTAGTTATATACTAGTAATATATACGCGTAACCTAAGCCTTACGACTATATAGCCTAAGACTACTAGACTAGACTAACTACTTATTATTACTATTATTATCTTTATTATCTTCTACATTATTATTATTATTATTATTATTATTACTATTATAAGGATCTGTCTTAGTAACAAGTAGAAGGTTAGACTAACTAGGGTTAGTAAGTACTAGTAAAGTAAAAGAGATACTTATGTTATGTTAATAAGTGTCTATAATAACATTAATTAAGTATTTTATACTAAATCTAGTTTAGTTCTTATTATAAAAAAACTTTTGTAACAGTTGTCTACGCCCCTTACTACTCTAAAAACTTAAAAACAAACGATAGAATTAAAATCAGTACCTTTAGATACCCCTTAGAGTACTAGTAGACTATAGGCGAGCCTATAGTAACAGATAGTAGGTATACTAGACTTAAACAGAGCTAATACTACCTACTTACAGGTAGGAGCTAGTACTTCTATACCTTAACTAAGAGCTATAGTAAGGAGCTAGAGAGTAGTAAGGGTAGTAAAGACAATAAGACAGAGAAAATTATATAAAGAATTAAAGCTTACGTAATACTAGGTAAAGAGGATAAGGCGTCGCGCCTCCTTTACGACCTTATTATAATAACGATAGTAGTAGTAGAGCTAAAGGTAGCGAACATAAAGACCCTCTTACGTACCCTTAAGACCCTCTCTAACGACAACCTAGTAACGATTAAGTAATTAAGAACAATGTTAAAAGAGGCCTTCTAGAGGCCGATAGTAGTAGCGGCCCCTTAGGCTACGTACGCGTTAGTAGTAGGCTAGCGCCTAACAAGAGTATAAGTAATACTAAAGAGACAGATTAAAGAGCTAAGGATTAGAGTAGATAAACAGATAGAGGACCTAGTACGTTATAGTACTATTAAAGTAGTAACGGTAGCTAATATAGTAATTAGGGGCGCTAAGGTAGTAGTGACCTACTAGCTCCTTAGTAGCGACACTATCCTTACCTTTAAGGAGGCTATACTAAAGACCGCGATCTAAGATTAGGGCTAGGTATAAAAGGCGTTTAGGCTTATAGCCTAGCTCTATAAGAGTAAGTTCGTAGTAATTATAAAGGGCCTACTAGTAGACTAGGTTATATAAGTAGAATTAGGAGCGCTACTAGTAGAGATCTAAGCCTACGCGCCGTATATTACAAAGGTTAAAGTTAAGCTTATTAAGGCCTTTATAGTAAAGTTTATAATAATAGTACTATACCTCTAAAGCGTCGACGTAGTAACACGCCTATATAAACAAGGGCTAATCTAGTAAGCCTAGATCTTTAACTACAAGCTGTATTTAGCCGACCTACAAATCTAAAGATACTTCTAGTACTACTAGTTTAGCTATATTAGGCGGTTCTATAAGAACTAGGCCTAGTATAGCTACTATATAAGAGTAGCGTACCCTTAAGGTAAAGAGGAGTACCCCTAACTTAATAGTAAGAAGAGATACGTTAACTATAGTAGACTATACATAGCGTAACACTATTAGTATCTTAAGGCCCTTAAGGTAAAGGAGTAAGTACATACTATATATTAGTAAAGACTTAGATAGTTTAAGGTATTAAAGAGTAGCTTTACTAGCTAAGTACCTAACGTTACGCTAGCGTCCTTATAAGACAGTAATAACGGCTACTAGGTTATAGTACCTAAGAGACTATAGACAGGCAATAATAAGAAGCCTATAGTAAGGACTCTAGTAAGACGTAGACGCCCTCTTATTAAGGTACTAGATATAGTAACGGTTTAGAGCTACGATATTATAGAGATATTAAGCTAGGGAACTAACTAAGAGTCTAGTAACCTCTTTATAACGTAAGACTTATAGATCCCAGACTCTTAGTAATAAAATTAATAATAGTATACTAGAATACTATAAGAAAGAACAGCCTTACCTTAATAGCGCTTTACGATAGCTATAAAGCTAACGTTATAGTAATCTAGAAGCTATAGTATAATAAACAGATAAAGATAGTCTACTACCTAGTATAGGTAAAGTACTAGTAGGTCTATAAGAGTAAAGGCCGTATAGTTATCTACGTTTATAAGTAGTACCTACCTCTTACTTAAGTAGTAGAGACTAGCGTCGACTAGTATTACGTTACTCTATAAGGTATTACTATCTAGTTAATATACTTACTAATTCCTAACTCCTTAGGCTAGACTAGCCCTCTCTAGTAGCTTACTAGAAAGGACCTAAAGGGGCTATAGATCGTTATAAGTAATATAAACCTTTACTACTTACTCTAGGATAGAGCTAGTAAGACTACCCCTAAATTAGAGACCTTCTTTTGTCTAGCCTATAAGTAGTAACTCTCGCTATACATACCTTAGAAAGAGCTAACCTAAAAGAGACATAGTAAACAAGACTTAATAATTAATTACGCGTAGGCTACAGTAATACTCTAGTATACCTACTAAAGTAACCTAGGGTATAAGGGATCTAACTACTATACCTAGCTAATTAAGGTTATTACCTAAGTAAGGGATTACTATAAGAGAGCCGTAAAGGCACTAGAATAGAGCTAGACCCTAATAGACTAAGAGCTAGTAGCGATTAAGGCTAAGAGGCTCTACCTCTTCTCTAAGCTACTAGATATACCTTATAAGGTTAATAAGGCTATTAACTCGCTTACCTCTTAGCTTGTACGTATTATAGACTTATCTACCTTAAGAAAGAAGGTTAGCTAAGAGCGTACTAAACCTTAGTAGAGTAGTAAGGTCCTTAAGGCTATCTAGTAAATATAGGCAGCGTGCTATTAATACACTACTGCCTTAACTAAACTTTACTAGCGTAACCTCTAGTAGGCTAGTACCTACTAACTCTAGACGATCTAAGATACAAAGACTAAGAGCTAGCGTAGTACCTTTACTACTACCTTAAAAGACTAATAAAAACTTTAGAGTCTTAAAAGGTAAGCTAGGCTCTATAGCTATATACCTCTAGAACCGGCCTTACTCTCTCTTCTTTAAGGCGCTAATAAGGAGGTACTAGCTATAAGCTACTATAATAAAGTAATAGTGTTAGGCTAGCGGTTCTTTTTAGAATTAGTAGCTAATCTTAGCGACGTTGTTCTAGACCTTTAGGACAAGTAGTACTAGTAGTTTACTATTAACGACACTATAATAGAGGCAGACATTACTAACGTTCTCTAAAAGACAGGTACCTAAAAGGCGCTAGGACCTAACCTACTACTTACTAGCTTCCTTAAGGTATATAGGTGCCCCTTAGCTAAGCTCCTTATAGTAGTAGTAACTACAAGCCTCTAGCTAGGGCACGTCCTAGCGTAGTTTAAAGTAGTAAAGGTAGTAGTACTATATAAGCCTAGAAAGACCCTTAAATAGTAACAAACCGCTAGGGCCTATAGGCTAATATTACTCTTAAGCGTAATAGGTAAAGTAATTAAGTTAGTAATTAGCCGGCGCTTTACTAACGCCGTAAAGTCGTAAGGGCTCTTTCTAGAAACGTAGATAAGAAACCGGCTATAATACTTAATAGACCTTATAGTCAAAATAGTAGTCGACACTATATATATAGTATAGAGCTATAGGGCTATAGTGTCCTTTCTCTAACTAGACATTAAAGGCGCCTTTAATATAGTAAACTACACATGCCTTCTCTATACTCTCTAATACTTAAGGTTCTTTATATAGGCCGTGTAGTAGGTGTATAGCTTCCTTACTAATTAGACAGCTAGCCTCTTCTTTAATAAGGAAGTAGCGCCGCCCTAAAAAGTTACTATAAAGGTACTATAAGGCTCGCTCTTCTTTCTTATCCTCTTTTTCCTCTATACTACTAGCTTGTACACGCTACTATAAAGACATACAGGCCTTATTATAGTAGGGTTTACTAACGACCTTAATCTCTTAGCTTTTAGTAGAGACATAATAAAGACACGCTAGTACCTTAAAGAGGCGTAGTAGACATATAGCTAGTAGTCGTATATAAAGGAAATAGAGTTTACTCTTAAAAAGAGTAAGCTTCTTTACCTTACTTATACTTACGCTATACTAACGACGCCTGTCTACCTTAATAGCTAGGTTATACCCTTAGTCTAAGAGGCCTGCTTTCTAGGAGTTTAGATAGATTAGAAGCTTAGGTAGAAAAGCTACCTTAACACTATTAAACAAAAGTTCGCTACCTAGTAGTTTGTACTTATAAGGCTCGCTACGTCTATATAAGGATATAGCCTACTACGTGTAAGAGAGATCTATATAAAGGTAATCTAGAGCGCTATAGTATATAGTATAAGGGTCTAGTACTGCCCCTCTAGGCAACAAGCTAAAGAGATTATAAAAGACCTTATTATAAAGTAGTTATAGTACCTCTATATCGTTATAAGGGTATACTAGGCGACTCTTGTTTAGTTTCTTAAGTCTAAAACAGCTACGCCTTTACTTAACCTCTACTTTAATAAGAAAGTAATAGACTTTAAATAACGTCTAGAATATATAAGTAAGGGTAAACTTATATAGTCTATTTATAATAGAGTAGTAACCTGCCTTTAATAACGCTAGAGACGCTACTACGACACTACTATAGTACTACCCTATACGTTACTTAAGTATAAGGCAGGCTAAGCCGTATAGGTAAAGGACTAGTATAAGGACTCTTTACTAGAAGAGACCTTATAAGAGAACTAGAGGACACGATAGACCTAATACGATAGTTTACTAGCGTACTACTAAGGTACTACTCTAGCCGTACTACCCGCCCTTTTAGTAGATACCCTTAAGAAGTACTTACTTCTTTATAAGTATAAGAGCTTACTTTTAATATAGATCTATACTAGTAAGGTTAGGCTCTAGGCCTTTCTTTTTAAACGTAAAGTACTAGAGGTAGCGACCCCTTAGTGTCCTTATAGTAAGGCCCTAAAGACAGTAGCTTACCTAGTCCTTAACTACTAGTAGCTCGACTAGTAGTAGTAGGCCTTATAGTAAGTACTCTACCTAAGGGCACTATAGACGTTCTATAACTTTATAGTAGTAATAAAGAGAGGAAAGAGCGCGCGCGTACTAATCTACTAGCTACTATCTACTAGCTAGTTCTTATAGTTTAGGCTAGCCGAGCGCTACTTAGCTAAGAAAGAGAGAGAGTAATCCTAGCTAACGGCCGGCGTCCTTTTAGTATCTTACTAGCGTCTTGTTAGTATATTTAGTATTACTAGGCTAGAAGGTTAAGTTCTAGTAAGGTAGTAATAAGGTCTTAGCGCCCTAGTAGCGCTATAATAGAGTATTTATAAGAGGTAGTACGTAGGTTTTTACCTGGCTTTAGTATAGTTTTACTACGTGATTTATATAGTATAGAGGTTCTGTATACATTAGGCATAGGTAGTAAGAACAATAATAATAATAATAATAATAATAATAATAATAATAATATTAATTAAGTAGTAAAGACCTTATAGTACGTTAACTATAATTAGAACGGCTTTAGTAGTAGTACGTAAAGGCTATAAGAGGCCTTAGAGGTAGGCTTAACAAAAATAGCTCTTAATTCGTTAGGTAAAGAAGTACTAGTAAGGCCTTAGCTTTGCCTTAAGGGTCGTAAAGTAAGTAGAGACAGGATTAGCTATAATAGCGGCTTTAGTATAATTAGATAAGAGAAGTAACTTATTAAGCTTAGCTATAAACTCTTATAAGATCTTATAACAAGCTTTATACTTAGTAGTATATTAGTTACACTTAGTTTAACTTGCCTAAGTAATATAAGTAAGCCTAGGCTTAGCTACTTATGTTTTTATATAGTAGACGTAGTACGCGTAAGAGAGGTATAAGAGTATACCTTATAAGTATAAGGACAGATAGGGCTAGCTATAGTAGGGTAGTATTATATAAGGTAAGAAAAGGGTTAAAGAGAGAATAAAGAAAGGCGTAAAGCGTAAGGTAATAGCTTAAAAAGAAAGGCTTAAGGAGGGGATAGTACTAAAGAGGTATAAGAGGTAAGGCTACTTAATTTAGAAAGAAAGAAAAAGAAAGGTAAGAAGAAGAAAGTTTATCTCTTTATATACTCTTCTTTAGTAGCGTATTATAAGACACTTACTAATAATATAATATAAACATTTAGTAAGGCTTTATAAACAATTCTCTATATTAAACAAATTCTTATATAGATAAGGTACTATAAGTAAGGAGCGGCTAGAGCCTTTATTATATAACTTGTTAGGAATACGCTAGTACAAATCTGGCATAATAAGTATACTACTATAAGTATAGATAAAGATAAAAAGTAAATAAAGAAAAGAGATATTCTTTCTTTCTTATATCTATACTATATTATTTTAAGGTTTTAGAGTAAGAATAGTCTATATATAAGGTAAGAGCTATAAAAAAAGGCATAAGGCTTACCTAGCGCGGCCCTTATATATCTTAGGTATGTACTATAAAAGAAGAGCTTAGCTATATCTAGTATAGGTTTTACGTAACTCTAGAGAAGTACTATATCTAGCGTAGCTTACGTAACTCTAGGATAGAGCTATAAGAAGAAAAGGTAATGTTAAGGACTTAAAGAGGTAAGATTAGAAATACGTAGGTCTTACGTACTTATAAGTACACTAGGGCTACTTAGGGTTTTTAGGTAGTACATATATATCTTAGAGAGTAGAGAGTAAAGAAGAAAGACAAGAATTAGTTTAGATTTAAATTAAAGTATACTATAACTTACTAGCTACTTAACTATAATTCTCTACTATATTACCTGTAATACTAATCCCTAACAGTAACAGCGCGTATATTACTATATAGAGTACTATATAACAGATTAAATAACAGTTTAAATAGTACATTAAAAGTGACTTATATAGTACCTAAATAACAGGCTAATAGTAGCTACTTAGACAGTCGCTTAAACGCGTTAAATAGCACTAAAAAACGACCTTAACAGCAGACAGTAACAGCCTAAATAACAGTCTAAATAACAGTCTAAATAACAGTCTAAATAACAGTCTAAATAACAGTCTAAAGTAACTTATATAGTACCTAAATAACAGCCTAAATTACAGCCTAATAAGAGCTGCTTAAACACGTAAAATAGTACCTAAAAAACCCTATTATAGTAGCTAACAGAAGCCTACCTAAACAACGCCTATATCCCCTCTATAGCCTGTATTAAGTAGCCGGAATAAAGCTATTCTAAGTCCTCTAGTCCTACTATAAGTCGTCTAAAGGCTACTAGGACAACAGTAGTACTTGACTAGCTAGATTTAGCTATAGAACTAGCCTGTTTTCTATTACCGCTATTGTCGCTACTATATTACGTAGTACAAAAGGACAGGTGTTTCTTATATAGCCTGTAGATTAACAGCCCTAGTACCTTAATTAATTATGCCCTAAGTTAATACACGCTATATAGTACTATAAGAGAGCTACTACCTGCTTATATTAACTTAATATACGGCCTGTCTAAGCTATTCTAGCCCTTGTATTCGCCTACTAGTGTACCCTTTATACTCGTCTCTTAGCTTCTTGATCGCGCTAGTACTATTAATTAATAGGATTAAGGATAAGAGAAGGAGGAGGGCTTTATTTAGTACTAGGAGGAGGGCGATTAAAGTACTAGTAAGGGTAAAAATCTAACGGTATAATAGCTATAGATCTCTAGATTAGGTAGATATCTAGAAGTAAGAGTAAGAGTAAGTAATAAAGGGGTATTAATACCTACGTTTTTAGCTAATCTAGCCTTAATTATATACTAATAAGGTATCCTTATTAAGGTAGTAAAGGATCTAGTATACTTAGATTAGATTAGGCTATGTTCCTTATGTTCTTTTTACTGTCTAACGTGTTTATACTGTTCTTTTAGCTTATATAGGCTAAAGTAAGAGATCTTACTTATAACCTAGTAGTAGAACTAGCTTAATAGGCCGGCAAGAGTAGTTTAGTACCTCTTGTTAGTTAATAAGGTAATCTTGTTTAATTAATCATTAATCGCTAGTGTTGTTACCTCTTAAGTAGCGTATAGGTACTTAGATAGCCTACTAATCTATCCCTTAATAATAGCGTAAGCTCTCTCTAAGCGTAAGGTTATAGTTGTTCTAGTATAAAAAAAGTGATCTACTTAAGTATAAACAATATATTTATAATAAGGAGTTAGCTACTAGCTAATCACGTAGACAAGAGCCTGCCTCTTAAGATCGAATTTAACAGCCTCTTAAACCTACTTAAGAGTCGTATTAACAAGGGCCTAGTAAGGCTTACTGTCGTTCTAATAAAACTTGTCTTTAAACTCCTCTAGAATAGCTTTATAAGCCTCTATTGTTTTAGCGTGTACGACGTCTTAAACAGCCTGTTAGAACCCTTCTTACTAATCTGTTAAAGAGAAGAACCCCTTATAGTAAGTTGTAATATACTTGTTAATATACTATAGGTAAAGAACGCGCTTTATTTAAAAGATAAGAAAGTATTAATCTACGGCCTTAATAAGAGCGAGCTTATAGTTAGTAGTAATTACAGAAGGCTATACCTTGTTATTAAACAGCTTAATAAGGTACTAAATAGCCTTATTATAGTTCTTCTTAGCCTCTTAATCTAGCTAGTAAAGTACTACTATAAATAAGTTCTTATAATAATTAATACCTAGTATATTAAGTAATAGTATGTCGAATTTGTTTATCTTATAGGTATAATCTAATAGTAAGATATCTAAGTACTTGTTTAGGTACCTTATAGACCTTATATCTACTACAAACAGTATTTTAATATGCCTTATATCGTTAGCTCGCTACTTAAAATAGATCCTACTAGCGCTCTTTTTGACATTAAGTGTATAGATTAGAGCCTCTAGAGAAGGTTTACTAGTACGTTTAACGCGACTAAGCTTAGCTATAATATTATATATATTATAGTAATAAACAGCTATCGTTAGATCTTACTAACGTAGAACAGTAACTGTTTGACTAAGGAGAATACTACTTAAATAGTGGCTATTAATAGTCCGGATCTACTGTTTAGTAAGTCAACAATACTTAGAGAACGCTAACGCCTCTCTAAGATTATAATTATAAGTGTCTAATCTAGCCCGGTAGTAAAGACTCTAGGTACTATCTAGCCGCTCCTTTACTTTAATAGAGACAGGGCACTCTGTTTTAAAGGAGCCGCGAGAACGGATCTAGTACTCTTTATAGATATTACTATAATACCTGCTACCGCGTTTACAAATAAGAGTCTTAAGCTAAAGCTTCTTTCTCTTTTTACTCTTCTTAACCGTCTAGGCGTATCTAGCTAACTTAGCGTGTTGTTAGTAGGTAGTATATAACGCGTTAAACGACTCGAAATTACCCTTTAGCGGTAGGGATAGTAGTATTATATTAGTAGTAGTAGTAGGTAAGGAAGGGTTTTTAGGGTTTTTATAGAGGCTTAAGGGGCTCGAGGGGCTCGATAGGATCGATAGGATCGATAGAGACGATATATTTAGTAACGGCAAGGTAGGTAAAGGGGCGATAGCGAAGTATAGGACAGCGATGTTAACAATGTTAATTGTGATAGTAAACAACAGTAACGGTACCTAGATTATAGTACAGATTACAAGCGAAATAAAGTATCATTACTTACTGCCTACATTTACGTCTTACCGCTTACGCATTAGGCAGGGAGGGTGCCGTATAACAAGAGGGGGGGTGCCGCATAACAAGGGGGGGGGGTGCCGCGTATCAGCAGTGATGATGACACGGTCCAGACTCCACAGGGCTCAATGCAGATGGGCTTTGGGCGGAGATGTGAACGGTGAAGCCCACTCTTAGGAAGTCGAATACGGAAGCCTTCTTTCTACAAGCACCAGACCAGACCCAGGGGCACTTCGTGCTCATTCCTGAGCAGAAGTCAGCTCTACATTGTTGGCTGCAAAGCTGCTGCTTGATTGGTTATCGTGCCCGCCATGCTCAGCTCACTCTCTGATTTGTTTTTCCTATTAAGCCATGAGACGAACATCAGCAAAAGCTCAAAGAGATGCCTCTTCTCAAGTTCGAGTGACTGTTACCCCGCCATCTTAAGCTTTACCATCACTCTCCTACCACGATGGGCAAACCCGATGCCATGCAGGGGTCAGCGAGTCACCGACCCCGCCAAAGGACCTCGACCTCCTGCACGGAATGTCGGCGGAGAAAACAAAAGGTATCTGTTGAAACTTGAACGATCAATCAGCCGCAACTCTGAACTGTTAGGGGGAGCAGACATTTATTGATGTTTGTCCTATCACAGTGCAACCAGGCCAGAGATCGGCCCTGCAACAATTGCGCCAGACGCTATCCTCCTGTCGTGTGCACCTATGAGAACGTGAGCTCCAGCGTGTCCAGGTTCGATTCCCGGAAATTCATACGTATAAGCATGCGTTGTCTGTCTACGATGCGTACGTACAGAACAGGTCAGATCGCCCAACTAACGCGAGGGCAGAGGATCGCCAGTGGAGCGAAATGAGGATCTTGCGGGTCCTGGCACGCCGCTCAGGACTCGGCCGGATGAGCAGAGACCGGCGGCAGATGGCCGACAAGGAGGGCCAACCCCTGAGCAATATCCAACATATCCAACATCACCGCACTCTTACTATGGCCCCGTCCAGACGATCAATTACTATGCTCAGCCAGACTCGCAAGACGCGCCGTCAAGCTTATACGCGTCGGCTTCCAGTGCTGCATATTACGGGACCACCGAATCTTCTTCTTTTGCCGCACGTGGGCCGAGTTACGATGCGAGCTATTACGCGCCCACGTACGGCGATTACACAGCGCAGGGAGGCTGGTTGCCTGACGAGCCCGGTACAACTTACACCATGCAGAATGACTTCTCCCTAGGCGGCTCACGACGAACAGCAGACCCCTTTCAATTCTGCGATCCTGAGCTTGAACCTGAGTACGAGCGTCCTCAGTAGATTGATGTCTGCGTGCCACCGAGACCCATCCAGCCCGCCAGTCGCACCGTACCCCGTAAAAAGCCGGTTATGTCGATCATCTCCCCGCGTGGTATGAGAATCGGACGCCACAGACCGTTGGAAGCCAGCTGGATCCCAGTCCCAGGCGATTCGTACCTCCGCACAGTCCCACACAGGTGCCAGTGGTTCCTTTTGACGTTGCGATGCATCAGACGACTGCAATTTGGAGGCGGATTTTCTCGGTTATCAATGGCCCTAGATGAGGGGATGATGATACTGTTCCTGTTGTTTTACCTTGCAATAAAGAAGGTGATTATGAGTAGTTGTTCAGAAGGATCCAGACGGCGGTTCCAAATTGCGGGGTTGAAGAGCTCACCGGGTTTCGCTGACCACATGGGCTGGGCACTTCCTTCCCGCCATTTGCATGAACGAATTCAAGTGCTTCACTCATGATATCTTAGAAGAAACTTGAACAATAAAATCCACCCAAGGACAGAGATAAGATCGAGGTTTGACTTTGAGTACTGAAATGGAGTAGCCAATCATGAAATCTGGTCGGCGACTGAAACCCTCTAGGTGAAAGTCCTTGTTGAATAAATAACATCACAATAACGAAACCCCGCAATACCTGCTTCCATTGGTAAGGGTTTGAATCATCTATTTTCCGAGCAAGTGGCTCCTCGATAATTCATATGCATACAAAACAGAAGAATTAGGCAATGAAGTTTAAGACATGTTTAATGTCTACTTATCACACTTGTGGCTTTGCTGCTTCCTCGGAGCTTTCTGGCAAGATTATTCTTTCACCCACTCCAAAATCCTCTTCCAGATCAGCACACCATCATGGCTTTGCTCAATCGTCTTAGCAACTACTTCTCTCTTGGCATCGTCAACCCCCATATAACTCGGGGCGTCCCTCAGATTGGTCTCCGCTAGTCCCTGATTCATCTCCGGATGGCCCTGGAAGGTTAAAATCGTCTTCGCCTCGTTCATGAACGATTGATACCCCTCCGCCAACGGCACGAAGCCCTTTGCCGGGACCTTGATCTCCCTCCGATGATATTCATGCATGTGTATCTTCCCCTCCGTAGCAAACGGAAACATCTTTTTCCCTTCAGCCGTCAAATTTAGCTGCACGACTCCAATCTCGGCACTGTCCATACTCGCAACTTTGCCTCCAAACGACACACACATGGTCTGATGTCCCCAGCATATTGCAACCAATTTCTGCTTCGGATGCTCGCTGACTGTCGTCCGAAGGAAGTTTTGCATCTTTAGAACCCACGGATCTTGACCCATGGGGTCTGCCGTCCCGCCGCTGAGTACAATCAGGTCATAGTCCTCGGGTTTGGGATACTCCTGCACAACGATGGGATCGAAGAAATCGATAGTGGGGTGAGAGGGCGAAGAGGAGATTGATTGGGAAGAGGAAGCTGCAGTTATGGCGGACACGAACGAAGCGCGTTCTGCGGACGACTTGGGAGACTCGTACCCATTGCAGAGGATGGCGATCTTGAGGGGCTCGTTGGGGCTGTTCATGGCGGATGATTCTGGGACACACACTGCTGTGTGAGAGGAGTGAAGGTCAGCATTGCGATTTTCATGAGCTTATAAGTCGACAACGTGAGTATCTGTCCTGATAGCACGCTTCTCACTCGACAGAAAAGTGGGAGTTTAAAGTGGGGGACGACGTCTTCGGGTGATATCGCACGAGGCTGATGTACAGCCTTGTGCCGGCCCCGACTTCACTTCCCGAACTTCCTGCGGGCAATGTCCTGGGACCTGCAACAGGACGGTGTATATAAGGTATCTATCTATCTATATATGAACGAAACTGCCAGGGCCCTGCAGAGGATTGTCCTATTGCCCCTCAAGTCGGTTTTTAAATCTCCATTCAATCTACTCCCAAAACGGCAAACAAGTCCACATTTCCGCCAAGGGTCTTATCAGTCTGTCCCAACTGTACAGTACTGGACATATAACGTACCTCACTTACAACTTCAGGGATCTGTCAACAACCCAGTTCATGGCGGCTTCGAACCAGCTATAATCCTGACCCTTTGGGTGCCAAGTCCCTCGGCCTGGCTTTACTAAAGAAAGCCACGCATTATCTGCGACGAATGCGATAAGAAGACAGTGAGTGACATAAAAGATGGAGCTTGGCATCCGCGGCGAACGTCGAGAATGGGCCAGGGCATCTCTACTTAAAGGATCAGCTCGCCTGCTAGGTGCTTGGGAATAGTTACGTTTACATTTCAAGACTGAGTGCTCCCCAAGCCGGTAATCTGCATGTAAAGCATAAGATGAGCGCAGTAAGTAAACCCCGCCCCCAGACCTGAGACTTATATACCTAATGCAACACAGCCCGTCTTCAATGCATCCATTCCCAATGGAGGAGACCCTCTACTGGTTGACGTCAATGCTCAATATGTTGGGTTTGAGTATCATTACATCTACCTCGTCTTTTGCGGCTTCATCGTCTGGCTCATCATACCCGGGATTGGGCTGCTCTATGGAGGTCTTGCGCGACGAAAGTCCGCCCTCGCTATGCTGTTCCAGAGTCTGATGGTTGCTGCTGTCACGACTTTTCAATGGATGTTCTGGGGGTATAGCTTGGCGTACTCACGGACGGCGGGGCCTTTCATAGGGGACATGGCAAACTTTGGCATGAAGCATGTTATGGCAGCACCGTCTGGTGGCAGTCCAGTCATTCCAGAAATTGTCTTCTGCCTGTACCAGCTTTTGTTCTGGTAAATCTTAATTGCCATTATTGGTTGATATTCTCTAACCCCCGTCTCAGTGCCTGCACAGTTCAGATCGTGGTGGGTGGAGCCTTTGAGAGAGGCCGTATCGTCCCATCGTAGGTACCCTCTGCTCTGGAAATAGAATAGTTCTACTAAACCATGACTAGTCTCGTCTTTGGGTTCTTCTGGGCCACCATTGTCTACTGCCCAATCGCCTGTTGGACATGGAATTCTAGCGGATGGCTCTACAACGTATGCACTCCCTCTTTTCATCTGGATAAAGCAAACCGCTCACAAGGTCTCAGCTACCATCTCTCGACTTCGCGGGGGGAGGTCCGGTCCACATCGCGTCCGGCTGGTCAGCTCTAGCCTACGCATTTGTTCTCGGAAAACGCAAGAATAGCGGCGATGTTTCCCACGGGAAGCCACACAACACAACCCTCGTCTTCCTCGGCACCGTCCTGATCTGGTTTGGCTGGTTCGGTTTCAACGGCGGAAGTGCCCTGAATGCCAGTGTGCGCGCGATGCTCGCCGCCTTCAACACCAACACCGCTGCCTCCACCGGTATGATCGGCTGGGTTCTAGTGGATTATTTCAAGCACGGCCGGCGCTTCAGCGTAGTAGGCGCGTGCGAGGGCGCCATTGCGGGGCTCGTCGGTATCACGCCCGCCGCTGGGTACGTTGGAGTCTGGCTCGCGGCGGTTATTGGGTTCATCACTGCGGTGGTGTGTGCCTTGCTTCAGAACCTAAACGAATGGCTACATATCGACGATGGGATGGAAGTGTTCAAGCTGCATGGGGTCGGTGGTATGGTGGGCAGTTTCCTAACGGGCATCTTCGCATCGTCGTCGATTAGCATGCTGGATGGCGTGACGTCCGCGCCTGGAGGTATTGATGGCAATGGTGTCCAGGTCGGCAAGCAGTTTGCGGAGATCACGGCCATTTCCTCGTACTCGTTCCTCGTATCCTGCGCGCTGCTGTATATCCTGAAGTTCATCCCGGGCATGCACCTCAGGATCACGGAGGAGGCGGAGATGAAAGGCTTGGATCTCGATCAGTTCTTTGACGAGCAGATTGGGGATTGGGGCCTGTTTGATGAGTTGCAGAGGAAGAAGATGGAATTGGAGACTAGCTCGCCGGGATCACTACATGTGCAGGAGGCTCAGGAGCAGCTTGATACTGACGGGAAGACAGCTTGAGATGAGGAGGTTTGTTTATGTGTGTGTATTTTCCCATGTTAATCGCGCCCTTTAACCTTTAAGAAGCAATCAAAGACTCCCAGAGACTAAAAGTCACTTGAGAGAAGTTGAAAGGCCTTCTTCCGCTCCGCGCTTTTATTTCCATGCCTTGATCCCAGATTTAACCCCCATCCCCAACGCCAACCATGATCTCCCAGCTCCAGCGCCATTACCACCGACAGACATGTAGAACGATGGCTACCGCTGTTTCGCTAGAGTAGAACTATTCTTTCACTGCGGTTCTGATCGGAAAAAACACGCTTTTCTCATCCACCGTATTCAGCTTGACCTCGGTGAATTTCTTGCCCTGAAGGATCTTCCAACCAGCACTCACGCTCGAGAAAGCAAGACTCTTTTCCACTTTGTGAAGCTCTGCATTCTGGCCCTCGATTTCATCCAAAGCCGCCATGCTCTTCAGATCAAAGTCTCCAAACACGCCACTTGGCTGCTCGTAGAGCTTGTAGAACGGGTATCCGTGCTTGGCGTACGTCTCGGCAGTGATGGGCGTCGCGGGTGGATCGATGCCAAGGGTATGTTTGAAGCAGGTGGCGTCGAGGAGTTGGAGGTTGAGCAGGATGGATTTGTCGGTGTCCCAGGAGTCCGCGGGGTAGGTGTCGGCTTCGATGACTTGGTTGATGAATCCGCCGGCGCCGAGGGACATCTCTCTCATGGCTTCGGAGCGGGCGTTGATGCCTCTAGAGTCGGGATTGGGATCCGTGCTACCGCCGCGCAATCTGAGTAATAAATGGAAATTACTTTCCTGTTTAGTAATGTTAGCATCTTGTTGTGGAGATTTGGTAGATTGGGAAGATATGGAGCTGCTGTGATTTACTCCTGAGATGGCACACTGGCACCTTAAGATATATTGAGAGAGAGTATCCAATAATCGAGACAGCTCTTAGAGGAATGAATTTGAGACTAATTTGGGGACCAAGTTGAACAATAGTGCCAGAGGGGTTCTTACGGGTTTGACGTCGTAGTCAATGAGATATTTATCTGTACAAAAGTTAGAAGCTTGATTCTAGAGTAGTTTCTTAAGAACTCACCATTCTCAAGTTGCCTTCCCGCGTACACAAGTCGTTGTTGATCCAACGGAACATCAGTCTTCAGCTGTATGATATGTTTAACTTCTTCCACTGTGTACCATGGAGACGCTGGAAAAGCAAACGTCCGTCCTGTCAAAGTCTTGACAATGATCTGCATCGTCGGTTCATGACTGGAGACCATGTTTCGAACGATTTGCTTTTGTGGAATGATCTCAAACTGAACACCTGCAATTCTGTCCTTGCCCGTGATCTGAGCCTCGACTGAATAGTGCGTTCCCACAGGTGCAGCAACGAACTGCATCACTTTACCGTCTTGCGTTACTAGACCGTCGAGCCAGAGCTGTGCTGGAGGCACGATGTAGTCTTGGATCGACTGACCCTTTGCCAGGCGATCCTTCTGACGCTTCTCCTTCTCATGAGGATCCATCATTAGGGACTGCCCAGAGATGGCGTTCACTCCACCAACAAGCACCTTGACAGCAAAGGGCTCGTCAGCCTTGAAGTTGATCCACATGGCTTCTCGCTCTAATCAAGAAACTGGTTAGTCACGAGAATATAGATAAGAATTGTGTACAGATAGATTCAAACGTACGATACATGGGTATAAAGACACCGCCCTTTTTTGCTAGGTTAGGTGGCAGTTTGGACTCATACTGCTCGATGTTGTAGATCGGGAAAGCGCCCATGTCGGGAGGAAGCTCATAAACTTGTCCGTTGTCAGGAACACGAATGGTACGGCGCAGAGATATGACCATCGACTTGTCCTTGCGATTACTGCGAGAGACACTAATTGCACGATAAGCATCGGGGGCTTCGTCGTCGTCGCCCAGAGGCCTAATTAGATCGACACGGAGATCTGCCATTTTGCTTTATGATCTGAGTGAGAAGCTGACAAGATCGAGAGGGATAGAGAGAGGGCTGAGAAAGGTTGTAGTCGTTGCGAAGGACCTTCCTCGTAATCTCTTAAGATCAAGTGATAAATATCAGACCGTGATGCAGTCTTAAGGGACCACTTTGTTGTTGAAAGATCTTGAGAAGTAGATGCGGGTGTGACTCGTTTGAAATGAGGAGCTGAAGTGGTTGTGTATACAAACGGTAAAGAAGTCTTCGCTAGATTAAGCGGACTCAGGTGAATCCAATAGGCAACAGCAGGTGACTTTGAAAGAAAACATTTCGAAGGATGTGCAGCAGGCCAGAAGTGGTTGTAGGCTGAGGTAGTCCTCCGAGCCAAGCATACTCCGCGGCTCACTCGCTTAACCCCCTTTCTTCCCTGACACAGTAGAAAGACAGAAACCGAGAGTACTGTAGGCATGAGCGTAATATACACGTGAGACGACTGGTCTACAATGCGTATGTATGAATGCTTTTGACATACAGCAAAAAACTGTCCGTATTTCAGTAGCCGACCAGTTCGTGAGAACGTACATGTTCCGCTCATTATTACCGCCAATGCTCCATGTCATTTGCCCTCACTCATCAGCCATCAGGGCATCATCCTGGCCATCATCGTACAGGTCCTCGTCTCCTTCCATATCTTCCATTTCCTGCCCTCCGTTAAACTCTCCCTCCTCCATCTCGTCATCGTACATCTCCTCGTCCGCCTCTGCATACCTCGATCGCCGCGGCGTAGGGGTCGAGAGACCTGGCGTCGGGGTATCTTCGATCGCCCCCGAGCTGCCATCCTGACCGAGTAACCCCTGCAATCCCTGCTTCTTCGGAACACGAGGTCCTCTCTTTGCACGCGTTTTCGTCCCCTCAGGCGTATCTGGCGCCCCCTTCTTCTTTCTCCCTGCCTTCTTGACCAGAGTCGGGCCCGCTGCCGGCTCTCGAAGCTTTCTCATCTCATCCTCATTATCCATCTCCTCCAGCCTCTCCTTAGCCTTTTCAACCTCCTCTATACCTGAGGGAGTATCCGCCCCCTTCTTCACAATCTTCGTCAACCTCGCCCTCTCGGTCTGCCTCTTCTTCTGCCATATTGCCTTCCATTTGTTATTCAGATTTCTCTTCTGCGCAATGATCGTAACCTTGTCATCCTCCCCCTTCTCTCGCTTAATGCTCATTAACTTCTCCAGGAACCGCGCCTGGTCCTTCCGTTTCTGACTGGCATGAAACCCTACAGGGATAGAGATGGTGGGATCCTTGCCGCGGGCGTCGCTACGGGCTGGGAGAGCGGTGGCGATTCGGCTTCGAGCGCTGTGTTTCGTTTCGAGGGTTACGGACTTTGGAATGAGACGACAGGAGCTGGCGGCTAGAAGATCGACGTCTCCTGGAAGAGAACGTAGAACCGGTAATGGGTTTTCGTCGTCGTGCGCGGTGAAGAGGAGCTCGGTGCCAACGTTTGATGCCCATTGGCAAGAGAAGACATGACCGCCGTAGGAGACTATGGGGTTCTCACTATGAAAATCGAGGATTTGAACCTGCGTTGGAGTAGGATCTTCCTCCACCGGCTTCTCTCCCTCGTCGCCCTCATGATCTTCATTTTCCCCATTTTCCCCATTTACCTCATTGCCATCATTTCCCCATGATGCATCCATTTTGGGGCTTCCTTGTGGGGAGTCGCCTTCTTCTACAGGCTTCTGTGAGTTGTCCGCTTCACCTGCCGGTGTTTCCATCCCTGATTTATCCGCACCTGCAGTATACCTGTAGCTCTTAGGAGACGGGAGTCTATCGCGCCTTTGCGGTGCTATACCATGGTTTCTCCATTTTGCGGCAGGGACTCCCTGTTCCAGGTTGCGTCTTACTCGACGTCTGGGCTCCACGTTCGGGGTCGTCAGGTCGAGGGTTACGTAGTACGTCTACACATAGTCAGTCCAAGTTCGACTCAATCAGTAGCTTCAGGATGCGAACCTCAGTCTCGGTAGTAGAGTACTCATATTCCCACTCTTCTGAATCCTCAGACTCTTCTTGATTGATAGTATTGGTCGTGGATGGTGCAGGATACGAATCTCGAGGCGGGGTATTTCTAGGCCCACCCTGGGAGGGCTGATCGACGTGCGCCATCAAGGCCTATGGTTTGGATGAAGGTATCTTTCCAAATACTGTATTACAGACATCAGGTTCCGTATTCGCGGACTCGATTCGATAAAACCCGCATTGGTTGGAAGCTTGGTTCATTGGATTTTGGATCGCGCCTTTTTGACGTCGGAAGCTTGCAAATATTGATGCCTGAGGATACAACTGTTTCTGCCTCCTATACTTCTGATTCGCACAAAACTCATGGCCTCTTCAAATCCATCTATGGGTGGTAGAATTGGTTCCTGGACATTGGAATAGACCTAATGAAAGCTGAAAATGAATGGAGAGAGTGAGCTTCCAGGAAACAGAAAGAGTTCAATGACCCCCAACGCCCCCTTCCCCATGAATTTCACCCTGCCCACCTCAGCATCTCTCACTTCGTAAGAGTCCCCATCACATGCGGAAGAACCATATAACTTGATTCGTTATCAGGTTGCTTCAAATCAACCTTACTCCAAGTTCCTGTTTCTTTCAACCACTTCTCTGAATCCCTCGTAATGGAGCAGCCTCCTAGGAAATGCGGCCAGATGAAATCGATCGCCCCTGTTTTCTAACATCAGCATAGACACATTGGCGAGAAGAGCATACCTACATTGGTACCAAGCCACCAGACCACCTACGTGGGTGATGACATGCTCATATACAATCCATTGACCGCCCGGCTTGAGATATCCATACAAGCTTTTTATCATTGCTTTTGGATTTGACACGGAACAGAGACATTGGACCTAGTGAAAAAATCAGCTTGAATTCTCAAGAAAAAGATTCAACAAGGGATTCAAGAGCGCAGGTTCCGAATGACATGTATTTCACGAAAGAGATTGGGATGGAAGAAAAAGTACAAACCGTAACAATCGAATCCACCTCTCCCTCTTGGACCCAGCGGGTACCCAAGTCTTCCACTCCAACTGGGACAATCTCGTACACATCACTCAAACCCAGCTCCTTGACCCTCTTCCTCAAACGCTCATGATGGTCCTTGTTAGGTTCAACACCGTAAATCTAACACCGGTCAGCTGCATTCACATCTCAAAATTCTTCAAAGTTAGAAATACTCACCTTCGTAACCTTTTCTTTATCGTACATATCGATCCACTCACCGCCACCAGGCCCAATCTCGACCACAACGCCCTTAGCCAGCTTCATCAGCGGGGCAATTGTTTCCCTCGGCCCCTGCTTTGTAAGCGGCCCGAAAACAGCCCAGAAGCGCGCAAACCAGGCATATTTGAAGGCGGAGGGGGACAGGAGAGTGGAGAATTGGCCGGTGGAAAGGAGGGAGAGCACGGTTCCTGGCAGGTAGAGCGAGGAGTAGAACATGAAGCCTATCGGCTCCAAGAGGTATTGGAGGGCCTCCTTAGCGTGGTCGAACATTTGGGCGAAATCGTGGGGCAAAGAGGTGGGGAGAGAGGGCGAGTGTGGATTTTGGTGTGTGAGGATCAAAGACACCTGAGAAGGGGCCAACCGAGCGGGGAGCAAGGGATTTATAGATTTGTTGCAAAATGAGGCGGAAACGATCCGTCGGTAGGAGGAGTGAGTGTTATTCTGGTAGCGAGGGGTTTGTTTAGGGGCTGCGAGCTGATTATTAGCAATAGACGAAGGGTTTCTCCGGGATTTGCGGATCGCAGCAGCTTCTTTACGAAGTCAACTTTCACCAAGAGTGGCTGCTGTAACATAGGGACAGCAATGATCACGGGATTTCTAGAACACGGAGAACGTCTGAATGCCTGTAACTTGCATTTATGGTACATTCCCGTTCAACCAGGGCCCGACGGGAAAACTGTCTATATACACATTATATCCTGCTCCGATCCTTGGGCATTTTCCTCTCCTCCAGTGCCTCCAAATCCTTTTTCTTATGGAAGTGCGGAGCAGCCTCATGGAGCCACTCCGGCTTGATAGGCAAACAACTCCGCATATACTCTTTTGTCGTCTGCACCAGCTCGTAATAGATAACCATCTTGATCGGCGGGTTCGAGTCCATCAACACTGACGACGGGTGGATGTAGACGGTGGTATTATTCTTTACAGTGCGATAACTGTCACCGCCCCTCTGCAACCTCGCCGCATTCGGGAAGAAGCCGGCAGTAATTGCTTTTTGGATGGGAACCAAATCGGCAGCACCACAGCTCGACATCGTGACCTCAACACGTTCACAGAGCTTGGCCAATTGATCCCGAACATCTCTCGCGCGCGTGAGGGACCTCTGTTGCAGGAAATTCTCTTTTGCCCAAACGTAGCTGAAATCGCTATCAACCCACTGATTCCAAATATTCAAGAGGGTGAGATGGTCACCACCTTCCTTGATGGTGAAGCGTGCCCGTGCACTATCGGCGTGAATCTTCTTATCCTTGGGGCGGAAGAAGAGAGCTGATGCTTCGCTTAACATCGATACAATCGACAGCACTTCCTCCACACATCCCAGCTTGTCAGCGGCAAGGATTGCTTTAGCAAGCATTGGATCTGTTGGGAATTCCGCCATCTGCCTCCCCATTTTGGTCAACTCCCCCTTATGATTCAGAGCTTGCAGGGCGAATAGCTGGTTCAATGCACCAATCAGCGTTTCGGTGGGTGGCGGATCCATGAACTCAAAGTCCAGGAGGTCGTTGATTCCCAGAGATTTCAAGAGCAGCACCACACCATTCAGATTCGTTCTCTGAATTTCGGGGGTGGTACTCTCTTCCATCTCATTCATGAACGCCCATTTCGTATAGAGCCGGAAGCACTTCCCAGGCCCAACACGACCCGCACGTCCACTCCTTTGGTTTGCAGAAGCACGGGAACAGGGCACCGCCACCAGTTTTGACATCCCCGTCGCTGGGTTGTAAATATTCTCCTTGACAAAGCCGGGGTCGATAACAAACACGATCCCATCAATTGTCAAACTGGTCTCGGCAATATTGGTAGCCAGCACGACTTTTCGTGCACCTTCAGGAGTTGGTTCAAAGATCTTTGCTTGAAGTTCGGATGGTAAGTTTGCGTAGATGGGACATATAATGAGTTCCGCAACTCGGCTGCCCAACTTCCGCGAGATTTCCATGATATTCTGTTCTGCTGCCTCGATTTCATCTTGCCCAGTAAGGAATACCAAGATATCGCCCTTCCCTTGAGTCGTATGGATTTGGAAAACAGTGGTAATAGCAGCCGCAAGGTAATTCGCTTCTGGTTGTGGAGTATAATGGATATCAACAGGATATCTTCGACCAGGAATATTGAAAATTGGAGCATCATCAAAATATTCTGCAAATTTTGATGCGTTCATAGTAGCAGAAGAAATGAGCAACTTCAAGTCTGGCCTTTCTCGGGCAAGATCTTTAACGAGAGCCAGAAGTATATCCGTATGGACAGTCCGCTCGTGAGCCTCGTCAATCATTAAAGCAGAGTAACCACCAAGATCGGGTTCGGTCATGAACTCCCTCAGAAGCATACCATCGGTCATATATTTCAGAACCGTTTTGTCACTTGTGGAATCCTCGAAGCGGATGGAGTATCCGACTTCGTTGCCAAGCTTCACACCCATTTCGTCTGCAACACGAGCTGCTACACTCATGGCAGCCACTCTTCGTGGTTGAGTGCACCCAACTTTAAGACCTCCTTTTGTGTAGCCGGCTTCGTGAAGATACTGTGGCAATTGCGTAGTCTTCCCACTTCCGGTTTCGCCCACAATAACCAGAATCTGATACTGCTCCAATGCAGCCAGAAACTGATCTCGATATGCATAGATAGGCAGGCTCTTTCGAGTCTCCTCCATCGACAACGCCTTCTTCTCAGCAGCTTTAAGCTGCTCAGCCAAGAACCGCTCTTCCTTGCTCTGGCCCAGCCCCTCACCGGCTAGTCTCGAGTCCATCACCCATTTGATCCCTTGTTCCTCGTCTAAGACATAGTCATACTCGCCCTGTTCCCTCTCGGCGATTTTGATCTGTGCTTTGGCCTTCTCCGTTTGCTCTCTCTCCCATTCCTCATGCTCTGTGACAAACTTCTCCTGGCCGTATTCATCGCGATCAACATAGCGTTTATACATCGCATCTTCCTTCTTCTTTCTATCAATTTTTCCCTTCTCCGTGATGTAATCCTCCGGCATGGCATACCCATCTAAATGGTCGTCAATCCGCAGCCGTTCTTCAGCGATCCTCAGCACCTCCCTATTCTTCGCAAACTCCGCTTTCTCCCTCTCCGATAATTTCACACCACTTCTCAACTCCTGCGTTTCCTCCGCAACCTGTTTCCTCAACAGCGCTAGCCGTTCCGCCTCTCTTTTCTTCAAATACTCCTGCCTACTCCTCTCCCTGAGATCAGGCAGTGCAGCACTCCTTGCCGCCGCATCATCTGCCAAAGCTCTCCGCTGGGCTAAGAGATTACCCTCCCTTGCAGATGAGCGATCTTCAACGATCTTCTTTGTCTTATCCGCATCCTTTGACTGTAATCTCTTCGCGAAGGCTTCCTTCTCTGCCTGGTCCCTTCTCCGTTCCTTCTCTGTTTCCGAAATGTCCTCATCCTCTTCCTGATGGTCAACCTTTACCCTCTTCGGGGCCGACTCCTGGAACTCAGGTTCCTCTTCGGAAGCGTATTCCTCGTCGCCCCATCGATCGTCGAAGTCCGCGTCGCGGTCGCGCCTTCGAATGGTCTTGGAGCGATGTACTGATTCGCGACGAGGCGATCTGCTTCGTTCTCGATGTGATTTCTCGCGGTGGGAGGAAGACCCTTTTTCGCTATGTCGGCGCTTCTCTTTCTTCTTGTCTACTACCTTTGCTGGCCCCAGGTCGTCTTCCTCCATAGGAAGGAGCGCATACTTCTTTGCGCCCATTTTGACAGTTTGATGGATTAGATTATGGGGAGACTGGATCCAAAGTCTGTCCTGTAAGTAAAATACAAGAAGACGGACTTGGCAGAGAGAAGAGCAGGAAGGGGAAGAGTAGTGTCGTGCAAGACGTCCCGCGATTGTGATTTGATGGTACATCTCGGGTACCGTAGAAATTGGCCCCTACCGTAATCTTCGATGTTCCATAAGGCTAACGTGGTATCTTTCGACTTGGAATACAAGGTCCCACCAAATTCAATTGCCTTCCGCAATTTTGTTCTTGTCTCTCATTTATCTCTCATGATTGTTTTCACTTGAAGTTTCTTCTTACTGGACTTGTCCTCAGTGGGCACATCCTGTGCGATCATGTTACTCCCCTCCGCCCTCTTCCTGCTGCTATGCGTGCTCCAGCTCGCTGCATGCGCCGAGGATTTCTATAAAGTAAACCCCTCGCATTCCTTCTCAATTTACAAACTAATTCCTTATAGTTGCTAGGAATCGACAGGCAAGCCTCCGAGCGAGAGATCAAACGCGCATATCGAACTCTAAGCAAGAAGTACCACCCAGATAAGAATCCGTACTTTCCCCTCATTCCATCTGTCCGCCTCTGGCCTCCTGCTAATAGACGGATAGGGGTGATGAAAGCGCCAAACAAAAGTTCGTCGAAGTGGCTGAAGCTTACGAAGCTTTGTCTAATCCTGAGACGCGTAAGGTCTACGACCAGTATGGTCACGATGGGCTCAAACAACGTCAGCAAGGTGGAGGAGGGCAGCATCATGATCCCTTCGACCTGTTCTCTCGTTTCTTCGGCGGCGGCGGACATTTTGGACATCAGACTGGCCAGCGCCGTGGGCCAGATGTGGAAGTTCGTGTCGCGGTTCCCTTGAAAGATTTCTACAATGGACATTCGACCGAGTTCCAATTGGAGAAGCAGCAGATTTGCGACGAGTGTGAAGGGTCGGGGAGTGCGGATGGGAAAGTGGAGACTTGCTCGGTTTGTGGGGGCCACGGAATTCAGATCAAGAAGCACATGTTGGCGCCAGGGATCTACCAGCAGGTGCAAATGCAATGTGACGCTTGTGGAGGTCAGGGAAAGACAATCAAACATAAATGCCCAGTGTGTGGGGGAAGTCGCGTGGTGCGAAAGGTCAATACTTTCCCATTAAATATCGAAAGAGGCGCTCCCAAAGGCCAGCAAATCAAATATGAAAATGATGCGGATGAGAGCCCGGATTGGGTAGCTGGCGATCTACACGTCACCCTGGTTGAGAAGGAGCCGGATTTAGTCGAGGACAACGAGTTGAAGGTCGATGGAACGTTTTTTAGGAGGAAGGGAGACGATTTATACTGGAAAGAGCTCCTGTCCTTGCGAGAGGCCTGGATGGGTGATTGGACGCGAAACTTGACGCATCTGGATGGACATGTGGTGCAATTAAGTCGAAAGCGAGGAGAGACCATCCAACCCGGGCAAGTGGAGAGGGTAGCTGGGGAGGGAATGCCGAAATGGCATGAAGACGGGGATAGCGTGTACCACAAGACGGAATTTGGAGATCTGCTGGTGGAATACACTGTCGTACTGCCAGATAAGATGGATAAGACTATGGAGAAGGAGTTCTGGGAGCTGTGGGATAAATGGCGGAAGAAGAAGGGAGTTGATTTGCAGAAAGATAGCGGGAGACCGCAACCGCCTATAGCTCCGGGAGCAAAGGACGAACTGTGAATTGCAGTGTAGTAGTAGTAGATACCTGTTTATAGCGACACATAGATGATTATTCCAAAGTTAACCATGCTTCAGCCTGATGAGAGAAATTAGGAGCCTTCGATTGTCTAAAACTGCCTAGGTACAAGAATCTCCATTCTTGCAAGTATCATAGAAATAGTTGCATTGATGCCCCAGTCTACTCAGGAGATGGAGTTGTCAATAACAAAATTCACCAAATCCCACGCATGAACATTATCCAAAGAAAAGCTTCAATAGTGCCGCGTATGTCTTCCAAAGTGTTATCGTGTCCCACCATATTATTTCTCGGATCATTCCTCGAATAAAAAAATATGCTGCGTTGAAGTGGAGGGACCTTGAGTGTGAGCCTCCAAATATATTCAGGGCCTCCAGAACCTGGATCACAGGAGTAGTCTTACAACTTCCGATTTCAAGGGGGTGTTAGACACCTGTAAAGTCATCACAACCAGGTCTGGGGAAGAGAGTCTTCGATTTCCTCTGGTTCCATGGCTAATCCTGTCTACCGAATAGCTCACCAATATCTGAATACAGTAGTCGTATCAAAGGGGGCTGAGGGTGGACGACTTGTCATCAGGAATCAGTGTCTTGGGAACACAGGCGAGGATAACCTCAAAGAAATGATCAGATGAACCCTGAACTACCATGTACAAAAAAGACGAAATAGATAGGTATTACCGTGTTGGCTACTCGACCTAGGAATTCGTATAATCAGGAGGGGAAGCAGGTACTAGAAACTTAACAAATGAAGGTACAATAGCGAACTTTGCTATCGGTACTTGATGGTCATACCAAGCATCACCCTAATCCTTGAGCTGACCTCCAGAGGATAATTGCATTTCTGCTGATATGAGTCTGGGATTTGAATAACAGAGCTTTTCTTGGAAGTGATTCTTACCAAGGTACCGTGTAAATGCGCCAAGGCATTTATAATAGCCTATTAGTGATGTGTTATACCCAGTCGTGATAAGGTATACGCGCAACTCGCTAAGCCAATCAAATCGCCGCCAAATCGAAGCCGAAGCCGAAGCTCAAACAATACTGTAATTCATCGTCCTCCACGTCCATCAAACCTCAGAACAGCCATTGCGCTTCTCCACCGCGGCAATGGCATCCAAAATCGCCCCCTTCGTCTTCAGGTCCGCCTTCCGATCATCCCGTGTAGCTTCGCGCTCCCAGTGGCGGACATTTACGGCCAGCACAAGAGCTTCCAGCGACGTCCTGCACGTTGTAAGTCTCGCCATCCATCCTGAAGCTCCCCTTCATATCCTACACAGCTCCTAACTAAGTAAATCAGCATCGCGATACCCCCGATAACAATCCCAACATTCCATTCAAGTTCACGGAACAGAACGAAAAGCTCATCAATGAGATCCTGAAGCGATACCCCCCACAATACAAGAAAGCAGCTGTGATGCCACTGCTGGATCTCGGACAAAGACAACATGGCTTTACTAGTTTGAGCGTCATGAACGAGGTGGCTAGAATCCTGGAGATGCCACCAATGCGTGTGTATGAAGTTGCGACTTTCTACACCATGTACAACCGCACACCTGTTGGAAAGTTCCATTTGCAACTGTGCACAACGGTATGTAACCCGAAGACATTGCGGATAAGGTGGACGAATCTTAATGATGGTTTATTAGACGCCCTGCCAGCTTGGAGGTTGCGGCAGCGACGCAATCGTGAAGGCGATTTCCGAGAACCTTGGTATCAAGGTCGGCGAGACAACTCCTGACGGCCTCTTCACCTTCTCCGAAGCTGAATGCTTAGGCGCGTGTGTCAACGCCCCAATGATCCAAATCAACGATGATTACTACGAAGACCTAACACCCGAATCCATCGTCACATTGCTGGATGCCTTGCGAGCAAGCGCGAAGGATGTCGAGGCTGGCAAGGAGGCCAAGATCCCAGCCCCCGGCCCAATGAGCGGAAGGAAGACATGCGAGAACAGCAACGGATTGACTTCTTTGACGGAAGAGCCATGGGGTCCGGAAGTCTTCCGCAAGGACCTGTAGAGATAACAATTAGAATTTGATTACTTGTACATATCGTGTTTGAAACCTAGGTTATATTGCACCATATGGTAGGCCACGATATGAGAAGTAACGGGCTTTCTCTCCTTGATCTATTATCCTACCCTTTCCATTTGTTTGCAGTCTTCCCTTGCTTTTCAAATTGTCTTGTCCGGTGTTACCGGGCCATCGATGGATTCAGGACCTGGCATCCCCACAAAGCACCCCGAAAATATAGCAAGGACATATAGTTGTTGGCAAGCGCTCCTATTACCTCTCACGCCACCAAACCGCTCTTACACCTTTACGGGGACGTGGGATATTGGCTCACACCTCCCGGTTTGCGTCTATTGCATACACATAAGGGACCCAATAGAGACGGCGACTTGGATAATGTGTTATAGAGTAAAGATCTCTCGGAAGGCAGTAAACGTGTGTGCCTCATGGCATCGTCGGGGCTGCAATAAGGTAGGTACCTACCTAGGTATATGGCACTGTATCAGTTGTGGTCACGTGATGCTAATCACATCTCCATCGAACCCCCCTGTCAACACTCTCACGCTTGTCGCCGGTGCGATGTGCAACAAAACACCCTACTGTCATGTGATGCTAATCCCACTGACGTTGAAACCGGCGTTCAACAATGCCACGCTTGTCAAGGATGCGATATGCAACAAAAGCTTACCTTCCCTCTAGTATCACGTGATTTTCTGCGGCCTTGCAGTCGGTACCTAGGTACGGTAGTATGCCAATTCGTCAATTCAAGGCAAGTTTGGGAGACGATGCAACTAAGGTGTTATATTAGGAAAGGATACCGATGATTCAGGAGGAGTTAAGGGGATGAACTCTGTGGTTAACAGCGGACAGAAAGGGGCTTAAGCGAATGCGCCTGAGTAGATAAATTCCACGTCACTTGTTCCTGCACGACTTCTCGATTGTCTCTTCCCTTACATTTACAAGGATATCTTAGGATATGCGATAGTTGACTCCATATGGGCCATGAATCATTTTCTGATTCTCTTGCTCGGATGCAATCAGGGTCCCATTTTGCCGCCCGATACTATGTTTGTCTTACAATCAAGCCCCTCGAAAAGCCTTCCCTGGCACTCCGTCTGGGAGGGAACACTAATGGCACGAGCTTTATACGAAGTTTGAGGCATTGGTGGTCCTTTGAGCTATGCAGTATTGGGACAGATCTGAACATTCCCCTTTGAGACCCGAGATTGCGAATTAGCATCGAGGTATAGACAGGCAAGAGAAAGTTCTTTTGAAGAATCACTCGGGCAGTTTCCGTACGTAAAATCCTTGATTTATTATTTTAAGGGTTTGACATTACTCTATTTCATCGGTATCCCGTCATCGAACCCAGGTTTTGGAAGGACCATTGGTCCGGATCCCAACCCTGATGGTTTTACAGGTTTTATCCAATAATTTCTAATCAGGACGACAAAATCACTCCTCATCTTCGGATTTCTGCAATGGGGCCCTACAGTAACGCCACCTATATGGGCGAACGGTCAGGTTTTATCCGAAGGGCAGACGCCTGCCAGCCCACATTTCTAGAGTACCTCCTGACTTCCCCAATCGAAGAAACCTCAGCAGTGAAGCTCATTATGAACCCCGAGACCCTCCGCCGCAAGAGTACATGCTGGCTCCACGAATCTCACGAAAACTACGACTTGCCTCGCTGTAGGCACGCTGATCTTCCAAGATAACCGTACATTTCTGCAAAGACGTGCGGCCCATGAGATGTATCACCCTAAAGCGTGGGAATCTCCACGGGGTTTCGTCACTGGGCCGGACTGCTCGTTGAAATCTGCTTTATATTATTGAGTCTTGGAAACAACCGTGCTTACCATTACGAGTATTACTGGAGAACATGTACCAGCTTCAGAATATGAGATGAGAATGAAGAAGTCTGTTGGGGTCCTGGGGATGAAGTCCGGAAGACCTGTGGCCAGTTCAACTTCCCTGTGGACGTCTCTACAGGGCTTGAATTTGGGTGCGAGCAGGCGCCGGATAGCCTGGAAATGGAGGACGATATGCAGGAGTTGCTCAGTAGGGCTTTTGAGGAGAGACCGGACCGGCATATTTGGAGGAATAATTGGGTGGGCACGGTTTTGGGAAAGGAGAGTGCTCTAAAAGTTAATCATTCTGACCGAGAACTGGTTTCACGTTGTCATAATGAGACGCTGCTGACATGCTGTATAGTTATCGAGTTGAATAAAGCTGAAGAATACGTCACCCGTCGTCACCCAATTCTACCTAACAATGCAAAGCACAGTACCTATATACCAACACCATCTTACTCCTGGAGGCTGAAGCATTGCATTCACAGACCCCAAGACCGAAGCCTTCTCCCACATGTCCAGATATCATGTCTTTCAAATCGGCGACGTCTTTTCAGTCTTGGCTGCGATGGTTCATGCTGCTGCTGATAATACCTCGAAGACTGCCGATGCGACGCATGTCCCGAATTATAAGCCTCTGCCTCCCGATGCCTCCTCTCCCTATCCTTCTGCAACGCATTATATTTCTCCCTACTAACCAGCCGTTCTGTTTCCCAATCCAACATGAGATCCGCCGGGGCCCAGTTCTTGAGATACAGACAGAGCGGGACTTGATGATCTCGGCCGCTCTCAAAGAGACTGACTTTCTTATGCTTGGAACGGTGGACTGGGTATAATTTCTTGCTTGAGAGACCGAGACATGTCGATGCCACGGGATCAAGATTCTCGAAGATCGAGAGCTGGATTTCGGGAGGGAGATCGGTGATATATGGTCTACTGGGATAGTCTATATACAAGGAAGGAATCTTTTGTCAGAGAAGCTCATGTGCAGTTCATGGAGTGGGATTTTGAATACGAGGAAAGCAACATACCGGGAATTGCGTCAGGTGGTAATGGCTTGAATTTCCGATGTGACCGCCCTGATCTATGCTTCTTGGCTAGAGAACCCATTCGGTATTGTTCTCTCAGAGAATAGGAGGGGACGTAATAGGTTGTCATTTTGGCAGGTCTATTAAGCAGAAATAGGTTATAATGCGAGGTATCGGATGGTAAAATGCTGCTCAGACCGATATGAAGAATACTAGAAGCTTTCAAGGCGCAAGGAGGAACTGACGAGTTATGTACATTTTTTGTCTAAGCACTTGAAGACCTACCATCACGCTCTCATTCTTTCATTCTCTCGATCCTAGAAACACCCATCACGATGTACTTCCTAGCTGAGATCAGAGCCTTGAGAACAAGGTCAGTTCCCAGAGTCAGGGCATCGTTTCAGCGTCATTCCATTCTCATAGTCATGCTAGATCTGTTTATTCTCGAGGGTCCAACCCCGAAGTATCATGTGTAGACGACGAGGTCCCATATCGAACACTCCTCGAATTCCCTCGAAGGGGTCATTCTCGCAAGATGACAGCCTTATGGTCAGGACAGACTTCAGCCTCATGACCAGCCTTATGCCCATAAACTATCAGATGCCCATGAGTGGTTTCGTCTATTCCATCCTCGGGACCATCCGGAAAAGTCTCCTCGTGACCAGTCTTCAGAGTGCAAGTGCATATCCTCGTGATCAACCTTGAATCGATCACGTGAACAGTAATTTGCGACATTCAGGATTGCGAGAGCTGAACAACAACAGCAGTTGGTATAATGCAAAGAGTGTGAAATTGAGCTTTAGGTGAACGACTGTGATAAACAGAATTTGCGGCGTCACTAAAGCCAAATGACCGACTGTTAGGTAGAATTGACGGGCTCACTGAGCAGGGAAAATGTCACGTGGAAATTCATGTGATGTCATACCTTCGCCTCGTGTACCTAAGGTATATATAGTCTCCCTAGACCCCAACTTTACTCTTCAATCGAGTCCTCTCGTCCCGTTTGACAGTTGTGTGCCCAGGTCGTCTCAAACAACGCGCTATATAGCGGGGCTCGATTCCTTTACTCGCTGTCTATGATCACAGAATCAGATAGACACGCGGGTATCGTAACGCGACGCCACGTTCTCTGTCTATCTGTCAAACAGCAGGGTTAATTACCACCGGGATACAGAACCTGTTCCCCTAATTACTAACTAACCCTTAATCAATATACAGGGATCGATCCCTTACACCCTGTTTAATAGTTTATAGTGTTGTTAGGATTTAGGCACTTAGGTACCTACATACCCTGTTTATAGTAGATATAACGCCTATACATGTAAATAACAACCCCTTTTTTAAGTATATAGAATAAGGGACTACTCTCTATTCTATTTAATTTAGTTTAATTTAATCTACTTCTAACTAACTTAAATTCGCCTATTATTACTACTTCTTTATAGTGATATATAACCTCTTTTATCTAATAGTTATAAGCCTAGGTTACTTTAATAGCTATTTAGTAACTGTTATTTTAATATAAAAACACCTTTTTAACTAATTAGAGAGCTTAAATCACAAGAGCTAAATAGCGTTAAAAGGGATTAATATTAACCCCTTTCTACTTTCCTTAAACACCTAGTTCTAAGTACTACTAATAGCTATTTAATACTACTAATAATAGTAGAATTATACCTAATTTTAACGATTTTAGTAGACTTTACTACTTAGTAGAAGTACGTTAACTACTCTTAAACAACTAGAGTTACCTCTTTTATTTACCTCTTTTTATTACTACTTTTAGTTAACACAAAACAACTAAAAACATACCTAGAAATATACTAGTTCTTAATAGATCTAGTAACTAAGATTACTAGATAAAAGTTATTAAATCTAAAGCACTTAGTACTAGAGTTTAGATATATATTAACCTAGATACTATAAAAGCAGAACTCTTTGTTCTAGTAGAGCTAAGCCTTCTAGATCCTTTAGATATTAAAGGAGTCCTTAAAGATAGCTTAAGAGTTACTTACACTATACTAATAAACAATAAGAAAGAATAATATTATATCTACTAAAGGTATTACTCTAAACACTAAAGAGAGTATAAGCGCCTAGCTTAATTAGTTAAAGACATACGCTCTCTAATTACTAGATTAGTAAGGAGAGACTACGTTAAATATATTAATACTAAGGACATAGTATATAAGATCTTAGTAGATCTTTAGTAAAAGGTTATACCCTCTAATAAAGTTAAACAAGATCTTCTCTTATAAGATCTAACTAATACTAGTATCTTACTAAGAAGAGGACAGTTAGTTATAGCCTAAGTAAAACGCTTTAAGTCTACTTACCTAGCTTGTTTAGTTAATAAGATACTAGAGGTATCTAGTAATAAACTAATTAAGGCCTTTATTAACGGCTTAGAAGAAGTTAATCTATACTTTATTAAGATAGTACACTATAAGTTACTTAAAAAGAAAGTAATAACGTTTAAAGAAGTGTTAGATAAGTTTAAACTTAACCTTAGAAGCTAAAAGGACATTAGAGTTACCTAATATAGTAATTATAGCGCCTTCTTAACTATAGAGGCTATACTTAGTAAAAGGAGTAGTAGTAGTAGTAGTAAGAGTAAGCCTAAGTACCTGTATAGTAGCTACTACTACTACTATAATTACTACTATTTAATGTTATCTAAGCGTCCTAATTAGTAAAAACCTTATAATAATATCTAAAAGAAGATTAACGATTAGCTAAACGTAAATAGTAAGCTTAAGGCTTTAATTAAGTTAATTAGAAGAAAGAAAGAAGAGAACAAGTAGAGTAATAGTAATAAGAAGAATAGTAAACCTAACTAGAATAAGAATAAAGACGCCTTAAAAGTGTTTACTATAGACTTTACTATAGCTACGTCTAACGCTTATTAAACTAACTTTAGCTACTTAGTTTTTATATTAACTCTAATTCTAATAGTCTAATTAGTCTAATCCCTTTTCTTTAGACCTACTTATCTACTTAAGGATAGCTTTATTCTAGACTTAAGAGTAACTATCTACGTCTATAATAATAGATTACGCTTTTACTCTATTAGGCCTACCTTACTAAAGAGTATTTTAATAGCTAGTAAGGACTATATCTAAATTAAAGCTTTTAAAGACGTTAAGATCTAACTTACTAGCCTAAAAAGGAAATTTAGTATAGAGCTAAGGAGTGTAGCCCTTATTCCTTTCTTTTATACTAGCGTAGTTTTCTTATATAAGATAATTTAGAAAGAAGTCTACTAGAATATAAAGGGAAACTATCTAACTTATAAGAATAACACCTTTTATTATACTATTATTGTTCTTACTACCTATGTCTAATGTATACAAAACCTTTATACTATATAAATTACGTAGTAAAACCGTACTAAAGCTAGGTAAAAACCTATGTACTACCTCTTATAAATACTTTATTACAGCACTACTAGGGCGCTAAGACTTTATCGCTACTTTACTAGAACTTAACCTTCTAGCCTAGTAATACTAAACATACTAACAAGATACTAGTAAGACACTAGAAGGACGCCGGCCGTTAACTAAGATTACTCTCTCTCTTTCTTTACTAGATAGTACTTAGCTAGCCTAAACTATAAGAACCGGCTAGTAGATAGTAGCTAGTAGATTAGTACGTACGCGCTCTTTCCTCTCTTTGTTACTACTATAAAGTTACAGAACGTCTATAGTACCCTTAGGTAGAGTACTTACTATAAGGCCTGTCGCTACTAGTCGAGCTACTAGTAGTTAAGGACTAGGTAAGCTACTGTCTCTAGGGCCTTACTATAAAGGTACTAGAGGGTCGCTACCTCTAGTACTTTACGTTTAAAAAGAAAGGCTTAGAGCCTAACCTTACTAGTATAGATCTACATTAAAAGTAAGCTCTTATACTTATAAAAGAGTAAGTACTTCTTAAGAGTATCTACTAAAAGGGCGGGTAGTGTAACTAGGGCAGTACCTTAGTAGTATACTAGTAAACTATTGTGTTAAGTCTATTATGTCTTCTAGTTCTCTTATAAGGTCTCTTTTAGTAAGGAGTCCTTATACTAGTCCTTTACTTATACGGCTTAGCCTACCTTATACTTAAGTAACGTATAAGGTAGTGCTATAGTAGTGTTATAGTAGCGTCTCTAGTATTATTAAAGGCAGGTTACTACCTTATTATAAATAGACTATATAAGTTCGCCCTTACTTATATGTTCTAGGCGTTATTTAAAGTCTACTACTCTCTTATTAAGGTAGAGGTTAAGTAGAGGCGTAGCTATTTTAGACTTAAGAAACTAAACAAGAGTTACCTAGTACGCCCTTATAATAATATAAAGGTACTATAACTACTTTATAGTAAGGTCCTTTACGATCTCCTTAGCTTATTACTTAAAGAGGCAGTACTAGACCCTTATACTATATACTATAGTGCTCTAGATTACCTTTATATAGATCTCTCTTATGTATAGTAGGCTATATCTTTACGTAGACGTAGTAAGCCTTATAAGTACAAACTACTAGGTAGTAAACTTTTGTTTAATAGCGTTAAGGTAGCCTTTTTACCTAAGCTTCTAATCTATCTAAACTCTTAGAAAGCAGGCCTCTTAGACTAAGGGTATAACCTAGCTATTAAGGTAGATAGGCGTTATTAGTATAGTATAAGTATAAGTAAAGTAAAAGAGCTTGCTCTTTTTAGGAGCGAACTCTATTCCTCTTATTTATGCCTACTAGCTATAAGTCTGTTACACCCTTTTAAGGTACTAGCGTATCTTTGTCGTGTCTTTACTAAATACTAAAAGGTTAAGGTTGTTAGTAAACCCTACTATAATAAGGCCTATATATCTCTATAGTAGCGTATATAAGCTAGTAGTATAGAGAAGAAAGAGGATAAGAAAGAAGAGTAAGCTTTATAGTACCCTTATAGTAACCTCTTAAGGTAGCGCTACCTCCTTATTAAAGAAGAGGCTAGCTGTCTAATTAGTAAGGAAGCTATATACCTACTATACAGCCTATATAAGAAACCCTAGGTATTAGAGAGTATAAAAGAGGCGTATATAGTTTACTATATTAAAGGCGCCTTTAATGTCTAGTTAGAGAAAGGACACTATAGCCTTATAGCTTTATACTA